CTCAAGGGACTCAGCTCCAATGCACAAGTCATGGTTAAGATGGCGGTCTTCTCTGCCTGGGCTGAGCTACAGATTGCGAGCGCTGAGCAGAGCTATTTGGTGGATGTATTGAAGCCACATATTGCGAAACTAACTCCTCTCTGGCTGGCATCGCTGCGAGAGTATGCCCGTCTGAGGTTCGAGCCTGACATTTCCTCTTCCATGGGCTCGGCCTCTCTGTCTGGAAGTCTCGACACGATCTATGCAGCGCTTAATCGCGAGACACTATTGAAGGTACACTTAGCCGTTCACGATGTCCAACACATGCTAATATACTGCAGTTTTACCAAGATACCTGGCTAAACCTGGTAGACGCCATCGCCAGTCTTATCGACGAAGACAGCGAGTTTGTCTTCGACGCCTTAGATGGCAAAACCGAACTGTCCGAAACTGCGCCTAATGGAAAGTCTGGTCACATAAATTATCGCGACGAGCCTGTCGCCTTCTTTTTTGTGCTCTTTGGGCTCGCGTTCGAAGCATTAGCGGGTCGTCCAGGTGACCTGCAGGCTTCCAAGGAGCAAATATTGGAGATTCTCCAGGCACTGAAGAAGATCCTACGACCGTCAGTATCTGGTCATGCAATCTACCGGGAAGTTGTCTTCTCGGAAACTATGGATATGCTCGATCGCTTGGTGCTCACCGAGGGCTTGACAGTTCAAACGGTCATTGTTGAGATCACACGGAATCTGTGCCTTGGCCATCCATCTGCGCGGAGAGACCAGGGAGCTGCCGCTGCTGATGAGCATCTTTCTGAAGATATCGATCAGCTGTTCGAACTGACCAAGATTATGGTACTGGTACTGTCCGGGCTAGTACCTGGGTTAGAAGACAGCAAAGCAAAGGCGCGCCACGAGATGAATGAGGAGGCAGTCGCTCTGCTGACAACTGCCCTATCCGCGCTCGTGGACGCCGCGCAAGTTTTCCCGTCGATCATCAAAGCTGACCTCCACGCTTGCATCCTTCACATCTTTGCAACTATACTAAGCACCGGAGCATGTCAAACGACAGTCATTCCACAAGCACTCCCGATCTTCAAGCGCTTCATTACCAGCCTTGCGCCACATGCCGAAGGTACGGACGATACTAGCAAGCAACTTCGTGCAACGTTAGCGCGCTTCCTTGCAATTTTGAGATACGCGCAACAACGCGAGTTTGATGCCGCCCTTGCATGCGAGAAGAATACGGTTCTTGCGACTACGATCTTACTGAGCTCTGTAGCCTCTGCGTTTTCGCCCGACGACCCACTCGTCAAGCGTTTCATTGATGACCTATTCGACTGTCTCGGCACCGTAACAACAAGCAAGGTAGCAGCAGGTTGCTGTCGCTCACTCCTCCTCCTACCCAAGAAGGGTGCTCTCGAGACAAACATCGCAAAGCTTATACTTCCACCAACCCTTTCGTTCCTCGCATCAGCCTCTGATGTTGAGGGCCTCGACGATTCACGTACAACTCTCGCACAGACTCTTGTCACATTCATCTCCACATTGCCCCAACCACCACAGCGACAGACTGCAACTAAGATAATAATACCCGTCTTGCTAGCACGAGCGCGGAAGGAGCCCAAGGCTAGCCAGGAAACTGCGGCGCGGTTGCTGGAAATCGCTAGTGCGGATCAACAAGCATTCAGGGGTGTGGTGACTGGATTAGATACCGAGCAGAGGAGTTTCATGGAAAGTGTATTGAAGAGTGGGCAAGGGCCGAGAAGGCAGGAGGCGAGTAGGGAGGATGATGGCATGCCGAAGATTGCGCTCAAGATGGACTTTGGCTCGTAATGATGGGCTGACCTTGTACGACAACAACTTTACGGATGAACCGCATTTTTACAGGGTATTCTTTCTTCGATGACTGCTCAACTGTTCTGGTCTGGAAGCTCAGCTTACCATATGTCAGCAAGGGATGTGCGCGGGACGCATGCATGCAGGGACTTGAACGAAGGACACGGGCCCACCATTGGCGCAGCCTGTATTGTATGTAACTAACTATTGGCTGTTGCTGACGGCTATCGACTTTTGTGTGCAGCTGCATTCATAGGGCTGGACACAAAGTCGAGGTTGAGCACATTAGAGCTAATTCCTGGTACCCGGGCGTTCTCGCTAGACGCAATTGAGCAAGTTGCAGACCAGGCAGCATACGAGCCACACGGCGACGGTATACCTCAACCTTGCGAAAGTCGTCGGTGTTGGATCTTCCCTGGCGTGTTCCCGCCGATGGGTGCTTTAGGGGTAGGAGAAAGCAGGTGCCATTGGCAGAACGTACCGACCCGATGGGAGACGCTTACCACACGTACGCGTGGGGAGCTACAAGAATAAAAAAACGTGCTTTCTTCATCCCTCTGCCAAGCCGGTGACCCATTTTTCATGTGATTTGCATGTTACGACGTAGCCCGTGGAGAAGGTATGAGCAAGAAAACGCCACGCCTGCGATGCACGTCTGATCCTGCTAGTCGGTGCCATTGCCTCTTCGAGTCTTACTCGCCACGAAATGGGACGAAAGGCTTGGAGGTCTCTTGAAATCCTTATCGGCTTACATTGGTCTCGATCTTGTCAAGAACGCTCTCAATTCTTTATCTTTTGGTGCAGTCGCGGCTTTGAAGCTCTGCATTTTGCTTCCGTTGCAGGTCTTTTCGCTCTTTCCCAGTCCGAACCCTCTTTACCTTCACTCTCCAGTGAGACGACATCCGCAAATTGTAGACCTATCGCTCAGGTTACGCGACGAGCCATGCTAAACGAACCTGAAGTCGAGCACAAGGCTGCTCTTAGCCAAGTGCACGATGGCTTTCACGGAAGCCTTCAAGACTCAGAGAAAGACGCAGACCATCTCGGCACCGAAGATGGAGACAACACCGTCGACGCCAATCACCAGGCTGGTGTACAAGCCATCGAAGCCGTGACTCTCTCCTGGACAACCGCATCCTTGATCACGGCCTACATTCTCATCTGGCTTGTCTATTTTATGCAAGGCCTCGTAGGAGGAATCAGCGGCGCCTTAATACCCTACGTCACCTCCGCCTTCGCCTTACACTCTCTCACGCCTACGACCAGTGTTCTAAGCTCTGTCATCGGAGGCGTGACCAATCTCAGTATAGCCAAAATACTGGATGTTTTTGGTCGTCCGCAAGGTTTCCTTCTTTGCGCCGTGCTCGCCACTGCTGGACTGATCATGTCAGCTGCCTGTAACAACGTGGAAGCATACGCTGCGTCGCAGGTCTTCTACACCGTCGGTATCAATGGAGTTGGATACAGTCTGAGCGTGTTCATCGCGGATACGACTTCATTGCGCCACCGGGGTCTCATTCAGTCGCTGTGCTGCTCATCTTACCTCATCACCGCATGGCTCGGCGGACCGATTTCGACGGCCTTCCTCAACGGAGCTGGTTGGCGCTGGGCGTTTGGAATGGAAGCTATCCTTATCCCGGCAGTTACGCTTCCTTTATTTGGACTGTTCATGTACCATTACTTCAAGGCGAAGAAGGCTGGTCTTGTTCCGAAACATTCAAGTGGACGTACCTTCTTGGAATCGCTCAGATACTACGTACGCGAGTTCGACGGTGTTGGTCTACTTACCCTCTCTGTCGGTATGGCTTTCTTCCTCCTGCCATTCAATCTATATACGCTGCAGGCAAAAGGATGGGACTCTCCTATGATCATCTGCTTCCTGGTTTTCGGCATCGTTCTCCTGATTGTCTTTGGAATCTGGGAGCGTTTCTTCGCAAAGATCTGCTTCATTCCCTGGAAACTCCTTCTAGATCGCACCGTCGCTGGAGCCTGTATCCTATCTTTTGCACTATTCTTCAGCTATATGTGCTGGAGTATGTACTTCACGTCTATCCTTCAGGTCGTCTTCAACATGAGTGTTACGCATGCTAGCTACATCATGTCGACATATACAGTTGGCGGTTACGTCTTCGCCGCCCTGATTGGCGCCTTCATGTCCTGGACCGGTCGCTTCAAGCCTGTCACCCTTTTCTGTTCAATTCCGCTAGTGGTCCTCGGGACTGCACTACTCATCCACTTCCGCCAGCCTACCGACAGTATCGGATACATTGTCATGTGCCAAATCTTTGTCACATTCGGTGGCGGAGTAATGACAATTACGACCGAGATCGCCATTTTGGCCGCTGTGAAAGAACAGCAATACTTCGCTGTGGCCATCGCTCTGGTATCCATGTGCGGAAGCGTCGGTTCGGCCGTTGGGCTGACTGTCTCCTCAGCGATTTGGCAGGACGTGGTTCCCAAAAGGCTTATGTTGTACCTCCCTGCTGAAGATCTCCCGAACTTCTTGATGATCTACGCGGACATAGTGACACAGTTGTCTTACCCTGTTGGATCACCCACTCGCTTGGCTGTTCAGAGGGCATACGGAGATGCGCAGAGGTATCTATTCATTGCGGGAACTGCAGCCTGGGTTATTGGCACGGCTGGAGTGCTCATGTGGCGAAACATTGACATTATCGCTATGAAGCAGACAAAGGGTCGTGTCTTCTAGATTGCAGTGGCTTTGATCAGGATCGCTATTAGCACGGCGCTCTTGTCTCAGCACTGTATAGATCGTCCGGCTTCTTCGACCCAAACCATTCTGGGTCGAGCCTCTCAGTACCCAATTGACCTGCGCTTCCTCTACTCCATCAACGAGCTTGCAAGACTCTCGCAACTTCCTGGCTACGGACTTGACAGCGGGGTGAATGTAAAGGCTGTTCTGTTACACTGGAGTTGCTTGAATAGATGTCTACCCAGTCTTCTGATAATTCCTTAAATTGGCGAGGCGCCTGTATACTTGATATTATCGTGATCTCTTTCCGCCGTTCATTCACTGTGTCATGCTCGCTAAAGAAACTGCTAGACTGATGATATACAAACTCCCAAAATTCCTGTTGCGTCCACTCATATGTACATGACGCAAGCCTCCCAAACTCCTTCTTAGCATGCTGTCGATGAGCATGCCTCATAGACGTGATGTCGCAGTCAACGCATGCCATAATGTGAGTATGCATGCGATGGGTCAATGACGATCGAGTCGTCCAGATTTGTGAAAGCCAATAATTCAGAGTTGATATCGTAAGCGCCGGAGTCATCAAATCTGAGGTCGAGACTTTGCTGTGTTTGTAGCGGCGTCATAAAATTACTACATGTGCGTCAGTGGCACAAACCGTGGAGTGGATCTTTGAGTACTTACGGATCCCAGTTACCCCATAATTGTGCAATCATTTCATCGTCGAGATGTACTGGCCCCGAATCTCCGTTGCCGTTGTTATTGTTCTGTTGGGCTTGTCCTGTAATACCAAGCTCGGCAAGACGTAGTGGTGTTTCCTCTGTCACCATCTTGGTGAAGCCAATCTGTTCCATGCCACGTGAAAGCTCGACAAGCTTCTCGATATGCAGACTGTACCGTGGGGTTCTCGTATGCGCGTATGCGAGGATAAAGATCATGATGAGCCGTAGGATGCACGTGCTATCAAAGGCCGTCAGACTCGATAACGTACCATCACTCGCCATTTGCTCTAGTATCGCAGTGCTCTTCTGTGCTGCGTCGATGCACATCTTGCCCATGCGCTCGAACCAGATTTTCTTGCTCGAAGCTAGTGTCCCGTGCTTTATAACAAGGTATAGAAGAAATGGCCGTGTAAGCAATATCGTGGTACTCCAGTAATATAGGTGTAAAACTGCTACCGCGCGTCTGTGCGTTGGAGGTGAAGGTACGTCGTGCTTGAGATGCGGCGGCATCTGGCGATACCACTTTTGCAGCAGTAAAAGGGAGTTGGACACGGTTGAGAAGGAGATAGAGTTTGCCGAGCGTTCCATGTACACTGATTGTATGATCTCGCGCTTCAATCGACAGAGGGATACTGACGTTGCCATCCAGGATAGTGGCGTATGTAGTCCGGGATACAAGATCTTGTGATCGTCAGCATGCGCGCTCTGGTGCAAGTCGACTGCAAACCTACCTGCTCAGAAGGCATTGGCGTGGTGACCTTTGTGAAACGTTCATCAACGACCGTAGGACTACCACCTCGCGATGAGATATCCTGATCAAGCTGAAATAATGTCCACCAAATCCTGCGGTTTTGTTCTCGCTCCATTGCGCTCCCAGACTCAGCCAACTGGTCACGATGTAAACCCAAGGAGAACGCCATCTGAACGCTAGCACCCATGTAGAGGTAGGAACTGACTCTGGAACAAAGGTTCTCCATAGCGATACTCTGGATGGTGATTAGCGAAAGTGCTTCTAAAGCTATTGACAAGACTCACCATCATGGCCATCGCACGTATGCTATCAATATCTGCCTCGTCATAGACTGTGGGGATAAGTTGCTTTGCAAGTGTAATATAGTCCTCTGAAGTTTTCAGGTCCAACGCAGCTGGCCAATCTGGTGGAGGAGAGTTGCCGTTGCTGCCTACGTAGTTGGCTGCACCAATGGCGAACATGGTGTAAAGACAACACATCCAGGAGCTGGACGAGTGTGGTGCTGACTCTGAGTATGTGCTATCTACCCGTCGCAGCAGACTTTCGACCGGATACAGCCAATACGTGCAATGGACATCCTCTAAAAATCGAGAAATATAGATATCACACAACTCCCGACCAGGTAGGTAGTAGCTTTCCTCTGCGCCGGAGTCTGTAGAAGGCGAGGCAACTGGTAGGTTCGGCGGATATGACCCTATTTTGGGTCCGGGAATAATAGAAGGATCTTTCCTTTGCATACCCAAGGTAGCGACAGCCGCGTTGAAGGGAATTTCACTATGAGCGCCAACGTAACGGAATTTCCCTCTTGAATCTTTCAGCATGCAGCCTAATGGCTCATGCAATTCGTTCACGTCTTGTTCTTCGCCATCGTCAACGCTTTCTGCATCTTCGGGTGATGCCTGATCACTGCTAAATAGGCCTTCGGTATGCTGGACGGGCTCTGCATTAAAGGTACCGTCCTTGATCGCTTTAGCAATAGTTCTGAGGGACTGCAGGTTAAGCTCATGACCAGGGAAGAAGTGTTCGAGAATGCGCATCGAGCATTGGTATTCTTCTTCGGTAACATGGTAATAAGGTCTTTTCCTTCTTGGGGTAGCAATAGTACACACAGCGCCTGTGCGCGCACAGTAACGACATGGTCCCGGGACTTAAGATTGTCAGCCTGTGTCATTGCCGGCACGAATCTACTACCGGTGGGAAAAGAGCCCTACCAGGATCAATACACTAGACGGGATGGTTAGATTCTTGGCACTGATAGAGGTGGAACTGTCTTAGCTACCTTTGTCTTCCTACTGCGACACCGATCGCAACTGCTGTGGACTCGATGGGCGTTCGGTGCTCTGCTGGATGGGGGCGCCGAAGCTCGTGGCGGCGGGGCGGCGGCGGAGTACTCGGCCATATTCATCCGACACCCACGATAGCCCGGCCGGGTAGGATGACACTAGCGGCGATGCGAAAGTCTCATTCGGCAAGCTTGCAGCAGTTCGTGGAGAAGTCATAAGAGCATCGTGCCTGTTGCAGTTGGAGACAAAGGAAAAGGGTTCCCATTTCTAGCGGGGGATCTGCTGGGGCGTCGTTGCGAACGCAAGGCCACCCTGCAGAACCTGCCGGTCGGCTAATCAAAATCTATAGCGAACACAGAATAGCGTTGGAGAGACGGCAAATCATGTCGCAGCCGCTCGACTCATGTCGCAATATTTAAGAGATCTTAATCAAGACACTCTTTGTCTCCAGAAAGTTGTCCAGAGAATATAAAGGGTCGCCCTCACGTCCTGATCCTGATGACTTGTATCCACCGAAAGGCATGTCGACGCCAGTGACTATGTATTGAAGCAACGTCAGTGAATGCGTCATGCATAATTGAGCTAAATGGGTATTGCCTACCTGGCGAAGTACAGTTGACGCCAACGGTACCAGCTTCTAAGCCTTTAGCGAAGCGCATTGCACGATCAATGTCTTTAGTGTACACCGATGCATACAGCCCATACCTGAACAGAATTAGTCAGCGTTTGTTTCAGCTAGGCCACGCTAAGGAGGGTGAGACAAACTCTGTCGCGTTAGCTTTGGTAAGTACTTCATCTTCGGATTTGAAGACGTTGATGTTGACGACTGGACCAAAGACCTCTTCTTTCATGATCTTTGCGTCTTCTGGTGTGTTCTTGAAGATAGTAGGCTCGATGTAGTAGCCCTCGCGACCCGATGGGGCGCCGCCACCAGTGATGAGTTCACCGCCAGATTGCTTTCCCGATTCCAGATATGCCAATACGGTCTTATGTTGCGCCTCGTCAGCTTGCGGGCCGTGGTTGACGCCTTTCTCCAGGGTGTCACCCATCTTGATCTCCTTTTCGAAGTTCTGCTTGAAGAGGTCAATATACTTATCGGCAACTGTATCCTGGACGTATATGCGCGAATTGGCCATGCAAACCTGACCGCTGTTCCACTGAATGCTATGTGCTGTTTCTTTCACGGCTTTTTCTAGGTCGGCATCTTCAAAGATGACCGCAGGTGACTTGCCTCCGAGCTCAAGGAATACTTGCTTGAGATTGGACTTTGCGGCAGCAGCTTGAATCAGACGTCCTGTACGGCTCGATCCTGTAAATGACAAAGCTCGCACATCCATATGATGACTCAGAATCGAACCGCTGACATTCCCGAAGCCAGTAATGATGTTTATCACACCTGGAGGGAAGCCAGCTTGTTGTACCAGAGTAGCAATTTTAGCAGACTGCTATTGTTAGTCTCCTATATGGACATGTAAAGGGCCACCTACAGTCAGTGGAGCCTTTTCGGAACTTTTTAGGACAACAGTGTTTCCGACAATAAGAGCTGGGGCTAATTTGTTTGCCAAAAACAATAATGGCACGTTCCACGGGATGATACCAGCTACAACACCATAAGGTTGGCGGAATGTCATGTTGACGAATCCCGGGGTCTGAATGCTCGTAGTGCCTGCTCTAAATTAGCAATCTGTTTCTTCATCCGACTCTAAGCATCTTACCTTGTACACTGTATCCCGCTTCTGCGTAGCGGTCCCATTTTGCAGCAGAGGCATAAGCATCGATAAACTCACCCACCGGGCGGCCCATCGAGCTTGCTTCTAAAGCAGCCAATTCATCGTTGTTCTCTCGAATTAGACTTGCTAATTTCTTGAAATACGAGCCTCTCTTCTCCGGAGTCAATTCAGACCAAGCAGGAAAGGCAGCCTTTGCTGCTGCTACGGCATTGTCGGTGTCTTGCTCAGATGCCTCGTGTACTATAACCGTCAGGAATTAACTACTCTGAGTTGAGGCGCCCCACACCCACCTTTTGCTACAGGCTTCAGGGTGGCTGGATTGATAATGTCAAAAGTTTTTCCGTTTGATGATTCGACAAACTACGCTGAGGTTAGCTCGGGCTTTTTTCAATCGACAGAAGAGAGCTGACTTCTCCATTAATGAAGAGACGCGTTTCGATCTTCTCTGGTAGACCCATTTTGGCGATACGAAAATCTTGAGCGATTAAATTCAACTGATACTCGGAAAGTGAGTTGGGGGATATTCTAGTGGTGTAGGCTATCTTAAAATGGAAAATAGCGCAGTAAGTTTGGAGAAGAAGCGAGGCTGTGCTACGGTGTTGCTTCGATGACTTCGACGACCCCACCTCGGTGCCGGTCTTGCTCCACACGTTCGCTCAGAGCGTCCCGCCGGCAATATCATCCCGCGACTTTATGCATATCGCACCTATGTCACCGCCGTGTCAGGCGAGCCCATTCGCGGAGCTCTGGCAAGAGGGGAAGTCTGGTTGCGAATCCCACGAGATACATTCATGTGCCGTGAGAAGCTTCGTGTTGGACTGCGAGTCTTAAGAAGGAATGAATAGCCGCAGCGTCCAGGTTGTGACCATTCTCCATTATTTGTGCAAGACCGCGAAATCATGGGCAGCGAAATCGAGCAGTTGAAGGCTATAGTGGAGAAGCTACAGGCGGAAGTGACGCGTTTGAGTGGTACGTGATTAGTCAGCCATCGATTAGCCTCTGCGTGGCTAGCTAACGGAACGTTAGATCAGGAGGACATCCGCAAGCTCCAGTACACGTACGGTTACTATCTCGACAAGTGTCTATACAAAGAGGTGAGTAGACTGACATCGTTTCTCTGAACAAAAGCTAAATGTATCAGGTCGCCAATCTATACGCTGACCATCCAGACACATGCGTTGAGTTCCTTGGGGGCCGATACAATGGCAAAGAGGGCGTACAAAGACTGTACATCGGTCGATTCGCCAATTCCTTCGTAGCTGGGCGTAATGGCCCTGTTTATGGCTTTCTCCTTGATCATCCACAGATGCAAGGCATAGTCGACGTCAATCCCGAAGGCACACGTGCAAAAGGCCGCTTCCGCAGTATGATGTCGGCTGGTACCCACGATAGCATCAAGGACACACACCCTCGCGGCCTGGTACAATGGTGGGAGGGCGGAGTATATGAGAACGAGTACATAAAAGAGAACGGCGTATGGAAGATCTTCAGGCTGAAGTACTTCCCCTTTTGGCACGCGACATTCGAAAAAGGTTGGGCACACACCAAGCCCAACTACGTGCCGTTCCTCTCGAAAACGTATCCAGAAGATCCAAATGGGCCAGATGTGCTGTGCGATCATCCGATGCTCTGGCCAGACACGCGCGTTGTGCCCTTCCACTACAAGCACCCTGTCACTGGTGAGCAAGTGGCCGACGACGATCTTAGAGCTCCACACTTTGGAAAAGACCCTTCAACGAGCACTCCTCCGCTCGTGCTGAGCAAACCAAAATCGGAGATGAATGGTACGGCTTAGGTATAGTACTGCACACATCACTAACGGATATGTTTTATGGCAAGCAAATAATAACTCGATATCATCGCAGCCTTTGCTAGCCGCGGATTACGTCTTTTTGCAGCTCTAATTTGCAGCTCTAATGAATAAGAGGTACCATAAAGAGTCGTGTTGCACCCGTCTTTTCACTCGTCTCTTTCTCATCGATTGGTAAAGTGGTGACTTCCCACCACGCTTACGCGTCTCCAACGTTGTTGTGTGTAGTATCCGTTTAGGCATTTCAGTCTCGTGTGCTAACCATATTTTGCCACCAGTGCATGACATTACACGTGCCCGAACACGTACGACCAACATATGTTAAACCTAAGCTCTCTTCTTCGGACCAAACGTGCCGCTGTCGGTCCTGTGCGGTCTGATCAGTCCGGGCTTAAGAACCCCTGTAGCCACCACCATCTACCCCGCAAGCTCACTTCCCCACATGCTTACTCGTGACTTCCGAGCACGGCAGTACATCTCGTACCAAACACTTGCATACCCTGCTCCAGAGGTCTAATCATAACAATGGGGTCGAGCTGCGATGCCAAACTTCGCCATCAGTTGACAGCACACCATGGCGCACATATTCTCCCTCGCTACACCTGCATCCCCAGCCTATAATAAAGGAAGCCGATCCGGTGATCAGGTCAAGTTCCCAGAGAGTGGCTTTTTCCAAGGCTTCAATAAGCCGTCACGACTTGAAGCCGACATCTTCGAGCTCGAGACGACTGGTACAGTAGGTGTAGTATTTTGCTCGATATATAGAGCCTGAAGCTCAGTGCTTCCAGATTCCTAGAGACATAAACGGCACCTTCTTTCGCATACAACCTGACCACCGCTTTCCACCTCTGTTTGAAGAAGACATACACTTCAATGGTGATGGCTCAGTATCTGCATTCAGGTTTGAGAATGGCCACGTCGACTTCAGACAGCGATATGTACATACCGATCGCTTCAAAGCGGAAACAAAAGCGCGCAAATCACTACTGGGACGGTACAGAAATCCTTACACAGATAACGAGATGGTGAAAGGCATCATCAGAACAGCGTCGAATACTAACATCATCTTCTGGCGCGGAGTGTTGCTAGCGACGAAGGAAGACGGGCCACCTTTTGCCATGGACCCGGTCACGCTCGAGACAATTGGCCGGTATGATTTCGACGGCCAAGTACAATCCCCGACGTTCACTGCGCATCCGAAGTTCGACCCGGATACTGAGGAGATGGTTTGCTATGGCTATGAAGCCGGAGGTAACGGGTACGATGCTAGTTGCGACATTGTGGTGTACACGATTGATAAAGACGGGAAAAAGACTGAAGAATGCTGGTACAAGGCACCATTTTGCGGAATGATACATGACTGCGCCATCACGAAGAATTATCTGATCCTACCACTCACTCCAATCAAAGTCAACGCGGAGAGGCTCAAGAAAGGTGGCAATCACTTTGCTTGGGATCCCGATGAAGATCAGTGGTATGGCATCGTGCCTCGCCGTAATGGGAAGCCAGAGGATATCGCCTGGCTACGTGCTGACAATGGTATGAGACCCACACAAAGTGATATCGCATGGGATATATGCTAATGCTACCAGGCTTTCATGGCCACGTTGCCGGCTCCTACGAAGACTCTTCGGGAAATATCGTCGTTGACCTTACTATAGCCTCTGACAATGTCTTCTACTTCTTCCCACCAGACAGCCAAGCAGATACGCCCATGACGCTACTTCAGCGTAACAAGCTCGTCTCCGATACTTACCGCTGGGTCTTTGATCCCAAGACTCCTACCAACACGCGAGTGCAGCCACACAAACTCTTCGGTACCAACGGCGAGTTTTCGCGCATCGACGATCGAGTGTTGACGAAGAAGTACAACCACTTCTGGCAATGCAACATAGACCCAAGTAAGCCGTACGACTTCCAGAAGTGTGGCCCCCCAGCTGGTGGGCTTTTCAATGTGTTGGGTCATTATGAGTGGGAGAGCGGGAAGAAAGACACTTTCTGGGCAGGCCCGACATGCACGTTCCAAGAACCCGTATTCGTACCCAAAGCTTCATCTTCTCCAGCGGATCTCGTTGAAGGCGAGGGATATATCATGGCGTTGCTCAACCATCTTGATGTTTTGCGCAACGATATCCTTATTTTTGATGCGCAGAACCTCTCACAAGGTCCGCTGGCGGTTATACATCTGCCGGTGAAATTGCGCTTGGGCTTACATGGTAACTTCATCGAGCAGAAAGACATTGACGAATGGGCTGAGAAGAGGAGGGAGGGTGGCGAGATTGGACCAGCGGTACCGGCGAAGGAGATGTTGCCATGGCAGAAGAAGATGGCGGAGGAGGAAGGCCTTGGAAGCGCAGTGCCAGTACCTGGGAAGGGGGTTGGGAACGGATTTAATGGTACGATTGGAATCAACGGTCACTGAGTTCGCATCGAAGACGAGCCATCGAGTAATTGTCACCAGTACAAATTTGCTTTGTTGATCTCAGCTCTCTGTCAACCACGGTCTGAATGTTTTGATTGCCGAAGCGCAATTGGTCGTACATGTCATAACATTACTACAGTGAACAGAAAGTCTGATCCGCTTGCTACTTGTGAGCTTTCTCGGTTTTTGGTAATCAATTTACGATCGATTGAGCGCTTTCGTGCAGTTTCGCTCCGCTCGGCAAGAAATTCTTATGACGAAGAGAGGGTTGGCCCTAAGCTTCCACAGCAGTATTGCGACCAATGGAAGCGCCTCTGGAGTGAAAGGACGCACAGGTGTGATACTCTCATCATTGCTCTCCCATTTGTGGGTCTAATCGAGTGACTTGGAGCGCCATGAATGCACCCACCTCCTTGCATGGACCAGTCCAACCCCTAGAACCACAGTCTTGTGAGCTCCACTTTCGCTTCTCAACCCGAGACTCGTCACAACTTCCAATCAAGAGATTCACCTGACCCCGATTTAGGATCGAGTACCAGCTCCTGTTACGCTATAACTCGGTACCATCAACTGGTAATTTGGTCGCCCAGAGAGGAAGAGCCACTCGAGAATTCCGCATTCCATACCAAACCCAAACAAACTGGTGCTCTCGGTTGAGAAACATGGCAAGTACAAAAAGCCTTATCACTTTTCAGTCAAAGCCTGCCGGTCAACCATCACCCACAGGCACTCTCAATACTGTTCTGCTATCGTCCTCCAGTATGAATCGTAAGGCATGGCGAAAAGCTCGCAAGTCCGCTAGGAAGACAATAGGAGACGTCGTAGTTTCTGATGCCGAAGATCAGAAAAAAGCTCACAACGAAGGACTATCCACCGAGCCACGATTAGCCGAAGACACGATCGAATACGAGTGCTGCATCTGCGGAGACGACTTCCCATTCTCAGCTGGTGTTGCTCATTGCGAAGAGCACTTCACATGCAACAGCTGCGTTGTCGATGCGTACAACGCTGCAATCGCCGACATCGAGGCTTTTCCAGCTCAGTGCTGCAGTCCCTTTCCTCGCCCCTTCGTCGAGCATCTTTTGAGTCCCAAGGTACGCGTGGCATATTCACTTAAAGCAGAAGAATACTACACGTCGCGTGCTATTCGCGTCTACTGTGTTAATGAGCAGTGTCGCTTATATATTCCGAAAAGCTGCGTGGAAGATGATCATCCTCTGTTTACGGTGGCACGCTGCAGCTGTGGAACCAACACCTGTGTCGGTTGTAAAAATGAGTGGGAAGATGAGGAGCACCGGTGTACCGATTCCGTGGACGATACGGCGAGACCAGAATGGCTACCGGAGTACTCAGCTAGCTGCCGCGCAAAGTCGTGTCCGAATTGCCGTATGTGGATGGAGCACAAGGAAGCTTGCAACCACATGACCTGTCACTACTGTCATCATGAGTTCTGCTTCGTTTGTCTTCAGCCTTGGACTAGCGAGGGCTTCCATCAGGACGCCGGTTGCCCTTCGTACGGAGACCCAGATGAAGGGTACGACAACGAGGGATACGAGCTGGGTGGTCGAGGCCTACACCGAGACACTGGTTATAACCGCATGGGGCTCAACCGATTTGGTCAGCGACAACTGAGCCACGCTGTTGTGGAAGAAAGTGCAGCCAGCGAACACGATCAGCATTCGGACAACGAGGACCTGGATTACGATGAGTACGAGATAGCCTATGCTGATGAAGAACAATGGGTAGACGACGCACAATTTGGAGATAACGAGCGAGCAGACGGAATTGCGCCTCAGATCGAGATTGAGTGGGGAGAACCAGTACAGGGTGGTAGGCCATGGGACGAAGAACTGGATGCAGAACAAGACGTGCAAATCCTCAACTTCGACAACTCCTGGCGATTGGAGCTTGTTCCTTTCACAGATGAAGCAAACCCAGTCGAAGCTACAATTGTGGCTTCGCGGGATCTGGCACCAGCATCTCGGCGACACTCACAGACATCGCCACCACCCGATTCTGTCCGTCAACAAATTCGTCTCGCCCGACGCGTCCCGATTCTTGCTCCGAATCCGCATCCCGAAAACAGCGTCTTCAGTGAAGGTACCCCAAGTTTTCAGCAGCTGGAGTGTAGTCATTCGTGGCACCGGCACTTGCGATTATCACAGACAGAATATTTGTACGCGCACTGTCTGGGTTGTCACTATATCACGGGCAACTGGACAAATTACTGCTCCGCTTGCGGCGTGGTCGCCTGCGACTGGTGCACGTACGACTTTCGGGGGCGTTTTGTGAGTATGTGGGAGCATGCAACGGGGTTGCTTGATGTATTGATTTGGGCTGAGAAGGGTGTGGTGCCGTTCAAGACTGAGCGTCGTAATGCATTGAAACAACTGGAGGATGAGCTGTGGGCCGATTGCGATGAGGACATATTGGGTCTGGCTACAATGTTGGAGGTTTACGAGACTCAACTATTTGAGCTGCAGCCGTATCTGTACTGGGACTTTGGAATTCGGCTTATGTTCGAAGAGCTGGAGCTGCGAATGTGGAAGGAATACTGCGCTGTTACTGAGGAGGATGTGGGAATACCAGGGCTTACGCTGACGTTTGATCTTGCAACGAACCCTTTTGCACCCTTACACTGGGACAGTTAATCTAGATTTGAGCTTCATGTAGAAATGATCAGGAATACGACTTCGAACTCGATCCGGCTCCCTTGCTAGCATTTGAGGACAATGTATGATACTCGAGGCAAGCAGACGCACGCGGGCTGGTTGCCATAATGTGAAAAGCACTGTGGCTTATTCTGGTAGCTAACCAAGAAGATGGAGGAGTATATAGCTGAATAGTACCTTCGTCTTGTAGGGGTTGATGATGTCATAGCGTGATATTTTCGCGTGTCAGGATACCCGTCTTCCCGACTTCGTTCCATCCGTCATCAACGATAGACGTCAATATTACAGCCCGTGTTTCTCGGCCATACGACCTAGCCTGTTTCTCTCGCTTTCTGTTATCCTTTTCCTGTTTCCTTCTCATTTGTTCATGTACGTTCAGTCTTTATCTCCTCTTCGCACTGCATATAGCAAATTGCATGATTTCTGGGGAAATTTTACTTCCCATCGCCCCTTCCTAGGGTGAGCGGACGGCCATAGATTAGCGCCTGTGTGATGGCTGCTTCCCAGGTCAGATGGGAGAACCCGCATTTGTGGGGAGTCTGAAGGTTGCACGCGACCACCAACCTTAAATCGACGCCCTGAATGCGGCCGTTTTGGCGCTCGAGAAGGACGTTCGTGTCGTGGGACGCTTCATGTTTGTGTGGTACGTGTGTGCATGTAGGGCAACGTTGCCGTTCGCCACTGTGAGGTATACCTTTCCAGGCGCGAAATTGTGCAAATCTATCTTCTGGGGGACAATTTTACAGTTTGCTAGGGGCAATGTAAGATCCTAGGGATGCAGCGCACGTGGTGGAGATGACTGAAACACATTGGAAGTTGAGAAAGAACTGGAGGGTTGAGTGGCGACTTTGGAAACTATGATTACACGAGGCTGGTAGAGTCTGCAGCATGTGATGAATATACAGGGGCCTTTCTTTGGTTGGCTTATGTGAAAGTGGACTAAACTTACCACTATCACCACTGGGTTCGCTGTTTCAGACCTACACTCATCAAACTCATTTGCCTTCCAATGAACAACTCGGTAAGCAAGACCTAATGGATTGAACAAGACAGTATGACGATAGCCTACTTAGCCACAACTTATAAGAAAACGTGCAGAATTGAAGTGAGAAATGCCTTCTTATCCAAGCAGTGTGTTTTACATGTTGCTACCATGCGACGCAAAATATCGGATTGGGACGCTCTGTATCGAGCATGCAGGATTATCTACAATATTACTGGAGAGATATTGAGTGGATCTATGCATGAGTCCTGATGGATGATGCACCTTCTTCTCGACGCGAGGGCAGAGTCCTTGGTTACCTCCGCGGATTCGAATTAAATTTGTAGCAAACTACTTACATGGACATGGAGAAGAGCTTGTAGAAGCCTCTGTCAGGCTTGGTGGAGGTCGAATCATGCAGAGAAAATGCGTAAGAGTCGATCTTGTAAAGGGCTGTGTATTGCATGATGGAACCAGCCACGAAAAGGGTAAAGCGTAGTTGGCGATTAGCTCGAGAATGTGGGGGCAGCGTGTCACATGCCACACCTTTGTCTCTGTTTGAGCCATGTGAATGCGTGTTGGAGGTGTCGGCTGAGCCTAGGTGGTCTAGAGGGTTGTCATCCGTACGATGCTCTCGCAGTGAGGCTGGCGGGCGAGCGTGGCGGTGGTGAGAAGAAGCATGCGCGGATAGGCTTGGAAGCTGTTCGCAGAGAGTCATTACTGCATGCAGAGAGAGTGGCAGAGAAAAGTGCAGGAGGGAGTAGAGAGGGCAAAGGCCTAGGGCTGGTGCATAGTCAAAGTCATGATAACGCTGGTGGTTGCTGGATGGGCGGGCTGGGAGTGGGGAAGGTGGCATGGCGCTTCGCGAAGCGGTGATTGGCGTGGACCCATGTCTGGCCACGCCAAGTTTCCGTTCGGCTCTAACCTGGCTTCCCTGTTCCCTTCTCCATCATAAGATAGCGCCGCCGCCCATGTGACCATCTCTCGTCCACGGTGCACTCATCGCCTCGTGATTCAAGTCGGTCGTTCAACTGTGCTGATAATCCTGCCTGAAGCAATTCCCAAGTCTGCGATTTTCAAGGTAAGAAGCTTTCTGTTCTTTTTCTCGTTCCCGAAAGTGTGCATCCGCCCGGTCGACCACCGCTTGTCGAGGGTCGTCACGCCTTCGCCCGTCACCTGATATCGCGGACCCATTGGAACTTCGCAGTCGAGCCTTGTACCATCGGTGAGTTCGCATCATGGTCGTTTTCGCGGAATGGTCGGAACGCTGCGCATAGGCCTGCGCATTCCCTCAGCGCCTCTCCACGCCATCGAGCCCGTCGAGACAATGGCATCGGGCGTCGTGGTTGCCTCGAGCCCGCACCTCGCTGGCTGTGGTGGTGTTGCTCGGCATCCCGCACTTGGTGGACGCGCGCATCCACCACGAAACGACGCACGACGCCATTGTGCACTCCGGACGACCCACCCGCTCGCACGATACGATGGCCCTCTTTTGAGTAGTGACAGCTCCGTCTTACAACAACGGGCAGCTCGACGCGCCCCAATCGCCTGCCTGCTATGCCTCTTGTCGCACCGCTTTGACCTACTCAGCTGCTCGCGCCCGTGCTAATGTTTGTCGAACCTAGGCCTCTGTATGCGTCCCCCAAGCGCATGATTGCTACATCAAGTCCTCATCCGGATTGCGCGTGAACTGGTGGGCAAAGCGCCACTTGTTGCTCCCCCTCCCCGCCGCGGTGTTTGCGCCTACGACTCACGCTTCGAGCGCGTCCCGTCTGCCTCTTTCACCAACCTCCAATACGTCACCCGCCCGATTCGCTACCATTGGCCCTGTCCATCTCAGACTTCACCCTCTGAGTAACCGCGCGCAGAAGCCTTGCATCGGCCCCAGCGTACCTACAGGCCATACTCTACACTTTCAGATACCCCGCCAGATACCATGGCCGATACTGCCGGCTACCCTACAGACGGCAAGCTGGATGCCCACAACGTGCACACCAACAACAAACGGAAGCGCGACACGCGCGATCAGGGCCTGAACCGACCCGCTCCCCACACCGCCAACAACGACCTGACCGACCAAGCGACTGCCTCGTTCCTTGCCGCGCACAACGCTGCCGACGACGACATGCAGCAGCAGTTTGACGTGCACCACAACGGTGGGACCAACACGGCAAGTGTTGGCGATACTGCTGCAGCCGCGCTTGCCTACCATCAGATGACGGTACCCCAAGCAACCGAGCTCCAGTTCCAAACGCAAAACTCGGGGGATGGCTCTTTCAGTATGGGAGACCAAAACCAACAACAAACGGGCATGCAGGACTTTAGCCTCGAAGCCTTGAAGGCTGCCACACAGACGGGCCGTCCCGGTCAAACAGCACCCAGCGACTCGCCACCGCAAAGCGCCACCCACAAGCCTCAAGTCGGCACAGAAGAGTGGCACAAGGTACGGAGGGATAATCACAAAGAAGGTAGGCGTCTGTACACACATTTGAAGCTGCAATCACTTACAGACACGCAGTCGAACGCCGCCGCCGCGAGACCATCAACGAAGGCATCAACGAACTCGCCAAGATCGTTCCCGGCTGCGAAAAAAACAAGGGATCTATTCTGCAACGAGCAGTGCAGTTCATTACCCAACTCAAAGAGAACGAGCAACAAAATATCGAGAAATGGACACTCGAGAAGCTACTCACCGAGCAAGCCATCACCGAGCTCAGCGCGAGTTGCGACAAGTTCAAAGCCGAATGCCAACGGGCATGGGACGAGTGCCAGATCTACAAGCGCGCATGTGAAAACAACGGCATCCTGCCTGACGAGATCAAAGAGCGTCAGGAGAACGGCGAACAGACGGGAGCGAATCCCATGTAGAGCACGGAAGAAACGTCATCTGATTAGTGGTTGGATTGGGTCCGACCCGGCCCGTCTAGCCCAGCTCTCCATCGACCATGTCCTGTCGACACGATGTTGATGATACCTTGTTAGCTATGATCGGGGACTATACATGTGTACTTCATTTCTTGACCTGTCGGTCTACTGTTCATCCCGCGCACTTTTAGTGTGGCTGATTATCTTATTTATTTGGCGTACAGTGGGGGGGTATCACTCGCTCTTTTGGTACGGGCTTTTTGGTGTTGTCTGCATATGGTGGTGCAACTGGGATAAGGTAGGCCTCCTTCGTACAAACAACGGAGGCTTCTCTTACGTATTCAGCGGCACGTTTTACAGCAAGGAGGAGTTCTTCAATGACATAGTATTCTCGGTGACCTTTTTCCAAATCATGGTGTGATATGTGCTGGCCATTTGTATTGTCGACTTGGTAGTTGCACGACGTTTCTTCTGGTGTGTTTCCACATGAATCGCGCTATCGGAACCCTGCTTATCCGTTAGCGGACGGCGCATCCCACCTGCCTCGCATGCACATAGCGATTCATTCTCTTGAACCGCGAAGACACGTCTCCTACCACATCCACGATATTTCCGAGGCAGCAGTCATGATCAGCACGTGAACGGGCTCCCGGACATGGTGGGCGTAACACGTTTCCACCCGACCCTGACCCCACATCCAGATAATACGCGCGACCGACCATGGCCAACAACGAGGTGCCCGAGGAGCCGCTTGTGCCTCCTGTTCTGGACGCAGCTGAGCTGATTGGCAATTCGGGCGCTGATTTTCCCGTCATCGAGGCCGAGCCAGAGGAAGAGCTCAACCTGGCGCTCGATACTGCCGAACAGCAGCGCATATTGCTTCAACAAGACGAAGACCAACCCCAAGCCGGGCCTCCCCTTACGCTGCCAGCACGCCCCGGCCTGCAACGCGGCAATTCAGTCCCTACACCTGCGCCGAATCTCCCTCCTCCCGCACCGCCTGTACCGCCACCAGACACCCCACAGAATGACTCGCTTTCGCTGGCGCAATTGCAGAACCTCGTGAGGGGCCTACCAAAGGTCGAGCCTGCGCCATACGCCTTTACCTACGATGACGCCTCGTTCTTCGAAGAGGAGCTGGAGGAGTGGTTCTCGTACGCAGTCGAGGAGCAGGCTATGCTGCTGAAAACCCAGGCATCCTATTCGTTGGAATGGAGCGCATTCCATGGGTTGAACGACGTGTCCAATGGCGAAGATGGCTTGGACTGGGCTAAGGCGACGACAACACAACACAACGACTTTGTGAAACATTCATTAGGAGGACTGAAGGACGCAGATCCCGTCATGAGGCTAAAGAAGCTGGAAGCATTGGTCTACGTCCTCCTTGGGTGCTGGCATGAGACTGCAGGACTACCAGAACCAGCGGCGGACGAGGCAAAAGCGTCAGGCACAACGTCAGCACGCAGCGCCGCATACGTCAAATCGGGAAAGCAAGCCTCGCTCATCAAGCGCAACGTACACCTGCTCGCCGATAATAATGGTGTGCAGGCCATCGTCGATGCACTCAGCTCTTCGCTTCTGAGAGCATGTGGGGTGGAAGTCACACCCGAAGCTCAGCGTGATTCCAAGGAGGCCGAACGACGCGAGATCTGGTGTGGGATGACTGCCGTCTACGTCTTACTGGAAGTTGCGCGCGACGAGGAAAAGACAAAGAACAGCCTCAAACTCAGAAGCGCCATTCTTGACCTTGAGAAGCCAGGCCTTCTTATGCTTTTCGTTGATCTCATCGCAAAATTACGGTGGGACGAGTCAATTAACCTGCCTCTTAGTAAGATTTCACTGCTGCTCTGGAAGACGATGCTGGTGACTTTCGGTGGTCTCGCCGAAGTTAGCAAGGTCAAAAAGACTTTCAACGACAACAAGCTCGAGTCGGAGGATTCCAAGGGTCAGCCACTCATCACTGCCTCGCCTCTTGATTACCACCTCTTCAGGCAGGAGATAAGCTCCAAGTACCCTGCGTACAATCCTCCTCTTCCCATATTTCCTCTTGAGCCAGAAAACAACTCCATCTTGCCACCGCTAAAGAATCATCCAAACAAGGTAGCTGGCAATCATGTCTTCGGCTCAGGACTTGGAGACACAAATGGCAATAGTACGTCCATTCTGCACCAGCCGGTACATATTGCGACCCCGGCGCCCTCGCCTCCTCCCTCGCCTGCAGGCCCTGGCGGCAAGGGCGGGAAGAAGCAGAACTACCAGACAAACCAAATGTTCCCATTCTTATATCCGCCACTCGACGAATCTAGTAACAAACTGGGTGGAAAGGGCTCAACCGACCTGCAGGACCTTCTTGTAGGACGCAAATGGGAAGGCTCGGACATACCTGCATCCATCTTGGAGGCCGCAGAGCTCTTCGCTCAACGCATGAAGGCCACGCGTGCGATGAAGCAGCTATGGGAGGAGCGTGTCGCATTTATGAAGTACGAGCGCGGTTGGACCGGTCCTGACGACAATCCTGATATTGAGGAACTGTCGCTTGAGCCCAAAGACGAAGCGCCACCAAAGAAATTTGAACCTGGTAGTTGTGAGGAGCGACTGCATTTGGTCGAGGAGTTGTATCGGATCGCACTTCCCAACTTGCAGTCACTAATCATCGTGTTGATCAAAGCTATCCTTGCGCATGTCACGGCGCTCGTCACGCAATCCAGCGGCGCGAATGGACTACAGAGCGGCTTCCAATTCCAGGACAATCAGAACGGTACGACAGCCGGTCGACCCGACATGAGTGGCATGAACGGTCATGGTAATCCGTTAGCCACCAATGAGGAGCTTGACGCAATGCGCACACAAGAGGTTCTCGACAAAGCAGTTACAGGCACCTTGATATTGATCCTGAAATGGTTCAAAGTCTCTCACATCCTGAAATTCGAGTACATCACGCAGCTACTGGTCGATTCCAGCTACGTCCCGTTGATCTTGAAGCTACTACAACTGCAAGAGGTTGAAAAAATCGTAAACTTCAAGAGTGAGCAGGAAGAGCTCAACTTCTTCAGCTTTTGTCGAACACATTCCAGGAATGTATCTGAAGAAGACCATATTGAGGGCCGTCAAGGAGAAGCGTACAACGGCGAATCAGACGAGGATGATGCCGTCCCACCTCCAATCCGCCTATCTAGAGAAGATTCAAATGAATCAGGACTCGAGCCAGCCCTACCGCTTGCTCAACTTCAACCTCCAGAGGTTGACGAGCTTGGCTTCCCTACCAACGAATTGCCGAAAGAACCCATCACCAACTTCTCATGGCGCGCGTTCTTTACATCCATCAACTACCTTCGCATTATGCAAAAGATCTGCAAGAACAAGGCACATCGTAATCTCATGCTAGTGTCTTACAAGTCTTCACAGTTCCTTCGCAAGAGTTTGAAGGTACCACAACCGGAGCTGCGTCTGTATACGCTCAAGCTTTTCAAAAACCAAGTTCCTTACTGTGGCCGCAAGTGGCGACAATCCAACATGCGCGTCATCACTGCGGTGTATCTACACTGCAGACCTGAACTCCGAGACGACTGGCTAGCCGGGAGTGATGTGGATGCCGAGGTCGACGAGAGCGTCCCGCTTGAGCAAGCTTTGCGATCACTCACTCACTGGCACAACCTCAAGCGTTATCCAGAGAGCTTAGGCGCCAAACCCGGTGTCCTAGAGGAGGAACAAGACTTCTTCCGCAACGAGCTTGAGAAGATGGACTGGGGTGATGAGGCTGCGAATGAAGGAGAGCTTGAGCATGGCTGGGGGGATCTTCAGGTTGAGGGTTGGTGAACATCTTGCACCCCTCGCCCCTGAACATGCCAATGCCTTGCACATTCCTCAATCTGATATCCAGCCTGGATATCGCGTTAACATCTTGAGTAGATGATTCGCAACGCGCGCAATTTCTGGAGCGCCCCAAATACCAGGTACATCGGCGCAGACAAGCAGTACGAGGTGGAAGACTGACCAGACCGTCTCTTGCGCGGTCCATCTCGGAGCCGGCTGCCAAGACATGGCCAGGTGCAATCAAACCAAAGCGGGTTTCCCGGTGGGATATTCATAGCGAGCTGGAGGAACTCGTCAAGGCGTCGACGCGCGAGGATAGCGATGGGGATGGTGACGAAAATGCAAAGGGCGGATACCCTGATTCGACAGGAACTGATGGGCAAAACTTTCAAGTTAATGACGGCTGGCAGAGAAAAGGGACCAGGGAACTGCAACGCGAGAGGAGAGCGAAAAGCGAGGCTACTGCTTCTGGTCCTGAGACTGTATAATATTTAGCCATTGTATGGGGATGGTGCGACACGCGACTCTGCATCTTTTAGTTGCAGGCTATTGTTCTAGCCAAGGATACCCGTTGAGTTCGATAACATTCAGAAATTACTCGCAACAGATGTCGTATTATTCGAATGAATGTAGAAAACTTGGGTGTGATGTAAAGATGGGGTTGGTGGATATTCAATTGCCGCGGCGTTTGAAGCTATTCTCGTCGTCATCCAACCTTACACGTTTAGAGTGAACAACAGTTCACCGCATCTGAGCTAGCACAGCGTGTGGCTAGGTAGTCCGAGAATGGGACTCCGCCAATTAGCCATCTGTGTATCCGGCTTACCTACTGAAGGTCCGCAAAAGAAGAAATGCGGCCCGCCTTGCCTGACTCGGGTTGGCACTACCCCGAGCTCTCGATCCCCACAGGTTGGGGTTGGCTAAAAGACGTCGGCGTCTGCTCTTTTGCCGGAGTTAATCTTGCTCATACTCTTCGCAATCCTCGTTGCCATCTTTGTAGTGCTTCATCTTGCATTCGCAGCTTTTGATTTCGTGTTTTCTTCCCGCATTGTACAAGTAATTAAACGCACGGCATCATGGCGAAGGTTTTCGATTATGCCGAGGGTTAGCCTCCAGTGCCCGCGATCCAACTCCAACTACCATAGCTAACTCGGATTCCAGTCGCACAGCACAACACAGCAGAGAGCTGCTGGGTGGTTCTCTACGGCAATGTTTACGATGTCACGCGCTTCATTCCTGAGCACCCCGGCGGCTCAAAAGTCATACTCCAACTTGCTGGCACCGACGCAACCGAAGAATACGACCCCATCCACCCACCCGGCATTCTCGAAGAAAATCTCGAAGCCTCGGATAAGCTCGGCACCATAAACCCAGACACGCTCCCAAAAGAGGAGAAGACACCAGAGGAGACTGGCGAGGCGCAAGACGAAGGACCCGTAGATCTGGACAGCTTACTGAATCTCGATGAAATAGAAGAGGTGGCAACGAAGCAAATACCTTACAAAGCATGGGCGTACTACTTCTCCGCAAGCGACGACCTCCAGAGCAAGTCCTTCAACAACAGCGTATATCGCAGTATACTCCTACGACCCCGCGTCTTTGTCGACTGCACCCGCTGCGACACATCCACGTCCTTCATCGGCAACTCGGTCAAGCTCCCCATCTATGTCTCTCCAGCAGCCATGGCGCGTCTCGCGCACCCAGACGGCGAATGGGGCATCGCACAAGCCTGCAGCCAATTTGGCGCCATGCAGATAATTAGCCAAAACGCGTCCATGACGCCTGAACAGATCGTCGCCGACGCCACACCAGGCCAGGTCTTTGGCTGGCAACTCTACGTGCAGAACGAGCGCGCCAAGAGCGAAGCCATCCTCGATCGTGTGAACAAACTTGACGCGGTCAAATTCATCTGCCTCACCCTCGATGCGCCAGTCCCCGGTAAGCGCGAACACGACGAACGCAGCAAAAACGTCGGCTCAAACCTCCCCGTGCGCGCCTCGGTCCAAGAATCACAATCGCTCTCCAAGACCAGCACGAGTGCGAAGACACCCACACAAGCCAGCGAGAACGAGAAGCCAAAGCCCAAATCAATGGGCATGGGCCAGTCCCTCTTCTGGGGCACAGCTGCAGATCTAACTTGGCGTTCTACCCTCCCCTGGCTCGCAAAACACACCACCAAACCCATCGTTCTGAAAGGAATCCAAACACACGAAGATGCTTATCTAGCCTCGCTCCACGCTCCAGCCGTCAAAGCCATCATCTTATCGAACCATGGTGGTAGGGCGCTGGATACAGCTCCACCTGCTGTACACACATTACTTGAGATTCGAAAATATTGTCCCGAGGTGTTTGATCGCATTGAAGTGTGGGTTGATGGAGGAATCAAGCGGGGAACGGACGTTGTCAAGGCCTTGTGTTTGGGGGCGAGGGGTGTGGGTGTGGGTAGGGCGGCGTTGTTTGGACTGGGAGCCGGAGGGAAGGAAGGAGTTGCGCGAGTGCTTGAGAGTGAGTCTTTCTCCTTTTTCAAAATTCAGAATGTGACATGCATGCTAACAGTCAAAACAGTTCTCAAAGCGGAGACTGAAACGTGTATGCGTCTACTTGGTGTGGAAAAGGTCGAGCAGTTGGGTATGCATTGCATCAACACACGTGCGGTTGAGCGCGACATCTGGGATGGACCGGGTCTGGAAAGGGCTGTCGTCAAGGCGAAGTTGTAAGAACGCATTTGGAGATAGCCTGGGAAAGGGAAAGAGAAAGAGAAAGCGAGACCGAGACCGAGAGAAGAGGATCCAAAACACAGGTCCTCACATTGGAGTTGATAAGACCTATTTTCTTGTGGTATCACGGCTGTATCAATGGATTTTTTTTCACTTCATTCCATATCATAGCGAGCCTCAGGCCGCGTGTTCCAAGTCGGTGATGACGAGTCTTTCCGTTCAGCTCTAGACCGTTGCGAGACCACGGCCAGCCGTGGGCCGCGTGTCCGTTATGGACTGACTCTTAGACACCAATGTCTCTGATGTAAGGCATGCCGATTGATGAATTGGCTGTAGAATCAGGCCGCACAAATTCCAACTCGGTTCCAGACCCGATGTGAGGCCATGGTAAGTTCTGGGCCGCGTGTCCACCATGGTCTCGGTAGGCTGATGCCAAGGTCGCTGATGTACTAATCGGACGGACTTGTCGTAAGGCCAGGCGGAACTGCATATTAGCCAACCTTTGGTGCTAGGCTGTTTCATTCACCAACGGTTTTTCGTCAGCCTTTCTTTTTTCTCATTGTTGGGCTGTTGAAGCTGAGGGTGAGAGCTTGCAATACTTAAGCTTTTGCAAATCAGGCCATTTCGTGAAGATGGCACTAGACTAGCAACATGTTCTGTGTCAACCTCACGAGCCGTCTCCTAGTCAAACGTCCGGCTTCGGTCCGCAGCCACAGTAACATGATCTGTGGACGAGGCGTTCGTTTCGACAACGCCACCCAAGCAGGGCAGCGCCAAGAGGCAGGATCTAATCTCGAACGACGCGGTGCTCTGTATCGGAGAATTCCTTAAAGTTCCTTGTTAGACAGATATGTTGGCATTACAACTCTGCACTTTGTGAATGGTCCAGGTAGTTGGTAACAGGGCTGTAGAAGATACCTTGGTCTCAAGTAAAGGTAAGATTGGAGTCAGGATACTGGCATCTTCCACCAAAGAGACCCGTTTTTCTTGTCTTGAAAGATAGTTTGAGACATGTACACACTACGGCTCATTTGCCCATGGGCGCATAGCCATAGGACAAAATCATCGTGATTACCTTGGTGGTGCTTACTTTTGCTTGCTAGCAAACGGGGACTTCCTAGTGTAGGCTTTTCCCAACCTCCCACGTCTAGAGGCATCCAGCATTGTGCCTGGAAAGTGGGGTTACGTGGTTACATGGAGCTGAATATTGTCACCCCCTGTACCTTGCTGATGTATCAATCGGCTCCACCAACCAAAATTCAGCCTTACCCACCACGTCGGTTCGTCCTACCGCTCCTGCAGCCTGCCACGTGTGTGCCTTCTGCATCAGGCATCTCCCATTCAGTCCATCATCAAGACTTGCCCCTCACCAATGGTTCAACAACGTGCTCGCACAGCTTTTCCAACTCCGTGCCTAACGTAGCCTCTTCTTTCGACTTGTCACCGCGCCCTGTAACTGCAAAGGCTATCGGGGCGTTTAATGACGTTGCTGGTCCGCAGTGACACCTGGCGATGCGCGCAATCTTGAGAGGAACGCGCTAGAAGCATAGCCGCTGTTTGATTGATCCAGAGTGCTGGGATACTGCAGTCTGACGTCCTCTCCCACGTCGCAAATCCAATCAGGATATGCATGGAGCTCTCTTACTGCTGGCTCGGCTGCGGCACAAGCCTAATGCCGCATTCACCACGGAGATATTGGCCGGTTGTGGCGGCAGTAGGTACAATCAGATCATGGTCTATACGCAGACGATAGGAGAGTGTAGCGAAGCCAAGAGGACCTATGCGGCAGGAGTTGTTTGGAAGGGGAGGTGCATTCCGTGCATGAGAAAAAGGCAGGGGCTTTGTCAAAAGGTATTCCATAGCCTTCCAAAAGATGCACCTTGACATCATTTTTTTCTTAGATGCATGGCAAGATAGTGCTAGTGGACCTTTGGTAGTACCTCACAAGCGACGTTCTCGTGTTCTCGTGATGCTACTCCTACTACTAAACCCGGAAAACCTATCGTGAAGAAGCTCGGACTGTCTGCTGGATGCAGACGGGGGCTGAGCTTGCGAGCTTGCTTCACTATTCGCGGCCGCGGTGAGATTGCGATGATGAGCCAGCTGGGTTACGGGTATGCGCGGGGCCCAAAATGGGGAAATTATATAAAGAGACCCTGACGCTCATCAGGCCCGTGGACTATTGTGTGTTTCGAAACTTCAACTGTGTTGCTCATCTTCATAACCGTGGTACTGCCTTGCTAAATCAAGATCAACGGACTATTTCACCGCGACTGCCCCTTCCATCCATTGCGATCACCTCAGAAGCGTCTTCGATTCGACATATATCTTGCTCTTCTCCAGACCAAACTCCGCTCCATATCCACCTTCGTACTACCTTCTGTTCATTCTGCTTCTGTCTGCTGCGCCGCATCTGCTCCGGCTATTCACTTCCGCCCGCTCGATCCGGTCAACTACGTAAACGCAAACATGAAGGACTGCCCAACGTGCAAAGGCAACGGAACTACAAAGTGCGACGCTTGCAATGGCAAGGGCTGTCCAGCATGCAAACGATCCGGCAGCAACAAGTGCAGTGTGTGTGAGGGCACAGGCGCGATACATGCGGAGCATTGAAACTGGCCTTGTTTCCTGAACGAGCTGGAACTCAGAGGTGCGTACTTGCTCACACAGGCTCGCACGGAGCGTCAGCACAGCCACAGGCCCCCTCCCTTACAGAACGCATCACTCATCCTCATGTCTGAGCGCTAGCCGATTGCTTCCGAGGCACGACCGAGACATCGACTGACATATCGCAGATCATCCTCGTCTCATCCATTCATTCATTTCCCTTCATTCCATTAGCGTTTTACACACACAGTCTTTATCGTCGCGCGGGCGCAAAAGAGACGATCGAGTTGGTCAGAGTGTGGGGGGTGCGGTTCGTAGAGCGAGGTGATACGCAAAAGGGCGAGCGGCAGGATTGCGGCACTGAGAAACGCACGTCAAGCCAACACGTGCATGAGATTATACCCAAGGAGGCAATTTCCGATTGTTCCGGAGTTTCAAAGTTTGAGGCGTTGGCGGTTGGGCCCTCGGCCCTCGTTTTTTTCATTGGTTAAACTTAATTGTGATTGCGCAAAGAGCTGGAATACGCGGGATTTGTGGTATCGCGAGGTCGGGGGTTGGTTGCGGTTGGTGACGTTCTGCGGTTCCAACTTCCAACTTGACTTTGGCCGAGGGGGCTAGTATAGCGGCTGGCCGTTTTTTGCCAGCGCGATTGACACTCGTTGCTCAGGTACCAATCATCAACATCATTTCCACCCGTAACGCGGCACTTTTGTCATGCACCGGCAAAATCTCGTTTTCGTTTACGAGACTTTCACATGCAGACACGCTGGCTGGTCTTGCCCAATGGCCGAATACCAGCTTCATTCTCGATGATTATCGCTAGGTGCCTAACCAAAACGAAAGGAACAATGCTTTGCACTGTTGATTCAGCCCGAGGAGGTGCAGATACCATACCTTTGCTACCACCCATCGGCACGATACGGTGCATAGCAACGACGAGCCGCTCACAATTCACATAATTTCAACGCATCCGAACGATGCCCTTGGATAAGAACTATTTCAAGAACAGCTTGCACATACCATAGTTATGTTGAAAGCTCGGGAAGCGGCATGGTTCTCAACGACTGGGACCAGGCAAACAACTAGAGCGATAAGGACAAGATTGTGTGATCCTTTTTTCAGTTCCATGTGATTGCGGATTGGCGGAGTTGTGCGACCAGCCTGTCGTCAGTAGATCATCGCAGCGCCACTAGATGCAGTGGGTGACAACCGTAGTATAAGCACGTCTCCAGCGTAACGAAAGAAGGTCTGTGAAGTCGACTTCATGATTCAAAGAGCTGCTTTTCGAGATCTCGGATCTCTGGTAGCGACACCTCACACCCAAGGTAAAATTGCCGCGTCTTTTCTCTCACTTATTTCATCAACTTGACTCACCTCCGCTTTTTCTTCCTCGGTCTGAATACAATCTCGACTTACACGACAAATTGGCGATGGGACGAATCCTCAAAAGGCTTGTGAAAGCTTGCCTCCCCACTCGACACGTCTATCGATCTTTGGAACAACGCCCAGCACGCAACCCGTTTCAACGACAAACTACAGTCAGAAAAGATGACATCCCCTTCAACACTACAGAGCAGTTTATCACAACCCATCTCGAAGATCTCACTCAATGCTGCATCTGTTTCGAAGCCTTCGATCACGATAAACATACACCAACCCGTTTCATTGGACCGAACGCTTGTGCCCACGTCTTCGGAGGCTCGTGCTTGCGCAGGTGGCTGAGGTCAGCCATCGCTGGCACAGACGTCTGTCCAGTATGTCGGAGACAGTTGTATTATCGGCTTGATGGGCCTCCCGTGATTAGTACTCCCGTGTCGGACAACAGTGGAGTTGCACTTGGAGTAGTCGAGCACGATCGTCAAGGCGAGAGGTTGCTTGAGCAGATTGAACCAAGCCTGCTACATACGCACAGGGAGATCTTTGTTCAGACATATATCACGGACTGACTAGCGGAAAGTCATGTTTACAGCGAGGTGGCCGGGCTTAGTATCAATCCGGAATCTTGCACAAGACTGGGTACCTTCTTTCAATGATATTACCGAAGCTACGGTGGAAGGTCAACGGTGCACCTTGTGCAATTAGAGACAGCAACAATTCATGTCGCACGACATTACTTCACGTAGAGAATGCTACTGGGTGACGGAATATATGAGGTGTTGTCGCTCCGAAGCTGTAAATCTTCACACTATCCCTACTTCGTTGTCTATTCACACAATTTCATCAACAAACTCACCCGCCCAATAGTTTCCGTTCGACGAGAGATTGCGTATCACGCGTACATATTGGTCAACAACACAGTGTAGCTATCATCGAACCCTCTTTACCAAGAATCTCAACAACGCAAAGTCCTCCCCAAGATATGCCACATCCTCCGTGCGGGTAGCCAGCTCATCCCAAGGCACAATCTTCGCTTCCGTACTCCATTCCATCTCCATCTCCTCGCCCACAATCCTCCACATGTCCATGAACGTCTTCGGGTCATGCAGCGTGAATTCTTTTTGCCCGTTCTCTACGTTCCATTTTGTTCGCTTCGTGATATCGTTCGTTCCACCCTGGTATCCGATGATTACACTACCCGTCTTAGTAAACTTGGCCACTTCCTTGCATGCTAGAATTTGCGTGTTCCAGTCCCACTGATGTAGGACATGTATGATGGAGACGACATCTATTTGGCCAAATAGTCGCTCCATTGCTCCATTGGGATGCAAGAGGTCGGATTCAATGTATTGCGCATGGAAGCGATCTTTGTCATTGAAGAACTCGAATCCAAGTTTCCAATGATCGACTATATCGGTGCCGATCAAGTTTTGCTCAGGAACGCCATCGAGAGCTAATCTGCGGAGGTCTTGGCCTATGTAGCATCCGATGTCCAGAAACTTGCCGCTAGCTTTGAGGCGCGGGAGCAGTGCTTTATAAGCGGGATGACAGGAGACGGCAGGCGATAGGAACATGCCTATCCCAGTACATGGATATGGGCCAATGGACCATGCCTTTTCGCGCTATAGGATGTGAGGTTGTAGTTGCGCAGTCAACGGGAGACTTTCGGCTTACTATAGTATAAATATGTTTGTAAACATCTCCGGATTGGATGCCACTGTATGTTTCTAGGTGTTGCCGCACCTGCAGTGAGACATTAGTGAATTGTGTATACAAACTATAGATCTCTTGCATCGTCCTACGACTGACCTCGGGCGTTATTTTGTGATCGATGTTCTCTACCCACCACGGATAGTCCTTACTCGGCTTTTTGGCCGCCACTGGATCTGAAATAGCCTCTACCATAGCCATCACATCAGATGAAGCCTTGTGCTAAGGTAGAAGAACAAGCAAAGATTGTGTATAGATGAAAAATCGCGCATGGCGCTGATGACAAGAGGGTTGCGCATGTGATGGGTACCGTGCCGTATAGTCCAGACTGGTCTTGGTCTGGCGCATCTGCTAGTTGCATACAAAAGCAGTCATCTTACGCCCCGTTGTCCGGCAAGTCACATAGTTGGTCACGAGTATTCACAACAAGATATAGTGTGTTGTACAATAGTTGCATTATGAAGCTTGCTCATAATCTGCTATGCTACCCACACATGCAGGCTTTACTGCGTGCAAAGCTCCTGATGCATGTCGGGGGTATAGGCTTCTCATAGTGGTACCATAGAAAGGCGACGTACAGAACTCAACCCAGCGAGACGAGAGCGTGTACTTAGCAAAATGGATTGTATGGTTCTACTGCGCGTGCTATGGCGATGTAATTTTTGACTACTCACATAAGCTTACCATCACTTTCAGCCGGCGAAGTGATTTGTGGTAGAGAAGCTATGGGCATGAATATCGGCTTAGGTGCAACAGCCACTCAGCATGTTATATACTTCCACAACGCTATCGAAATCCAGGACCATCACCAGTTGTACACTTGAAGTGCGGACACAGGATTGTCGGCCCAGTGCAATGGATCCATGTTTCATGCAGATTCCGTGGTAGAACTTCATATCGTAATGCTAAGAACGGTATTGAGCGTAGCCCTAGAGTGGAGCTATGAGCTGCGAGTCGGAAACTGCGCCGGTCTGTGAAGGAGGTTCCGGAGCGTCATCGTGGTCTTGTAGAACTCAAGAATGCTTAAGCACTCCGCGGCCTCGTATGGTAAATAGATATGCTGGAGCAGATATCAAGCCTTCTGTAGTCGTTCCGCGCTAGGTAGGCGTTCTGGCAAGTCATGCCTATGAAGGTGCCGATGCAGTAGGTGCTATTGGACGTGACTGTGCTCGAATGGCCGCATACCAAGGGACTTGTACTCTGTGCTCCTAATGCGAGCATCGGTCGTTAAATCTGGAGCCATGTTGGCCTACACGTTAGGGGAGGTGTCGCTCTTATATTCAGGAAATGACCTGTTCTCGTCGCCGTGGCTCCACAATGTTACCCACTAGCAGTCCAACAGCCGGTGGCAGCTACCTTGCCGGTTTCTGCCAACCGAGCATTGCTGCAGAACCTGTCGAGTGGGATACGTTCCGGATTTCGCAACGAGTGCGGCCGGTGATGGAGTTGCAATCGCTCTTGATATTTTGGGGCATCTTGCTGGCGTTGTCGCTGCAGTGATATCTACGAGAAGTCGGAAATCCAGAAGCAAATACTATGAAGATATCATCTCAACGTCGATTCGCCATAAGACGTCGGAGGAAGGAAAAAGTGTATGAACCAGGTATACTCCTCACAACCTACCAGATGAACAACGGGTCGACGGTAGGAAGCGAGTCTTGGCCAATTTAGCCGTTGCTTGTTTCTTCTGTTGCCGCCTGCTAAAGTCTCTTGGCTCGGAAATGAAGGTCCGTGTGACATGGAAGCGACATTGGAACGCATAGAGAAAAGAGACCCACTTGGACAACACAAAACATCGGTGGATTCTCCTGGGCGGCATTGACCTCGCGCGAAGGAAGGTACTGGAAGTCATCCATTGATCGTGCCCTTACTCGTCCTGAGAGTTGTTGTGTTTGGATGCGTGTGAGAGTGCCCAGGTGTGACAAAATGTTCCGTGGATTTGTCGAACCCTACGATCTGGCTCTCAACATGAAAGCAAACATACTGTACACCGTAATCCGTACGGATTGACGTCGTTACCAAGCGCTTGGAAGTGTCATGCCCGCGGTGGAGACGCGCGCTGTCGTTGACCCACAAAACAGGAGGCGTGAAACGATGAGAGTCGGAAGCGAACCACACGGAGATAAAGCGTGGAGGCTACCATCGGTGCTACGGAGGTGTTTGATACAATTTAATGTATGTGAGGAGCAGAGGTGAGCGCCTTGCCGTTTTTCCGTGTTTGCATTCATGCTGCTTAACTACAGGAGATTTGGTGACGCGTAGACGTCGTTCGTCGCGCGCTGAGTCTAAGCGAGTCGAGACGATTCTGGTGCTGCGGGCGGGACGAGTCGCACCTCAGCAGCTTGTCTCATCTCACTCCACCGAACATCTCAACTCTCAATTACTGGACGAATATCCATCGTAATTATACAGTGCACACATTGGAGATCTGAATTGGAGACTGTACTGCCGAATATCACGGCTATGACGTTGTGTTTGCATACAGCGCCTACTCAATCTTCAGCTCCTTCATGTTTCAACTCTGAAAGATGCCTGCGTCGATCAGGAACACCACGCCGAGAACTGTTTACCGCCAGGATCAAACGCCATTCCATGAAACAAGCAATGCCATGACAAGTGACAAGTCCACATTTTGAACATCGAGTACCCCAGCTCCACAGCTCTGAAGCAATGTACACTGTGTAGGGACGGCAATAGTGCCCTTTCTGTCAGCTCCACTCCTTTCATCTGACACATGTACACAGCAATGCGCCATTTCCGACATGGTAGCATTTGAGTATAAGTATGCCTTGCGCCCAACCATCTACGGTTCCTCACCACCACAATCATTCAGTCAGTCGACATTCGCTCACTACACATTCATTCTTTTTCAAGCGCTTGAAGCGTCTCACATTCTTTACTATCTTCGTTGATCGATCTCGAGGTATCTTTTGAACACCAACCTTTTCGTCAAAACCAGACTTTCCAACACACCAACAAAATGATTTCCAAGATCCAAGCCGCTGCCATCCTTGGCTCCCTTGCTGCCTCTGTCAGCGCCCACGGTCACTTGTCTGCTATCAAGGTTGACGGCAAGGACTTCACCGCCTACGACCCTTCTTTCCAGTACCAGAGCCCTTCTCCCGAGGTCATTGAGTGGTCTTGCCCCGAGTGCTTGGACAACGGTTTCGTCGACCCGTCCATGTACGACGATGCCACCAAGATTGCTTGCCACAAGGACGCAACTGCTGGTGCTAAGGTCGCTGAGGTCGCTGCCGGTGGCAAGCTCGACATCTCCTGGACCACCTGGCCCGAGTCCCACGTCGGTCCCGTCATCGATTACCTCGCCAAGGTCGACGATGCCACCGCCGCCAAGTCTACCGACCTTGAGTTCTTCAAGATTGACGCTGCTGGTTTTTCGGACGGCAAGTGGGCTTCTGACAAGCTCATCGCCAACAACAACACCTGGTCCGTGACCATCCCAGACAGCATCGCCCCCGGTGACTACGTTCTGCGTCACGAGATCATCGCTCTCCACTCCGCTGATCAGGAGAATGGTGCCCAGAACTACCCCAAGTGCATCAACTTGAAGGTCACCGGATCCGGTACCGCTACCCCCGCTGGTACTCCTGCCAACAAGCTCTACACTGCCACCGACCCCGGTATCAAGGTCAACGTCTACGGTGGTGACATGTCCAGCTATGAGATGCCCGGCCCCGCTCTGTTCGACGGTGCCAGCTCCGGCTCTGGCAACACTTCCGCCCCTGCTGCTAAGCCCTCTGCCACTACTCCTGCCGCTTCATCTGCGCCCGCTTCTACCAGCGCCGCCCCTGCTAAGGTTGTCGCCACTCCTGCTGCTTCCTCCGCTGCTGCCCCTGCCTCCACTGGCAGCGCCAGCATCGCCGACAAGGAGTTCACACTCGACACCTTCATTGCCTGGCTCGAGGAGAAGGCTGGCTCTTCGTCCAGCCAGAAGGTCCGCCGCCACCCCCGCGCTTTCCGCGTTTAAGTTCTTGACGCGACGGATCTTTCTCGAGCAGACCGGTTATTGAGACATGATCAATAGAAGATGTGACGGGAGAGACCCGGAGGACGGTTGATGATGGAAAAGCTCTAACACTTGGTGTTCTTCACTTCTTGTATCTATTTGCTTTGGGTCGCTTTGGCCCATTGCTCCTTTGACTGAATGATATGTGTTGCACACATGAAACTTATTTCCTCTACTTGTGAGTGATGTGGCTGACTCGAGATTATGCGCATTAGAACAACAGCGGTGCTTCTATTTGAAACTGTCGGCGAATCATGCTGCTCAACAGCTTTGACTCAGTGACATTGTCACCTTCTGCAAGAGAAAAACCGAACAGGTAGAGATAGTAAGCTTTACTTTACAGCTAATATTAGCTCCTAACAAGAGAGATTATAGGAATTAATAATATCGTAGGCTTCTAGATTCTATATATGTCTATATACCTCTATTGCGCTTTATTGTAGCAAGAACAAAGACTCTACTTAAATAAGATATTTAGTTTCTCTCTTTGACGTGGTGCTGTAATAGTCATGAACAAGTGTTTGTTGAACCGAGCAAGCGATACCATGTGCGGTAGCCCCACTTATCACCGAGTCCGCTCGGATCCACATCAACAATGCACTCATCATCGCCCAACACATAGATACTGACAATATATTTTCCTGCATTTGTCTATCTTTCATCAATCGGATCATCCGAATTAGTCCATCGGCTAGGATATCTCGCTTTCACCGAGAAGAGCCGGGTTCGATTCCCGGATTCGGAAGTCATCTTTTTGCTATTTTTTGCTCCATCGCACCTCCCATACTGGGAGCGACAAACAGAAGCAGCAACGGATTTTTTTTTGGCCGCAATGCGCAACGAACCCAAAGGAACTAGATGCCAGATTTCATCTAACGCTGCAAGTCCAAGAGTCAAGAATAGTGTCTAAACCTACTCGATTCTTGGTCTGCTTACACCACTTTATTGTTATTGTTTTTTGCATTTCAACTAATTGGTCGGTTGCATGCAAACACCTACTACAGCACATTTAGCATGACGAGATACGAGATGGACGACTTCACATATCATCCATCTCTATATGACTTGTTCACCCGGATTACAAGGCAAGCAAACGCATAGCATTCTTCAGACTGCACAAAGCTGAACATTCATGAATGAAACTTCAGCGAGAAACATTACAATATTCCGTCCGGATCGTGTTGTGCTAAAGAGAAACCGTGGCAAACCATGCCGTTTCCCCATCAAGAACGCCTTGGCTACCCTGGCGATAATCATACATGGTCATAACAATACATTTAGTTTCACCAAAACGCCCCCATATATGCGCATCGCATCCCCTAAGAGGAGTACCTCCACGTCTCCGCCCCATGCACGTTCGACGCCGATGCAGGCTGCAGAGGAGGCAGAACAGGTTTCTCTTCTCTCGGTACAGCTACAAGACCACTTTTGCCATCATCGCTGATGGGGCTAGGTGTCGGTCGCTGTGGCTCACGTGGTGGCGGTAGAGGCGAAGCTTGAGCCGGCGACACCTGCATACTCCTGGGTAAGTCGTTCGACATGCTAGACCGGGAGCCCGTGGGCGGGTAGCGTGGTTGCGGTGCCTGTGGCGAGCGCGCAGTCATAGAAGGGGTGGTTGTGGGACCTGTTGACGTAGCGAGCTGCTTAAGCATCTGCTCCCACTTTGGTGCTTCGGGGGTTGAAGTCGTCCTGTTCATCTCGCGCTGGAAAGCGTCCGGAGACTGAAACTGTGCTGATGGCCTTGGTGCAGGGAGGCCCGTTGGCGGCGGTCCACCGTATACGGAAGAAGGCGCAGCTCCATGGGATGCAATAGGCCTTGGTGCAATGGAAGTAGGTGTACCGCCACCCCTCGACATATGTGGCTTTGGCATCCATTCGGGTGTGATCCCACCGTCCAGACTATAGGGTGATATGTAAGTTTTTGTCCTTCGCAGATAACAGTTTCGGAGGTAGGGGAAGTTAATGACGTAATTCAAGTACTCAGTGGGGGATTGGGCAGCGTAAATAATGTTAGAGGAGGGTGTGACGGCGTACATTGGAGGTTTGGGAGTCCCAGTAGGGTTGCTCGGCATGCTGGAGATCGAGGAGCGACCATGCGGCGACGCCTGGGTCTGACCGCTTGGCTGGCCATACAACTGAGTAGCATTCTGTCCCACGACCGGCGAGTATGGCGAGGGCGGTAGCTGGCCACGAGGGCTGTTAGAGTACGGGTATGGTGGCAGGGCGTTGCTTTGCGATGCTGGCTGCGCGTACTTGTCGATGCCGTTGAGCAAGGGCCCAGATGTCGTCGGCTGCGCTTTCCATGAGGGAGTAGAGCCGTTTGGTGGCGGTATATATGGTTGATACTGAGCTTGCTGCTGCGAAGATTGCGGCGGTCGATGGGAGTGGTAGCCTTGGTATGACTGTGGTCCGTACTGACCTTGTGGCATGCGGTGATCGTAGCTAACGTTGGGCTGATGTGCTACCGGCGAATTAGGATTCTTGCGAGTGTCAGGGTTGTATACCGGCGATCTCCAGGCCCCCGACGCTGACTCTTTCGGCTTGTAGGTGTACGGTCGGCCATCTTGCGTTGTATATTGCATCGGCGTACGAGGAGGCACCGCGATTGGAGCAGGCTTAATCGGGTATGAGGCAGGGTACGAAGTCCGGTGGAAGGCTGGTACTGGGGGTGGGGGTGGCTTCACGGTATCGAGGAAGTTGCTCTTAGGGTTGTTCCTTGGCTTCGCAGGATTCTCAGTATACTGTGGTCTAGCCTCAGTAGAAGGCTTCCCGAGGTAGTACCAAAGGCGGTCCTCCTTGCTCAGGTCGACCTTTGCCAGCTTCCGAGTAACTTCAGGAGCAGTGTGCCATTCGGCCCACTTGTGTTCAGAGTTAGGGTCGTGGAAAGGGTCGCCCATCTCAGGTACACCATCAGTGCGGTTTGCGATGTCAAGAGATGCATCACTCTCCTTGAGATGTTCAGGAAGCGGCTTGGCGTTTGCAGATGGTTTCGGCCGCTGCGATTCGTCGGGGTGAAGCTTGAGTATGTACTTCCATTCAACTTCGACGCGATCACTGTACACTGTTAGCAAGCTAAAACGATCAGCGATGTGTATGACATACCCGTCAGGTAATACATCCACCAGTACAGCTTGTTCGCCGGGTCTGTTCTCCACAACCTGTGCACCGTAAATTTGGTACATCTCACCGCCCACATACTGGAACTGGATGACATCCTTGGGTTTCAGCGTTTTTCCATAGGCCAAGACAAACTTGTCCTTCTCCAGTGCATCCACATCGACGGTCTTGTTGTTCCGCTTTTTCGGTCGGTGGAAGCGGCATCGGAAGTCGTAGCCATCGTAAAAGTATTCCGTACCCTCTTCATCAAAAGTGGGCATGGGACCAAGGTCGACCTGGACACCAGCTGCTACTGCACAAGTAGCATGGAAAGCCCTGGTACATTTCTTTTGCGAACATTGGAAGACAGCGCCGCGCTTGGACCGGCAGTAGTTGCACTTCAGTTCCAAGCGATCCTTGCCAATATTGGCCACATTGCACACAGTTTCCACATCGCCTTTGTTGACAATGTAGGTTTCAGGCGTGTAGTCCGCGCAGATTCGGTGAGCCTGCATGCCTGTGTCTGTCGGCAGCAGGTCATCGAACTCGACATCGTTAGGACAGAGAATGCAAGGCATACCCCGACCTGGAATCCTGATGCGGATGCGAATGCGCTTGAGCTTCTTGGGTCTCGATGTCTCCTTGGGGTCCTCCTTACCACGCTTTCTTTTGCTGCCGGCTGACTTGCGTCCTGGCTTTGCTTTGGTCTTGCCAGCAACACTGGCTGGAGGGCTGGGTAAACGATCCGCACCGTCGTCGTCGTCTTCTTCGTCGTCAGTCTCTTCGTAGTACTCTGGTGTTGGCTCGCCTCTGAGTTTGCGTTCGATTTCGTTTACGTCAACCCATACGCTGTCAGATTCGCACATGCACTTCTTCGCGATTCGTCCATAGCTCAGCCATGACTCGTTCGCGAAGTTGACCGACTCTGCGCAGTTGTAGCCGATGTTGTAACCCGAATGGTAACCGTAAGGATACGTAATGACGAATTCACCCTCGTAATGTACCAGACGGTTGACCTTGATATTGAAGTCCCTCTCCAAGCGCTGGGGAGAGATCAGGTAGGTCTTGTGACGAAGGAATTGCGAGCAATGTTTCGCGTCATTCGGCCAGATGGTCTTCATGGCGGCTTCGAAGCGTCGAGCATCCTCTTGGGATATGCTATACCACTGCTTAGGAGCACCAAAGTGTATGTAGTTGATACTGTAGAGATCCACATCTTCCAGATGCCAGGCGAAAGTGGCTTTCCACATACCTAGATAAAGGTAGGCTGTGTTAACACCGGGCACTTTGGTTCCAAGGACGTCCAAAAGGTTGGGCAGCTTTGCAACGTTCCAAGAGGTGGTCGAGTCGTTAAACAACGAGCCAGGCATATCAGCTCCGTACATGGGCGAACCATAGTTGATCGTCTTCCAGTAATTGTCCTCTAGTTCTTTGCATCGTTCGACAGTGTACTCCTCCAGGCCAGGCAGGTGGTAATCAAAGTCCTCAAAGGCAGCCTCGTCGATGTAGTCGGCCACTGCGCCACGGTTGTTCAGGCGTCGAGAAGACACAGACTTCTTCTCGTCAGCTGTCTTAGCTTGCCGACCGCGCGCCCTAGCAGGTGGTGTATCGCGCGCTTCCTTCTTGATCCTCCTCGCAGGCATTTTCTTCTCTTCCTTTCCGGGCGACGTGGGTGTGGGAGGAACTTCAAACTCCTCTTCGTCCTCGTCCTCATCCTCGACTGGCTCCTTCTTCACCTGGCGTTTGCGCGATGGTCGACCGGGTCCGCGCTTAGGAGCAGGCGAGGCATCACGATTTGCGGGCGCCGCGCGAGACGAACGGGTACGAGATGGGGCTTCCGCAGCAGCTTTCCGACGTTCACCTCTCTTGGCCGGAGGCTGGTGATGTGGCTCATCCGTTACCGCTCTCCATTCCGGCAGATTGTACGACCGTTGTTTCTCAATGTTGGCTTGCGTGTATATGCCGTGCTGTCCAGCGAACTCTTGCGTAATCGGGTTCTTGACTTTAATACTCTTGACGGCTTCGGTGAGATCGGGAAGGGATTCGCGCCTGTTATCGGATAAGCTGGAAAGGCTGTGCAACCGGAATTTCGACGATACTTACCATTCTGCTGGTGGAATAACTTTAACGATACCGGACTTCATTCCATGTTTGTCAATTTTATCGATGAAGCGCTTGAAGTTGCGGAACTGGTCCATGGTCTATTCACGCAGCAATTAGTATTCTGTATATTATTGCCGGCGCGTCATATTCATAACAACATTTGCGCGCATGCTTCTCGTCACAGAATAAGCACTCGCATGCCTCTTGGGGACTTACCGGCTTGAACACTGGTATTTTCCCCCCTTCAAAGTAATGATCGGGTTCGATATCTTCCCCGTCATCGCTGTCAAGTTCGGAGAGTTCGGACGACATCCTCTCAAATCGCTTGTCGTTGTCTTCGCTCGTGGGCGGCGTTAAAGCCGGTTTGGTAGTGGAGTCATCCGGCATGACGAGCGGTGCCTCAACAGAAGGCACGACATCTGGGGGTGCCTCCATAGTGAACGTAGTTGTTGCTCGAGTCGTAGTGGTCTCAGAGGGGCTGTGGAGCTGTTGCCATGCGTCGCTTCTCCGCCAGGGCGGGCGCGCGTTGATCTATTAGTATCGCAACAATTTTCCCGACAGCGCAGGAGGTCCACAAGGCTTGTAGTGTTGTCGATAGGAGCTATTGCCGGCGTTGGGGGTAGTAGTCGCTAGATGATGCTGGGGGAGGTGCGAAGGCGAGGGTGAGGAGGTTGCAGGTCGTGGGTCTGCGCTAGTCGTTAAGCGCAACCACCCCTGTCACTCATCGGCTGATAATGGGCAGTTGCGACAACACCTGGACAGCATCTGCTAAAACGTCTCCAGCTGTAATAGGCTGCGCATGCTCTGAGCCCACAATAGTCATACCCTATGAGCCGTGCGCCTGCAGCTCAGGGTGCATTCATTCTGCGTTTGCTGCTACGCGCAAGACGCGCTAGGTGTTGTGCGCCATAACTGGCATGCACGTCATCCAAGGCCACATCTACAGATCTCATCTTATCAGATCCTCCCCTTGCTGTCTACCTGTCCACCATGCGATCGCCGACACAACAAGTCGAGATGGATATAGTCACAAAACTCACTAAGCATACTACTAGCTTTTCGTATTTCTGTCTAATTTCAAAAAAAAAAAAAATGGACAGTCTATCCCTTCGGCATGCAGTTCTGCAACACAGCCACAGGGGAAGAAAAGTCCAAAGTAGATCGTATGTGAAACATAGTTCCTGAATCTGTGGGGCTAAGCTTTTTTGACTGGCGCTGTTCAAACGGCTGCAGAGACCCGCTAGTTCGTGCATCACGCCGCCATGTGGATGAATAGGGCCGCGCCTCACTAACAACGTGGGAAGTCGAGACAACTGGTATCGAGCGGGAGAAGGATTCGTATGATCATACGGTTTCCAGACTCATACGAATCCACTGTTGCAGTGCCGGACGTCACTGTCGATTGATGGTGGCGTGAATTGCAACGTGTGGACAGCTCAGTGCGATAGTGAAGTCCGGGTATCTTCACAACCTCGATGCGACTCACCTCACAAGTCAAGGTGCTCATATTAATACTAAGGCTGCTTTCGTAGAGCAGGACAACCTGCTAGATGCAGATGTCAAGTTTGAAAGTCTTGTCAGTACGGGTCATGGAAGCAAAGCAATAGCTCAGACAACCCGGGGAGAACCTAGCCATAGATGCTACGGAAAGAGAAGTGCATATGCTGAGGCATGACAATCCGTGTCTTTCTTGGTATGGTCATGATACTGGGAAAGCGTGAGCGTTGCACCTCCACACCGACACTTCGTACTCCACTCGCCAATCGGAAAACATGACGAGCCAGCGCATCCCCCCATGAAAATTCCCCGGATCGACACGCGGCTACTGCCAGGGGCAGGCGCTCAGTCATCGTCATCCCTTGTCTTGTCTGAGCTCTAGCACAACGTCCATCTCTCCGCGACAGTGACGCAACACAGACCACGAAGACAATCACTCAAAGTGAGAAGAATTTGATGTTGTACAAGCCATTCATTAAGCGCCAGATCATACCCAGAATATAGTACAGCGTCCCATACCCGAGAAAATGTTGATCCTATGCACCGATGCTATGCTACTAAACACAATTGGCTTGCCAGCTCTTTCATTATTTCATCTGCTCAGATGCTCCAGATAGAGTGTCAAAGATTGCTTACACAATCAGTGTTCCCCAAAAGTGCTGGTCGTTTTGCAGGAAGTGTTGATCGACTCTATGACGATTCTCCTCCACGGGGAGCGCCGCGGAAACCGCCGCGCCCACCCCTGAAGTCTCCACGTCCACCGCGACCGCGACCACCGCGGAAATCGCCCCGAGGACCGCCTCGACCCCTGCCACGGTATCCACCTCGCTCACCACCTGGGTGTCCACCTCGTCCCCGGCCGCCGCGGTTGTGCTGAACTTGAGAGAAGCCATCGTCAGCGGGAGTAGGAGCGGCAGGTGCCGCACTTGGCTCGGGGGTATCGTCGGCCCAGCTCTGGGTGCTGGTTACGGCAGCACCGGCGTGTGGTGTTTCAGTCTCAGCGGGGTCTCGTGGTACCATCTCGAAGGATTCGGTGAGCGGGTCATCACCGCCAGTGGGTTGCTTGTCCCATTGAGCCTCTGCAGCAGCGTTGGCAGACTCCATTCCAATACCGGAAGCTGCCGGTGCAGCTGAGGCGTCATTTGTGGTTTCGTTGAGAGGCTTCGCGCCGGCTTCCATCTCAGTGAGAGTAGCGTTGGCGATAGTTGGGTCGGACACAGCTTCAGTCTCTGGGGCAGCTGCTTGGGACTGCGCAACGTCGTCGACCCAAGCTTCTTCAGCGGCGAATGGAGCCTCGTCGAGTGCTGCTTGCTTGACCTGGGAGTCTAGAGAAAGTCAGTCTAGAGCGACGCACTCAATGTGCTTTGGAACTCACAGGTAACGGTCAGTACCACACCCTCAGTAGATGGTACTCCCTCTTCCGCGCCCTCGATCAGCTTCTCTGCGGCCATGACAGCGCCGGCATCTCCTCCGTAGACCTGGAGGAGAGCGCCCTCGAAAGCCTTGGTGAGGTCAGAGTCATCGTCCTCAAGTTGTCGACGAGCAGCCGCAGCCCTCAAGAAGCGGGACAGTGTCAGCAACTTGTCCTTGACAATCTTCTGCTGCTCGAGTTGTGCCTCGGCCTTGATGGTACCCCTCAATGTCTCCAGCTCCGACGAGTGTGACTTGGACAGGACCTCCTTCTCGCGCGCGAACTTGGCCTCGAGCTCATCACCGTACTTCTTGTAGTTGGTGTATTGTTCTTCGTACTGCGAGAGCTGAGCCTGCAGACCGGGTTTCCTTTCGGCTTGGGCTTTTTGGTCGGCGTTGATCTTCTTGGAGGCGAGGAGGTCGTCGAGAGAAACGCCGGGGTTCGCTGCGATTATCGAGTCGACCTTCTGGGTTGCGCTCTGCAGACACGGTGTAAGCAAGGGTAGGTGGGGTAAAGGCTGGACGGGACTGTCATCTTACCAGCTTCTTGTTGATGTTACGGATGTTCCTACGCGAACGCGTCTTAGTAATTGAGTCCTTGATATGTTGTAGCAATCATGGTGTCTGAACCACAATGCGGCTGCGACTTACTTCTGGACCTCGCGGAGGTACGAGTTGTCGCTGTCGGATCCATTGGCCTTGCCGGCGGGGTTGGAGCCGCCTGCGCCAGCCTCGGAGTTGGTCTGCTCAGGCGCTGCTGGTACTGCCGTAGCCCCTTCTTGCTTGCCCTTCTTCTTGCGAGCGCTCTTCGACTCCCCTGTGACCAGGTTCTGCAGCTTGTTGACTACTTCCGAGGCCATTGTTGTGATTTGTTTTGATTGCGTTGGTGATTCGCGTGACTTCTACACGTAGGTCGCGTGTCTGAAAAGGGAGATGGATATGGGTTCTTTCGTTGTGCTGTTTCAAAGTTGATGGTTTGGGCACTTGGTCGCCTGCCATCAACGTAACTGCGAAATTAGCGTGGGCACTAGCGTCTCGTGGGCATGACGCACGCCCTCTGCGTCTCAGCACCAACTACAAACATCAGTCAGTGTGGTTAGGGAGAAAGACACACATTGGGCACGTCTACTGCGAGCCACGGTAATACTTTCTTCTTTTCTACAGACCGTTAGGCTTTCAGGTTTAGACAACGCTCCATTCAAGGATTCCGCATCTGTCCACTTTGGCTGTCTCACTACTTACACAAACTCATTTATGACTTACTAGGACAACAGCATCCATGCCCAAACAATATACTACAGCAAACTCAAGATCTGGTTAAAACTTCCACTACCCACCCTGTTGTGAATTCAACCTGAAGCTCGTCCACCGACACAGTCTACTACCATAACCATGTCATCACCAACACCACTTCCTACCAGAGTCAAGTTCCTCGCCGATATCGACACCACCTATACCGATGTGACCGAGACTTGCGATATCTGTCACGAGGCCTTTGATAGAGGAACACACATAGCAGCACGCACAAAATGCCAACACATCTTCGGCCTATCCTGTCTCACTCGATGGACCTACACTAATTCAGAGCAGTTAAACACCTGCCCCAAGTGTCGTAGAGCTCTCTTCGTAAAACCTCCAAATTTCCCCGTCTTCGCGCCGGGATATCGTTCAGACCGCTCGTATTATTACTCACTAGACAGGTGTACGAGCCCAGTCTTACGGCGAGCCATCGTCATCCACATCTGGCATAAGATGCGTCAGGTAAATCTCAGATCTATAATCTATGATGGCGATATCGAGGCTCAAATCCGCAGAGCCGGACAATGTTTTGTAGATAGCTCCGGACTCCTTTTCCGCATCGATCCTACTCATCTAGTCAATCTGAGAGAAGTCGCCAAAGACATGATTAGAGAGCAGGCTGAAACACGAGATATTCTCAAAAATGCGCCCGATAGGGGCGCGCCAGTTAGGTGTGTTAGAAACCTTGAGAGTGTATGGCTGCCGCGCGTGGCTGGGGTATTTGGCTGGCAGCTGGAGGAGGCTGAGATACACCGAGAGTATATAGTACCGCTTGCTGATTCTAGATGGGGTTTTCAGTGCAGTATAGGCTCTTATATTTTCCTTGAATGAGTTTAGCCCTTGACTGATTCTTACTTTAGTGGAAGATTACAAAAATGGTGGCAATATTGGTCTGTCAGGTCCGTGAGGATTGTAGCCACACCAAAGCGATAGAAGTATGAATTTTCTTTATGAGTACAATGCGCAGCAGAAGTCGTATGCTTTACAGCAAGTTTACACTTGCTGACATGACTTGCCACTTCTCTATTTATTCAAACTTCATCTTGTTAATGATACTTCCGATTCCCTCGACGTACACCTCCACCTCATCTCCATCTTTCAAAAAACCCTTCGGTTCCATGAACAGTCCCACTCCACTCGGTGTGCCCTGTAGAAGTGAAAACACAAAGTCAGTATATGTCTCACTTGCAATTCATACAGTTTCAACTTACCGTCAGAATGACAGTTCCAGCCCTCAACGTAGTCCCCCGACTCAAATGCTCCAACACCTCACCCACCTTGAAGATCATATCATCAGTGCCAGTTTCCTGCCTCTTCTCCCCATTGACTTTCGTCCAGTACTTCAGTTTCTGCGGATCGGGAATCAACTTTGGCGAAACGATACACGGTCCAACCGGCGCAAACTTATCAAAAGACTTTGCATATCCAAACTGGCCGCCGGATATAGAAGCGGGTAACTGATAGTTCCGCGCAGAGACATCGTTGGAGATTGTGTAGCCGAGGAGATAGTCGGCATAGTCTTTTGCTGCGATGTTTTTGCAGTCCTTGGAGACGACGAGGGTTAGTTCGCCTTCGTAGTCGAGTTGGGATTGGCAGGAGGGGTGGATGGGGATGTCTTCCAGGGGACCAGCGAGGGCGTCAGATGGTTTAGTGAAGATGGCTGGGTTGGAAGGGATCTGGAGATTGCATTCTTCGGCGTGGCGGCGATAGTTGAGGCCGACGCAGAGGATGATGTTTGTTGTTGGGAGAGGACATAGTAGCTACGTTGTTTTCCTGTCAGATTTTCCCAAGAGCTCTAATTTTCTCCTCAATGGACATGCGAATACATACCTTTCCGACAGTGGTCTTCTGACCTGTCTTCTTAAACCCACTCTTGACATCTCCTTCCAGAACTTCTACACTGCTCCCCTCAATCTCCTTTGTCGGAACTTCCTTTTCCAAATTTCCATATACTGTCTTCCCATCTTTATCCTCGAAGCGAATCAATCGCTCAAATGCCGACATCGCTCTTGTCGTTGTACTGAGATAGTTCACTCGAAATGGCAATAATAACGACTGTGACCTTGGAACGAGAGAAGTCAATCTAGATGATGTAGCAGTAGTACGTGTGCAGCGTACAAGAGAGCTAGCGAACATAGAGTCAGGGATAAGGAAAAAGCTTATGAAGCAGTCAAGAGTGTTGATGCAAGCAGCGCGTTGTGGAGTTCGGGCGATTTGCCCCACGTTCGCGTCGCGGGGTCGACGTTCGGCATTGGGATGTGGAGATGTCCGTTTCCCGAAGTGCAATCGGACGGGATCTTTTTGTGGGAAGATTGTCGAAACGAGAGCATGAACGCGTTGTACCCGACAATGGATTGTTACGAAATTGATGACATGTCCAACATCTCGTATCTGCAATACAAAAGATTCAAGGAAAGAACAATCTTGACGGCGTAGTCTTTTCTGTACAATATGCGCTTTGTTCGTAGCGCACCGGGTATCCGCTCTACGTTCTATCTTTCATTACTAGACATCTAGACATCTATACCTTCTGTGCCAGACCCTTATTCCCCAAAGAAGACGGAGTATCTCTCATCCTGTCATTTCGACATCCGCATTTGCGTTACTCGCCTGCGCAACAGCCCCCGGATCCAACCTCCCCAAACACCCAGGACAATTATGCAGGACCATATGCGCAAACATATCGCAATCGATACAAAAGTGACTTTCACAAGCCCTGCATTCATACCTCCCGCTCTCAGACGCCTTCTGCTCTTCGCTATCCTCTTCGTCCCTCTTCACTTTGTTGACCTCGCCGTCTTGTTCCGCCTCACTTCTTTCATTATTGCTGCTTGGCGGATCACCAAAGGAAGCTAGACAGCCCACACACTGCTTACTTCCCTTTTCGCGGGCGCGCGACCAGGATACTGTGGACCAGTTGCGGAGGGGGAAGAGATGGTGGTAAGATCGCGCGAGATGGGTGGAGAGGAGCAAGGTGAGTTGGCAGGAGGGGCAGGTGATCGGTAAGGAGCAGACTTTTGCGCTGCAGCGAGAACAGGTGTAACCTCCCATTGTGAGGTTGCCGTGGCATGCGCACATGGTTAGTTGGTCTTCTACTACACGGGATGGGAAACCCATCATCATGAGTGCTGCGGCCGAGGAAGGATCTGGGGCTTGCGGAGCGGCTGGTGCTGCGACTGACGGTGCTGTTGCACGGATTACAGGGGGTGTTGTAGTGGCGAGGAGGAGCTCCTTGAGCATTTCCTGATCGGTTGCGATTGTGTATTCGGATTCATCACCGGCGTTTGTCCGAGTGACAATTTCTGTGCAGATCTTGAGGCGCGCGCCCATACCAATTACGCTGACACGTATTCGGTCTCGTACGCAGGCTTTGACTGTTTGGTGTATATCACCCGGATCCAAACTCAACAAGCTCCCGAAGACAACAATGACCTCTCGCGTGCCGTGGCTTGGTGTGTGGTATAATGTTGCTCTTGCCAGTTCCAATGCGTTCTGTAAACTGGGCGCGCCCTTGGGCTCTTTGCCGTCATCTTTGCTTCTCAGGCCTTGTATCGCTGCAACGTGTTCTGCTGGGTTGCCCGAGAGCTCCGAGACTCGTATGCAGACACCATCGTGCATACCCAGTACGCTCATTTGCGATATAGGGTTTTGTTCGAAAAACTCGCGGATGTAGTCTTGTGTGTAGTTGATCATCGTGATGTATCGGTTGGGCCGCATGTCTTTTTCCATCATGGCCTCTGACAGATCAAGCACCAGGACGACGTGACGTATGATACCTCGCTGGAAAGGCTTTGTATCTTTCCGTAACCTTTTGCGCTTCCTCTCTTCTTCCCGTTCCTGTACGCTCTGTCCTAGTGTGCCATCGTCTGCCGGTTCTATCGTCTTCTGGACCGTCCGCGAGTATTCTGTTTCCCATGCCTGCCGCTTTGGCGGTTCCTTCACAGGCGCCTCTACTTTCCGCCTCTTGCCAGGCACCGAAGATTGTGCGCGTGTGCTTGAAGTACCGCTTTTCGCACCAACGTACTCGTCGGCTGAACTCTCGTCATCGAAATCGTAATCTGAATCGGCCATTGTATGCGCGTGGGTCTGCAGGTCCGGCGGTCGTGGAATGGCGAGCGATCGCAGCTGTGACCGTCGTGCTGGGATGTGAGGCTGTACGTGTGGACTTCAAATGGGCGATGCGCACAATTCGGTCTCGGGCGTGTCCGTCAAAGCAGGGTCGTGTGCCGCAAGAAAGACCGATGTTATGATGTAATAAGCTTCATATGTGATGTTGGATGGTGGCAGATACAACGGAAGATGTCAGTCCAAGCTTCCTCATCGTCAGCTACAGTTTCACTAAATTGTGGCAGGCACCGAGTGTTTGGATGGTGGTGAGTTCACTTGACGATCTTGGATCCACATGGGCGGAAGTGTGTCTCACACGTGATAGGCTCGACGCGCTCTCACGTTTTCATGTTAATGTTTTGCATGTGAAGACAGGTCTTGAATATCAGATAGATTCCATTCAGCAAACATTATATATATCGTAGCACAAGTCAGCATGACGCATCAAATGCGTCCAAGGAGCCCCAAAATGGTATACGCTATGTCGGGCAAAAGCCATCATAAGAACATTACGCCGCCGCTGCCTGTACAGCCCCGAGATTACCAGTCAACCCCTGATGGTCGACTCTTAATTATACGCGCCTGAGCCAGCGACGGTTGGCATAGGCCAGTCGTCTTCGGTGATGCTCGACCAGAACACCCAAATCATTACTACTGATAGGAGGGTGAAGAGGGTTGAGAAGAGACCTCCGTTGATCTTGCCGTCGGTGCCGTTGCAGATGTGGACGCTGATGACATATTGGAAGATTTGGCTGATGGCGAAGAGGAGAGCAGCAGCAAGCAGATATACTGGGATGAGTTAGTATGAGCTGTATTCAAGATTTGATAATTCCTTACGCATTGGCTTGCGCTCACCGAGAATGCGCAGCACCAGGAAGGCCTCCAGACAGAAGAAGATGACGATGAAGACTAGTGGTACGAGTTGGTAGAGGGTGTATAGCGCGTAGGCTTGGTTTGGCACAAAGCGGGTGTCCTCCCAGTAACCCGTCCAGTTGAGTCCAGTATCGAGGGCGATATAACCGGTTCCGATGAAGATGATAAGCGACGAGATTAAGAGGAGACCGATGGATACTGCCGTGCCGTCGTCAAGTAGTTGGTAGCCAACGGCGCCGTTGAGCATGAGGATCCAGGACGTGGCGGTGATGGCAGCGATGTGGATAGCGACAAAGACCTGTAGCGAGATTAGACTCTGCATTCCGACATGCAGGACTGAGTACATACAATGCGCACAGTGCTGTTGAGGGGGAATCCGCCAATAGTAAAGATTTCGCAGATGGATATGACGATGTAGCCGAGGAGGAAGAGCTGCATTTCTCTGCGAGTTGTTAGCCGTGCAATCTCAATGCGCATGGATGAGTGCGCACCTTCGTCCTACAGCAGCCTTCTTTCTTTGCGATCTCCATAGCAGGAACAGGGTGGTGAGGATTGCAATACCGCAGATGATTATGGATCCTAGTGGTGTGAGCAAAACATCATCACAATGCGCATATGCTTCGTACCCAAATTGTGCAGCCGGTCACCTCCACCCACAGGGAAGCCTTGCAGGGTACAGCCATCTTGCCATCCGTTGTTGTCTATTGTCGAAGCTGGGTTGAAGAGCTGTGGAGCATGGGTTAGCGTCGCGTCGACGAACAATGGGCGGGCAAAGGGGTGCAGCGATCGCAACATACATAACAAACTGTAGCGCGTTAGTATAGACAACAAGATAGGTATCGTGAGTTTGTTTTACCCGGCAGAGTTGACCAGCTGTTTCCAGAGTCCCGACAAAAGTCATCGAACTTGCCGTATCTTGACATGTCTTTTTCGTTTCGGGCAGCGGAGCCTCAGCCTTGCCTTTAGGTGCCCTTTGTTGTGGGGAGCAATCGTTATCAGGCTGTGAGCGCTGCGATAGATAGCGAGGGAGATTGGCGCAACCACGATAGGAAGTGGAGGTGAAAGCGGATCGAGAGGTGATTGCGGCGGAGAGAGATGATGCGCTGCAGCGTATGTGGTTGTGGCTGGGGGAGCTTCCTTGAAACAATGCACGAAGCCAAGCCTTCCAGCTTTCGATGTCTGGTTACCAGGGCGTGCGGGCGGGTGATTTTGTGGCTGCACAATCTCACTGGTCCCAAATCGTCTCTCTCCGCTAAGCCAACCCCCTGCGAAGGATGGCCTGAATTGGGTTTTGCGACAGCGATTATAGTGAGGGATGCCCGGCGACAGTTCTAGAAACACACAAAGCGAATCTCCTCCGGCCCTCGTCAGAAGCAAGAAATGAGGAACCACGATGCCGAACAAACACGTTAATCTCAGACGTGCCCAATCAGAGGTAGCGCATAGACGGCGCTAGTACGTTTGAGAAAGGGGGCCCGTAGATCAATGTGCATCCAGCGGCAGAGCGCCATGGGCCTTGATGTGTCAAATCCAGCATGACGCACAACGACTCTACCGGTGGTACAATGGAGTCATTCGCTGTATTGACTTGCCCTTGCTGCGTCGTTGCGCTCCTCGACTCCCGACCCTCCCTGCGATACACAACTCTAATACACAACTCTATTCCAGCCACTGCTGACCTCCATCATTGACCGCCGTGTTTGTATCCAGGTTTGCCTGGGGGCCGCGAGAGCTGCGTGTTTCGTCCTCGAAGCGAAGCTGCAGCTTGTAAACGTCAGGAGGGTCTCCGGCGCCTACTGTGTCGATTGGATGGGCCTTGACAGTTTTCTGTTTCAACGCTAGTAACTATAGTAACTCGACGATAGGTTTGGGGGAGATTGGAAACGCGTGAACGCGTTGGGTATATTAAATACTTTGAGCACGAGCACCTGCGATCAAAAACAAGTCTAATCCATAATCATTATCATCATCATCAAAAGCAGCCGCGTTATACATAGTATACACTGAAGAAAAGCACCTATTTTGGCAGTCTCCACGAGCCCACGTTTTACGCGCGAAGCGAAGCATGCGAGAACGTGTCGGTGCCCTGCTATTTGATCATCACGAGAACTGCACCATGTGGCCCTGCGTCTCGGCCTACACGTCGTCCCATAGCCTCGTGCTTCTTGTTGCGGCTTAGTCAAGACTGCATCCTTCTCACTACACGAATATCCACACACCGCATGCGTTGTGCGAAGTTGATCGCGGCTATCTTTCCGCTTTGCAGTCAGTCTCCACGCGGGGCTCCAATCGTCGAGACCAAGACCCCAACGTGACCCGCCTCCACTCCAGGAAGGCCCCGTACATGGCGGAAGGTTGGTGGTGCACTTTTAGTCGGCCCCTTCAAGGCGTAGTGTGAGCCTCGTGAGCTACTGTGCCGGAGTCTTGTGCTGCACCGCGGGATCTAAGGGTAGCTGTCAAGCCATGTTGTCAACGGCAGGCGATTGTGATGGCGAGAACATGGCGATGCGTGCATGTCCATCAGGCTTAGGCAAGATAACAAACAAAGGCCGTCCTGTGCGTGTACATCATCGTGCATGACACGCCGCGCACTCGACAGCAGCTCCAATCGCAGCATGTTCGGACCGAGCAGGAAGAAGCACCATTTCCCGCCAAGTGCCCCCGGCAGCGCAGCCCGGACAGGGACCTACATTCGTTCGCATGCACTGCAGCTCCAGCATCTCTGATCACGAAGCGCTATCGTGCCCACTGTCTTTTTCCACTGTAGCCCAATGTGACCGAGTTTCTCACCGCTCTTGCGCTAGCTTTACCACATCCCTCGTCTCGGCTGCTTGACCCTGTGACGTGCCCCCAGCGAGCCGCCTTTTCGTTCCTTCTCCCATCCACCCACCACCTTGGAGTCGGGCTGCTCCCTAACAGCCGGCCACCTTCACCATTCCTTCCTACTCGAACAGCAACAGGAGGCCTGCCAACATCCCGCTCCACAACCTTTCGTCCTCTGCCCGTCCGCGAGACCACGATTCCGCTTATCTGCTCGACGACCACGATAAGGACAGCGCGCGGTCCTCGTTTGACACGCCGTCCTCCGACTCCGACCTTTCCGTCTGGAGCGACACTGGTGACCTCGTCGACCAGCTAGCTGACCGGGAAGATCCGCTCCGCATCAACCTCGAAGCCGGCAACTCATCGAGGCCAGGCAAAAAGCAAAAGCGAGCTCGCTTTGCCTCCCAGGACCTGCACGAGAAGAGCTCCCACGGCCTTCGTCTGGAAGACATTGAGATACCTGACCCGGGACCACGAACAATCTCAAAGGCAGAGAAGATACTAGCCCAAATCATGGCACCCAACGATGGGCCCTCCCGTATCCACGGGTTACACGGCAAGAAGCTGATGTATGCAGCACAGATTCCAACTCTGGGTGCTCAAGCTAACAGCAATGCAACAGCTACTTCACAAGTGTCTTTGTATCATTAGGCGTCTTCCTGTTTGGTTATGACCAGGGAGTCATGTCCGGTATCATCACGTACGCCGTCGCGAACCCCTCCGCCCTTGACTGTATCTAACAACCTGACAGCGGTATCTACTTCAAGGACTACTTCAACCAGCCTTCCGCCGTCGAACTCGGTTCAATGGTAGCTATCCTCGAAGTCGGTGCCTTCATCTCATCGCTAGTCGTGGGCCGCATTGGTGATGTGATTGGAAGACGGAAGACCATCTTGTACGGCTCCCTCATCTTCGTCATAGGCGGTGCTCTTCAGACGTGCGCGACGGGCATTCCCATGATGCTTCTTGGACGAGTCATTGCTGGTCTTGGTGTCGGATCGCTCTCCACCATCGTTCCTGTTTACCAGTCCGAGATCTCGCCTCCCCACAACCGAGGAAAGATGGGCTGCATTGAATTCACTGGCAACATCACAGGCTACGCAGTCAGTGTGTGGGTTGACTACTTCTGCACTTATATCAAAAGCGACTGGTCATGGAGAGTCCCGCTCTTTATGCAGTGCGTCATGGGTCTTCTTTTGGCCGCAGGAAGCTTGCTCATTTGCGAGTCTCCAAGGTTTGTACCATGATCTCAGCCCCTGGAATCTGCTGACACATACAGATGGCTCTTGGACAACGATCACGACGAGGAGGGCATTGTAGTTATTGCCAATTTGTACGGAAAGGGCGATATTCACAACCCCAAAGCACGAGATGAATACCGAGAGATCAAGATGAACGTGCTGCTCCAGCGTCAAGAAGGTGAACGATCATACCCCGACATGTTCAAGCGATACTCCAAACGCGTCTTCATTGCTATGTCCGCCCAAGCCCTCGCGCAACTCAACGGCATCAATGTCATCTCGTACTACGCACCGCTTGTCTTCGAAGAGGCTGGTTGGTACGGTCGCCAAGCTATTCTGATGACAGGTATCAACGCCATCACGTACCTGCTATCCACCATTCCGCCATGGTACATTGTGGACACTCTAGGCCGCAGGAAGATTCTGTTGTCTGGAGCGCTTATGATGATGATTTCGCTCTCTGCCATTTCGTACTTCCAATTCCTGCAAGCTTCCTGGACACCCAACATGGTCGTCATATTTGTCATGATCTACAACGCCGCATTCGGATACTCTTGGGGTCCTATTCCGTGGTTGTACCCACCAGAGATCTTGCCTCTCAGCATTCGTGCCAAGGGTGCCAGTCTGAGTACCGCGACTAACTGGGCTTTCAACTGGCTGGTTGGAGAAATGACACCGATTCTGCAGGAGCACATCCAGTGGCGATTGTACCTTATTCACGCATTCTTCTGCGCAGCCAGTTTTGTCATTGGTAAGTTTGATCGAAAATGTGGGCTAAGGCGACTTACTGACTGTATCTAGTGTACTTCATCTACCCCGAAACTGCGAACGTTCGTTTGGAAGACATGAACTCTCTATTCGGAGACGCTACTTCAGTCATGCCCACTCCGGAAACTCTTGCGCAAGCCGAATCTCTCTTCAGCGGAGAAGGTCGCGGCTCTCCTGTGCCCTCGCTTGATATCCGAGGCGGACGCCGTGCGCAAGACGACGCGATCCCTGGACTCAGCATCGACCCCCCTGACATCGAGAGCGGCAATAAGAACATGGCCAAGGCGGATACCGAGAACGGGGACGGTCTTGGTGGCTGGATCAGCAACATGGTCAAGAGGACAAAGGGCAATGGCGAAGGCGATAGCTCGAGCGGAAAGTACAAGCAGGTCGGACAAGACGAGGACTAGAGCACACACGGTGTGTACGTTGACAATTCTGCATTTCCTACGTATATCTGCATCATCTAGACAGGCGATGCGCATGTTCCAATATCACGGGCCAATGGCTCATCGAGCGAAGTTTTTTGGGTTGGTAGAGTATGCGAAGCATATTTTGGGCGTTTGTTGTTTGTGTGTTGAGCAGGTTAGAGCAAGGCGTCTTCCACAAGACGAAATTACCATGTTTTTTCTCAGCATAGCATGATATAGGGAATAGGCTTTGGTGACGTGCATAATGATGGTCCTCCCCGGCTTAGCCACCTACTACTCTAGGCAGATTACCATTGCAACGGCACCTCGGAAGCGCGACTGGGTCCAGATGAATGGAATAGTGGGCTTCACGTGACGGATGTGAACAGGTGTCGCTTCTCCCGTGCCCTGATGCGGCGGCCGGGCTCTAGCTTCCTTTGCTCGTACTGTAGTCTAATTCGGGAACAGCCCACCTCCTCGATCTCGCAGCGCAGGAGATTCTTCCATTGCTCCCACCCCGTGAGCTTCCCTTTTATGCCTTCACTTGCTTTGGGCTTCTCTTCTACGGCCCACGGCCACTTTTAATTGATTCCCTTCTCTCGAGTCGTGTTGCGACCAACCGACCGACTGCATCGCGTAGTCGCTCAAGCTCCGTGGTACCGACCAACCGTTCACTACCAAATCCAGCCTCAAGCCACGAATCCCTTCCACCTTCTTCACGACGTCGCAATAATATCGGGAGACAACCAGGGACACAGCCACCGCCCATCACCATGGCATCGACTGCGCACACGACGGGCGCCGATGCACAAGCAGAGGAGCTGCGGAGGAGAAATGTAGCCGCGCCATCACAGGCCGCAGCGCCAATCGCTGCACTGGCACAAGAGAGGGAGAAGTCAAAGGACAAGGTACGCCGTCTTGTACAAGCCGCATCAGAGCTGTCAATATTCTGGTGGCTGCAGGGACTCGTTGCTAACCAAACCGCAGCCTTTCAGCGTCATCTCATTCCTGGACGACTACGAATTCATCTGGGCACCTCTTATATTCACCTTCTTCGCCTTCTTCACACGCATGTACAAGATTGGCCTCTCGCCAATCGTCACTTGGGACGAAGCCCAGTAAGTCCATCAACTCCGACGCATACATGACTAGTTCTGACTTGGTGCAGCTTTGGCAAGTTCGGTTCACACTACCTCAAGCGCGAGTTCTACTTCGATGTCCACCCACCGCTCGGAAAGATGCTCGTCGGTTTGTCCGGATACCTCGCAGGATACAATGGCTCGTTCGAGTTCAAGTCCGGAGAAACGTACCCCCCGGAGCTGAACTACACCTTCATGCGCCTCTTCAACTCGGCTTTTGGTGCTGTTTGCGTTCCCCTGGCCTACTTTACCGCCAAAGAATTGAACTTCCGCCGTCCGACCGTATGGTTCGTCACCCTGGCCGTTCTCTGTGAGAACTCGTACACCACTATCAGCCGTTTTATCCTCCTTGACTCTATGCTACTATGCTTCACCTTCACTACCGTCTTCTGCTGGTCCAAGTTCCACCGCCAGCAACATGATCCATTCTCTCCTGAGTGGGGTCTGTGGCTGATGCTTACCGGAGTTTCGATTGGTTGTGTATGCAGTGTCAAGTGGGTTGGATTCTTCGTCACAGCTCTCGTCGGATTGTACACCATTGAGGACCTCTGGCGCAAATTCGGTGACCTGAAGATGCCCAAGGTACGTGAGATTACCCATCGCCTGCTATCAAACTAACGTGTACAGATCGAGCTAGCCACGCATCTCGCTTTCCGCGTTTTCAGCCTGATCCTCATCCCCCTCGCCGTCTACATGTTCTCCTTCTACCTCCACTTCATCATTCTCGAAAACAGCGGTCCTGGTGATGCGCAAATGAGCTCTCTCTTCCAAGCCAACCTGCGAGGAACTGAGGTTGGCAAGAACAGCCCTCTCGAAATCGCATACGGTTCCCGCACCACGTTGAAGAACATGGGATACGGAGGCGGACTGCTCCACTCTCACGTCCAGACATACCCCGAGGGCTCTACCCAGCAGCAGATCACTTGCTACCACCACAAGGATGCCAACAACGACTGGTTCTTCTACCCCAACCGCCACGAGGTCGAGTACAAGCCTGAGGAGGAGCTCCGCTACCCTGGCAACGGTGACGTTATTCGTCTGATCCACGCCCAGACTGGCCGTAACCTCCACTCGCACCAAGTCGCTGCCCCTGTTACAAAGAGTGATTGGGAAGTTTCTTGCTATGGTAACACAACTGTTGGTGACACCAAGGACCATTGGGTTGTTGAGGTCGTACGCGACGCTGCTTCGAGGGACTACTCCAAGCTCCGGACGCTTACTACCGCTTTCCGTCTGAAGCACAAGGATCTGGGCTGCTACCTCCGCGCTGGCAATGTCAACCTACCTCAGTGGGGTTTTAAGCAGATTGAGACAACCTGTGTCAAGAAGAACAACCCTCGCGATGTTTACACCCATTGGAACATTGAAAGCCACACCAACGAGAAACTGCCGCCAGGCAACCCTGGTGACTACAAGTCTCCCTTCCTCCAGGACTTTATCCATCTTAATGTTGCTATGATGACATCTAACAACGCACTTGTGCCTGACCCCGACAAGCAAGACGACCTCGCCTCCAGTTTCTGGCAATGGCCCATCCTCCATGTCGGTCTCCGCATGTGCGGCTGGAACGATGACAGTAAGCATGCACCTCACTTTGCCCTAGTTCCGTTATTAACATAACCACAGTCGTCAAGTATTTCCTCCTAGGTAACCCCTTGGTCTACTGGGGAAGCACTGCCTCGCTAGGCATTTTCGGTCTTCTTCTCCTCTTTTATGTCGTCCGCTGGCAACGTGGATACAATGACTTGAAGCAATCGGACATTGACTTGTTCCACTACGCCGGTATCTATCCCATCATTGGCTGGGCTCTACACTACGCACCGTTCGTCGCCATGGGCCGTGTCACATATGTGCACCACTACTATCCCGCTTTGTGGTTTGCCATCATCGTCATGGGCTTCTGCTTGGACTTCACCACAAGGAAGTTGAACAAGCAGGTACAGTGGGGCATCTTTGCTGTACTGTACCTTGCTACCATCTTCCTGTACTGGCTGTTCAGGGCCATCTCCTTCGGTATGGTTGGACCTAGCAGCCAATGGAAACACCTCAAGTGGTTCGAGAGCTGGAGGATCACCGATTAAACTCTCTCTGCTCTATTTTGAGAGCAAAAAGGACGTTTGCTCTTTTTTGTAACAACATCTTCTTTTGCATCGGGCTTCTTTTGGTGAAACAGAGGTATCTAGGGTTATGGATATCAGGCTGGTGAAGGCATGCATCAAAGATTTTTTCAAGGCAAGGGCTAGCGAAGGTGTTCCTAGGGTGGAGTCTCTCTTTGGTGGATGATATAACTCTAGACATTTTAAAAGATCAATGTGATGATGCATTCTACTTCCCTCTGCTCGGCGGCTGTTGTCTACATGTGTGTTCTTGTTGAAAATGGATTGCCACGTTTGGTCGATATAGACGTCTCGAATAAAACTGCTTTGTAGTATTGATTTTTCTAGATCACAAGCACAGTGTAGAGTGCTTAAGACAGCTAAAATTACGGGACGATAACAGAATGGCCGCATGCTTGCGAAAGTGAAAGCCTTCAGACGCTGGGGAAAAAGAATGAAAACGTGTTGAAAACGTCTCTCGATCTACTTAGGAAGGTAGTTTCTGCGGCTCCTTTAGTCCTTTTCGTTCAGCAGCAACTTGTACGGAAACCTTCGCAACGCGTCGTATCTTCTGTCCCACCTCTCTCTCGATCCATGATTCAATCTATCAGGTCTATCAGCGTTATCGGACGACGCCGGACAACTAACTCACCGGACAGTACTTGAAAATGAGCCAAGCACATATGGTGGAGACCAGACAAATGCTTCCGGCGAGGAAGAACCAGCGCCAGTCGGGGTTGTCTTTCAAGATATCGACGTTCATGCCAAACAGGCTCTGAAAACAGCATCATCAATCTACATCAAGTTCGCGCAGGTCCGCATTGACTCACCGATGTAAACATTGCAGGGAGAAAGATGAACTGTAAGTGTAAGTAGCCTCGTCTAGTTGCTACAACAGCGAGGACCTCATACCGTTATCCAGCTCAGGCGCTTCGTGCTTGTAGCAATACTGATCGACCTATGAACATCGTTTATCGATACCCAGGCGAATTCCTTTGTAAAATGAGCTAACGGGGAAAGCCATTTGAAAATCTGGTCGAGGGAACATACCAGCTGCAGCAGATCTCTTACGGTCTGATCGAGCGCGTCGAGTCGCCCACCTATTGTAGTCGTGAAATCAGATAGCAGCATATCCACCTCATCGGAGCCTTGGTTTCCATTGTAGCGAGAAGAGTAGTTCGAAGCAAAGTTTTGAGCAGTCTTCGTTTGTTCCTTCAATATTTTACGAAGATCAGCCCATGTTCGCGCGTTTTGTGCGAGCCGAAATATAAGGTCACGGTCATTGCCTTCTTCCTTGAGTTGACTGATGCGCTGTAGATACAATTAGCCATACTAGAAATAGAATGACGTGACAGAGTCGTTGTAGTTGCCCACTCACACATTCAGTCAAATGCTGCTCAGCTAGGTCACAGGTTTGCAACCACACCTCTCGCAGGTGGGATAGAAATTGTGCAAAGAAATCGAGCCCATCCTTAGGAATGCTGCCGCTAGAAAGCATGCTGAAGTAATCCGTTGATCTACGCCCTGCTCTATCATTTGCATTTGAGGTTGATGATGTGCTCCATGTGATTCTACAAGTGCCTCGATCAGGCACCTTGAAGTGATTTTTGTTCGTCTTGTCGAAGCCAGCAGGGAACCAAATTGCGACCGAGAAACGAACCTTACCACTTCTGGAAGGACTTGAGACGGATGTCTCTAGCATGTTTGGCCGTATTGGCATGATGCAGGGATGTAGTTGGCCATTTGTCCAAGGCAATTCGTTGGCCAGCAGTCTTGCATGATTCTGTAAGCTCATTACTTCATTTAAAATCAGCCGTATGACTTACATGAGACGAGTCTCTGTCTTTGGTGCGTTATGCATCTGCCTGATCGTATCTGGAATCACCGCTGCTTCAATGAAACTCATAGTCTTCTTTCCACTCGGCTCTTGCTCCAGATGTACAGCGTCTGGTATTTTTCTGTCATACGAATCAAGCCACTCATCTGTCGTGACCCCAGTCGTGTCTGCAGAACTCTCAAGGAGCATGTCGATTATGTTGCAGCGTTTTCGTTTTATTGCTAGGCGTAATGCTGTATTACCTCGCTCATCTTTACAATCGACACTCGCACCAAACGATACCAAGTTCTTCGCTATGTCGAAGTGTCCAAGTATTGTTGCGGTGTGTAGGGCCGAGCGACCGAGATGGTCTCTGGTATCGACATTGTAGCCAGCCTCTAATAAGACCCCCACTAAAATTGCTTCCCCTTTCTGAACTAGTAGACGCAAGGTCACCACATCCTTTGCAATGAGCAATTCCATCACACCGTTGTCTCGCCGTTTTGCAGCTGACCACAGCCACGTTTGTTCGTTTTCGTCCAGGGCATTGATGTTCGCGGCGACAACATTGGGTTCAAGACGTTCCAACAACAGCTTTAACATCGGGATGTTGCCTGTTTGAGTGGCACAAGATAGCAGACCTCTGGGTATGTCTTTTGGGGTCTTGCCGAAGCCGGAACCGTTTAGAAGTTGCCTTACAATGCTTTCGTTGCGCATGTCCAGGGCTATGTGCAGCGGTGTAAATTGATCCTGGTCTGGCTCATGTACGAGAATTCCAGGCTTTTTGAGCAGGCATTCCACCACCTTATGATGTTCTTCTTGTACGGCTATAGATAGAGGAGTGCAGAGGTCTTGGTCTTGAACATTCACATCTGCACAATCCATAAGCGCAATGACACACTCGTCATGTCCACGAATCGCTGCTCTATGCAGTGGCGTTTGACCGTCCTTATCTCGAAGATTCACAATGGCCTCTATATTAGGAGTAGTCAGAAGTTCGTCTACCACACCTTTGTGCCCTCTTTCCGCAGCCAGATGCAGTGGAGTTGCATCATCCTCGTCCCGTGAACCTGGATCAGTGTCGTTATGCGCAAGTAACAGCTTCACCGCACTTCTGTGACCATGCTCTGCAGCTGCATGTAGTGGTGAGCCACGGTGACTGCCCTGACCATGACCTAACATGGTCTCCGATCCTGGTGTATGTAGTAAAACGTCTACCAAATCTTCATGCCCGTTTCTCGCGGCTAGGTAAAGTGGAGTTGAACGAGGCGACTTGCGTGGGGCTAAATCGATGTCGGCTCGTGCAAGCAATAGCTTGACTATCTCGATATGACCCCGCCTCACAGCTACATGTAGTGGAGTTTCATTACTACGATCTTGAGAGTTTACGTCGATGCCAAGACGTGCAAGCAATAGCACTAGTATCTTCGTAGAACCCTTGTCCGCAGCTACATGTAGTGGAGTTCCACCGCTATCATCTCGAGCATTCACATCAACGCCAGGATGTGCAAGCAGTAGTTTCACCATCTCTTCCAGGCCTTGAGTCGTGGCCAAATGTAGCGGTGTCGCTCCCCGTCGACTCTTTCTACGGACGTTCACATCCAGCCCATCTTGGTCAAGCAGGAGTCGAGTTATAGCGATGTTCTTGGACAGTACAGCCTCATGCAACAGTTTAAAATGACCACTAGGTCTATCGCTTATGTTGAATTTCCGCTTCGCAAGCAGCAATTCAACTAACCTTGCTTTTCCGATCGATACGGCCCACCACAGCGCTGTCCTGCCATCTGGGTCTATCATGGTTTTGTCCCATCCATCCATACTAAGCTGTAACTCCACTTCATCTTCCCTCCCATTTTTTGTGGCTAACCACAGCGGTGGGTGCTGATTGCTCCGGTAGGAGTCGACAGTACTACTTGTCACACTCTGTTCGCTTTCTGGTAAAGCTTTGGGGCTCATTCTGACGGGTGCCCTAAGTTGGTATATTGAGTTACAATATGAAGGTCTCCAGAGAGGTAAATGTACAGGTAGAAGGGCTGGAGCATAATAGTTCGCGATGCCCTGTGGCACGAAAAAAATGTCAGTCAGGCAACTGATGAGTCGCGAGATGTGCAACTAAGGCAGAGAGTCTCTTATATAGAGAAATTGAGGCAGTGTTAACATCGTTGTTGACCGGTGAAGAATGACGTAGGAGGGTTGCACAGCTGCGCCACGCTTTTAGGCGCCGACAATCTGACGTGACAGCCTTGTCCTCGCAAATCGGTACCGAGAGGGCTTAAGAGTGAAGCAGAGGATGCTGAGCTGTACGAAGGTATCGTTGATGTTGGGAACAATGACCCGACAGGCTTATTGTTGCTGTAGCCACGAGCAGGACTGCGATCGCGGTGGCATATTGAGTATACCTCAAGGTTCGACATGAATGAATGTGACATTGCGCTGGACTTTATAATCCTACATGTAATTTCACATCCATTACATACATATCCACTTCACTTCCAAACCTCCGCTGTGTCGCGTCCTCCTGTCTAGGACCTTGGTCCCGACATGACCAGCCCAGCCGCCGTCTCTCGGCTTTCCTCTTTCCACTCTTCTCATGAAGCCAAAATTACTCAGCCCTCAGTACCTCAGTACTCAGCTAGTCTCAACCTCCGCCCAATATTCCTGCGTATCACGTCGCGCTCGACGGGTTCGTTCTGCGCTCGATTGGCGTTGAGTGCCTGACGAAGCATTCCCGCATCGAAGAAGCCATCTATAATTGCGGAAGAAAACCAAGAATCAGCCAAAATGAAACAGATGGAAGGGAGGTTTGTGGGTAGAACGAAGTGGTGATGGGGAATGAAGTCTCTTGCAATGCTGCCCATGCTCTCGACAATGACTCGTGTTGAGAAAATGATAAGACGATAAAATGAGGTAAAGAGAAAAACAAAACATTAAGACGAATAAAAGATTGGTTTCCGCGCCGACTGCGGCACCTTCCTCGCCTTGACTGTCTTGACAACTGGAATAGGCTTATGCGGCGAACTCATCAAAACAGGCGTCATGGGTTTAAAAGGAGGAGAGTGAGGAGGCGTAGGCGGTAAACCGCCTATTCTTGGGAAAGGAGGTGTAGAAGGAGAAGAGGAACAAGAAGCATGGCTCGAGACTTCATCAAGGGAAAGAAGGGAAGGAGGGGAAGGGGGAGTCCTACATCCACCAAGACCGTCGTCGTCGTCATCGTCTACTATACTCTCTGCGGGCGTCTGTTGCTTGCCGCCGTCTCCTAGAATAATTCTGCCTCTGCTCTTGAGACGGCTGGCCAGGGGTCTGTCTTCTGCTTCGCGGGCACGGGTTGCGGTTTTATCGGCTGAGGTACCGCGGCGTTTGATTTGACGGAGGAGTTTGCGAATCTCCAAGAAGTAAGATTCGAGCGCGTCAATGTAGCGCGAAGTTTGGCGGTGCTTGGATGAGGCGCAAATGGAGATGCTGCCGTCTTTGATGATATAACCGATGCCAAATCCGTCGGCGGATGTTGGGCCGAAACCGAATTGACGGAGTGAAGGGTTGCCGCAATTTGAGGTAGAGAGAATGGTTTGGTTGATCTTGTCCCAGCCACTGTCGGCGAAGAGGGCGGGCATTGAGTGTTGCATTGGCGCTGGTGGTGGTGAGCTGGAGATGGAGTCGTTCTCCGATAGTACTGAGTTGCGGTTGGGTGATCCTACACCCGATGCATCAGCGCTAGATGGTCGCGTAGAGTCCCAGCCATCACTGCTAGCTGTGTCGTTTGACTCGTCGATGGCACGCTGCCAAATGCAGTATAGGGCGTAAAGATGTCGGTCAGGACCTTGGGCTTTGGAACAGATCTTTGTGTTCTCAGTGTGCTTCTGGCAAGCCTTTCGGAGTGCCTCGATCTTTTGCGTTGCGGGGTTCTCGCCCCAGAATGTTGTCAAAAAGTCGACTGACTCTTCCGTCACGGACCGAATGGCTTCCGTACGTCCATGGTAGTAGATCTTGGTCATGGCGGGCTCATATACGCACTCTATCCGTCCATATAAACCATAGTACGCTGCCTGGAAGGCCATCTGAACAAAAGCATCAGGAGAGAAACCCATCGAAGTCATGAAGTTCTTTCCATAGTGAGGAAACTCTAGGGTCGCAAACTCGTTCTGTTGGATAAGATCTGCCAGGCGCGTCTCGGCAAAACGAAGTGCTGTGCTAAGTTCCGGCAACATGTCCCACTCAAGCTTATGGGGTGTTGTTTGTACGTCGCCGAAGCTATCTGGGTCGCGCTTCGCGGGATCAGGGCTCGAAGAAGCCCACAGACTTGGTGCACTACCGTTGATAGTCCTGGCAAATCGGAGGATAGTATCTGTGTATACGTCGGATGCAAATCTCAGCACTGTATGACCGTCCACACCGGTGTGTTCAAAGTTGATTCCAGCACTTCCGTTTTTGCAAACAATAATTTGCAGCTTGTCATACCAGCGATTGGTGCATGTCCCCACCTGAACACCGCGCTCAATCTTGCTCGTACCGCAAAGCATATTCATACAGAGATCGGCACCTGTTTGTGGCTCGGTGTAATCCAAACATAAGACGAAAAGTGCCGAGTCGACGATGTTGAGACAGTCAGAGTTGTTTGAACCTTCCTCCCTGTGCAACACATCGCGGAGACCTGCCCAGACCTTTCGGTTCTCCGTACTGAGCACACCTAGTGCTCCTTTGGCAGCATCCTGAATCGGTATCTCCTGTGCGTCTTCTACAATAACTTGGAGGTTGAGCGCAATATCCTTTTCTGTCATGATCAGGTCGTTGTTATCATCCAGAACATCGAACCAATAGAACTGGCCATAGCACATGACGACGATATGCTTGGACGTGGGGTCTTGACCGATCTGGCATCCATGCTCGGTGGGTATCCTAGCAGTACCAAACAGTCTTGAGTATTGGTACATGCACAACGGTTGGCCGCGGATGGTGTCAGGCGGTAGTTCTTCTAGACGAACAGCTCTGACAAACGACAGTGCCGAGACCACTAATGAGGCTGCGCGAGTGACCTGGTTGTTGCGAGCTGGGGTGGGATCATCCTCCAGTAAGAAAAATGGGTTTAGATTAAGTACCACCGGGTTGTCAAAATTCAGATATGAATCATACCCTAGCGATAGGTCAGCGTATGATGCATGGATATGAATGACACTTTCAACTATCAATCACGAAACCACCTCTGATACTGCTCACTCCTGTCGTCTGAAATACAAGGCATGTACTTACAGAACTGCTCGATGTAGTTGTTCTTTCCACTAGCGTATTTCTTCAACTTTTCCTGAAGCACTGGTCCATCTGTCTTGAGGAAGTCCTCTACGGAATGAACCGTGTCGCTGTGTTCCTTTGGTGATTGCAAGGGTTTGAGAGCAGCGATGTATTTCTTACACGAACTGTCTAGCTCTGGGATGGGAAGTTTCGGAAGACTATCTTCGTGTGCGAAGGTAATGCCTGGTCTCGAGTTTGGGTTGGTATGGCTTGCTAACGGTGCCTGTGCCTCTGCAGAGTGAGACTGTGTGCTGTTCTTTGCGTTCTCCAACGAGCGAGTGGCATCGTTGCCTTCTGAGCCAGACATCTTGGATGCTTTGACTAGTGTGTCCTCAAGGGACGACGGTTGGGTAAAAGTGCGGACTGCCATGACGAGTGTGTCAGTTACGCGTAGAGAGGAGAGATGGAGGTGGCAATATTGAGATGCCGCAAGGCACTGCGATAGAAATAGTGACAGTCCTGAAGACAGTAGGCCGGCATGGGTACTCAAAGTTCGCGAAGAGGCATCAAGGTACTTGGGAAGGGAAGCTTCTTATAAGACTCGAGACGAATGGGGAAAGTATGTCTGGGGCGGGTCCACACGACAACTGGGCATGTGAAACGCGCGATAGGCTTTGTAATAAACAGACAAGGTGATGCAAGTATGCCGCTCAGGTAGCCGACCGCTGACCCGGAACGTGACGCGGACCATGGCAGACCAGAGAGGTGAATGACCCGATGGGGTGAACCAACGAAAGGCCCATGCAAGGAGAATGCAACTTACACAGTAGCGTCAAGCCCTAAATGAGGTGCGAATAGTTTGACGTCTTGTCCAGTTCTGAAAGCTAAATGAAGCTGCTGTCGCTGCTGTAGTCAATGTACACTCTTGCGCAACAACTTACTGTACTCCAATGGGCGTTATTGTGCTCTCCAAGATGCAGCGGGACAAGGATGTAGGACCGGAAAAGATGAGCCGTGGTGGAAGCACAGCAAATGTCAGAGAGACTCGGTCGTGAGGATACGGTAGGCGCGCAAGGCTGCTCCCGAGGTGTACTAGTGGGCCTGTTAGAAAGCAGCTATCTATGTTACGGACGAGTGGAAGCGTCGGCGGTAGCGCGAACTTATAAAGGACACCCACCGTCGCATAGGTGGTCCGGTTAATCGGAGAAATATGCTTGGGCAGTTCTACGACAACGGTTACAAGGCACTCGCGTTGGATGGGACTATTGTGTAGCTACTTGGAGGATACTGCGCGCCTATGCGGTCATTGCTCACGAGCTCTACGTAGAGTAACCTGAGGCGTCGATGTCTGGGCCTAGTGCTGGGCGGGCTGGGATTGGGGGAGTTGGCTGATGTATGCCAACGTGTGGAGAAGCGGGGAGCAGGGTGTGACGTAGGACACGGACCATAGGAGAAACGGAAGACCCCCACTATAGCATTAGCGGCCAAGAGCTTCTCGAACATACGCGAACACATTTCATCACGCGTCAAGCACCCCACGGTCCACGTCTGTCCAACCTCTCCGTCCGTGACATTTGACCGAAAAGGCGAGTCCGGAACCGATTCGCGCGTGCCATCCGCAGAGCCGCGCAAATGCGACACTTTGGCCCATGACGGATCTGCTGCAGGTGCTGCCTGACTTCGACGCGAAACCCTACACCCATTTGCTGCCTTCGCTCGACAAGGCCCTGATCACCTCTAATGACCTGCTCACCCTTGACGCGGCCGACGTTGCCAAACGCGCCCAGCTGCCGGCCGCAGAGGTGAGGAAACTCGCAGATGCCGTGATAGCTGCTCTACACCACCAGCTGGGTTTCGGCGGAGAGGAAGCAGTCGGCAATTCTTTCCTTTCCGCATCGGGTAACCCGGACACGACCGAACAGGGCTGGACTTGTATAAGCACCTTGGATCAAGAGCTCGACGCTGCCTTGGGCGGAGGCATACCGCGCGGGTACCTGGTAGAGGTTACCGGTGAGAGGTACGTCAGTATGGGGTATTGTTTAACAAGACTATACTGACTGACTGCATTAGTGGTGCCGGTAAAACGCAACTACTCCTTACCTTGCTGCTAGCCTCACAATTACCGCCTCCCCAAGGTCTTGCCAAATCGGCAGTCTACATATCTACCGAGGCAATACTATCCACCACCCGTCTCGCCCAGCTGCTATCCTCCCACCCGGCCCTCGCTCCATTGCCCGCCGACCAGAAGCCCTCACTATCGCGCGTGCTGAGCATACAGACCCCAGATCTCGAATCACAGGAGCACATACTGCGCTACCAGCTACCCGTAGCCATCGAGAAGCATGACATCGGCCTTGTCATCCTGGATTCTGTGGCCGCCAACTACCGCGCTGAGTTCGAGAAGCAGGGTGCAGGGAATGGAGCTGCGGCTATGGCTAGACGAGGCACACAGCTTGTACAGCTAGGTGAACTACTAAGAGAACTCGCGCGCACAAAAGGCATAACTATCGTCGTAGCCAACCAGGTTGCCGACCGATTCACAAAGGCGCCGTCTGCTGTATCCTCTAATACTGCTTCACGAACAGCATCCACCAACAGCCAAGGCACTGTCCGTGCAACATCAAATAACAGCCAAGGAGACAATTCAGACAACACGACTCACGCAATCGAGCCAGCCTCTCAAACCGCTGAAACCCTCGTCCTCTCCCCCGACCCCCTCGCTCTCGACCACCAACAACGCTGGTTCACCGGCTGGGGCGACTCGCAATACGAACAAGCTCACGTGCAAAAAACACCTTCCCTCGGCCTCGTTTGGACAAACCAACTCGCCTGTCGCATCGTCCTTAAAAAGACGCCCGTCTTCGCCAGCAGAGGACCTCTGATCCATACCGTCAACGGCCAGGATCAGTGGAACGACGCAGAGGAAAACCATATATCCAAGTGGCGACGCTGGTTCAAGGTTGTGTTTGCGCCTTGGGCTCCGCCGTCGGAAGGGAGAGGCGTCGAGTTTGAGATTCTAAAGAGTGGAATCAGACATGTCGATAAAAAAGAAAAGACATAATAAACAATATATACATATACAACACAACCAGCCTTGTCGCACAAAGTCCAGACCTTACTTTTCCACAGATTCACGTCCCTCGTTACACATGTCGATCCCAGTAATGGAGGAAAAAAAAAAGAACAATACTTCAGACCTCTCATGTATCTTTGTCTTTCATTTTTTTTTGTTCTCGCTAGAAGCTACTACTACCACATATAAATAAAAGGGGGTATAAGTGACAAAAGACAATACGTCTATACATCCTCACGCAATACAAATGCCACCAAACCTGCGCTATGCTGAACCAAACCCGATTCTCCGAGCCTACAAAATGCGTAATGAAGAGAAAAGAGACGAGCACGCTATCCGAGGAGCCAGTCATTGTCGTCATCGTCGTTGGGGGACGCGGCACTCCTACCGTTGCGACTCCGCTCGGCGACGGCGAGTACCGTGTCCCTGTTCCTGCTGCTGCTGCTGCTGCTGCTACCTCCTGCCCTGTGACTCATTAGCTAGATGAAGGGTACACGAGCCCGTGCAAAGGAACAAGGGGAGCTAACGTACTAAGACGCTTCCGCCACCAACAACAGCTCTTTGCTTTCCGAGCCAGCCCTTGGGTGCTTCGCTGCGTCTTTGCAGGATAACGGTATTGCTAAGGAGGCGTTGATTCATGTCATACCACATGCTCTTTACGAGGGCGTTTTCGCGTCGCAGGTTTTCGACTTCTTGTTGTAGTTCGACCTGTGTTTGTTGGCATTTGTTGTAATAAAAAACACAAAACTACCATATCCATGGTTGCCAGGCTGCTGAACGCGAGATAGAGGGGACGCGACATACCGAGCCCTTCTCAGAGGTCTCCTTCCGCGCGACTTCGAGCTGCTCGCGGAGGCTGCTAGAGGTGGTGAGTTGGTCTTGGAGGTCCTGGGTCCTTATTAGCAAAAGCGTGATTGCATTAAATTAGAGTACATGAGAGAAAAGGGGTTTAAAAGTCAATGTGAAAAGTATGCGTATACTCAGGCAGCCAGGCCGAGGACAAACTTGCCACACAGTCATTCGACGATTGAATCGTCGACTTGGTCCTCCGCTTTGGCGAGACTAGCTGCGCCATGCGGCCCCACGTGGTTTGCCCCGTCCCAGCTGTTGAAGTAGACATTTCCGACATAGATTTATCCTTGCTTAGATGATTCTTGTACGGCGAAGTCGGCGAGACGAGAGTAGCTGCATTGGACGATGGCCCGAGCTGTCTCTTCATTGTCGAAACCGCTGCATCGAATGCTGAAGAAGACTTGCTATGAGATGCCTGTCTGGCACTTACCTTCTTTGCCTTTTCTAGGGCTGCTTCGGCGGACAATACCGTCTCCGCAATCTCCGTACTCGTGGTATCTAGCGTTTGTGGTTGTACTTCTGGTGGTGCTTTAATGACGGACTCTATTCGTTCACGCATCTGCCGTATAGTCTCGACCCTCTTAAGCTCGAGAAGCTCTGGCGGGAGGTTTTGGCGGTCGAGCAGCGCTGCTCGAAGAAGACCTGACTTTTCTGCATTCGCAAGCTCGAGCTCTCGTAGTCTGTCGTTGGTCCTTTCTTGCAGTACTAGCAGGCGCTCTTGTTCCTTTTGAATAGCAGTTGACCGTGTATCGTCGTCGATGTCGGATTCTGGCAAAGTTAGCACAATCTCATAGATTTATTGCGACACGTACTCCTGTTAAGCTCATTGCGAAGTTCCGCCATTTGTAGGTCTTGCTCGCGCAACCGGCGACGGAGCTCCTCGAGCTCGATTTGAGCCGACGTTAGCTTTTCGTTCTGTTCCAGGAAGGGTTTCTGGCTGTTCTCGTCCTTTTCCGCCATCATGTCAGACCGTAAACCGAGGTTCTCTTGCATCTGCTTAAGAGTTTCGCTTTCTAGCGACTTGAGACGAGCATTGAGGATATCCACTCTCTGTTGCAGAGCAATAGCGTCTGCGCTCACCCGTCCATCAGACACTGGCTTCACCTCAGTATCTTGCTCGTCTTGTGTGAGCTCGTCCTCCAGGCTATCACCACGGTCTGCGTGATTCGATGACTCTAGTTCACGTATGCGTTCTTCGAGCTCCTGTTTGGCGTCTTCTGCCTTGTACTGTAGTTCGCGGGTCTGTTCCAATTGCTTCATGAGAAGCAAGTTCTCATGCTCGACTCGTGTACGCTTGCCCTTTTCTTCAAAGATGGCCTGCTCGCCATTGGCAAGCGTCTGGCCGTTCTCCTTGATGATGTTCTGCAGGATGTCGTTACGCTCCTCGACTTGTTCAAGCTGGGCTAATCGTTCGCGAGCCTGTTGGTAGTCTTCCCGGAGCGTCTCGAGCTGCTTGGTTTCCTTGGTGAGAGACTCGATCTTCTTTTTCAGGTTCTCGTTAGCTTTGGCCTTCTGGCTCAGCTCATCACGCTCCGCCTTGACGAGTTGTAGCTGATCACGCAGGTCCTGCTTGGACCCTTCCTCGCCCTCCAACCGATCAAGACGTCGCTTCTGGCTTTCCATAATTTCTCTCGTGTGCACAAGGTCTTGTTCGAGCTGATCAATGTATTGCCGGTCGCGCAGCAGGTCGTTCCGTAAGTTTTCGACATCGTCTGATTGAGCTCGTTGTGCCTGGCCGGCTCGGACGTCGAGATAGGCAGTTGCCTCGGCGACTTCCTCCTCGAGCTTTGCTATCCGTTCTCTTGAGACCTTGAGCTCGTCAAGTAGCTTTCCAACCTGGGCCTTCAGCGCTTGTCTATCCTTGTTTGCCTCGAATAGCTGTGCCTCCTGCTCCAATTCGTTCCCTGCGGGCGGCGGTTGCCCAGACATGGCTCGTGTGGGCGTTCTATACCCTGTGGGAACTGGATCTGAAGTCAACTCTGCATCGACGCCTAATTCTGACATGCGCTGATCCAAGGCCTGCATCTCTTGTATGGCTTCAGCAATGGTCTCGGCCGTCTTTTGGCCTAGCTTTGGCATGACTTGTAGCATCCGCTGATTGCTCCGTGGCGAGAAGCATGCGGCCAGCAGCACGGCCATGGTGAGCTTTGCAACAAGCATTGTGGATCCATCCCGCGCGCCGGCCTTTAGGTCTGGTATCATGCGTTTGGTGAGAACGGGCAGCTGCTCGCATTCTTCGCGTATGTACGTCGAGGTTGTGCGTTCGATGTATTTGAGGTTCTGCCATCGCGGTATCCAATTGTCTGATTGGCGGCGGTGGTTTTCTTCGAAATTGGGCAGAGACTCGTTAAAGTAGTCGGCGTCAATGTCGGCGAGGATCTGCCAGAGTATCTGGCCGTCCTCGAGCTGGGTGAGTGATGTGATTCTGTGGGGGAGGTCGAAGGTGTTGACCTGGACGCGAAGTGTCAGCTATACCACTCGAGCCTATAGTGGGATGCATATGGAGACGCACCCAGTCGAGGAGAGCCTTCAGTAGCTCGGGCTTGAAGTCGTCCATGGTGGTGTATCGCGGGGCTTGGTACCCGCGTGTAGGTTTGTGTATGCTAGTATCCGGTCGGAATAAAGTGAGTCGCAGTCATGCATCTCGAGTTCGCGTTTTTGCGTTGCGGTGAAGAGTACGTGCTCCACCAAGCACAGGCTGTTCCTTGCTCGAGGACGTGTCGCGCGTCGGTGAGGTTGGGGGTGATCCGACCGCTAAGCCGAAATACAGCACACTCCCGCGGCGACGTCGTCAGTCGTCGTCTACCGGGCCCTAACGTCGTGAATGGGTCGTACAGTGAGGGGCATCAACGTGACATTCACTAATGGCCTCGAGACAGACGGGACATGACGCGCATAAAGCCGCCGTTGTGCTGAGACGAATGCACGTCCGTAGGGGCTGCTATCCGCGGGGAAAGAGCCGCTGCAGGGTTCCACCATCTGATCACGATCTCAAAAGACATGCATCAAATCAATACAAACTCTACTGTACATGGCAACCGCAAAAGCAAAAGCACCAATACACTTTACAACCAACATTCTTGCAAACTCCATTCATACATCGTGAGGGCGAATGATCAAAGAAAAACGGCTTTGTCAATTTGAATCCCCTTTGCTCTCTGTCCTTCCCTCTCTCCGTCATGACCTCAGATCCCCACCTTGTCGTTCTGTGTAGTAACAATGCCATCCTCCTCAATCTCGCACTTGTACACATCGCTCAACGTCGACACCATTTCGAGAGCGGAAGCAGGGGCCTGGGCAGCGAAGCCCTTGATGATGTTGTATTCGTGGGTAATGACACCTAAAGCACTGTTGTTAGTACGGGCCTCCTGCAATCGTGCACGCGTGTACAAAGCCCATCTTACCCTTGGCCTGTCTAATGGCCTCCTTGCTCTGCTCCACAACCTCGTCGGGTGTGTCCTTTGGCCAGCTGATGATGACGGAGCGGTGAGGTGCGGCGGCCATGACCAAGGTAGCGAGGAGTGCAACAAGCAAGGAGAAGATGGCGAAGCGCATTGTGTCTGGTTTTGCCAAGTAGCGCAGTCTTGTGCTGTGGAGTTTGTGGAGTCGCGGTTCGTGGCTCGTAGTCGGCTGACGGTTGCGAAGAGCCGGGAGAGCGTGGATTGTAGCGTCGCAGACGTCGGGTAGTCGTCTTATCGCAATATAGTACTGTCGGGTACCGTAAAAGGTTTGTTGGTCGTACCGGGGCGTGGTTTGTAGGTGCCTAGGAGCAACGAGGAAGGTGGTTGTTTCATGTGGTCGATCCGGATGCGGAAGGCGGAAGGAGCGCGTCATAGTCTCACATGTTCAACCAAACTGGCAGCCGCTCAGAGCCCCTCGTCACATCGATGCAATCTCCGCCACGATTCATTGGCAGTAAGGTTAAACTACAACTGGATAGCAACGAACCTCTTCGTGTAGTGTTTGTCTCGTTTCACGCACGCCATATTATGCAACTTCTGGAATAATGATCGTTCAATTGTCTACTTAGACTTGCCACCTAGCTCCAGGCTCACGACAAGTGCCATTACAAAGGTGCAAAGGAGGAAGTTGGCCGCCAATACAGCGACAGTGCTAGTGTACTCGTGCTCGTTCGTTTTCGTGCTCATGCTGAAACGTTCCTTTTAGTGCACCAAGGTGCCGTATCGTGAAGACAAGTCATGGAATGGGAAGCAATCGATGGGGCAAAATGAAGGGGTTAGAATACAATCAGTGAAAGAGGAAGAGACGCCGTGTAGCCCATCATGTCCGTACGCCGTGTGAATGCCGAATGCTGCCGGGGCTTCGCGATGATGCTCGTGTAGTCGTACTATACAAGATCGATCCATCCGCCCAATGCGACAGACAGAACGATAGATAGAAGAAAGATCGACCCATCAACATCACAAACGCCACCACCAGTGTAATGTACTGGTAACAATGTTGGGTAGTGATGTGTTTTTAGACAGACCGTGGCTCGTCAAGTCATAACCTCGTCGACCGCTTGGCTCAACTAAAACCAACTGCCGTTACCGCCGTTGGTCTGAGCCACACCGTACTGATGCTGGTTCTGGTAACCCTGGTAATTCTGGCGGTTGTCCTGCATAGGGTTGTGCATGTGGTGGGGGTTGCTCAGGCGGTGAGGCTGACGATGAGGCTGGGGTGAAATGATGCTTGGGCCGTAGTTTGCGTTGGCCGTGTACATTGGTGTCTGGAAGCTAGAGGAACCGCTGGCGCCTTGGTAGCTAGCTGCGACGCTGTTTTGCTGATACTGTGGCAGGGCCTGACTGAATACTGCACCTTGCTCAGAGCCCTGAGCAGCACCGGGAGAGGCTTGACCGGAAGAGGTACGCCCACCCGTGTACGCAGCCAGACGAGTCTCGCGCTCTCCAACCTTGCTCATGATGCGACGACCATAAGGAGTCTGGCGGATCGAAGGCAGAATTGGACGCATAGCCTCAATGAGGTGCACGCAAAGCTCAGCAGGGGCAAACTCGAGTGCAGTCTGAATAACATAATTGCCGTATGAGTCGCGCATGAGCTGCTCAAGCTGCTCGACATCAAGCAACTCCTCGATCATCATACCCTTGACGTGTGGCTCAGCGCAGCGGATGCACTTCTCGATAACGTTGGAACTGAACTTCTGCTTGGACAATTCGCAAATCTTGCCCTGGAAGCCTTGACACATGGGTGTTGTGAAGGCAGCATCGTTGAGATCCAGGATGTACTGAACCACGTAGTTGCCGAAAGGATCCTGTACAAGATGGAAACTATGAGCCGTAATCTTGCGAATGAGGTCGACCTTCTGGAAGCCAACAGCGTGGTCAATGCAGCGCTGAAGAACACAGCAACCATGGCGATGGGTGCCGACGGTGATGCAGTTCTCGCCTACAGCATCAAAGATGAACTGAGCCTCCACAGACTTGAGGTGGTTCAAACATTTTTGGATGACGTGGTTGCCGTTCAGATCCTGGATGAGGTCCACAACTTGTCCTGACAATGCTCGGATGATCATCTGGGTCTGAGAAAGGGTTAGCTCAAGAGTTGGGGAACTTGGACCATCATCACAAACCTGCTCGTCGGTGGAGATGAACTCGATCATCTTCTGCAAGGCGCGAGTGCCGTGCTGGTTGAATGCAATTTGAACCATGGCAGGAGAAGCGTTGCGAACAAGAGTGTTGCGCTGCTCATCGTTGCAGTACTCCAGCAACTTCTGGCAAAGGTAGTTACCGAACGGGTCAGTCATGAGTTCAACAACGTGAGGGGCAGTCTCGTCAAAGATGATCTGAATGTTCTCCGCATTGCGCTCCTCAAGCTTCTTCTGCAAGAACCGACAACCGTGCTGGTCCTTGCACAGACTGTAGATCTCGTGGCGGGGCATGGTCTTCAGATCGTAGTTCATGTACTTGTTTGCATCGTTCTGCAGACGACGGCTCTGGATGACGCGAGCCTGACTGTCCTGCACACGACCACCTGGTCCGTAAGTGGCGTATGGGTTGTACTGTGGCTGTCCACCACCGTACATGCCGTTAGGGCCATAAGCAGGAGGTCCACCGTACTGAGGTCCGGGGCCAGCTCCAGCTCCAAGATTGAGACCGTTCATAGCACTGTTGAGCATGTTCATACCATATCCATAGTATCCTGGGTTGGCAGCTTGAACACTAGAGTACTGCGACATGGTTGGTGAACCGACAGTTGACGGAAGCCCACTGTTGCCGTTGGTAGCACCTGAAGTGATTGCTGGACCGAAGGGAGCAGCACTCGCGTGCAGGCCTGACTGTGGAGAACGATACTCAGGCTCGCGGTTGCCAAGTGAGAGATCTCGGCTGCTACGGTTGGACAGGACATTTGACGGGATACGACCCAGACTAGCGTTGTGGTTGTGGAATTGCTGTGAGTGCGTGAAACCAATACTGTTGGCACCGTTGACTCCGTTCTTGAGGGTCGGAACATCGTTGGTTGAGTAAGACTGGGTCAACTTCGGCATACCGTTGGTTGGACCAGTGTAACTAGAGCGCTTAGACTCGTTGTTCTTGGGGCTGAAGTTGAACTCAACCGAGCGACGGTTGTTCTTAGGCGTGTTCTCGGCATTGCCGTTGGGACGGCCGGACTCATATTCGTCCATCTGGGAAGCTTTACGGAATGTGTTAGCAGGAAGGGACTGTTGAGCCTGACGGTGACGGTAGCCGTTCCAACCAGTAGACTGAGCATCTGGGCCAGGGGATTGTGAGAGGGCCAAATCAAGTGCAGCGGAAGACGCAGAGAGTTTCGTACCATTGCCAGTACCATCGCGGCGGACCAGGACGGGAAAATCGTCCTTTGTGTTGCCCATCTGAAGGAACGCCTTGTGGTCTTGAGAGGCAGCAGCGTCATCACCAAACAAGAAACCCGCAGTGTCGATGTGACCTAGAAGAGAGGTCACATCTGGGAGACCGCCGCGGTTACCATAGTCCATTCTAGTAACGGGCATCGACATGCGGTTGTTCCTAATTCAGTCAGCTCTGCATAAGGTGAAGTCGTGGCAGGTGAACTTACTTGCGGGCAGCTGGACTTAGAGGGGTGAAGTCGTCGTTCTCAAAGTCATCGTGCTCTTCCTCAGAGTTACGACGAGATCCCGGCATCGAGTGCGAAGGCAGATTACCATTGCCCTGGAAGTTGGCAGGAGGGGAAGTGACTTGGGAGTTGGCGCGGCTGCTGCGTGTAGTGATGGCCGGATTGATGCTGGACATGCTGAAACGGTTCGGACGCGATAGTGCAGACGGGAAGCCGTTGACCTCGCTGTACTCAGGCGGTGTAGTGGGCTGGCTATGAGCAGGTCCGCCGTAGTGATCGTTTGAGAATCGGTTGATGTCAGTCTCGCCGTGCTGGGCTTGCAGGTTGAGGAGCTCCATCTCAGCGTCGAAGCGCCGTTTCGCCTCTTTGAGATATTCGTGTTCGATCCGTTTCCTCTCAAGCTAGCAAGCTGTTAGCTGATCACGCGGACCGGCAAGAGGGTTTGTCGTGAGGCAACAGTGTCGCTCTTGACGTAAATTGAGCGCAAATGGGAAAAGATGAAAATGTAGATAAGGACTGAGAGTCTCGAATCGAGACCGTGGGATGTACAGGCGTGGTAGTAGCAATGAGGCTTTTTGCAGAGACAGCGAACTTTTGTTGTGGTGTAGGAGGAACAAAGGCGAGAGACAGTTGTTGGCCTATTTGCGCGTCGTCGCCTGGTCAGGCGACCTTGGCCATTGCAATCTTACTTGCAGTGGAGAATGAGGGGCACCGAGTGAGAGGCGATAGAAGACGTAGTGAAGTAGACTTACAACTTGCAGCTTGTGGTACGTCTGTTGGCATTGGTCGTTAGCCCAAACTCTTGTTCACCGCGAATACACATATATGCAGCTGACAGAAAGCAACTTCAGCAAGCAGCAGAGCTGAATGATTCCGGTTCACGTCTCTCCGACATGGTTGCGACAGCTGCTGAGTACCGATGTGCAAAGCGCCGCGGAGCGCCAACACTTGACGTCCGCCTCTTACTTGTACGAGAGTGCCCACATACCGCTGTAGTAAATTCGGTCGGCTCTGCCGCCTGTCTGCGTTGTTGCCCGATTGGCGACAGTGGTGTACTCATGGTGGGAATGTTGTTGGTCGTGAAGCGTCGCTGCAGGGTCGCGCGGCCGTCGCCGTTCTGGTTCTGAGCGGCGCGATTCAGGGAAAGGAACGACGACTCTTCGCGAGGAGATCTGAGGCCGTTGCCTCCTCCTATGCCTTGGTAGGCCATACTGACTAGAATACTAGAAATACACTGCCAGTTCGGTCAGCGCGACTCGGCAGGAAGCTGGTGTGGGGGATTGGCGGGCGGTGTGGTTTCACCTGAGAGCGGCAGCCACTTGTCGCAGCACACGCAAAGCGCAGTTACATACAGATAATTCGTACACAGGGCAAAGGCCCTTACTACCCTCGCTGCTCGCTGGTCTTGGTTTTACAGGGTTGGGACGGAATCGTTGTTGGAGGCTCGGTACGTAGGCAGGAACGGAAGTCGCTATGAAGCGGGTCGCAGCAACGCGCACTTGACGGCCTATGCACAGCACGAGTCGTGGGTAAGGACAGTCTGAGAAAGCCTGGATGTGCTGGCCAACGGTTCAAACTTCAGGCACCGAAAGAGCAAGTCTATAGATGGAGCGGGAGTGGAGCGTTGAACTCAAGACCTCAGGGTCCATCACTGATCAGGGGACGATGTGGCGCTCAACTAGTGCTGGGTGGGATTCCGCACATATTGCGCATCTGCTTGTCGCGTACTGTGCCCAATTGAGGTTTTGGACCCTCCTGTTCTCCCGCAAGTCGTCTACTGTACATGCACACCTACTCTAGAAAAGCACCTAGCACCAAAGGCGGACCTCATCTTGAGGATTGGGAATGCCTTGTAGTCATTGCCTCGGAACCAACAGCTAATCGTACATTACATCCCGCCTTCTGCGCGTCGTCCCAGCCTTTCACACACCTCCGCGCAGCTGTCACAGTCTTCCGTTATTTAATCCGACCCACTCTAGCTCGATATGCGCGGCAAACGTGGTTCTGAATGCTTCTCTACAGCGTGTTCCAGGCCCCTGGAGTGGGATGGAGATGCCGGCGGGCGGTGCACAATACCCTCACGTCATCCGGCAGCTTTTCGCCCAGAAAGTCGCTGAACCAGTCAAGGTTGCAGCACCGAGTAGTACCGCAATACAGTACAAGGAGGGGCAGTGTAGCTTCCACGGCCGAAGGACCGGCGGGGCATAGATCATCTCAAACACCGACGCATGCCGCTACGCATGCCGCGCCAGCATGGTAGACATGTCGTGCAGAAGCATGAATTGAATCTTACCATAACAAAGCTGTTATCTGTCGCCTGGAGATACTAATGTGCTTGGAGGTCAGGCGGTACTAGCCAGTGCTTGCTCAGCCGTTTGATCCATCATGGTCGCCATGTATGATTCTCTTTACGACAATGACGATCCTCTCGAATGAGGCGCCTCGTTTTCCAACGCAGCCAATGCGGTTAGGTAGGTCCTGACCGCTCTCGTTTCAGAATTGAGAACCAGGCATTTCCCCGCACGCGCCTTGCATCTGCCAATCAGTAAGGGATGCAGGGTGGACTCCGTGGGACCGGCTAAAGCGGTGCGCCTGTATGCAACCATCGGCGGAAACAAAGTAACACATGCGAAGATATCGATCGCGAGTGATGCCGGATGGCAAGCCTTCGTTGCGATGTCTGGATAGAGTTGCTCGTGGCAGGAAGCCGCAACACGTGCACTGCTTGGCTTGAATAACAACCAATCAGATCTTAGGTCAGGCAATGCGGACCTCTGCACCCGAGAAGCAATGCACCCGACAGCTGCGCCTTCTATTCTCATTTGCCACGCTCCAATGTATTTTTGCTGAACAGCTTCACAAAAATGACGCAGGGTGCCAGTAACAGCACAATGGCCATGTGCATTGCCACCAAGGTGGTTGCATCCTTCGAGAAGTCCTCAAAATTCTGGGTAATGAGCAGGACGTTATCGCGTGGCACGTCACGGTCTCCATCGATTAGCGTGTAATCCGGGGTTGACTTCGATATATCGGGGCATATACCAATGCTCTGAGATGCATGCCCGCCTTGAAGTATACAGTCTTCGCTGCCCGATTTGAAACTGATGAAGACTCCGCTTTCGACGCACTAGAAAGTGATGCTCGTATAATAAACGTGGGCATTCGATACTGAGAAGCCGAGGCTTCGACATCGTCGGCGCGAGTCCCCTCAATTAGACTCTATTGGCGTCGCTCAGTCCCCTCTTTTGATGCAAACGGACCCGCAACGCCCTATATACACTAAGGAAAGTTACACAAGAGACGTTCTTCTTGAAATGCTCAGAGTCCGCACTCTGGTTTCACTTGCGCACCTCAGATGTGAACTTAGATATGTCGAAAATATTGCAAAATCTTCTCAGTCTCATTACGACTTCTGCCGGTCATATTGCACTCAACCCTTTAGTGACAGCAACCCTACTATGGGCGTTGACAAAAGGGCCTACACGACTTCGTAGCCAACTCACAACTCGAATCCCTGCTCTTCGAGACCCCCACAGATATGCACGGATTCTGAAGGCCTTGAAGTGGTGTCTGATAGCTGGGACGGCATCAGTTGTTAACAAGCAGCTCAATCACATTGCATTAAATGCAGGCAGGTTGCGAAGTGAGAAGGCAAAGTGGAACTGGAGCCGGGAGGTGGCAGTTGTAACAGGAGGATGTAGCGGAATCGGGGAGCTTGTGGTCAAGAGATTGGTCAGTAAAGGGATAAGGGTAGCAGTGCTGGATATTCAGCAATTGCCTCCAGGGTTGCAGGGTTGTAAGACTGACCATCACTCACTGTGGTAGCTATCGCCTGGTACTGACGCGCCTGATAGATGCCGGTCTGAAGTTCTTCAAATGCGATGTTACCGACCCATCCGAAGTCTACTCCATCGCCGAAAAGATCAAGGAAACGATGGGTTCACCGACTATTCTCATCAACAATGCCGGCATCCTAGCTTCTCACACCATTCTCACCACATCCGACGTGTATCTCCGGAAGATCTTCGATGTAAATGTGCTCAGCAACTGGTATACCACTAAAGCGTTCCTGCCAGATATGCTTCGTCACAACAAGGGCCATGTCGTGACAGTCGCAAGTACTGCGAGCTTCGTTGGTGTCGCTGGTCTGGCGGATTACTGTGCGACGAAGGCGGCCATTCTCAGCTTCCATGAAGGTACGATGTTTGCTTTTACTCTTTGGTGCAGCATGCTGATTCATGATAGCGCTCAACCAGGAACTCAAGCTCCACTACAACAGCCCGAACGTACTGACAACATCCATACACCCCAATTGGGCTCGCACGCCTCTTCTCGCACCCGTAGAACAGGAGCTCAAGAAGCAGAGATCTGCAATTATTGAGCCAACTGCCGTCGCGGATGCGATTGTTGGAAGGATCATGGGCTGCAGCGGCGGACAGGTGTTCCTGCCTAGCAGTATAAACAAAATCAGTTTGTTGAGAGGATTGCCAAATTGGGTACAAGAGAATGTTCGAAGTGGTCCGAGCAAGGCGATCTACAACACTGTCAAATAGGCGCGATTGATCTCGTATGTAGCAGTTCCGTAGCCGTGTTGTAATGTGGTACCACCCATCTCGCAATCCATGCAACCACCCCGGGGGAAAAGTGACTGGCTTCGGCGAGACTCATGCAGCGAGTCACTTTGTGTGGTAGCACGACCATGACTTGCCGGCACCAACTTACCCATTGCAGTAGGTTTCGGGGAAAAGTGTTGAAAACGGCATGCAACGTGCCGTGTACGCATGAGGTGTGTGTGGGCTCTGCCGTTCTTCTGCCGTGCTTCGGTACCATTCACGTCGCTAGCGCCTCGGTCGCGTCGAAGCCGCCGAAGAACGCGTCGCGTCTCCCCCCTCCAATTGCTCTGCAACGACATACAACACATTACGTCTACGATCAAACCACCAAATCTATACTACAAGAAGGATGTCAGAACCACAGGAAGACGTTCAGATGGACATCCAAGAGATTGAGCTGGAAACACCGCCCTCAGATGTCTTCATGGCACCTTCAATATCCAAGCCAGGCATTCTCGGCGGAAAGTCGTATTCGCACTTCTCGCCAATACCGAAGCGAATAGCAGACGACGTGTCCGGAGAAGTCGTGCTAGGTGTTGATGAAGCTGGACGAGGTCCTGTCTTGGGTACTTGACTGCCTTGTGAGAGTCCTTCTAGTCACTAACATGTTCAGGACCCATGGTGTACGGACTCTTCTATCTACCCATCGAACTGCACCACTCTCTCCTTGCAGAAACGCACCACTTCGATGACTCCAAGGTCCTGACTCCCGAAGTCCGCACAGAGTTAATGCGCAAGCTCTGCACCAAGGGCTCAGATCTCTACGAGGCCGGCGGATGGGCAACACGCGTCATGTCAGCTCAAGACATCTCAGCGCACATGTTATCCCCCAACGTGTACAATCTTAACGCCCAAGCAATGGATGCCACCATAGACCTGATCAAGGAGGTGCTGGCTCAAGGAGTGAATGTCAAGGAGATCTACATCGACACCATTGGCAAACCAGAAATTTACCAGAAGAAGCTAGAGAGGATATGGCCTACAATACGGATTACAGTCGCGAAGAAGGCCGACAGTCTATATCCTGTTGTCAGTGCGGCATCAGTGTGTGCCAAGGTTACTCGGGACGCCGCCCTGGACGTCTGCTACGAACCCTACCAGAATCGCGCCACCGAGGCGAACGAAGATGCTGAAGTCAAGGTGGCTTGGGGTTCCGGATACCCGTCAGACCCAAGGACGCAGACCTGGCTGAAGCTGAACATGGACCCTCTTTTTGGCTGGGGTAGCGAGACTCGCTTTTCGTGGGGAACCGCCAAAGAGCTTCTAGAAGGGAAGAAACCCGACGTCGCTATCGAATGGCCTACGGAAGACGATGGCAACGATATGCGCATGACAGACTTCTTTAGTGGTAAGAATGAGGGTGGTGGAGACGAATTGGTTGACTGGTTCGGAAAGCGTGTTACCCAGGAGATGGATGTGTTCTGATCGCGTGCGGATACCGTACGAGATTGAGAGCACCAGCTCAACCACGATCCGCACGTTGGATACTCTGAACGCAATCAGTAACAAAATCGGCACCGCGCAAACTGCCTATAATTTGATTCGGAAATCAAACTATGCAGGGCAGAGTATTCGGGCGCACCGATCGGTCCGTCCTGCACCGGGCGCCAGCATTAGACGCAGGGTCTGCTAACTGCCCGATCACAAACAAGCAAAATCACGCGCAGACTATAGGTTTGGCACGGATGTCGTAATCGCACGCAGGGAGAATCCATCGAGGCAGTTCAAGCGAGCATAGAAACATTGGTATTTGGTCGACAGAGCAAGAAGCGGTGAAAGGATATCCAAGCCATCTCAGCTGTCATGTTACCTTTCGCATCTACTGGTCTTTGTTCTTTGGGCTCCGAGCTTGCAGTGTGCGCATGTTGACGTCTACTGTGCCAACGGTCGTCCATGCAGGGCACCAACCATCTTCGATAATGCCCGCGCTTCACAACAACCGTGCGACCAGCCACGTTGACATATACAATAAATTAGATCAATGTATCTGAGTCATCCTCTCTTGACCTTACAAGTAGCTGTCAATCCAATATACATGCTTGACTTCCGTTGTAAGAAGATCATAAGATCATCTACCTCCACCACTCAACGCTTTGTGTACTCAAACTTCCCAGACCCAGCCTGGTTACGCGATAACAAAACTTGAATTTGCCAAAATGTGCGCTGATGCCCCCGTTTGTCGAAACTCACCCAGAGATTACAGCAACCCCAGGCCGTTTGCACGAAGAGGTGGAATAGCCAAGCGCGGAGAAGGCAGTCTATCCACAACACCTGGCTATTATGAGAAAGAACTCAGAGCCTTTTACTACCGAACCAAAGCATCGCATGCAGCCAACATAGAAACCGACACCGACACATACCCTCCATCACCGCCACTATCGCCGAAGACCACAGTAACGCCGCTCAAGGTGCGAAGAACACAACGTGTTGAACGCAAACGCGACCATCCTTATCAACAACCTCCATCGAACCGCAGGCCAAGCTGGCGCCCGAATCTCAAACAAGAGCTTTTACGCCGTAGCTCGATCGACTCTATCGTAGACCCTTTCAACGACGTAGGATGGTTTGAGACAGACTGTCAAGTGTCGGCAACACAAAAGAGATGCGGCACTGTTTCATTATCAAATCATGGCGATGTCGAAATGCCGAAGTCGCGACGGCATTCAACGCTACTACATCCGTCATCGCCGGATACTGAGCCCGCCGGCAGTGTTAATTCTTTCGATGCTCCTTCGACCTCCAACTGTATGCACGAACAGGACCAGTCAACCAATCTTTCGACCCACCAATCAGTTATGGCTTCGAGGAAAGGCTCGTCATTGTTGCATCCATCCAGTCCTGCCAGCGACATTCCTTTGGGTGTTGAGCTAAAAACTGTCATGTGTTTACCCCAAAAGTCCCTATGGGGAGAAGGCCGAGCACATTGAGGTTCACGCTCACCAAAAAATCTTGCTTTTGGAGCCGGGCATTACTGTTCTTCTTGTTGTCTCGATTCTCTCATTCAAGTGTTACTCAAGGTGACGGTGGTTGTAGAAAGCATTCATGGCTGCTAGTCTGACGTTCTTTTGGCTTTGTGTCCGCTTTCAACATCTGAGTGGGCGGCGGATCCGTGTGGGTCTTGCTTTTGCACCCACCGAGACATAAAGGCGTAAACACAACCGCTGGACTTCACCAATGCGGAGAGCCGGCGGAAGCCACCAGGACTTTCGGATTGCCCGGACATTCGCGACATTGAATGCATGTAGGGGAGCATCCTCCGACTATGAAAATACGGTGTACATTATAGGCGGCTTTTTCTCATCATTATAGCATGTTTGGTAGCAACTTGTTTCCGGGTCGCAGCTGGTCAAGTCAACGTTGAGTTCCAACAACATTGTCCCATTTCCCAACGATACCTAGGTAGCAGGATCCCCAACAACCACATAAATGGCAGCACCAAGCGCAGATCTTTTTTCGCGCAGCGACTTTCTCAGCGGAGACTTTGTTCTTGCCAACTGCGGCATTTGTGTGAAACCGTTCGATGTAGATCATCAACCGTTCGACAGAAACTGTCATCATATATACATGAGGCCCGCAAACTGTCATCACAAATTTGGTACTGATTGCTTTTAGAGACTGGCCGGGGATTGCGATCTAGAATATGGACTACCCAAATACCCCCTTGGCAAACAGTGGCCCTTCTCCAAACTTGACAGACCTGAATTCTTCGAGAGCGCGCGACAGATACCCCTCGCCAACGAGGACGTTCAGTTGGCTCAGCATCCTGACGCTCGAATCGAGGCGGAAACCTTTATCAAGCTCATTCGAAAGGCATTGTACGGTCTCTACAAACGAGAACAGACTATCTACGATTCTGATATCGAACAAGGCGTTAACTTTGGCTTGATTCAATGGCCCAGTATCACACTTTGGTCCCCCATGTGTTTAGCGAATACTGCCTGGTGTTAGAAAGCTGGTACGGGAGATGCTGGAGGACACACGTACAGTTTGAGGGAAGTGTTGGTGTGAAAGTTGAGATATTGCGAAGAAAACGAGGCACTTCCACCGCATTGGGTAGAATTCAAATTCACTCGAAGTCAACATGGTACTTCCACCGCTGATAACACCACTTTAACAAGAACTACCTTCTTATCTAGGCACGTTATCACGAGGTTAGTCCACTCACCAACCTAGTTCTTCACTCTTCTACCTGTATATAAATCTGAGCACTCTCTCAAAAAACTACAACCAACTCTTTTCTCTATTCTATATTTCCGAAGGCGAGTCACCTTTGTCTTTCGAATCCCTCCTTACATCAAAGACAAGAAACATGGATGTGCCATTGAAGGACCGCAAATCTTTCCTCGATGAATGCATCGAGAGTAATGCAGATTGCGATCTCTGTGGAGGTTTTCTCCCACGTAAGAGCCAACAAATCCTTCTTCACGCCTCTTGATTACTGACATACTTGTCTTAGCACTATCTCTCCGCATTAGAAGCGAATCGCATCCCTGTCACGGAGTATATTGTGGTAGTTGTCTCACCAATCACCTCAAACATCACAACACCTGTCCGGTTCATCCAGACGTAGTCCTCTTTTCCTTCGGTCGTGAGCCGGAGTTTATGTCTGGTCAACGCGAGACCGCCAACACGCTCGATCGGATCACATCTGACATCGAGGCTTCTGAGTTCGTCATACAACTATGGTGTGCAACTAGGCAGCTGTACGGCTACGAGCACATCTTCGACTCCGACATTCAAGAGAAGATTAAAGATACGCTAAACGTGATCTGCGAGGTCTTTGATCACGAATCTCCTTTGCTCATAAAGGACGAGCATATGCCTGGTGTCGTGTCCATCGCGAGAGAAATGGTCGAATTGAACTTCAAGTGTCAAAATAACCCCAATGAGGAATGTGTACTAGGACACTGGCTACCGAAGATGGACCAGGCTGTAGGATGGGCACGGCGGACCTGATTTGGCTCGGAGTAGTCTGCTGGTTACACAGTTGAGGTATTGTTCGTATCTCATCATGTCGATGTAGGAGGCAGAATAGACGATGAAGCTACGAAGGCGGACTCTCAGGCCTAGACAGGAAACAGGCACCTCAACTGCTACTATCGTCTAGCGTTCATAATAGCCATCTTTTGATTAAATTTCGATGAAAGTGTATTAATTCATCGCTGATACTACCTACAAGTCATGCTTACTGAATCCAAGCTCATATATGTATCCCAAGACGAGCTGGCCATGTTGCATCACGTGGTCGGGATCCATATGTTCCATAGTGTCATTGGCAGTGTGGATGTAAGGGTTTCGGTACTCAAAAGCAGATTCGAAGACGAACGACGCGGGGAAGCCACTCCTCATCGCAGAGCCATGATCGGAACACGCGTATCCGCATGTGCTGTTGACATATGTGATGTCGGTGTACTATCGAAGTTAGATCTGCTGGCTTATGTCTTGATTTGCATGCACTCACCTCCTTGATGACGCGAGTGATGTACTCGTTAAGCGCCGGATCCGTGAAATCAGTGATAAGACCAAAGCTCTCTGGCTTTCCAGCATCAAGAGTAGCCTTTGTGTATCCAACCATATCCTGCTGTAACATGGCCCAGATATCCCTGCCGGCAACCGCATATTGCGTGAAGATGTCTTGACTACCACGCAATCCCCCTTCCTCCGCCGCGTACCAATGGAACTCGATGGAGTTTTGCAGCTTGCTTGGGCCGAAGTCTTTGTCGCTTAGCAATACGCGGAGAGCTTCTAGGATAAGAAACGAGCCGCTACCGTCATCATCGACACCTGGCGCACGCCCATTCATTCGGTCTGCTGAATTGATAGAGTCGAGATGAGCACCCACAACTACAGTCCTGTTGCTTCGTCCTTGGACACGCGCAACGACAGAGTTTTGCGGCCATCGTGCGTGTGGGAAGGCTTCGGCAGTAACGCCCTTCTTTCCAGACTTCAATACGACATCTTGAACCTGACCAAGAAGCCACTGCGCAGCCTCGGCGCCGGTTTCGGTTTCGGAAAAACGCGTGTGAAAGGTAGAGTAGTACTCTAAGTTCTTTTTGACGTTATCCCAGCTGAGTTTCGGGAAAAGTCGCTTGACATTTTCTTGGTATTTGAACTTTTTGGGGTAGGGTGGTCCTGCTCTGACTGCGAGAGGTGCGACATGAGAGTCACTGATGTCGAAGAAATGGCTTCCGCAGCCGCCGCTCTAGGAGAAAGTCAGATTAGGTGAATCCTAGCGAGGTGTGTGTTACTGACAGCGGAAAGTTCCCATCTCTCTTCTTCTGTGATCTGACTAGTCTCTCCAGGAGCGACTTCAATAGTGAATAGCGCCCTAGGCGCGACCTGCTCTGGCTTCGCAAACACAGCGGTCGCACATACTGCGGCAAGGAGAGCTGCAGACTTCATCTTGGTAATACTGGGGATATCGGATTGCTTAAGTAGTTGAAGCCAGTGTGGTACTCAAATCGTGCTCATGATGCCAAATATATAGGTGTCTTGCGTCAGCTTCGGGGTGCGTTCTTCCATCATGTTCCGCTTGGTGCCTTGTCTAACCACGGGCGATATGTTTGTGTGTATTCAAAGGATGTACCAAGAGTAGAGCGAGCCAATATCGTAACCCACAAGCCAATCGGACCGTACAAAAGATCCGGGGTAGATGCTAAGCGCGTCTTGTCGCTGTAATGAGTCTTGTCTCTTTCCTATCCTGGGGTAGTGCATCGTGTCTTGTCGCGAAGAGTATATTTGCATTCAGGTAGAAAGTAATTTGCTTGCTGGTCCGAACTGTCGGATCATTTAGCCAGACTTTGATGAAATCTGGACAATGAGGGGGTTACGAGAAGGAAGCGAGGGTAGGACGTTGCACCTGCATGCACGAGAAGATGTTGCGCTTGAACCACGCTAATGTGGCTGGTTCATGCTCCACTACTGTATGGATCACGACCCTGGTCGTGATTCAACTTCCCAATGGGCACTCCTCACCCATTATGGATATCGTGGTCTGCTTGCTGGAGATGTATCTCTAGCAATTCGTTAGAATTTCTATCTGTGGCTCGCCTCGGCTCGCTACGAAGCCGACCAATCGTATAAAGCCTTTCGTAACAGCAAGCAAGCGAGGGCCTACTTTTTTCTTCGCTTCTCGTTCGTAGACAGCAGCGCAGCTGCCTAATCGTGATTGTCTCATACTAAATGCTTCTACTTCGCCCTTATCTTTTCGACCTCTATCACAATAGCACAATAGCTATCAAGATCTCAAAAGGCTCCATGGAATATCCTTGAACTGATAAACATCTGCTTGGAACAGCTCGACGTGTTGAGAGATGGATAAAACAGCACGGCATCGCAACGAATTACAGACGGTCTGAATCTTAATGTTAATTGTCATCAATACGTTACAAGCCTACACTGACGTCTTTATTGACTGTCCTTAATGTGTTCGTAAAGCCCACCCATTTCGTAGCACCTTCAAGATTTCACGACGTAAGTATAGAGCGATCGAGCACAATCAGTTTTTAGAAAGTGCCCCGTAGAGATAGCTGGTGTTATATACTTACAGGTCAACGAAGCGTGTAAAGATGTAAAGTACAGCGCTTTAACCAGCAAAGATGGAAACCAAAGCTAGAGCACGTCACAGCATGCACACTAATCTTCTGGCGATAGGCCTGTAGCATTCGGAAAACAGAACGGAAATCATACCAACGAAAACACAGTCAGGCATACTTCGCGTTGTATCCCTATAATTCAGACTCGCGGTCGAGTCCGGCATCGCGGTCCTGCATTGCTGCACACGGTGTGGAATCAAGTAGTCCAAGCGATGGATGTAAAGGGCAAAGAACGCACGCTCTGAAGCAGCGAGCGTCTGTAGGTGCTTGCAAGCGAAGCTGTTTGCCAGCAGGCTATCGTAATGGACATGAAGTTCCCGGTTGGACTGGTCGATATGCATGCCCCACCACGGCAAATCTCACTAAGAAAAAGTTTGCCGCAACACTGCCCCACCATGCAGCGTTTTCAATGTGATCTCAACCGTCTGAACTGACAGAATCATGGATAATTCGACATACAATGTTTCTATCTTTTGATCTTGTCATCATTACTAAGCAACAACTGGCCTAATGGCCCAATGGCAAGGCGCTTGACTACGACTCAGTTCGATATCAAGAGATTCCAGGTTGTAAGTAGCACTCAGTTGCCACCTGTTCGAATACAGCTTCTAACATGCTCTCAGCGACCCCTGGTTAGGTCATCAGTTCTATCATGCTTAGCATCTTTCGCATCGGTGGTTTAGTGGTAAAATTAGCCGTTGCCATCCTTCGCAGGACAGTTTCGGCTAGCCCCGGGTTCGATTCCCGGCCGATGCATCACTTGCTCTAGCTATCTTTTTTGCGGTTGTAATGATCTGGGGATAATATCGTTGTGGCAGAGATGGTGGATGGTGCGGCAGAGGAGACAGAACCTCTTTTTTGAAATTTGACTAAAGACAAACATCGAACACTACTTACTTTGAACGTCGCATCTGCGAGAGCTAAGATTAGTTCTTAGAAGCTAATGCATTCTCAAAGATTGCTGCGAAAAGTGAGTTGATATGTGTGTGTGTGTGTGGCCTTTTTCATTCTTCTGGCTAGATCTTGTTTCAATTTGCATCTACATCTGACGAAGACTGGTATATGTTTCTCGACTTGCAGGACAAACGTAGTTTTCTTGCAGTTCTTTAGATGCACGCACTCACTCGAATGTTGCGTTATCTGCCTTTGATGAACTATCGCAAAAAAAGGTCGCTTCTGTCAGTGCAATGGCGTCAATGCTTAAGCTCGGGAATTGGCACAAACAGTTCTCAAGGTGTCCTGAGTGACGAATGCACAGACCTATTGAGCGGTAGCCCTTCCGACTGTACCTATTGGAGGTGATGGGAAAGAACTTGAGTGCGGTCTGGATGTGTAATTGCTTACCCTCCTTCCGCAAACAATACTCCTCGCATGAACCTTTGGAGCTCGGCTTTTCATTTTCTCGAATCGCACGTGCGGCGAGCGCTCACCATCGGGAGGTCTGCTCCAGAGCTCCATCGCACAATATCCATGGGTTTTAGTAGAGGAGCAACTTATAACCTGGATCCAGATGCCAGCAGCGTCTTATTGTATGGCCTGTTCGTACAAAGAGTTGTATCAATCTTGCTTGCAGCGTCTTCAGCGACAACGGCTCGAATATAGAAGTCGTACGCATTGCGCCTAAAACTTGGGCAAGTCGTTTCATTGAAGATTGCCGGCACACGTACGTCTCGGCTAGATACTGGAGATATGGCGATGGTAGCCGCAACTGCCGTAGTTGCCGTAGTATTGAAAGCAGGTCAGATGGTACGTGTTATACCCGGTTGGTAACGAGCAACGGCGAAGGTCACCGCTCTTTCCAATTTCTCAACATCTCAGACCGACATGTACTCTTTGGTATCAATCCCAAATAGTGATGATGGGCAGCGGCAAAGAATACCGCTCTCTTCAATATCTCAACACGGCTCACCGACACGTTTTCCTTTGACCTCAGCCTTCACGACTTTGACCGGAAAAAGCGCGTGTTGCACCGGCCCCGTACACATCGCGTCTATTCTCGCAGGATTTGCGCGACCAGAGTGTTTCTCCACGGTCGCACCACAGAATTCGTACCACATACAAAGGTACCCTTTCCAGTGTATTCTGATGCGATGGTCGAGCGCCTGTGCGGTAGGGGGAGACTTGGTGCGTATCCTACATGGCCCCAACGACACCCCGGTTATATTTAGTCGTGGCAATCATCAGGCTTCCTCTGACGGTGTAGTTGATCAAACCTGATTCTGTAGTTCGCGGGACCGAAAGGAAATATTTAGGATGGATTCTGGCAGGCGCTGTGCTGTGCGTATACACCAGTGTAAGATGGTACGGCTCTTGAGCACTAAATGCTAGTTGTTGAGCCGAGCTAGCGTGCCAAGACCGGCACAGCACGACTTCCGCGCCGCTAACGTCCTGATCATCTCCATGAATAGCCAAAGCACGAGCCACAATTTCTCCACGCCACTGAAAGCGGAATCCTCGCTACCAACCTAAGCACATCCAAGATCTGCTCGACTCCACAGATCCGTTGCACTACGCCATACGCATGCTTTTTGAGAAACACGTTTCATCCCGTTTACGACCATCCGCCAGCTGTTGCGTGGGATGCATAGTCGAGACCTGGGTAATCACTGAGCCACGAGCCTGTCCTAACGACATCTGTGTCGTGATACGCCTCCTTGGGCGCCCTGGCACAGCCTCCGCATCTCAGCTCGTATCAGATGTTCCATCGATGGATTTGCGTTCCAACAGATCTCCTGCATCTCGCATATCGTTGTGGCGCTGGAATTTGCAAAATCCGTTCGTCAATCTGAAGATCACGAGCAAAAGCAACGGTGCGCTCGACCAGTTGTATGCAGGCGGGGATGCGCCATTCCCCACCCATCCACACGAACCCATAACACAAATCCATCCCTGAAGGACATTAGACTTTGAGACTTCCTTTTCTCTGTTTGTTCTTTCTCAGCTGTACAGCAGTCCTGAATTACTACTGCTTGAAACTCAAGCCACAATCTCTACTAGGACAGTTTTGGCTGCATGATGGGGAGAGGAAGCAAATCATCTGCCTTGTCCGGATAGCTGCATCGTCTCATCATGACGACATCGTATATACAGACCATCTCTCCGTTATCAGATACACATGGTACGGATAAGGGAGTAGGTATACCGCCGCGCTGGAAAGACCCTCACCGTCTTGACCCTGAGAGACCTTCATGAGCCCTGAAATGTCCCTGATACAGAAGATCAGCCTTGAGAAAAGCAGTCGCGCACCGAAGGACTCCGGAAGGGTACCTGAGAATCAGTCCCAGGTGCTGATAGCTTCACTAGAGCAGCCGTGCTGTACCATGGAAGACACTGGACCCCTGCAAAGAAAGGACTAGTTCAACGGCAAAACAAAATCATCCCCGCTCGTGTACCTTGCAGGCTATGACAACTCGACGATTGGCTCCCCACTACGCCTATGCAGCTTTGCTATCTCTATAGCGACGTCGGCGAGGAGCCGTGAACCATGCGCCTGTGTCTGCGGTGCTACCCCGGGCTGAAACGCCATGCTCAATTCGCCGTACAAGACGCTCTCCTCTAAACATCCTGGTCTCCTCCATCTCCTCTCGACCACGCTCTTTTATTCTTGCCCATACGTTCGTTTCACCCGTGTACTTCTCATCGGACATTCACCCGTTTCAACCAACTCCCCTCGGCCTGGTCGACAACTCTGCATGAATTCGCGGAGGACACAGGACACCGGACACCATTATCGTCGCCTCATACAATGGATGTCAATGCCAGCGCGGTCTCACCCTCCGGAACTCCTCTGCCCTGGCAAGTCCCCGACAGGGGACCGCTCCATCTTGCCATCGTCGTCACGCTGGCCTTGACCGGGCTGTTGATTTATTCGCTAAGAGCCTTCACTCGTGGAAGGCTCGTTCGTTCGTTCGCCATCGATGATGGGCTCATGGTACTGGCCGCTGTACGTTCGAAACTTGGAGTGAACAGGTTCTGTATTAGCTAACACTCAAACAGCTATGCACAATAGGAATCTTCATCACATTCACTGGAGTCGTAGAGCTTGGTATCGGGCAGCAGGAGGATGGCTATGTCTTACCGGTCAGCAAGACCGTTCAGATGGGCCCATGGATGTGGGCGTTGAATTCACTCGTCATCTTAGGGCTGGGTGCTGTTAAGCTATCGGCTACTTTTACCCTTCTACCTCTGGCTGACGCCGGGAGTCGTTCGTGCTTGCTGATGGCACGCACTATTCTTCTCATCGGACTCATGTGTAGGTCTACAGCCACGATATTATCTAACGCAGAAGCTGATGAACACAGTACTAGTATTCTGGCACACGGTTGAGTGGTTCATATCACTCCTCGCTCAATGTGTCCCTCTAGTAGCAGCCTGGGACCTTTCAGATGCTAGGGCATTGTGCATGTCGCAGAGCGAGTCGAAGCACTGGGCTCTGGCGAACTACCGTAAGTATCGCCGTCCATAAATACTAGAAATGGTACTGACTGGGTGGTCCAGCCATCAATGCTGCATCAAGTCTGCTATTGACCTTGTTCACGATCCCTATTGCCGTGAGCTCTTCGTTGAAGCTCGGTTCTACCCTACATCTTCTTGCGGTGGTATCTTTGGGACTCTTTGCATGCGCGGCAGCTATCATCAGAACCTGGATGGTCGTCACGTCATGGGCTGAGGTCGGCTATCGCAACAACTTCGACTTAAACTTCACCACGTGGGGAATTTGCGAGTTCCTGACCGCGATGATAGCTGTTAACCTTAGCACCTTATTGCCTCTCGGTAGAGCAATCCGCAGTCCCGCCAATGCTGCCCGTGACGCTCCACGTTCCGTTGGCATCTCCGGTCCCGTAGCCGGTAGCACCGTCCACCTACTCCATGGCGATGTCGACGAGGTAGTTCCTAGCTACTCCGAGACTTACCCAGAGGAAACAAACCATTCTTACAACTCCCGCTATTCAGGTCAGACAGTCATCTACAGGCCCGACACAGCTTATTTCCCCTCCCACTTTCAACAAGGCAACCACAGCTTATCGCGTTTCCACGACGACGAATCAAATCTCGACTTTGACATTGAGGCTCCGTCGACACGGTCCAGCCCTCCTCGTAAGACAACGAAACTAGGGCCGTCGTCACGCTTCTCCGCGTCAACAGTCAGCACACACACACGTAGAGTGAGTGACTGGTCACAGCTCAGTGGAGACTCACACAAAGACTCTGAAGCCGATTTCGAGAAAGAAAAGGGTGGAAGAGTCAGAGTGAGCGCAGTGGAACTTGAGGAGATTGTGAAGAGCCTAGGCCTCAAGAGACATGGTAGTCATAGGACCTGGGACAAGGAGCTAGGCTCATCCGAGGATAAGAGCGAAGATGGAGGAAGCAGTGTTGCACCAACAATATACCTCGAAGACGACGACGTAGAGTTAGATGGAGCTGGAGACATATGCACATGCCCAGCGCCAAGGGCAAGGGATGACGCGAGTATGCGGGCTGAAGCAGACTCGAGCGAGGTCACTGTGATACGCATACGTGGCAGCGCGAAATGCAGCCTCCATAGACAGGAGGCTGGCGCTCGACCGGCTCATTCGCGACTCAACTCTGGAGAGTGGATCGCGCGCGCATCGTGAGATGTATTACCATTTTGGATTTTCCTTTGTCATCGACAGCGACTTTTTCCTTGAAGACCATTTTTCGTCTCGAACCGCGGCGGTGCCGTTTTCGGCTGGAGTCATATACCATCATCATCACCATCTCTTTCCTACATACATCGTTTTATGTTTTGCAAGGCAAGAAAAGACGCCAAGAACGCGCGCCTTGCACATATCGTTTTCTACAAACTCAGATAGCTCCTACAGTCATAGTCAATAGTTATAATTTCCCAACTCCCATCTAAGATGTCTTAGTGCTGTCTACTTCATGAATGAGTGTCGAATTTACTCAGCCCACCGCTTCTTGACATATTGCGCCTGGTGGCCACCGGGTAGTTCATTAACCCAAGCATCAATCTCTTCTTTCACGACACGCGGAACCGTGCACTTGTTCATCGCAGCAGCATTCTGCGTCTTAAGCGTAGGACAGTTCTGATAGCAAGGCGAGTCAAGAGCACGTTGGAGCGCGTCGCCTTGCCAGCCGAACAGGTAATCGCCGTGGTTCGCGTAACCCGTTCTAATCGACAATCATCGAACATTAGTAGCCGCATTTCCTTGCGCGAATCGTAACGAGGACTTACCCATCGCCGAAACTCCAGACGAATGGTTGACTACCATCCTCAGGCCAATCAGCCTTGTTGTTAAACTTGCTTGTGTCCTACAATGATACGTGTACGAAGTCAGTATATGCCCTCAGATACAGTTCGTCTAGGGATATCTTGTACCCAGATGACTTCGTAGAAGAGCTGACCCATGCGTACGGGATGACTAGCGGGACAGGGACCGCCAGATTCAAAGGAGCCGAACTCGGGGTAACTCATGTGTGCCTGAGATGTGGGTATACAAAGTCAGTATATGTCTCATATTCAGTTCGTGAAGGGACATCTCTCACCATATGATCTGGGGAATCAAGGTTGACTCCGTCCCAGCAGCTGAGTTGGGTATTAGTAGGACCACAAAGACGGATAGATGGATGAGCATGACGTACGTGGGGAAGCGAACTGCAGTCATGATGCCCGTCTTGCATGGTTGGGTAGGGAAATCAAGAGTCTGCGGATCACGCGTGTTGATATTGTCTAGACAAGTGAATGTCAATTGGCGGAAGCGCTCGGCTTCTTCCTTGGTACGGGCATTCACGTCACCAATGAACATGCGGAAGCCGGGCTTGAAGGCCTGGACTTTGGAGGTTTGCTGGAAGTTATAAAGCCCATCTTGCATGTAATACACTGTCATGCCTCCGTTGACGCCGTTGAAGCCTGAGTTGGGGATTTGAGGGACGCGCTTGTATGTGCCGTTTCGGGCTTTGAAGTATAGCACGGCTGTCCAGTAGTTCTATAGGCTCGTCAGATTGGCCCAGACGTGTCGAGGTGTGAGTGGTATTGCTTACGGAAAAGTCCTCGCTGAACTGACAAGATGTACATGTCGACTCCCCTGGCATGTCCTTTTCCGGGTCCATGGTAACATTGAAAGAGTTACCCCCCAGAATTTGATGTAAGTGAGGAGATGGAGCCTGGCCAGGTGTGACCAGCGGATCCAACCTGTCGATGACTAGCTGAGCGCATGGGAAGCGCAGTAGTGCAGTCGCGGGTGCGACAAGCGCCAGAGCGGTAGCAGTGAATGCCTTCATGTTGGAGAGAGTGGTGAGCTGTAAGGGAAGATAGCAAACTGAAAGTACAACTGTGCGCAGAATATAGCACGTCTTATACAGCCGCGTGAGATATGCATACGATGTCACCAGGATCAGGGGTGGTAACACCGAACGGGTATGCTGTGTCGCAAAGGCATAATCCGGTCTTAGTGGAAATCAAAATGAGCATCATCTCGTGTTGGGATGGAGCTAGGGCAATTATGGATCCTTAAGTTGGACGCGGATACATGCTGGCATTGCAAGGATGGGTTCGATGCACATCAACGTCTCTTAGTTGTCATTCCCGGTTGCTCATTATCCATTCATGTTTATCCCTCCTATCGTATCAGGCAGCCATGCCAGTCATGGTGCTTCTGGTGGCATCGAGTGCACTTCGTGATCGGCTGGGGCAATTCGCACAGTCTCATTACGATGGTGAACGTGACGCATTAAGTCGGCAACAACGTTGCTGCGATTGGAAACGGCCCCTCCTTGAGCCCGGATAGCTCCAGCGATGTTGATCTCCAAGATTTGTCGAATATCGCAAGTCTTGACATCCCGTCGGCAGTTGCATCGATGGATAGCGGAACAAGTAACGCCCCACTTGTACAATGACACCTCACATGACAGGGAAGCGATGACTGGTTGTTTGGTATTTTGGCTGGATGATGTTCGTGGACGTCGAGACAAGGTTCCACGAGCCTCAATCTATCTCATTTGCCGCCGCGCCAAGTTGTGGGGTACCAGTATCCCCAATTCTTTTAATTGTTCAGGCCCCGTACCTCATCAATGCATGCCACTCGTACGGGATTCTTGGCACGTTATAGATGATTTGCGCATGATCATTGGACCATTACAGGGCGCCCAGCTGAGGAAAGTGAATGACGACAAAGGAGGGTAGTTGCATGGCTTGGGCGAACGGCAGGTCAAAAGAACAGGCTGTTTGAGTAGAATGGATCTGATCGCAAGGTGGGAGACTGGATCAACCTGGTACGCTTCCTTGAAAGTAATATAGTCCATGTGGTGCTGTCAGCTAGAGCCTCTGAAGTCTCAGATATCCTTCTGGAATACCGAATTCTTCTGCTGCTCGACTTTAGAAGCTTTCCCATCTCTTTTTCATTGGACAGCTTGTTACACGACATTTTTTCTCCTTACTGGACAGCTCTGAGTTAGCCATGAGAACCGCTGCTCTCTGGGCGTGCTGCGTGTCGGCCGCATCTGCCGCGTTTGACTTGAATCGGGGTGGTGCTGTTCTCAAAGCACCAGCAGGCGACTCGTTTGCCACCGTCACAGGGACTGTGAGTTGCTTCCATGCTGTACGTGATTGTGTACCAACTACATGTACAGTTTACAGTGCCGAACCTGTCGGGCACCAATCGACTCTCGATCTGGGTGGGCATTGGTGACACACTTGAGCAGGATAACGTCCTTGGTGGTGGTATTGTTTATAACAGTACCCTTAACAGCTTCTCTGCGTACTTTCCTGGTCCGGTGACGGACACCACTTCGACTGTTCCTGTTGCAAACGGTAATTCGATCACTGTAACTGTCAACTTGGCTGCCGCTGGGGGTACCGTGACCATCGAGAATAAGACACAGAATAAGAGAACGACACAGACACTCGCTGCCCCTCCCGGCGTGGACCCATTCGCTTTAACTGCTCTTGCGGCAGACTGGTTCGTCCAGGCATATCAAGTAATTCCAGGCCAGCTGGTGGCCACGCCAAACTTCGGGACGGTATCATTCACTGCGGTGACTGCGACGACCAAGAGCGGCGTGAACGTTCCGATCTCAGGCGCAGGAAGATATGAGATACAAGGAACCAGTGGACAGGTTAGTCGTGCGTGTTACTTGGTGTACCTCAGCTAATGTTTGGGCAGATGTATTCGAAGACGACAATATCAAGCACTGGTATTTCTGTGCAGAGACAGACGGTTTAGAGGAGACCATGGCCGAGAGATGAACTAGACGTTGCTGTATCGGTGTATCGCCGTACATAATGGCGAATAGACGGGTTGAGAATATGCCATGTATATATTATGTTTCTAGGCCTCGAAAAATGCATGCCATATCAAAATACTGATCCGCGATGACCATGACAGAAGAAGACGTGATGGTGATGATAATGATGATGATGATGAAGGCGATGATGGCGTTGGTGAAGCGGCAGCGATGACGTTCGCTTGGGCGGCTTTCCCCTCCACATTTGTCGACGCGTCGCGACATCCCGCCTGCATTGTGCGACGACAAGGCAAAGATGCGCTTCAAGGCGTCGATACAGAACATTACAACCTTTACGAGCAGGTACACGTGCTTGATACGTGAGATGGCAGCTGACACCGTCTAGAGCTTACAGCGTCGCTCAATTCGCTCGGCCCGCTCGCGTGGGTGAAGCTCAGCGAGGAGCAGGTATGCTTCACCATCATACCAGAGCAGGGCACACAAGTATGGGCGTGAGTAAACGCTTCGTATCTTGGTGTCGCTCCTTCTAACCAAGTGTAGTGTGCTCTCGATTGTAAGCATGTTGTCTCGTCTTGGCCGTGTGGAGGTTAATGCGCCGCGCAGGACTCCATCTTTGAGAGCATCAGCGTGCAGTCGGCTGCAGATAATGTCATCAACCTCGAAGTTCCGCTCGCGTCGCTGAATCGCGCCCTCAAATCGGCCTTCAATGCCACGTCGGCCCAGATACGCCTCACCAAGAAGGACAACCTGCCCGTGCTCGCTCTTACCGTCACCACTACCCCGTCCTCGAACACGTATAGCGCCTTCCCTACTACTTTGACCAATGAGGACGACGACGACGATGAGTACGGCGACGACGATGACGACGGCTTCGATGCCGCCTTCGACAACGAATTCGGTGGAGGCAACCGCGAGACCATCATCACGCAAGAGATACCTATACGTGTGCTTGCTCCGGATACGGTAGCCCATCTGCATGAGCCTGTCTGCAGGGAGCCGGACGTGCACATCATCCTGCCGCCCTTGATACAACTGAAAAGCATCAGCGACAGGTTCACCAAACTAGCGCTGGCAGACACCACCAAGGCAAGCAGTGCGACGACGGCAGCGAGAACCCGCCTAGATGTCTCGGCCAATATGCACGGATGCCTCAAGATAAGCATCAGGTCTGACGCCATGAACATATCTTCCATCTGGACCGATCTCAGCAACCCGGAACTAGACCCTGGCCACGTCGCTGGCGGCGAGGACGGCGTTGCTGAACATCCGAGCACGCGTATGAAGCAGCTAGGGTCGGCCGATGGGCGTAGCGAACAAGGTTGGGCCACAGTGAGGATTGACGGCCGGGACTGGGGCAAGGTCATGAGTGTGGGCAGACTGGGCGGACGGGTCATTGCCTGTAAGTCTCACGAAGCCCACTTCTACCAGCATGCTAATACTCCAAAAGGCTTCTGTCACGAGCATGCACTCATTCTCTACGTGTACTTGCCCAACGATAACGGCGAGGACGAGTCAGTCTTGACAGTACGTTGCACTTCTCATGCTCTCATCCACAACGCTGACATTCACTCAGTACTTCATCAGCTCCTACAGCGCATAGCAAATTGACCTCGGTGCCCGCACCACGCTTACGAGTCACGAACTAGATACCATTTCTCGCGAGAGCTCAACTTTCAACACATTTTCACGTCGTTGTCCACCGTAGAAGTACTTCCATGGTCTTGTGGTGACTTGCTTCAACAACTTGCTAGTCCTGCATTCATAAGGGTCGCATTACTCGTGTGCAAGCTACAAAATGCGGCTGGAAGCGCTGGCGGAAATTAGCATGCCATTAGCCGAAGGCAACAGAAGGGCGCCTAGAACTTCAAGCTGCGGGCACCACTTCCAGACTACGCCTCGTGCTTCGTGTTACCTTTTCACGATAGTATAAAGTATGTCTATGCTCGTGTTTTCGAGCGAGATAGGCTTATTCGCGTATATCTTTCATACTGCAACATGGACGAAGCTCCTTTCACCGCCTCACTGCCTTCACATACATCCAACCTGAGCGACGTGCACACAGTCAATACCGACGATACATGTTTTCTCACCAATCTTGCGACTGAACTCGTTCATCGTATAATCGATTTTATACCCCCCGCATCCCATATCGACTTCGCATGTTCCTGCAAACATTTATACGCATGTTCCGCGGACGTGTTCAAGCGCCATCGCGATGCCCAGCTGAAATACGGTGTTGCGTCTGATGTTGACCCCGCTACGATTCCCACTCTCCTTCGAAGCGCATTTGGATACGGTGACCCTATTCTGGCATGGCACGTTCGATCCTTAGAAGTCTGGTATGACCGCAGAGGATGGGACCTGTGGAAAATGCTCGATTTTGAAACACCCGTCGATCAGAGTATGCAGTCACCGATAGCGTGGGAGTTCATACCTGGCGAAATCGACGATTATTTAGAGCGACTGGAGCAGGGACAGGGTCGTCTTCTACCCCGGCGTATCGATGAAGCACGTACGCAGATCCTGGACGGGCATGATACTTACCTAAAAGCCCTTCTTATTGTTCATTGTCCGAGACTTCGAGATGTCAAGTTTGTCTTACCAGCGCGTCACGAGGTCGAAACATATTCTTGTCTTGGATGGCTCGACACCTTCATAAATGATTCTCATAACAAGAAGACTTCTTGGGGCCCGGGACTGCAAAACCTACAATCAGCCGCGGTCGGCCTACCTTCCGGGACCTGGGTGGACGATGCCTTCCATCCTAACACAGAGCCTCTAAATAGCATAGGGATGCTGGTGCAATTCCTGCGTCTACCCCACCTGGAAAGGTTATATTTCAAAGACCTCGAGGACACCAGTGATGATGAGGTATCTTGGGACGTGTTAGTACCAGCCGGAACTTCCAGCATCAAACATCTTTTCCTGGACAATTGCGGCGAGCTACACAGCGAGCCTCTCAATGCTATTGTGGCCGCCCCGTCAGCCCTCCAAACAGCCTGTTTTCGCGCCGGCGATGCATTACTTGAACACGCCGACAATTGGGTCAGCAGCCTAGGCACCTGTCAAGGACAGTCGCTCGAAAGCCTCATGTTCTACGGCTATGACTCTAATGGTAGTATTCATGGCTATCGTTGCGGCGCCTTCCGCCCGGAAGAGCTCAACGATCACAGAGCTTTGAAGCATGTTTGCATGGACATTTCGGATTTTGAACTCGAAGCCTTGTACAATATAAAAGACGATAGAGAAGAGTGGGAAAGTGATGGAGCGCTTGCCGAACGCACTTTTTTCGAATGTGTGAAGCAGTACGAGGTAATAGTTCTTTGGGGGTCGCTTGGTAACTTTTACGTTCAATGGGAGCCGACTGAGGAACAAGGCTTTGAAGACGCGGTGTTAGCTGTCCTCAGCGGATCCGAGTCTTGCACACTAGCCATGTACTTGGAAAACGTCGAGAAGCACAGTAGAAACTTGAGTGGAATAGAGAGCCCATCTCAACCCATCGAAAAGGACAAGATCTGGTTCCGCCGCGCGATCGAAACAGCAAGGAAGCGTGGCGTCGATCTCCATACACTCACAAATCGGAACAAGCCAATTCACCAGATCGAGTTTCCTGAAGCGCCTGATAAGTACGACCTCAAGACTGGACCATGGGGTGAGAGACCAGAGGATTGGGTCTTCAATGTGTACACCGGTCGCAGGGAACCGCAAGGCTGCGGGAAATGCGGGGACTGTGATGTTTGCTTTGGGTACTACAGTAAAGAGATGTGGGATGGACTGAAGAAAGAGCCAAGGAAGATCAGGTATGACGGCAAGAACGAGGATGGGATCGAAGACTAGTAGGAATGGATCGATACTCGAGTACGAAAAGTCGTACTGCGGTTTTCCTTGAGATTATACATGCAAACATATCGACCATGTTGATATCGCAATGTCTTCGGGGATGAACCTAGTCATGGCATGTGTTATCGAGAATAACTGCCACGGTCTGACTGTGGAGACGAATGATTCAATTCAACGATTGAGCATGACGTCATCTTATGTATTCTCAACCATGTTCCATCTTCTTCTCCCTGCTCTTTCGTTTCGTCACACCCTCAACAATTATGCTGTCGGGTCACGAACATGCCCATATGTCCCAACAAAATACATGGACAGCCGCAATTGGGACACTAATGAGGACGTTGCCTAGTGGCTGACAGTCAGCTGGTCAAGTGATCGACGCACTCCCCTGATCTTGTCCCTGGCTGCCTGAAAAGTTTATTCAATACTCCAATAGGTCGTTTTCTTGGCTTGTTTGTAACCTTGTGATAGGGCAATGTTCTATGCGTTTTGTATGTCTCGTGCTAAACGCCACAGGACGGCAAATACGATCTGTTAAGCAAATGACCACCGAAAAGTACCAAGTTCGCTCAACAAATCTTCAGCTATCATTATGCTTCAAACATAAAACTCACGATGCTCCAAATGTCTTCACTTTCTCTCAGTTCGTCACCAACCATTGTTCTCATCACCATCTTCTACTGCCATCCAAAATGACAACCCCATCACAACCGCCCTTCTCTCCACACCACTTCCACCGCATAACAAACACTTCGAACCCCTCCAATCCCACCCTCGACGTCATAAATGATGCCGGCAGACAAAACAGCACCGGTCTCCTCAAAGTAACTCGCGAAGGGTACTACTCTGGCCAATACTGGTCATTCACCCCTTCAGGTACACCTCATTGCCCTCCCCAAGCCAGCGAGCCATCAAGGGATACGACCTCCACCTCCAACACCTACCGCATCCGCACATGGTGGCTGGGGCCAAACCGGCAACTCGATGTCTACGCAGATGACACGTCGAAAGCGGTGTTGAGGCGGGCGGATGCTACTGATACAGCAAATGCGCTGGACTGGAGTATCGGACAGTGGGAAGATGGTACGTGGTGGATTGGGAATGAAGCGAGTGGTGTGTTGAAAGTTTTGGATGTTGGTGAGAGGGAGGATAGGAGGGAGGTTGTGTTGAGTGAGAAAGACGAGGGGAAGAAGACGCAGAGATGGACAGTTGAGGTTATTAGGGAGATTGATGAGCAGGAGTATCATGAAACACCTATTACTCCGACTCCTGAATAGGCGACGTAATCTTGAATGGATTTCTAGTAATGGACTTGGGTTTTTGGCTTGCAATGGACATAGCAACTTATTGATCTTGGTCGTTCAGTTCGTTTCTATTTCATCTATTTATTTACACGTTATTGATGCAACCTACGTTTATGAGGCAGGTGCAGCGGAGGCGTAGGGAGTGGGCTGAACACTCTCGATGTCGACGTATCCGTACTTGCTTCCGGTCTTGTCGTCTGAGAAGCCTTGGGCCCAAGTACCCATGTCCTTCTGGAACGCCTCAAAGTTCTTCTCGTCACTCAGGTCAATAGGCTGGTGGTCCTTGCCCAATTGCCTGATTTGTGTGCCAGCCGCGACGTTGGTAATACCGAAGTCGTTGTCGTCGGTCAATTGGTCGATCGCGGCATGAACCTCGCCGTTGATGATCTGGCGAGGCAGTTCAGGCTCCAAGCACACTGGGCGGGCAAGTCCGACACCGTCAACAGTTTTCAATGCGTCCACCATGGCGGCAGCACTCTTCAAGCCACCAGTAACGTAGGTCTTGGTCTTGGAGAGCGAGGGTGTAATCTTCTCTGCGAATTCGAGGAAGAAAGCTTCTCGCTTCTTAGTTGACTCGCGCTGGTGACCGAAAGCAAGCTTCTCATATGTACCACCAGACAGCTCGACGAAGTCGAAGCTGTTGTCCTCAAGCAGCTTGCACAGAGTCGCAGCCTCCTCTGTGCCGAAACCCTTGTCTTGGAACTCAACAGAGTTCAGCTTGATGCCAAGCACGAAGTTAGATGATGTGCGCTTGCGTACTTCCTGGCCGATCTCGGTGACGATGCGGGCACGGTTCTCGAGGGATCCGCCGTACTTATCGGTGCGCTTGTTGGTTGTTGGGGAAAGGAACTGCGCAAGTAGGTAGCCGTGAGCGCCGTGGAGTTGAATACCGTCGTATCCGGCCTTCTCTAGGTACTCGGCTGCGTGAGCGAAGCCTTCGATGACGTTCTTAATGTCCTCGTCGGTTGCGGCGCGGGGCTTAGCAAAGGTCATGCCCATGACGTTGCCTTCCAACTGTACATCGGATGCGGAGATGGGATTCTTCTGGATGTTGTCGGCTACCTGACGACCAGGGTGGCTGACTTGTCCAACAATCAAAGAACCGTGCTTCTTCGACTGAGTTGCAAGTTCCTTGAACATCTCGAACCGCTCACCCTCGTACTTTGAGCCACGGGGAATGATGGGGTTGCCGGCAGCTTCTAGGTGGTCGTACTCGATCATGATGTTACCGGTCAGGATGACACCGAATTCACCCTCACCCCATCGTCGGTAAACGTTGACTAGGTTCTTGGACGGGACACCACGAGCTTCGAGGTTTTGGGGATCCCATGATGATAGGCGCTCGGTCATAGCACCCTTGAGAAATCGGTTCTGAGCAGTCTTCTTGGAGAAAGCAAAGTCGAGAGGCTTGCCCAATGGCGCGGGGTCTACCTTCTCTGCTTCGTATCGTCGTGGTGCCATGTTTGCTGAAATTTGAATGGGTATCTAACAAAAAAGAGATGTCGTGAGTAAATGAAATCAAGGTTTGCAAGGTGCGTGTTAGAGAATATGCTGAGATTGAATGCGCGATCAACAAAGCTCTATAAGTAATGTGTTAGTGCTTCAACTTTTTCGCATTTCTAAGCGGCTATATGGAATGGTTGCTAAACAATGACGACCACGGGGTCGTCCGAGAACGATCCATAATAACGTCATCGAGGTACGCTACAAGCTAGGCTCGGCAGCGATACCTCGGCAGATGTAGGCGAAACACAGGTCTAGATCGGCCTCTTATTGGGGTGCCTGGAGATCGAGTTAGGCTATTCGATGAATGAGCTGTTTGTGGGGTCAGGAAATGGCCCTGGGCAGCGCCGTGTTTTAACGTCAAGTGTTATTCCCGTGTCACAGATCCTTCAGGAACCTACTGTATCGGCCCGATAATGATGCGATTGTCACGTGCCTGCCAGCTACAACGATTTTCATCAAGATGCCGTTCCAGCTAATCCTTATTCGCAATTCAGACATTAAAGACACCTAGGCATATGTACTGGCCTCTGTGATCGCCCCGAATGAACGCCAACCGATGTCGAGACTGCTACCATGCACTCGCAAAACAACACTCCAGCCCAAGACCGCGAGCTCTCAGCACCGAATGACTAGCTATTGCGATGGCGTGTTGTATTGAATGGCGGTATCCATTGATCAGGCGGTCTAGGCAGTCGCGTAACGACCGCGCCGTGCAGCTCTGGCCTGAGTGCGCCACTTGCGTTGCATGGCTTGTGGAGTCTCTGATCAGTAAAGCGCAGCCTCAAGAATGTTCCAGCACTTTTGCTCAACGAGCGGTGGAGAGATGGAATAACTGTTAGCTGCAAACGAGGGTGTAAGTTTCTTTCGCAGTTTGCTCGTCGTAAGTCAACACATCGAAGCCAGGCTGTGGACACCAAAATAGAAGCAAAGAAACGTCTGTCGAAAGGAATCACTGGAAAGGCTAGGGCGAATGTGTAAATGAATGAATGACCATTCTATAGCAGTCCAGATAGCTAAGATACACGGCGGATGACTAGGCTATGTTGGATAGCGTCAACTCCGAGTCTCTTCCCTATCTGGAAACATGATACTCCCCTTCGTTCTCGCTAGTAGAGACGCTTCTCCAGATCTAGAAGACCTCGACGGACAGTCCGTTGAAGCCAACGTCGACACAAGTGTTCTGCTGAGCTACATAGGAGTTTCAGAATCAGTATATGTTTTGTATCGCTTTGACAAATATAGACTTACAGATCTCCTTGATAGCATCACCCTGGCAGTCGGTCGATCCAAAGACCCTTAGGGTGTAACCCTTGTTGCTGTCGTATGCAACCCTGTTGCCAGTAGTGAAGCCCTTGCAGCCACTGTTTCCGTTTGCGCCGTAGTTCTTGTATTGTCCGGTCTCACAGTTCTAGATGAGGATATCAAGTTAGCCAAGGTTATGCGCAAAGAAGAGGAGCTATCAAAATTCTGGAAAAGACGCTTACGGTAACGGAGAAAGCGCTGACTGCCGGAGCGAGAGCGGCAGCAATGACCATGACGGAGGCAAGAGTGAACTGCATTTTGAAGTTCTGAAACATCGGGTCAGCTATAAGCAAGAGCCAGAGGGGCTGGAGAGACACACTGAAAAAGTGTCTGGAATGGAAGTGGAAGTGGAAGTGGAAGTGGAGTGATGATGTGTTGGATGTTTGTAGATTGTGTTGGATGGTGAGCACTCGAAGAGAGAAAGGGCTGATACTTATACATTTTGCAGGCTTGCTGTGCCATGCTGTATTCGTGTAATTTCGGGGATCAAGAGCGCAGATGCTTCCACAACGCGAAGACTTGCGATCAGCCCCCCGACGTCTTCAGGCAAGCAGCAGCGGAGTCTCTTACTCAGAGTTGTTGCACTACGTTGAAGGGGCACCCAATACTCGGTGGCCTAAGGCGTCTTCCGTGCGGAAGGTCGCTGCCAGTATCGTAAGGCACCCAGTGGTGGAGTTGAAGTGACAGTGGACCACGCGGATCAACAAGTTATTGCCAGAAAGGAGACAAAGAAAGTCATTCTGATGGAGTTATCTTGACCATCAACTACTGTGGAGTCTTTCTTCACCTTCAACGTTTGCTGATCGCGTCCATGATAGTGATCGCCTGATGGTAGACTCCATATCGGAGCGTCACAGACAGAACGCCTAATCTTGGAAGTCGCAGCAAGATGACGATAGTGGTAGCATCATATCCTTGCGTGCGACATTGGGGCTGTGACTGCTCATCAGCGGCAATGTACTTGGATCTCCTGCGCAACACTATAATCACTGAAGATGATTCTGTGAACGAATGCTATGGACATATATTGAATTCAGTAGTCACTCCACCGCGTACGGATATCAGGTGTTTTCGTTACAGACCAAGCAATGGCAAAGTTGATGCTGCGGACTGAATCGCAACAAGTAATGAAGGAATGGTGAGCTGTCAATGATTCCCGAGATTGTACCGCACGGGTGGCGGCACTAGCGGCGGATAGTCGATCCTTAGCCCCAGCCTCGCGGCGGACTCTATACCGACGATGTTCCACTCACTTACGGAGACTCTTGTACATATGATTGCGATCGCCGATAGCAAAGCCTCCTGGAACCAAAAAAAAAAGCTGCCTCTCGTTGATGAAGTTGACGGGGCTGCAGGGCTGCACCGCATACTGTCTCCGTGGAGCAAGATCGGATGAAAAGAATGGTAGGGAAAGATTGGTAGCTTTCGGATGAGATCTGATCACCGGACGGCAATGAAGAGTATGCATTCGCCCCTGTGCGTCAGAAACTGAAGAAGTACCACGCGCTGAAGCCAGCGATATGATTGGAGCTGAGAGTCACTGGACCCTCTCAGGCCACCGACGAAGGCATCGCTGGCGCAACCTATGCTCCCTCACAACCACGATCTTATCTTTATGTGGCCCCAGCAGCCCCACGAGGCGGTATCCGAGCATATTCAGATCTGACAACGATGGTTGTTGCTTTAACAATTCCTTCTTCGAATGCCCAACGCATGTCGCGATTCTGTACGTTCTGTTTTTCGAGATCAGCGCTTCTGACATCGCAACAATGACGGAACATGTCGGTCACTATTGAACACCCCGTATCCCAGTAAATCATCGAGAAGACACAGAATCGTCATTCATTGATTCTAAGGTTTCATAACTACGTAGGATTTAATCCTTCAACGGACCGTTGGCCTGAACCTGACTCCGGGGATAGACCCACACGGCCCGCCTGACCCACATGGAAGTTATGCTGATGGGCGCGTGTCTATCCACATACGCGCGTACCCCAAGACACTTGTTGTACACATCGAATTGGAAGCATCGTGTACCTTGCGACGGATGATGCCCTATCGAACAGTGCATCCTTGGCTCGGTGGTAGTTCGGTCCTAGCGCAAACACAAGGTCGCCGAAGTTACTACACAAGGTCGCCGAAGTTACTGAACACCGTTCTGATCGTCGAAGAAGTGGAATTAGGCGAGCAAGACCAGATTTGGGAGGGAGTGATGGGGTGTACAAGGTTCAAAGCCTGAGGCGGTGAGAGCTAGAACTTGGTTATGCAAGATAAGATGCAATCATTCGTCGGGTACTTGCTGTCGAGAACCATCCCTGAGATGTTAAGCACCTGAGCTGTCTCTTCGAAATAATCACTTCAATGGTGCTCTTCTGCACCTTCTCCAGGCCTTGACAGACGGCATGTCAACTCACGTCATCTCATCCAGTGCATGTCCACCACGAGCCAACTTCGTTGCTCATATCCATCCACGTACCTGTCGATGAGGTGGCCTAGCTCACGCAAATAGTGCAAGGAGCTTGAAGTATCGAATTTCGCCGGCTGTATCGCCTCTTCGTCGAAAGTAGAGGGACTCACGGTGTTCTGTATCACACAGCACATAAGCGACCTGGTCTGGTATACGCCGGTGGCTTCTGTAGTATACTAATCATCTGGTGGTTCGCACTTTTTATCGTCACTGTTCCCAATTGCCGCATTGCGCAGCCGAAATCGCACATTCTGGCGATCGGATAGCTGAAGACATCCCCGAACTGAATCATAATCTTTGGCGTCCGGCTAATCAATACCAGCTTCGTCCCAGAATATATCAAACTTGCTTGTATGATCACAACTCTCTGGGCTTTTCGTGATCGTTTCAGTGCGGGTCTAAGGTTGTCCTGGCCAGAAATTGTTAGGTGAAACATGCCGTCTTCGACTTCTGCTGTGATCCCATCCAACGGTTTAGTTGCAACATCCTTACAAATATTCCTTGTTCTGGTAGTGATTACCTTTGATGTCATATTGAAGAATACAGACGATATGCTGCGCTAATGCAAAAGGTGTATGACAAACGTTCTTCTTGATGATGAATGAAGAGAAATAGAACAAGAGATCATGAGTGGTTAGACATCCTCCCAGCACGTAGTGTTATCACAGACCACTTTGACGACATGTGCCAAAAGTCTACGGTGATCGAGCACAGGCAAGAATCGAACGCTAGAACGCTCACCACAACGACATTCAGCACTGTGTTACTGTCAATCATCTAGATGAAAGAACAAAACACATCAGAGTATATACACGGTGTCCAGAAGCATTTTGTATAAGAGCTGGCAGTAGCACCGCGAAGATTTCATCTGCCTCGAACAAGCCCGTGTACCACGTAGTCATCTGCCTAGATACCTTCGCTTTCTGATAAGACGCCTTAAAAGAATGTCTGTAGATGGAAACGCGACAGTTTGCGATGGCATCCATGAAGGCGACCGAAAAGACATCGGCGTGGCGGTTCACGAAGACGAATCTTCAGCATTCTGCGAAACCATGCTAGGCCTTGCCGAATTCCACATCAAAGAAGACCCCTCGCTCGACCAACCCAATCAACTTACTCTTCGTCACTTTCGGAAGATCTATAAGTTTCCAACTAATGATAATGATGATGAAGTCGCTACATTCTTTGATCATGTAGACCTCATAGTTTCGGAGGGTGATCCTGCAGATGTTCCCGGTCTCGCGAATTTCATACGACTGGTCTTCAACAACAAACCACCAAAAACATGGGATGATCGTGAAAATGCTAAAAGGTGGCTACTGCAGTATCAGAACAAGAAATGTACTGGCGACAAGTTCGCTGTTGGACAAACCGTTGGTGGTCGGTGGGTTATCACGTCTCAACTTACAGAAGTCAAGGGTTCGTGCAACCAGGGCATTCTCTTCGTCCTCGATAAAATGAATGGCGAAAGATGTATTATGAAGCTCCTGACCTCAGAAGCCATAGATCCCGGTCGTTCGAGTCGAGAGATTGGCATTCTACGCCGCCTGTCCCATACTAGTATAATCTCTTTCTTCGACGGGCATCTACCATGCACAGTTACGGAGCGCCACGCTACACCCTACCTAGTAACGGAATACTGTGACAAGAAAACTCTATTAGATGTCATCACGCGCTGCAACCAAAACGAAGAGCTCATACCCGAAGATTTTGTATGGCAAGTCTTCGAATCCCTCGTTTCCGCAGTGGCATACCTCCACCATGGACCTGACAACGCTCTACCTGGTACGTGGGATGCCGTTTCCCACCGTGACATAATTGCATCCAACATACTTTGTACTCTCGCCATACCAACCTCACCATACAAGTTCGATGATTGTTCCAAGCAATCACCATATGACTACCCAGTACGCATCAAACTCGCAGATTTCGGCTGTGCCATCACCGACAGCGAAATGGCAGCGCAACCCAAACCCTGGTGGAGTCTGCCGGCTATATCTGGTGATTATGAGCCTCCAGAAGGCGCTCTACCAACAGAAGCGGCTGACATGTACCAGCTTGGATTAGTCATTTCGCTTATGTATTGTATGACGAACCGTCCCTATAAAGATATCTTCACTGCGGGCTTCTTGTATCAAACTCGTCATCCAGGATTTGCTGAATACACATCCGAGTTGCGTACATATCTTGAGATGTGTCTCGATTCTGATGCTAGCCAGCGGCCTAAATCAAAGTCTTTTCTTTCGAGAATCCAGAGTGCAAGAAGGCTGCTGAGCAAGACCGGCAAGTTCGATAAGAAGGTAGAGCGTCGTTTTCCGGCAAACGGGACAGGAAAGTAGAACGTTTCCCGACAGCTCGAAATGGGTAAAGACGGGTTGACGAATCATGACTAGATCAGTTTCTCTTTCATCTCTGTTCATCCACATGAATGTTATACGAATTGCGTTCTTCTGTGTATACTGTAGCTTTATTTCCGATTCGTGGGAATGATACCGCTACGAACGCGACGAACGCGACTTGTTCTCGGTCTCTCCGAGAAGCATCAAAGAGATTACGTATCTTGACATTCGTGCATTACCAACGTCGTCGTCGTGAAACTAAAGCTGCTGCCCGCATATCCCACGTTATTGATGTGTGGTCAGCCTCGTTCTGTATTCAGTAGAAGAGTTGTAGATCGAATGCCGATCGGTCAGCCTTACCCGAGAGCACGAGGCTGCACGTCAAGTGCGGGTCGGTCGCTCCGAGCCAACATCACGATTGCTAATACCGACATATTAGAAATCGATACAAACCTTGGCAAAGTGTCTAACTCGCGGTCTGAATACGGACCATGAGTGGGAACTGCATCAATGACTCCTGATGCCTTGTCGTGCGTATCGGACGACTGATATCGGTCAGGCAGTGCATGAAACTTAGAGCAGTAAGCCAGGTAGCATGCTACACAAGGTACCTGACAAGGTCATAGATGTTGTACTACGTTCTAAGGAACTATATTTCTCGTCCCTACACCTGCGGCACGCGTGCTGTGGCATTGCAGATCCCATAGGCGTCATCGTGCAACTACTCGGAAGGCGGAAGCGTACTCATCTCAGTCTCGGATACGACAAACATGATCGGCGACGAGCCTCGTAGCCTAGAATCTGAGTAATGTGGCGGAGGTATTGTAGGTGAGGCTGTGGTGTGGCTAGTGATGTGCGTCGGGCTATTGTATCTAGCCGTCGGGGATGTAGTTTTCTGAAGATGATTGCTATGTCGGATCCAGGTAGACAGACGCGGTCATAAATTTATGTCCGAGGGCGTTAGTGGGTCCTATACCCAGGCTGATGGACTGATCTATTGTCCCAAACACCGAGTACACATGGCTTCCTAATCCACATGTGACTACCCAGTTGGGCAATGTTCAGACCCCAAAATAACCCCAATCCGCTCTTCATATGACTTGAATCTTGCCAAATAAGTCCTAGTCAGGCGAATATCTTGTAGCTGACATATCTCCCAAAATACATTTGTACTACTGCAAGTCTGACCAATGAGCGAGCTCAGCTGAACAGCAACGCGGAGATGCCAAATCGGGTGAATGCGCTGACGTTATGGCTCAGTCAGCCCTACAAGCGCTTGTCGCGCTTGTTTGAAGGATAGCAGATCGGTATGGGTTGGGGTCCTATTTTTGGGGCTGTGTATAAGGAAAGCGAAGCTACAGATATTCTTACAGTCGTTTGTCGATCCAAGTTGATATGCTGCGAGGTGGGCGCGTAGAGCTTTCGGGTCGGTGATGTGTGTGTGTCTTCATGTGAAAGACGAACCTCGGCGATGTGTGCAATGCCGGTGGTGTGGATGCGTCGTATTGTATTGTGAAAGCTACTGCCGGCGTCGTCCTTCAGCGTCGCATTCTCCGTTTTCGAGAAACGCACCAATCACCTGGCTCCACAGTCGACAGCGATACTGCACCTACGCTGTACGATCGAATATGCCTGCTGGTTAGCCTTGTGTTCCTGTATCGCGTAATTTCCTGGTTCGACCAAGTGTTCATCGCCTGTTTCCATTGCGCTGGGTACCGATCGTAATCGGAGTCCATAGATAGCCTCAGGGGTTTTCGCTGTTGTGTTGCTGCAAATCCTTCTATCCAGTTTGTCGGGATGCCGTGATGCTGGCTCGCTCGTGGGCATCCTTCCGTCACAAAGAACGTGGCGCTTCTCCCGATGCCGAATTGACCGGGAAGCCGAACAAACGTGAGCGTCTATGCAAGTCGTATTGGCCAAGTCTTACTTCTTTTGCTCTGAACGGTATGGGAATGTGACGATTGGGCGTACCGGTATCTGGACAGTGCGCATTGAGGCGTTGTCAAGCTTCGAGGCGTATGTCGCCATCCGAGTTTCGACATGGTTGCGATGCCCATTATCCCGTGTGTGCAAATAGTGAAGGTCGACATATTCGGAACAGCCAGTCACGATAAAGAGCAGGCGAGTGTGTTCCGCAGGTGCGGACTAGTAATGTGACCTCACAGTCCTAGTGCGTACGACCCTCGTCTTCAGCCCACATACAGCAGCAAGTTAATTCTGTTCCTGCATCTTCATGTACCTTCTGGGATAGGCTTTTGGCCAAGCTGGAGTATGACAACGGTAGCTAAGCCTATTCAAGGCATAGCGACTGCGCATTCTCGCAACCAGTGGGTCTTGGGGTGCATCACAGCTGGATATTGTGCGCTAGATGTACCGGATTCCCGTCCCGATCGGACTGCACGTCTCGCGACTGGTGCATGTGTGAAAGTTCCTAAACCAGGATCATTCCCAATATCCGGGCACCAACGGTCGGGCATGGGCAGCAGAGTCCATCAGTTTGAAGCAGTAGGCATATGGGCGGGTAAGGCTCAAACGCTCCGCCATGCACTGTATCCCCCGGCGGTCTCGAAACAGCTCTCTCGGCCACTTAGGCAACCCTATTCGCTGCTCCAGACGACCCAAGGCCATGGGGGCGGCCTCCCAAATCTGGAACGGCACGTTGTAACGTCGCCCAGAAGTAGTTCGCTCTTTTGCACATGGCTTGCAAGTACTCGTGTCGCACGCCCAGCATTGCCCTCGGCCGAGTATCCACGGAAAACGGCCCCGACGAAGCGAGACGCAGCACAGCAATCATCGATAGATGGTGACGCGATGGATGAGTAACTATCGGACGACGCGATAATTGACTCGAAACTGCAAGTCGCCCAAAAGCACGAGCTACGGGAAAGGATGAATTGCCTCGCAAAGGTTAATGCGATTTCTCGGTGTCTGGACACTGCGCAGGTACGCTATCTGGTGTAGGGAAACATGCTTGTCGCGATGATGTTGTATGACTGTATCGTGCGTTGCGAATAACCAACCAATGGCAAATCGTCCCGCGTTTGTCGAGAAAGTACGCTGGGGAGGGCTCCCCACGTTCCGATCGTAAGAGCGTGGGGTGTTGTTAGTGGTGAAGAGAAGACGTGTGGTCATGACGCATGGGGATACGCAGTGGTAGGCAGAAATACTGCGTCGTCAACACCTCGTTCGTCCGGTCACTGTCCAGATGTCCACGAGGGACGGCATTTCTCTCTGCTTTGCAATCGGTATACCCATAGACTCACCAATGGGGGATGCTGTTGCACGATTCCGCACGATTCCATGTAATCAGCAACAAGGATGTCTATCAGCCGCGCACGCCCATCTTATCCACCCTAGCTCGTGCATTGCATTGCGGCTCCAGTTCCCACCCGTGGGCACAGGTCCACCCCCCTCACTGCCACGCATTCCCACGCACCCTAGCACCGACGCACCCACCCACAGACCCTGAAACTTATTCCTGTCTACCCAAGCAAAACGCTTCGCATGCTGCGCAGTCGTCCGGCGAGTAACAGGAAAATGATGACTAGATGCCTTGTTCGTGGCGTGCACCAGGGTGCGTCCGCCACCAGTTCCCGCCATTGTGGTTGGTGGTGTAGAGGAGAACAGGTAGGTGAACTGTGCGATATAAAGACGGTTTGGATGCCTGGACCATTGGAAAGCAGGCAAGAACAGTCGGATCAACTCAGTCCCAATACCCGAACGCCCTTTTCTTCTTACCTTTCCTGGTCTGCTTTCTTGCATTTTCTGGCGTCTTTGTCGGCCTCTTGTTTCATATAAGTCGAGTCGCTTCTTCCCTTTGAGTCAAAGTTTCAGTCATCCAGCATCCATTCTCACCTGCTTCTTCCGTCTTCTACCATTATCCCATTGTTTCATCATCGACTTCCTTGTATATCCTCTACGCACATTGTCTTGGTCGTCATCAGTATTGTTTCATTCTGAGACTACACACCCTCAGCTACACAACATTCAAGAAACCACCTCAATGGGTCGCGGTGGATACAACTAAGATCTGAGCATTTGTACCAACGTCGAAGACCAAGCACGGCTTTGAAAGACCCCACAAGTCAATAAACAACAAAGCCGAACAAACAGACTACACAAGAACAATGTCACCACCCACTCCTCAGGAAGCATCTGCCAACATGGGTCGCGGAGGCTACAACTAAGCTCAGCGGCTGCTCCCGCAATCCGAAACATCTATCAGCATCATGGCGGCGTGGTGGTTCAATATGACTACGCCTCACGCCATCCCGCCTCGCTACTACCCACAACCCGCCGCACAAACACTTCGCAAGCGACGTCTTGAATGGTGGAGGTCATTGTCTATTTCCTAGGGTTCGGTCATATCTTTTTTCTCTTGTCTCCAAACTTCCTTCATCACTGTGCCATCACTTTTCCTTTCCTGTCTTGTACCACCATCTTTTCTTTCATTCTCCTTTTCTTTGCCAGCCTCTTCTTCTTCTTCTTCTTCTTTGTCTTCCCATCTTCACTCGGCATCAGCAAGCGACGGAGTTTTTTGACATATGGATACGAATTACGGGATCATGGGAATATGTATGTCATACGGCATTCTGAGGCGTTGGATAGGTTGAAATAAGCTCTTCATTGAGCGACTGGGTAACGGAATCGGTAACGCAACAGGGTATCGAATCTAGAGACGGAGTCATTTGGCGTTTAGGCGTATTAGATTTCACGTTTTTTTGCTTTTCTTTTCAACCAAGGTCATCATCTCTCGACTCTAGATCAGGTGTTTTGTGGAGTTTGGGTGTCTTTGAGAGACTAGCTGGTCTGGTTGTAGAATGAATGACTGCTACTCTTTTTACGATAAAGTTTTGACGTCCTGGCGATTTCCCTTGCCACGCAATACAATAGATCATCGAAATGGCAGTAGTTTTACAGATGGCCACTGATATCGGAGAACGTGTTCCCTACTTGCCGACACAGAATCTACAGGAAGTTTGATGTTAGCCAGATATTCGTCACGTGTTCTTTGCAACCGCAGCTGCACGTAAGCCGGCAGGCATCATGGGGAAAGTTATGCCCCGTGCAACAATCGATACTGCACAGACGCGCCCGTACTATAAGCGTTGTGGCTTTCCCCAGCAAAGCCCGCTTAGCCCCCGTTCGGAGGCTGCCGTCTGACCTGGATGGGGCCAAAGTACAGAACGCCTTACGAGGGCTTCCAGAACATGACACAACACGAAGATACGCGAGAAATTGGATTGGGTAACTTACTTTTCAAAAACGACCCCCAATACTTCTTCAACGTCACCGCTATCACCCCGGCCAGTGATGCGGGCCAAAGCGTCGGCGGCAGAGCGGAGGCACTCTGCTGCGACTACAATGTCGACCTCGTCGGCCTCGCCTGGTTCGTCTTCACCGGATCTGGTTGAATCTGCCGAGGGGTCGGCAACGGTCGTGATGAAGGCGGAGAGGTGGCTGAGACATTCGGAGAGAAGAAGACGTTGGCGCTCAGTCGCGCCTAATGACTCTTGCCAGATGCTTGGGTCGGGATCCGAGTCGGGAACCAACGCGGCTGTCATAAATTTGAAGGTGTCCTGCAAAGTGGTAAGGAATGTTGAAATGTTGTCGCTCTTCCATGTGTCTGAAGATGTCATGGGTGACCTGCAGGAAATGAAGCATAGACGGTTGTTGGGCAGACGCAGTGTAGAACGGATCTTGTCCTCCCATGCCGTCCGCGAGAGTTGGAATGTGTGGAGTTGATCGCATTTGTTGAGAGCAACAATGACTTGGATCCCCATGTCAACACACTGCTTTGCCGTCTCCATAACCTCGGGATCCATCTCGGCTGTGGCGTCTTGGACGACGATCAGAACGTCTGACTCCAGCGCTCGTTGCTTCGCGCGCCTGATGCCTTCTTGTTCCACAGGCCCAACGATATCCGCGCCTGCGACACCAGGCCGACGTAAGCCGGCCATGTCTCCAATCTTGACAAGCCATCCGCCAAGATCTAGCCCTATCTCAACCACATCCCGTGTTGTTCCGGCTTCTTGGGAAACGATAGCGGCATCTCTTCCAACAATGCGGTTCAACAAGCTACTTTTGCCTGCGTTGGGCGCCCCAAGGAGCGCAACACTGATGCCATTGCGCAACAATTCTCCACGAACAGCGTTCGCAATGTGCAGCTCCATCTGCGCCTGCAGGACGTGGACTTGGGCTGCGACATTGGCGCATAGGACAGCGGGTGATTCGTCAAAGTGCTGATCTTCCGAGAAGTCAATCAAGGCCTCCAGCTCGCCTCGTGCCTGCAGCAGCAACATGCGCCAATACTCATATCGTAGGGCTAGCGAAGAGTTGGTACCCCTTACAGAGATAGTGCGCTGCTGTTCCGTCGATGCTGACAGTGTTTCTCCCAGCGACTCAATCTGGGGAAGGTCCATCCGGTTGTTGGCGAAGGCGCGTCTAGTGAACTCTCCAGGCTCTGCGTACCGAATCTGCTTGCGCACCGACCCGAGACCTTCTGATGCCTTTGCGCATTCTGGTATGGCTGCCAAGACTGCGCGTACAATGGCTGGACCTCCATGCACGTGCAGTTCAAGGACATCTTCTCCAGTCACTGTGTTGGGTGCGGGGAAGTAGAGTACCAGAGCACCGGAGTCTAGTATCGTTGTGGGCGAAGGAGGTAAGCCAGGCGCATACAACTTGCGCAAGGTCGCGTATCGAGGCTTTGGGAAGGACGTGGAGGGACATAGTCCTTTATATATCTAAAAGACGTTAACATTGCGATCGTGTGCGGAGACGCGAGTCGAACTTGTCTGCATGCTGACCCTGAAACGCGAATTACAGCTATGGCTGCGCGTCCATTGGCACTAGACAGGGCATAGATGGTTGGTTCCTCATGACTGGTATGGTATAGGCGCTCCTTGGGAGCTTTCAAGATGCGCTGAACAGCATGGTGGGGTCCACATTGCGGCCATGTGGTTCGCGTAAGACAGGAGACCGATAGCTTAGGTGCTCTCAATTGACCAAGAGCATTGCGACGAAGGGATGAGACAATGGCTCTCATTCCGCAAGCTGAGGTTCTACATCATGGTTGTGTTGGAATCAAGGATGCCGTGATAGCTCCGCTGCACCTCCGCGGTGGCCCGTGCACACGCTAAGATAATAATTTCTTGAGATCGTCGCCTGTCTACCTTCTCACGACAACACCTGTTCCTTTGGCGCAACAGCGAAAACCTCACACCCCTCAAAAGTCCTTTTGCTGTTTTCGCCCCTAGTCACAGGACTACCGCCGCCAAGCATCTCACTTGTTTTGCAGCGAGACTGAAAGAATTCTTACGCCGCCATGGCTTCAGATGACCTTGTATGGTCCGTCATTGGAACTGACTTTTGCAGCTTCAGTCAGTATTCCCACATACCAGCATATATACATCAATCAACGCTAACTTTTTGCACTCAGAACTCAAGACCACAAAGGACCAGACGTTCTGCAGGAATGAACACAACGTATCGGGTTACTGTTCCAAGCAGTCGTGCCCTCTCGCCAACTCACGGTATGCCACGATTCGCTCAGATCCTGCGACCGGAGACCTATACCTGTATATCAAAGCGATCGAACGCGCCCATCTTCCGTCGCAATGGTGGGAAAAGATAAAGCTACCCAAGAACTACGGTCAAGCCCTCGAGCTTGTCGACCAACATCTTGCATACTTCCCCAAGTTCCTCAAGCACAAGAACAAGCAGCGCTTGACACGTCTGACCCAGGTCAACATAAGGATAAGGAAGTTGGCCAAGGAAGAAGAGCGCCTAGGAGAACGCCTGGTTCCTAGACTGGCGCCCAAGGTTCGCCGACGAGAGGAGGGCCGAGAGCGAAAGGCTCTTGCAGCTGCCAAGGTTGAGCGCGCCATTGAGCGTGTCCTCATTGACCGTCTGCGCAGTGGCGCATATGGTGATCGACCGTAAGTTTACACCCCGTCTTTCCCCACAGCTGCCATGATTATTTTTGCTTTTTAACCCTGAGTCCTACGATGAGGACTAAAAACAACAACAACACTCTAATTTTTTAATGAGCACCGCCACAACACCAAGACTTGACTCGCTTGCCATATGAGATCGAGGCTAACTCGAACCCAGGATCAACGTGGAGCCAAATGTCTGGAAGCGTGTTATGAACGGCCTACAAAAAGAAGGCCAGCTCAAGGGCGACGAGGACCTGGATGAGGGCATCGAAGACGAAGAGGAAGAGAATGAATACGAGATGGAGAACGGTGTCGGTGAAGTCGAATATGTGAGCGACATAGAAGGCGAATCCGACGACGACTTGGAGGACTTCGAAGACTGGATAGGTGGCCAGAGTCCAGACGAAGGCTCAGGTGACGAAGACGATGAAAGTGGTAGCGAAGAAGACGAAGACGAAGAGGCATCTGAAGACGAAGACACAGAGGCCCTCAAGAAGACGCTGGCGAACCTCAAGCGTAAGCGTCCTGCTGGCCCACCTCCAAAGCCCAAGAAGAAGCCATCAAAGGACTCAAAGGGCCCGAGACGCGAGATTGAGTACGAGATGGAGAGAGAACCTGCTGCGAGAGAGGCTATGCGCGTATAATACCTTTAGCATGGTTACACTATTGGCGTTCATCGATGGGATGTGGAGTTCACGTTCCAATGCCTCAGGAAAAGCGTTTCGTCTTCGCGCCAGAGGCGCACGTTCTAGCGATTCTCGGTCTGATACCATTTCTTCATACAATGCTTCGATGCTTCGTGTAGAATCACTTCGGAGGCTCGTGAGACCACGGCGCAACAAACACAATGTTGCCTGTTTTAACGATGACCCACTAAGTGAAATTGAATACTACGATATTCAAGAAGAACTTCTTTCTCTGTCTCTGAACGTGTGGGTCTCCGGCCAACTGACATATCAACCGACATGAACATTACGATACCGACTCAATCCGATCTTTTGGCGAGTGATGTGCTAGACGTGGACGCGGCCAGTGAAGCTGAATCTGTACAGCAGGCTTGGGGTAATGATCATGCATCTTCTACTTCACAGTCCAATCCTTCTATTGAGCTAGAGGCATCTGTAAATCCGTTGGACGAACCTTCTACTACATTAGACGCCAATCAGACCGAGACTGCAAAGCCGGACGATGAAGAATATGGTGAGTTTGTACAAGCGTCCACTGACCCTCTCAAGCGACCCATCTATGATACAACGGAGCAAGATGACGAAACCCTGGGACTTTTAGACAACTGGTCTAGGCCTATGTGGGAGGTCGAGTGTTACGTCGGTATCGGCATGGTCGAGCCAGTGACCGCTAGTATTGGCATGGCCACTAGAAGGGTCAAACAGATGGCTCGTTGGAAGCGAAATGATAATAGGGCAAACATAATTGTAGCTGAATGGAAGAGAAAGCGAACACAAACGATTGGACGTGGAACGATCTCTACTGTGGCCGCTGCTGCTGCTGCCGCTGCTGCTCCATCTTCTGCAGGAGAGGATTCGGCGCAGCTTGCCACTATTCCTGTCAGAGCTGTATCCAACCAGTATCTACAGACGCCCAGGGCAACGCCTTCAATCTCCGACCTGAACGGGGTGATCAGACCGGTTCGTTTTGCAGGGTCGGCAATTGACGAGATGGTGGAGACCGAGCGTACGGCCTGGGGACCTTAGGTGTCAAGGCGTTGCCCTGGCAGTTTTCCTGGTGGAATTGCCAGTCACAACATGAAGACAATTGGTTTGGCATAACTCTGCGTCGCTGTATCGTCGCTATATATTGAACAGGTTTTGAGCGTGTATTGTGAAGTAGAGAACTGCTTGCATCATCGCCCCAGTCTGGTGCATGTGAAAGAGACACCGACGATAACGTTAGCGGCATTCGATAGAAAATATCGCGGCATTTGAGACAGAATCGCGATGTCACATGGTTGCTTGCGGTTAGTGTTACTCCATGTGCGTGTTAGGAAGGTATTGGAAGGATCTCATATGCAATCCAGCGCAGCTTCAATCACGCGTTCTCCACAAAGAAGCCTCCCTCCAAGCCATCGGCTCCACAGTCTTGTTCCGATCCGAGAAAAATTGGTCTTGTCGCGTGGCTGGCGCGCCCTGTCCCTGATGATCAATAATCCCGCAGGCTGTTTCGACCTGTGAGCGGCAAACCTACCTCAACACCACCAGGTACCTGGGTATAAGGGCTTCCCGCTGCTTCGACACGAGGTTCTTTAGGCAGTTGTCACTACGAGGGCTAACAGGCGGAACTACGCTTTTTGGCAAGCCGCCCAAGCAATTTCTTACGTGCGCCGAAGCATCGGACTAACCCGGGGCTTCGCGATGCTTGACCCCAGAGCTAGCAAGGACAATGCCGCGGCGCGAAACACCGCCTCGCGAACTTTTCCTCCCATTGCCGACATCATAATGCGCCGGGACAGCCTAATCTAGTAATCCCGGTGGGCAATTCGTGTCAAACGAGTCAACTGGGGTGACTTGAGTGCGCTGCTGGGGGGCGGACAGTGCTGATGCGGAGTGAAGGCAACCAATGACATAACCGCACCCTGGTATCCCCGTGCGATCGTGTAGTGTGTCTTTCTCCGCACGCCAAACTCCACGGGGTTGGGATCATCAGCGGCTCCAGACCAAACGTCATCGTCGAAGCAAATTGTGGGGATGACGCCGGTAGGGCAGCGCGGTTCGGCGTTATTTGCTAGGATGGGGGACTGAGGTCGGACTCTACTGTTACATTGGTGGCAGTAAAGACGCGACATTTCATAAAGAGAGCGTCGTCGCGCCTGTTATCAAACCTCATCGTATCGCACACCTCGCCACGAGTTTGGGAAGCGAGCTGGCCTCTGTCGTTGTTTGTTTGCGACGTCCCTTTGATCTGTCACAACGCAACACGCGTACTGGTTACTGGTATTACTATACAACATGGGCAAGTTCTACGGCCTTAGGGGCACTAAGCTCAACATTGCCATTGCTATTATTGCCGGCACAGATTTTGCACTCTTCGGTTATGGTAAGCGCCTACGCCATTACGAACAATACACGGCCTAACATTTGAATAGATCAAGGTGTAATGGGTGGTTTGCTCACCCTGGGCTCATTCATCAAATACTTTCCCGAAATCGACAGCGTCAACCCACCACCAGGCAGTTCAACAAGCCATGCTGCAACCATCCAGGCCATCACGGTCGGTGCCTACACACTCGGCTGCTTCTTCGGCGCCGTAGCAACCATCTGGCTCGGCAACATGCTCGGACGCAAGAAGACAATCTTCATCGGCAGCGCCATCATGATCGTAGGAGCCATCCTCCAAACATCATCTTACGGTCTTGCACAACTTATTGTCGGACGATGGATTACCGGCTTCGGAAACGGCATGAACACGAGTACAGTTCCCACGTGGCAGTCTGAAACATCGAAACCGCATCGCAGAGGTCAAATGGTCATGATTGAAGGATCGATGATTGTCTTCGGTGTCATGCTCAGCTACTGGCTCGATCTGGGGTTCTCTTTCCTCGAACCGAGCAGCATCGCCTGGCGCTTCCCGATTGCTTTCCAGATTATCCTGGCCCTGTTCATTCTCGTCATGATTCCCGGTCTTCCTGAGAGTCCACGTTGGCTGGTGCTCAAGGGCCGAGAGGCTGAGGCTTTGGAGGTATTGGCTGCATTGAGCGATCTGCCTCAGGATGATAAGAGAATCCAAGAGGAGTTCCAGGCTGTCAAGGACGTCACTCTGGAAATGTCGCGAGGTGGTTTCCGAGACTGTTTCAAGATGAACAAGAACCGCAACTTCCACCGCACAGTGTTGGCGTATGTCAACCAGATGTTCCAACAAGTAAGTTTTGTCAGCTCAGAAGCGATATGCAGCGGTAACTGACCAAAACCATAGATCTCGGGTATCAACCTAGTCACCTACTACGCCGCAACCATTTTCGAAAACTCCATCGGTCTCTCGCCCTTCCTTAGTCGCCTCTTGTCCGCATGCAATGGCACCGAATACTGGATGGCGAGTTGGATTGCCATTTTCACAATCGAGAAGTTTGGACGTCGCTCTTTGATGATGTTCGGTGCGGCCGGCATGTCAATGTCCATGGCTGTCCTAGCAGGCGCAACCAGCAACATTGGCAACACGAGCTTGGGTCTCCTCGCCACCGTCTTCCTCTTCGTCTTCAACTCCTTCTTCGCCATTGGCTGGCTAGGCATGACATGGCTGTATCCTGCAGAGATTACACCCCTGTCCATTCGTGCGCCCGCAAACGCCATTTCCACCACCGCCAACTGGATATTCAACTTCCTCGTCGTCATGATCACTCCTCCTGCATTTGCAAACATCGGCTACCAGACCTACATCATCTTCGCCGTTATTAACGCCGCAATGGTGCCCTCTGTATACTTCTTCTTTCCGGAAACCGCGTACCGCTCCCTCGAGGAGATGGACGAGATCTTCCACAAGGCAACGGGTCCGTTCAACGTCGTTGGCATTGCGCACGACTTGCCACATCGGTACGGAAAGAAGGGCGAGCTGCTCATTGATTATGCGGATACGGAGCAGGCGCACGATGCAGAGAGGAGGAGGAGCTCTGTTGTGGCCGTGCAGCCGACTAATGGGGGTGTGTTGGCCAGAGACGAAGAGAAGGAGATTAGGGAGCATTTGGAGAACGGTGGGAAGTAGATGTCCAAATTCGGATTGGAATAATGAATACATCGTATTTTACAAAGTTGTATGCATGCACATCCCCGCCGTGAAGCCCATCAGTGTGACGTGAGCGAATCTACCTACATTACAAAAGACGCTAAGATCATTTCGCCATGCTAGAGGAATACAACGCAAAAAGGTATTGCAATGGCAACGCCCAAAAGACAAACTAAAGTATACCAATGCGTCTGAGCTCTTGGTACACACTTCAACCCGTGCCCAGTAGTCCTCGCGAACACCCAGCATTTACTTTCCTTCCGCCTGAGCCCGCGCTGCAACCCTCGCGCTCTTCCGTGTTCCAGGCGTCTGCGCAGTCTTCGACCTGGCAGGCGCCCTCGTTACGTTCTTAGGACGACCCGCCCTCGGAGTCTTAAACTCCACATGCGTCTGCGGTGCTTCGAGTGGCTGGGTCGCTTTCGAAGAGCTACCTCTAGGGATTTCTGGTGGGCTTGGAGCCGCGCTTCTAATCACCCTTTTGGGTGACGAGCCGGCAGCAAGTACTGGGAAGTCGCGTGATGACGACGAATCCGGTGTAGAAGACTTAGCTACAGGCGTTGAATAGGCTTGGCGGACTGCTGGCGAAGCAGCTGTCGTGGGTAAGGGAGAGGGACTAGACGGCAGTTCCACGTCTTCATGGAATGGTGATGAGTTTGCGGGTCCGGGTGGAGATGATGCAATCATACCCTCACCATTCTCGTCGCTGCCTGAGTGAATTGATATAAAATCGGGCAGAGTGTCATGTACATCCACTTTCTCTTCCTCGGATTCTTGGACATACTCTTGCTCAAAACTCTTCGTCAAGCCCTCCGCATTGGCGTGCAAGTCAAGAGCTTGCAGGAGAGTCTCATCAACTCCGCCTCGGGCTGGTTGCTCGAGCTTCTCTTCCTTTCGTACCGTGTTCGAGATTTTCTCTTCATCAGACTCCTGCACTGGCACATCTGTTAGAATCCATTTCTTGAAGCGGCGGCGGCCTTCTCTTTCTCCTTCAAGATTCTTGTGAAGTTTGCGACTCTCTGCAACACGATACTGTGTGGTGTCCACCGCGGGGCTCACATGTGGTGATAGACCTTCTCGTATGGGGAAAAGCCAAGTTCCGTCAACCGCGCCTTCCGTCTTCACGGCTAACGTGCTAGGTGGCCGATGGAGTGAAGTTGTGCTTCGTGGCTTCACGGCTGTCTTAGGGCGGCTTTGTGCGCGTGGCTTCTCATAACGATCAGGAATTCCCTTTGTGGCGGTATATGTCGAAGGCGCTTCATCAATAGGTGGGTTTTCCTTTTGGAAACCAGGAGGAGAGTAGATGTTGTGATTGCCTTTGCCAGGACCATCGTTGACCTTCCGAGCGGTCTTCGGTCGCGGCGTGTCTGTGTGTTCGAAGGAGGACACTTGGTCGCGTCGAGGTGTGGAGTTGGATAGTTGGAGAGTTGACTCTGAGTCTTCCTCGTAGGAGATGACGTTGCCACGAGGACAGGCCAGCCTTGATAGTTGTGGAGCAGGCGTATCATGGATGTTATACGCATCACCATGACTACGGCGAGGGGTTGGGTTTGGAGGCCGTGCAGTTAATACAGGTGAAGACTCCGAGTCGTTATCGGAGCCAGGTGATGTGGGTAGCGACCGCTCATTTACTGGCTTTTTGTACGAAAACGACACTTGGGCTTGATCGAGACTGGCATAATCAGGCATGCTCATATCCAGATCCAGGTCTCCCTCGTGGGATAACTCCAGCTCCTGAGATGGCTTTCCACTGCGCTCAATTGCAGAGGACGGCGACCGAACGACGACCTCCGGTATGTCGCCAGCAACATGCGCCTCGGCAGCCTGTAGATTGTCCTCCTCAGGACGATCGAACAGTGCGTCGTCTTCGTCTTCGACTGCTGCACTGCCCATCCTCCGCTTCTTCATAACCTCCTCTTTCTGCAGACGTGCATTGAAATCCGTCTCAACCTTGCGCTTGACCTGCGATATAGTGGCAGCGCCCTCCGATTGAGTTAGATGAATGCCGATCATATAGTTGACCTCTTCGCTAATCATAGCAAGAAGCTTCCCTGGCGTCTGCATGCGCTCTTCGAGGTTGGGAAGGTTTTGTAGAACACGCACGACATGGAAGACGGCCAGTTGAATCTTTTTGCGGTCATCTTTGTTACGTTGTAAGAAGCTGTACAGAGCTGTCGCTGCAGCTGCACCCCCTGTGAAACCCAGCAGTAGATGTCCATATGGCTGGAGGTAGGAAGGGAGTGTACTTTCGCCGAAGAAGTATTGGGTCAGGGTCTTCGCAATGGAAGATAGAGGAGGCGCGGCTTGCGTCGGCTGAGTTTGTTTGGATAACAACATCGTGGTAGTGGTTTGTGTGAGCAAGGCGAATTTAGCCGTCTCTGACGCCATTTTTGAGGTAGCAGTCAGACTGATGAGCGAAGTAGCGTTGGTGCTGGGATGGCTGAGCATATTGTAGTCGATCTCTAGGAGTTCGCGTGGCAATGAAGAGCAGGCAACGATAAGTTGTAAGTGTTGCAGGGCTTTCGCGACTCAATCTGAGCTGTGTAACCCTTTAGGTGGATGCAGTGTCTTGATCAGCGGTAGTGGTGCTCGATTTGGTGTCTGATGTCTGTTTACGTCGCAATTGCAGGAGACTGGAATTGCACAGTGGTGTAAAGCACCAATCTACCGACTTCGATGGGTGGAAAGGTTGTATATAGAAAGCAGCAGCAATCAAGCAGGATGTGACTTTAGAGCTGTTGATATGCGCAACGCAAGTCTGATTCCGGCAGTGTTCAGGCTAGAAGAGCAATAGACAAAGGATGTGGTGATCGAAGGAACGTGCAGGCTCCACGCGAGTGTTGTGATATCTTCCAGGCAGAAACTCGAATGCCTTAGTTGGCTGGAGAACCAAGAAAATGACGTGACATTGGTGTTATTGTTGAAAGTGAATGCGTGATCGGCCATGTGCAAACGCACAAACCCACACCCCCAAAGTGAATGCGAAACATGGCAACCAATCGATCGGAGATGGAGCGACAACCGCGACTATCTCTCTAAGTAATCCAGTCACGGTAACACAGGAGCCAGAACTGTAGGTTGATCATCTGTAGCGTGTCAGCCATCCGAAACACAACATGAGCATAGACACCATACCTATCGCCTATGCTCGCATAGCACCTTCTCTTCCGTCTCCAATCAAACACCCTTAACCCTTCCTACCCCTGTCAGAGGAATACCGACCCCCCTCTCCCTGCCTTCTTGCCCTCTCCCCTCACTCGCCGCTCCTTGTCCAAAACTATTTTCCACTCTCCCATACCCCACACCACCACCATACAACTCCCTGCTGCTGAAAGTTCTTCCTTTAAACGGCCGCGCGTGACCAGATTGCTTGAGCCATTTTGCAAGGAGGATGCCGACAGTGCACCAAACGGCTGCTATAAGGAGGGCCAGGGGGACGAAGAAACCCATGAGGATGACGGATGCTGAGCGACCAAGTATGCTATAGTATAGATGACTATATAAGTATCAGTGCTTGAGAAAGAGAACAGAAGTATTGCAAACAAGAAAGATGCTTTGAGTGAGGTTGTGACGGAGACGCGGAGACCGTCGGGTGTGGATTGGCTGGTGGCACGCTAAGGGCTGGGGAAGATGGGGTAAAAGCTTATATGGCTTCCTCCTGTCCGAACCTGCGGATCGACATCTTGAGCCGACCAGCTGTGCTATTGGCCGAGAAAAGAAGGAATCGCAAGAAATGAACAGTTGATACGCGACGGGCGACCACGAGGCGATTTGAATGTTGAGAGCAAGATACGATGTAAGAAGCGAAGTAGTAGCACCTACATCTACCCAACCATGCGCACTCGACGGGGTATACGCGCATGCACAACTCTAGACAAAACCACAACCTCAAGACTGACTGCTCCCACTGGCCTCATCCTCCGCTTTCTTCGTCTTCTTGAACCTCTCCTCCGCAGCTCTAGCAAGCACCTCCCTCCTACTCAACGCACCAGCACTCACACTTCCACTCCCGGCACTACTAACCACGGTCTCTTTCCCACTACTCCCCAGAGTAAACTCGCCACCCGTCCACCCCCCATGATCATGCACCTGCTCCCCATCATCATCAGGATTGTAAAACTCCTCATCACCCACGCTCCTCCCTCCACTCTTCCAATCATCTCTCGCAACCTCCCGTTCAATCTGCTTACACAGCTCCCAGAAATTCCTATCATGCGGCCCCCAAACATTATGCGCAAGCTCATGACACAGTGTATTGCGTATAGTCTTGTAATCCCTATATCCGTCGTACGCATCCGTTCTGAGTCGTAGCTCGATAACCTCGCCTTGGTTCCTGTTTAGCCCCAGTGTACGGGACTCCATTGTGGTGTGCATGGCGGGATCCATTTCTGTGAGGAGGGGAACGCTGAACTTGTGGGTTCGCATGGCAGCTTTTATGCCGGCATCGTCGCGGAGGCGTTGGAGGAAGCGGAGGGAGCGATCCGGGTTCGGCAGATACGGCAACGGCCGCAACGTGTGGAATGTGTATTGTGCCTCCTCCTGTATCTTTTTGTAGTCGCGATTTCGGGCTGGGGTCGCGGCTTTTATGGGGCCGGGGCGGCGGGGAGCGGAGGCGGCGGTTATGGTGTTGTTGAGGGACGACACGACCTCTGATGTGCTTCCCATAAGAGTTATCTTCTTCGAGACGAGCTCTGTAAGCGGGAGAGATGGATTCTTGAAGGGGGGTTTTTGAAGGCCGATTTTGCCGCCTACGAGGAACTTTTGGTTCGAGGGTGGTATTGAGAGGTCTGTCGCGACGCGCTCTGAAAGGTCTGAAATGGTGGCATCTTGTGCAAAAGGTAATGCGATTGCTTTGCCGTGGTGCGAGAGGGTTATTTCAATGTCGTCGCCGGATGTTGTTGGCGCAGAGGATGCGTCGGCTTCTGTCATGGCAGTCTTGTTGTAGTAAACGGGCGAGAGGGGCGTTGAGGCGATACGAGGTTCCTGAGTATAATCTACTATACGGTGTAAGTGGTGGGTTAGTGGTAGATCAAGATATAAAGCTTCGCAGCATGTGGCTGAGCTTTAGCCATCGTTGTTTCGGTGACGTTCTCCAAGGCTTCCACGAGATGACGCCCGGGTCGCCATCGGAATTTGTCATCACTAAACTCCGATGCCCAGGCGCTGTTCACTATTCATCACCGCCATCATCGGCCCGTCCAAGGTCTTCCATGCTCACGCATCTCTGGTGTCAAAACGCAAACGAAACGACTCGCTTAATATCATGATGAGCAATTGCTTGTTTGCACTACTCAACCGCCACCGGCAACGGGTATCAATAAATCTTGTACTAGAAACATACGCTGGCGATGCTCAAGCTATATCGTAATCCAACATGAGACGATCAAGCACCACCACCCCAGCCTTACGGCCAGCTGGAATACTACTCCAGCTTGGACTCTTCCACGCTCTTCACATCTAGTTTGGATTCTTCCTCAACCTTCTTCTTCTCTTCATCTTCTTTCTTCTTCCGTTCTTGTTCTTCCTTTGCCAGTGTCTCTGGTGACTTTACCCATTCCTTGATGTTGGCATCCCATCGGTGTCTATGCATCTTTAGTCACGGCCTCCCTTGCAGACAAGAAGGTCGACTTACCCATTAAAATCCGTTTCCAGCAAAGCCTTCTCCTTGTACTCATCCACGAGTATCTTGTCATAATTGTAAGGTACCTTCGCCGGAACGCCCTCGAACATTGTTTCCCGCATGGGATACAGTTCTGATGTGTCGTACCTGTGGTAATTCTTACAACTCCACTGTCCTGGGTTTTCGTCTGGGTGTGTTTCGCTCAGTCCGGTAATGTCGATGAACAGCCCATTGCGCACATCGATCCATCGCGCATCGATAATGTTCATACCATCTCCACGCTCGCGCTCCCAGATCCACGGGTTGACATCGAGAAGGTATTCGCGCTGAACGGTGCCGTCGTAAGAGGTATAATGGTATTTCGTCTGGTTGTGTTCTGCGCCTAACTGCATGAGCGTGGAATGGGACACTTGTGTATCGAGGTCAAAATCCCATGGCAGACGCTATACATGCGTTAGTGGTTATCGCAAGTTGCCGGAGGCGGAACACACCTGTCCATTCCACCACCATCCAAGCAATGTTCCGTGCGCTATCCAGGTATCGAGTTCGTTCTCACGGAAGTAGTTCAGATAAGCGCGGACCATGTGCGATTGTGTATCCGTCCGCTCTTCATCTGAGACGATGCCATTGAAGTAGCGCTTGTCATAGTGGCCGAGAGTAAGACTGCCTCTGGAAGCTTGTTAACTTTTGTGGTGGCAATGACGAGTTGCAAGGCTGGGAGATTGCTTACCCAGGCTCGTGGAAGTATTTGGTATCAGGCTTCTTTGCATTCTTCCTCTCTTCAATACGATCCGCCCATGCTTTTTGTCTCTGCAGTTTGTGACTTGGTGTGGGTGTGGCCAGTGTCGAAACAAAGAGTGCTGCGGATGCAAGCGCAGCTGCGCAAGTCGACAAGCGCATGGCTGAGTTTGGACTCCTGCACTGGGCTCTCTAGATAGGTATGTCGTCTCAAACACAATACGACGAAACGGTGTTGACTGGAAGTATCACTTGTCGTACGAAACTATTATGATCGATCAAAAACACCAAGGCAATACGGAGTGAAAGTAACCAGCGCTTCGGGAAGGTGATCGCGTGCTTTCAAAGTCGAACGATCGACAGGCGTGGGGCGAAGGAAGGCGGGAATAACGTCAATGAACCTCTAGCAATGGCAGGCGACGCTTCACACATAAGGTGAGAAAGGAAGAACAACTAAGCCACCCATGGGGTCAGAGCGTGCGGGAGGGGAGTCAAAGTACTTCATGACGCGCACGCGACAGGCTGCCAGTCTGTGCCTGGTGCCGCCCACATCATCCACTTCCTCAGCCTTGTCCTACGTATAGCCATTCACTATCCCCTTGTCGGTTACAGGTGTGCCGGTTTCCCGGGGTATCGTGGATCTGATGGAGGCTTGAGAGGAGGCGCTGCCCAGTGACACGCGGCGTTGCGTGGTTAAGCTTTCCAAGATTTGTATGCTGAGCGGTTTCGGAAGTCGGGTGCCGGGTGCCGGCCGTTGCGCGCCGTTTTGGTGTGGCACAGAAGAGAGCAGCTGTGGCTGGTGGGTCATTCTTTGAAGATCTTAATACAACCCAACATGAATATCTTCGTCTTCATCTTGCTTCAACTGTTGATATCTGCTTCGAGGGCTTGAGTCGTGGCGTTGGGCCTACGTACTCCAGTAGTGAAGTCGCATGCGCATTTGCGCCAATCGGGAATGGACGTCTCACTAGGGAGTATCTATAACCAAGGCCTCGTCAGCAGTCTATCGTTTTTCGGCCTTAAATCCGACCCTTATCGAATGACAACTACGCACCTGGATCTGAGTCCATCCATTTGTATCTGCGCAATTTCACGCCTGCGCGTCCATGTTTGACGTTGCACAGCCATCAGCGTACACGCTTGTCGAATACGAGGATAGCTGGTCCGTAAGAGCGGTTCGCCAATCTATCTTCCCTAGATATGTACGACACGTGCGATGTAGATTAACATAGCACAGACCATCGTACAACCACATAGAAAGGCTGTCTCCTTTTTATCGCGCCTTATTAGTGTGATTACACCTGCACCTTCATGCTCGCAGTCACGGACTAGTAAAACGGCCGCTGGTACCATGAAAAATAACGCTGTTTGTATTTGGTATTACACTTCCAGAGTTTTTGCTACGCCGTGGCACTGGTTACCCTCTATGCAAACACACTGAACCAGACATCAGACCAAATCCTTGTACGCCGTCGAGATTAAGTCAAGGTTGTCTATGAGACGTCCATCGCTTCGGCGCCGTTGGGAATCGAAAAGGAGACGGCGCCCGCATCGCCGATTAAACGCTGTTCGGAATCGGAGACGAACTGTTTGTCGCGTTAGTGATATCCAACAGGTTAGTGCGTGGAGACTTACCTTGACACTTCTTGTGGGGTCATAGAAGAGCGCAAAGCTTCGCTGCACATCATCGATGGTGACCTCCGGCCCGTTCCTCTTCTTGCGTATCAGGTCGGAAGTCGTGATTAGGTTGCTTGCGTATCGCAGTCCGGTCTCCTGGCCAATCTTGGTAAGCAGTGCCAAAGCATCCGGAGAGACATCAACCTCCTCCTCTTGCGCTCTTATCGAGATGATTTGCTGCATCTCCTCCGAGGAGTATGCGTGGGTGCTGACAATGACTACACGGTCAAGGAAGTCGAGTGGCAATCCGTGTGGTGACCTGTAGTCTGTTCCCCGTATCTGTGTGTTTCCCCTGTTGCTAGCCATGATGACGATGGGTGCGAGCTCGTCCTCGAGCGCGCGATTGACAAAGGAAAAGCATTCAATGTCCAGCATGTGGACCTCGTCGATGAACAGTACACCTGGCACAATGGTTGCCTTGCCCTCTTCCTTCCACTCTGCGACCTTGGTATTGATCTGGTCTCGTACTTCACTGCGGATCTCGCCTGTGTCACCAGAGAAGAGCGCTAGGAAGCCCTGGGTCCTCGAGTTTATCACGTCGATCTCGTGCAGGCTGACTGTGTGCACTACCTCGCGCCGTTGTTGCAGCTCGCCTTCTGGGCATTGGACGAATTTGGTGTCGATGCCCATCGCATCGTAGTCTCTGGAGCGCGTGTACGAGCGGCCGAGCTTGGTGATCTTGCCTGAAGCCTTGTCGATAGAGATAATGTCGCCAGCCATGACTTTCTCCTTGGTCATTGCGTCAATCATCTTGGTGCCCATGTCGTAGACAGTCTCCATGTCAGTCGTCTTGATGGTAAGCTTTCCTTGTTTGTTGCTCTGCACTGGAGTCAGTATCGTTAACTTGCCACAAATACCCTGGTACTCACGCCTGTGACGCTGCGGTCAATCTGTATCTCAACAACCTCGCCCTCGATGACCTCGCTCTCCTCTGTTATCCGTACGCCAATCGACTTCCGGAAGGCCTGTGTCAGCGCCTCGGTCTTTGACATCTCCAGCGAGAAGATTTCGGACGACGCAAGCATTGTGAAGGGGACATCGGGGCCCAGCGACTGCGCCATGCCCATTGCGATGGCCGTCTTTCCTGTACTGGGAGGGCCAGCAATCAGGACTGCGCGACCAGCAATCTTTCCATCTCGTGCCATCTTGAGTATCACGGCAGCTGCCTTCCGTGCCTTCTCCTGCCCGACTAGGCCCTGCGAAGATACCTTGGGCTCGAGCGTGTCATCGTCGACACCGAGACCGCGAATGTGAGAATGCGCCGCGATGAGGTTGAGGCCGCGGAGCTCCTTGCTCTCGGCGATGGTGGTGATGGGCTACACTTTGTCAGTCAGGTGACGCAAGAACGACATCTCTCACCTACCATGGCCATGATGATGTGTTGTCGTGGGGAATTTCCGCGGCGTTATGCGACAGCGATAAATCGCGAACGCGAAGATGGAAGCTCCAGTAACGACGCACGGGCCCGCTATCTGCCGTTTGCTAAGTAGTGGCATTGGGCATTGGGCGCGTCGACGCGACGGTCCCCAGACCGCATCCCCAACCTAGCCTCTTCCCTACTGGCCTGCAACACAAGCAGCTACAAAAGTCTATTGCCACCACAAAGTCTGTTGACATTGTTCCTTAGGACCATTTGAGCCCTTGGGACCTCCATCTCTTACCCTTCCCGCTTTGTCTTCATCAATCTTGCTGCTTCCGCCATCCAATCCGTGCATTGGTTGTGCGCAGGAGCGGCTTCAGCGCTCGTCCCTCTGACCGTCACCTTACATGCCGACCATACAACAACGACATGGCTAGCCGCCCTCAACTCCCTACCATCTCGACAAGCACTTCCCAGGACAATGTCAATGGCGTCTGTATGCAGACAGACAGGTATGCCATGCCCTCACTTGCTCTCCCACTTGCTCTCCCACTTGCTCTCCCACTTGCTCTCCCACTTGCTCTCCCACTTGCTCTCCCACTTGCTCTCCCACTTGCTCTCTCACTTGCTCTCATTTCCTCTCATTTCCTCTCACATTCCATCACAATCCATCACATCATTGTCACTTGCTTTTTCTCTACTACGTGCCTTCGCTAGTGTAGCAGACTTAAAGTACGCACCTGAATTGGTATCACTTAAACACCGTCCTCAAGCCAACAGACTGCTCTGCATTAGTTACGAGCGTTTTGCATCTGAAACACACTAGGCCAGGATCGTGCAACAACGACATTACCACCTAACACCCAAGTTGTACGTAACATATCTACTAACGTATCACATAGTCCGCATGCTCGAACACCAATCATGTATTCGCCTGCTCTCAACGACCCAGTGGGCTCGCGCATCGGCAAAAGGCCCTTAGATTCTCAGTCTCACGGCGAGAGTCCAGATAAAAGGAGTCGCCCGCCCGATTGGCGGTCGGTGTTGCAAGAAAGGGTCAGCTAAGTCCTCACTCCTTCAATCACCAGTGCTGACACTAGATTAGTATGCCAAAACCACAGGCTTCAGAATACCGAGCCCTCCACCATCAAGGAAAAGCTCTTATGCTGGACTTGCAAATGTACCTACCGGTCCGAGGCTAGCTTCTGACCTGTATAGGCCGGAAGGCCCTCAAGGGCGTCAGAGTACTCAGGTTCAGTCTCCGAGCAGCATAGGGAGTGGGGCATCGACACCTACTCATCATGCCCCTACTGCTCCTTATATGCTACCAGCGACAGAATTGAGCACTCTGCGACGACCTGCAGAGGTAAAAAGTCCTGTCATGGATAGCACTCCAGTCACTATGCAGTCCTTACGAAAACTGAAAGAGAGAAGAAAAGCGATTGCACATCAAATAACCGCCGGCGTCAGCAAGACCCTTGAGGCTAAGCTCGCCACCCAAGCAATGGACATTGCGTACCTTAAGAAGGAACGTGACCAAATCATTAGTAACCGTGAGAAGGAGCTCAACGAACTCAAGAAGCAGATGGAGGAGAAACATGATCAGACGAAACGCAGACTGGACGATGTAGAGGCCGTGTCTGCCCGCGTTCCTAGCCTGATGGACAGGACAGAGACTCTCAAGCTTGTAAACGCAGCTGCCAAGCCTATAACAGAACGCTTAGAAGTACTAGAAGAGTCAGCTACCGGGCTCCCTAATCTGAAAAAGGGGCTGCAAGACCTCGCAGCTGTGCCAGAAAAATTAGCTGCACTGGAGTCGCGACAAGCTGCAAAGCCTGAACCGGACCACTTCAATGTATTTGTCAAATCAGAGCTTACATCTATAAGAGGCAGGCTTGACAGCACACTCGCAAAGACTCATGCGTTAGAGAACGACGTCACCACGTTAAAGAATGCGAAGGAACTGCGAGAGATCGACATCACCACGTTGAAGAATGCGAAGAAACTACAGGAGAACGACATTGGCGCACTGAAGACATGGAAGGACGCGCAACCTAAAGTGGTATCTGAGGTAACAATTAATAACCTCATCGCAGCCCAAGTTGAAGAAAAAGCTTCTGTCATCTTAAAAATCTTGAGCGAAAAAACAGACGAGGCCAATCACAGGCTTGCTGAGCGTTTCAATAACACTGAAGCCGAAATTCGCCGTCATCAGCTTGAATTACAAGAGTTCAAGAGTTCTAAGGAGAGTTACAAGCAGGAACTTGCTAACCAGCTTTCGGTATTGCACGAAAGAATACAGACCGTCGAGGGAAACGATGCAAAGACATACGCCAAAGCCGATAAGCTACAGAGACAACTGCAGAAGTTGGAAGATGACTTGCAGAAACTGGAAGATGACGTGAATGACCTTTCTCCAAGTGGAAGTGGCATGGACAAGATACACGACAAGCTGGAGGAAATGCGACGCACAGACGACAAATTACTTAACAAGGTGCAGGAAATTCGCGAAGAGATGAAGAGCATGAACAGAGACCTTTCATCGTTCGAGAAGGACTTCTCTAATTACCAAGACGACATTATTAAGTACATTGGACGAATTAAAAGCGACTACAAGGATACCGGAAAATCCTTATCAGAAAGGGTTGCCGCCCTGCGAACAACGCTTACCGAAGCTGATTTGTCTAGACTCCCTGTTCGCCTTAATGAGCTGGAGAAGTCTGCACGTAATGTAGACAGGCTGACTGTCCGTGTCGATGAGCTGGACAAGCTGCCTCCTCGTATTGATGAGCTAGAGAGGGCTCCTAAGGGTCCCAACTCTAAGAAAGTCGGGACGCCTGTTTTCCCTTCGTCTACTGTTGCAAAAATCCCAGAGACGAGTGACTTAGACTCGAAAGTCGACTCGCTGGACAAGTCGTTGCAACGACTTCGCAAAACCGTGGAAGGCAAAAATAGCCTAACTTCCCGGATGGATCACCAAGAGGAGCGGATTGATAGGATAGAGGCATCTTCTGCTAGTGCTAGGCCGCTCGAGACGGTGGAACAGACGGTTCAGACTGAAGACAGGGCTTTAGACAAGACGCTGGTAACTGAGGAAAAGGCTGCAAAGAATCTGGAGGAGCTCGAAACCCGCCTCATGGAAGAGATCCGAGCATTACGCAACGACACTGCTGCAGCCCCGTCATCGCAATTCGATATGAGTGCTCTCAGCGTTACCCAGCAAGGCATTGAGGCACTTCACGAGAAATTCGAAGATCACGATGCGATTATCTCGAGTATACAAGAGATGGTTCCTAATCTCTTTAGCGAACACTTCGCACCACTTAAGGCAAGTGTTGAACAACAAGCGCAAATCACTAGCAATACGTTAGAGCAGCACAGCCACGACCTCTCTAATCTAAGTCGACAAGTTGCGAACTTGCCAACACAACGGACTACTGCGGAACAGCAGCAACAAGATCAGCTTGATGCGATGATAGCGGAAGCAGTTTCGCTTAGGACAGCTTTTGCAGCTCTGCAAACATCGTTGTCAAGAAAGGCCGATGCTGAAAGAATGCATCAACAACTACGAGGAATCACTTTCGCGCTGAACAACTTACAAAGCCGATACGAGAACATAAGTACCGACGACATCTTCAAGCACATGGTCGAGTGGTTCACAAGGCAGTATCCGAATGTAACACAAATCATGAAGGAGATCCAAGAACTCAGGGCTACAATGATAGCGGACCATCACGGAAGCTTTATCGCTCGCTTGAGTCGTGACGCAGAAAACTTGCACGATCTTCTACGTATTGCTCCGCAATTGCGAGGACTTGTGGACATTAAGCAGGCGGTCACCTCTGAAGGGCAGACTGTTACTGCCAGTACTACAGAGATCCAGCTCCGACTTATAGAAGAAGCTAATACGCTTAAAAATCTACAAAATCAACTGAAAGAAGACAAGATTGAACGCACGACAGAGTTAGAACTACTGCGCTTTCAAGTAAGCGACGGGCGTCGTTCGCGCGCAGATGCGGAGGCTGATATAAGGAAAGACATCAGCAATATCGTTGCTACAGCAAGGCAGATCAAGAGCGATTATGAAGCGGCTGTGCCTAAGATCCGGGATCAACTCAGTGACGTCCAGAAGGCGGATGCTGAATTGCGAAAAGAGTTCGATGCCACAGTCAAAGCATACATCGAGCCAAACCGCGACTTGTTCGGCATGATGGAACAAGTGATCACGGTGGTTGCGCAAGTTCAACAAATCCTTGAAAGCGTAAACCAAAACCTTCCGAAAGGGCCGTTGAAGCTAGATTGGGTCTGCTACCTTCCAAAGCACGGTCAGCTTGAAAACAACGGCGAGCTTGAGTACAACGGCGAGCCCAGCAATTCGAAGGGCAAAGGCAAGAGCAAGCAGTAAGCAATCACAGCCACGGAGCTCGACATTCTTTTCTCTTGACTTTACACTTATACCCTACCTGTATCGTGTTTTTATACACGTCAGAAAGGTCACTTCACCGGCGTTCCTGGCGGATAGCAAGCCCTTTGCAGCAGCATATGATACCCCTAGCCTCATACGGCTTTCTCTTTGCGTCTTGCGATTATGGATTTTGGATGTTAGCTCTGCTTTCGAGCTTTGAGTTCCCTTCTCACTATCCTATTGTGTTCAGCCCCATTCAATTGGGCATTTTTCGTGTACAAGTCCCATAAACTTGGGCAATTATCGTGTAAAAGTCCCATTATCGGGCATACCCTTATGGGTACTGGGTGTAACAGTCAAGTTTTAGCCCTCATCTGGCAGCTACCAAGTGTGAGTTTGGTCGAAGCGGCAGAGGCGAAGAGTAGGCATGTATAGATACACTCGGCTGTAACCCTTTTGTACTTACGTCCTAATCCAAAAACAATAGTTTTGGTGCTCGGGAAACCTTTCACCCAACTCCCGTTTTCCACTTGGCCAGATACCCGTCTTTCTAATACTCACTAACATCCGGCCATTCATGTTTACGATAGATCGCTTGCAGCAAGTCTGCAAAGACTTTCAGGACGGGTTTTGATAGCCTGTCGATTCGGTCTGCACATAAAAAATTCATTCTCAGGTTTGCCAAAAAAAAAAATGGTGTGTTGCGCTATGCAACGCTTCATTGCGCAACGCGTTCGATGGGTCAACAGAGTCCGCTCCACAAAAACAATGCCTTCCGCCAGAATTGAACTGACGACCTCGTCATTACTAGTGACGCGCTCTACCACTGAGCTAGGAAGGCTGATGTTGTTTCGATGATGACTAATCGATGATCGCCGAGCGACAAATTATCTTATCAACCCCTTGTTTTGACAAGTCTCTCATCGTGACGAAGATTAGATAGGAAACCCTGAACTTGAACCATGTGAAGTTAATAAGCAACTGGCTTGAGACTCCTTAGTCAACATTGGGGCACAATATTGACTAGGTATCTCATGCAGCCGGTTGCATTCCTCCGGAGGTAAGAAAACGCGCTAATTAACCCCGCCAAAACTTTCGCGCCAGATGCCTCGGAGCTCTAACATCTACCCACTTGTGTCTCTGTTGCGCGCACGCTCACGAACCCTCACCATGGCACCAAAACCTACCGAAACCTCCTCGGCAATCTCCGCGATTGCGAACCTAGACACCAAATCTTCCGCGCCCGCGCCCAAAGACGTAGACACGTCCGAGCTCGACGCAACCACACCAACGTCCTCCAACACCAAGAAGCGCAAACGCAAAGACAACGCCCAAGAAAAACAAGTCCATATCCTCCACCAGTCTACGTTCCGGAAAACAGCATGGTCCTACTTCCACCTCATCCTCCTCACACCCGGAACCGCTTCCACACCACCAGCCACAGCTTCCACAGACTCGACAACGACAACAACATCCCTCTCACCCCTCCTAGCCTCCTCCCTCCTCACACATTCGCTGCGGTCCTACCTCGGTATCACAGGCACAGCGATACCCATCGACATGCTCAAGATCTCTGGACGGAGTGTCTGGGTGAGAATACCACGGCAGGACGCACGCGCGTTCAGAGCTAGCCTGAGTGGGTGGGTGGGCACGTGTGATGAGGAAGACATACCGGGTGTTGAAGGGGGAATGGGTGTCAAGGTCGGGGTGGCCTGGAGGGTTGTGGGAGAAGGTGGTGTGCTTGGAGGAATAACGACGGGTGGTGATGGAATGGATCTCTTTGGGTAAAGATGAAGGATGGAGTATCTAGGCAAACGACGAACTTGGGATTCCGGAGAGGAAATTCTGGTACACCAAGACAGTGAGATGCTGCTCTGAAGCGCATGGCATTGCACTGCGCTCGCTGAGGTTGAAGTCGTACAGATCAAGGTTATACGCGTCAGTTATCGTGCGCTGCGTAGAAGCGACTAGACGAAACGCCATATCCTCGATAAGCAACACGCGACAGAAATGCGCGATTCTCGCGTTATGCGCTCAGGGTGGGACGAACTCAAAGTCAAGAGGACACAGGGAGGGCTAGTGTGGCATCTGCTACGAGCCCACGTGGCACTACGGTCGAGAACCATGCAGCCACGGGTGACCCTATATCAGATCACCGCAGCATTGGTCTCTCAGACACCGTCAGCGAGAACACAGGAAGAGAACAAAGTCATTGAATCTACACAGTTCAGAAAGGTATCGCTAGCAACCTCCGGAAACCTCAGCCACCAAGCATCGCCTGTCGTTCGCATCGCGGCCTCACTCTGTCGCAACCGTAAGTTTTATGTATCCTTCGTCCGTGTATCGCGCACGACTCAGCAAACCAGGATACGACGAGTTTACTGCCAACCAGGCTGTGGTGCATGGTGACCACCTGGAGGGCCACCGTAGCCAGCCTGGTGCTGACCAGGAGGAGGATACTGCTGGCCTCCACCACCATATTGGTTAGCATGCGTAGGAGCACCACCATACTGGTTGTGCTGATGTTGATCATAGTTGCCAGGGCCGCCATAAGGACCGCTTTGTGCACCATAAGCAGGGCCTCCGTAGCCAGCTACACTAGATATCAGTTTTGCGCAGCCTTTCCCTCACGCATGTTTGGTCCATACCTTGTTGTCCATAGCCACCTGGTGGACCCCCATGTGGTGGTCCTTGCCCGTAACCTGGTGCTGGCCCACCATATCCTGATTGACCGCCGAAACCAGCTTGCGAGCCATAGCCATGTTGCTGGCCACCGTGCTGTGGCTGGGGAGTGTGTTGTTGTGAGCCGCCGTAGCCGCCGTGGGCTTGACCCTGGCCATATTGTTGTCCGTGACTTGGAGGACCGCTGCCGTACTGGCCACCTTGAGCGTTGTGGTTGTAGGAAGTTGGCGGTGCGGTGCCGGTGTAGGTTCCGCCTGAAGAGGCACCAGAGTAGCCGTAGTCGCCAGCGCCGTTGTTTGGCTTGTTGTGCTAGATGTTGTCAGCGCATTTCCTCAAGTCGTATGACGTGGAAGGCATTGTACCGATCCACCACCACCGAGTACGCTCCCAAGCATGCCTCCAAGCCCGCCTCCGGAAGAACTGCCACCATGTTGACCTCCAGACGAACTTCCGTGCTGCTTCCCACCACCTAGCAGACCACTAGCAAGCTGTCCAACAAGGTTGCCGGCACCGCCACCGCCACCAGAGTGCCCGCCAGAAGAACCGCCATGTTGTTTCCCACCGCCCAAGAAACTCCCCGCGAGTTGGCCAACGAGGTTTCCCGAGCCGCCGCCGCCATGGCCTCCACTACCACTCTGCTTGTTTCCCATAAGCGCGTTCATCGCAAAGCCCTGTGTGCCCTTTGTCAGCCTGCATGCCCGATTGATGCCCAAGTATGTCGAGTGTCTCATACACCCAGTCCGCCTGCCCTGTCTCCAGTCGGGCCGTCGCCCATGCCTCTTGTTCCATCACCCGCGCCGTCTGGACCTGATGTGCCGGGCACGTTGTATGGATTCGTTGATTGCGCCGGAGTGCTGTGGTTGGAGGAGCCGCCTACGGGGGCTTCGCTGGTGGGCAGTTCCCATTGCGAGACGCCGGTGCTGATTTGGACATCTGTCGCGGAGGGTTAGAATGTGCGATGTTGTTGTAGATATGGCGCGACCATGCCAACTAGGGCTACGTACAATAATACTTTCGTGACCTGGCGTGTATGTTAGTTTCGTGTCGCGGGGCAACGAGTGCAAGGGCGGCCAAAGCATCATATGGTAGGCTTCAACATACGAGTTATCCCACTGCGCTATCCATCCAGCAGGAAGCTTGGGAAGGGTAGGGTCGGTAGGGCCCGAGTCCGGCGATACAGGCGGGATGGGAGGTGTGGGTACCGCCATGTTGTTTTGTGGAGAGGCGATGGCGGGGTAAGGAAGAGAGAGGATGCGATAGAAGAGGGGAAAGAGGTATAAGAAAGTTGGTTAGTAGGGGAGGAGAGGCGGCCGGGGATATCAATACATCGCAGCCAGCGGTTATATGACAGGAGTGCGAACAGCCATGGGCGAGTGGTCCTTGTTAGCGTTATGGTGGGGATTGGCCAGGATGCTGGGACGCTCTGCGAGGCTGTGCACTTTGCGCAGTCAGGAAAGTGACGCACATGTCCGGCAGGCGAATGTGTTTCTTTCAGCTGGCTTGCGTCTTACTGCGACCACATTGCTACTACAAACAGCTAATCACAGTTCAACGGCACGTTCGGACATGGGACTAAAACATCCTTATTCTACATGTGGCTGAGACAGCTACTGGCGACCAAGAAAAGCCAGAGCCCAACCTCTCTGCCGCGCCCGATTCAGGCCCAATACTAACACACGGATATCTGAATAAGTAACCAAATCAACGCCTGCCTAATGCATAGTTCCTGTCTTGATCCGAGCAAACATGCCAAATTGACTCCTGTTTGCGTACGACGTCATCCGCGTCTGGAACCCGAAACACCAAAAAATCACTCATTAGTTACCACGCATACCCGCCTCCGTTGTCGTTGTCGTCATCCTCATTACCGTTCCACTCTTCGTCGCCGCTGGGTTCCGCGTCAAGAAAGTCAGCTTCATTGAAGATCTCTTCGCGAGGACGGAAGTTGTCGATGCGGAAGATTACTGTGTGACACCGGCCTTGCACGAATGGCTCCTCTTCATCTGACACATCTTCTTCGGAGGCGGAGTCTTCGTTTGACTCCTCATCGTAGCTGGTCGCTGCTTTTGAGCGAGAGCGGAGACGCTTCGAACCCCATCGCTCATCTTGCTTCTGAGCGCGCGATGGTAGTAGTGGAGCATCGTCGTCACTACTACTGCAGTCGTCTACGACAACTGCTTCGGGTTTTGACGTTTCTTCTGAGATGCCCTCAATGAACGAGTCTACCCTCTCTTCCTCACCGCCACGATCCTTCCATTCCCTAAAGGCCCTCAGAGACGCGAGGTTAGGATCAGGTGCTTCCCACCTTCTTGCATAGACCTTCTTGAACTTGGCACTCCACTTCTGCCGGAACTCTGCTCTCTGGCGCCAGTCGGTGTCCACCATGGCGATAATGGTGATCTCCTGCAGCCAGGGCATTTCTTCGGCGGAGTTGATGAGCGAATTGAAGAAGTTGTCGGCAGACTTCGAATTCCACTTGCGTAGATACTGGAAATCTATGGTTCGAAGTGTTGTTGGCCAGGTAGGCATTTCGCTCTCACCAAGAAGTGTCTCGTAGAGAGGTTCGTTGTCAGCAGACATGACTAGAGAGCTGTAGTAGGTTGTGTCCATCCTTAGAACCTCAAGCTTGGGACAAGAGCGTTTCAAGTCAACTAGGAATGACATGTCCAGGGCCTGGTTGTGATTGAGGGTCAGTTCTTCAAGCTGAGAGCCATGGGTAGTCAGGAAATCCGAGAATGAATCGGAGAGTAGCTCGCCACAGTTCACGATGCTGAGGCTGGTGAGGTTCGTGGGCAGCAAAGGAAGCAGGCGCCCACTAACTATGCCGCAAGTCTCAAAGGATAGAGACTTAAGATTAGGAAGCACAGCCAGCGCAGATGCTAACAGCTCCTCTATTGTTGGCTCGCCCTGATGTTCTTCAGGATCCCCACGAGTGGCTTCAGGATGGAATTTAGTCAATGTTAGATCGCGAAGGCTCTGGAAAGCATGGTCGGTGTGAATCGTCTTGATCCATAGAGGTCCTTGGCTACAGAACGTGCTGTTCCACCGCCAGCTTCTCAAACGCAGACTAGTTTGTCGAAGAGCGTCGAAGAGTTCAGCAGGATATACCCAGCGCCGAAGTCGTCTAAGTCGTGGGCGAAAGGGAGGCCGATCCATAGGATCAAAGATGTCAATCTCACGCAGTGTGGTCAGTGACTGTACCAGAGCCGCAAGATCGGTCACGCTGTTGGCATGATCCGTCAGAGCAGTCATCTGCGTCGCATCTAGCTCTAATCGCTTGACCATGACGCGATAATCATCGTGTGCCCCAGATGGAGGAGCGGTGAGGTGATGAACGAGGTCTTTGCGTGTCTGCCTAGTTGCGAATATGGGCGGGTTTCGATATAGAGCCGTCAGAGCCGGCTTTGTAAAGGCTGAACACGTCTTGGCCATCTGCACAAGCCATGATATCGCGGGGGTGGGCTTCATGTTCTCGTCGTGCAGCGGGTGGGAAGCGTAAACAAAGATTTGGAGGAGTACGTGATATGGCAGAGAAGCCCAGGCCTAAACATGAGGATTAGAGCTAGAATGTATATGTGATGAAGCAGACATACCGGCTTGTGCCCATCGGAGGGAATCGTCGTCTTGCGCTCGACCTGACCCTCGTTGTTCGGCTTCAATGGTGCGCCTATGGTCGCCTTACGTCGCGATCTACTCCCCTTTATACCTACAGTCTTTCCAGATCGCGATAATGGTGCCGCGACAGGTCGTGGCCGTGTCCTCACCGTCATGACCTGCTCTTCTTCCAGCTCGAAGTCGCCATCGGGATCCTCGTCGTCTTCATCGTCTGTGCTGACATCTTTGTATGAAATCTTTGGCGCTCCTCGTCTCCGTGAGGTTCGTGACTCCCGTTGAAGCTTGACAGAAGCGGGCTGTGGCGGTGGCGGTGGTGGTGGAGAGTGCTCGCTTTCGCTGGCGGCTTCGTCGTCGGCTGCCGGGCGGCGAGTGGATCGGCGGGTAGGGACGGTGCGCTTTCTGGTGGTTTGCTCATAACCGGAGCTTTCAGAGAGGTCATCGTCACTGCTTGGCTCCTTGTACGATACAGCGCCGCGTTTGCGCTTCAGTGTTACAGCCATGTCGTACAATGTAGGGTCCAATGACTGTCGACGGCCAGCTTGAATTTGAGGGGCTGATTAGTATTAGGTCTGACCTATAAGGGGCACTTAAGCCCTGCAAGGCAGTCGCGAAGGTGCATGGAGCAGGTCGAAATGTGAGGCAAAAGAGTGGTAGTTGGAGGCGAGTGTTGCGACAGTGAATTGTCGATGCATGTGGACCACGGAGGTAAGAGGCCATCAATGAGATCATCCAGGATCACCAAGCCAATGCAGCTTAGCGGCACCACCCGTGCGCACGTGACCCTTGTCAACACAACTCCCGCACACGGCCGTCAAGCATGTGGAGCGTCCGAGGCGTTCGCGTTGGCATACAGTGAATGTTGCGGATACAGGCCATTCGCCTTTTCGCCAGCTGAGCGCTATCCGCTTGTGCGCCATCGCGTCGTCCTTGGTTGCCATCGTGCGCCACAAACCTCTCCGACACAACAAACAGCGACAGCGAGAACACAACTGACGCCACCCTTTGTCAGCAGTTCCAAAGCTGAATGAACGACGGCGCATGATTGTTGCGCGTTGACTTATATCGTGGGATTGTCGCGCGCGGCCCAGGGGCGTCAGACCGCTAGAAACAACAACAACCCTGCTTTCCGCCATCTTCACTTTCTCATCCGTCTTTCCATCTGCAAAGCCATACTGCCGGCACCCAGGACAGCGGCGAGGAACCGCAAAACTCTGCATTGTCTCACTTGGCCCCACTAATGTGCGCCCTCACCACGCCATCTCGGTTGCTATAGGATGCAACTGAGCAACCGAGGAATTCTGTAAGTAGATCTAAGTCCAAGCAGAACGTTCCCTAACATGCGTGTGCGCCGGCAGAGCATGCTAGGACGGCGAGACAGATTTTATGGAAATATACTTTTTTACGATTATCTTTACAAGACGAAAAGGCTCCCGTTCTTAGAGCGGAACAGGAGACAGGTGCACTCTTCCCGCAACGAGGATTACAACAAAGAGAAGGGATTCGATTTTCGTGCCACTTGGCGGCCCCCATCTTGGGATTTACTGAACGATATGATCTCAGTAGAAAGGGCAGCAGGGGCCTTCGTTCTTCAGGCGCACAGTATTCGTTTACAGAACGGCCAGCAAGCTCCTCGTGGTGGTCGTGGAAATGACCTGGCAAAGAAAACGCGGACTTTGTTGCGATTGACTGCGTCGATCAAGACGTCGGTTGTTTCATCATCTCCTGATCCGCCATGTAACAATCCGCCTGAACAGGAGGCAATCCTACGAGCCACTGATAGGCGATTGAATCGGGAGGCATCAATCGAGATGGAGCCTATCATCATTTATCGTGAAGACTGGTACACCGATCCCAGTAATATCGACGAAAATGACATACACAGAATAATGCTCAGTCTGAATTTCGACAATGACAACAATCTCAAGGACTTGTGCGAGTTTATGGGCCTCAAGATCTCGGATTCATCAGCCCGTCTGTCTACTTCTTATGGAAACATCTTCGACGTGCCAGAAGGAAGGGTCATCTTACCATTAAAAGCATCTGGAAACCAGCTCGGCATGGGTCTAGAAGTCAGCATGCGTTGGAATCCGCTCAAACGAGACTCTGTCTTGATAAGCCACAATCGGCATCTTCGAAATACGATAGAATCTACCAGTCCATATCCGACGCCACCTCTCGATCAGGAACCCCGGTGTAGGCTCACTTTTGTCTATGGCAACGGCACTCTTGAACGGTCTGAACTCATGTGCCCGCATTGCTCGAGAAAGAAGATAGCAGATATCGAAGACCTCAAAATGCACCTCATAAGCTGGCACGAGTACTTTGACTACCATGTCACCCTGGAACAAGTCGACGAACATGGGATTGAGCACTGGCGCTTCGATAGCGAAGTAGCCAACTATAGAGCGGGTCAACGTGCAAGTGATACTGCCGATGAGCCTGCCGACGTGCGTGTACTCGCACCAGCTCAGCCCTTCAACAGACGAAAATTCTTAGCAGGCGACGACGAGTTCGAAAGAACTGCCAGGATAGAAAAGCCCACCAAACACGCGAAAACGAAGCCAGCAACGAATGGCTTGAAAGTTGCGCCAGGACCGAGACCACGAAAGCCTCCAGATCAAGTGCAATCCAGACCGCAAAGGGACAAGAAGAGATTCGTCGTGCCAAAGGCGCCGGATGGTATCACCTTCTTCCGGTCGGTCAGCAAGAGGCCTCTACAACCCGGCGAGGTCATCAGTGAAAGCGACGATGAACTGGACGAAGGGTGGATGTACTTCCGGAAACACGTGGAGATCGACAAAACAAGATTATCAGAGGCTTCTAAGCGTTTCTTGAAGATCTATGATGACTTCATGCACGAAGAGAATCTGCAATCAGAGATGCACGTGGAAGAATCCATTGTCCGATTTGCGCGACAGTGCGACCCGCAATTGCTGCACGACAACGATGTCTATTGCGAGTTCAAGAAGAAGATGGACGAGCTGTTAGAGGAGGACATTATATCGAAAGAGGTGCACGAAGCATTGGCGAACAAAGAAGCCAACAAGCTTTCTCAGCGTCTAGCATTTCTCAATCTCCAATATCAAAAGACCCCTCTTGCCCCTACTGACAATAGGGCGGATCAGGGTCTTGTGCCGACGCAGGATCAGAATATCGAAGGCAATGCTATGGTCTCGAATTCTGCCTCCGATCCAGACCACGAAAACGAGCCAATCTTTGATTGGGTCGCCTCTTGTGTTGACGCGACCTCTAAAGGGAACAAGAGTCATCAACCTAGGAAAGACAAGGGCAAAGGTAAAGCCGTAACGACTGAAGCTGGCTACCTTACTCCTGCTAATGGAGATCATGATGGAGATGTCGACATGAGCGATGGAACATCACCAAATATACCATTGGAGCCAGCAAAAACACCTCAGGACGAGGACGCTGACCCGCCGTACGATCTGTGTTATTGCGACGAAGATGCATCGGCAAAACCAGGCAAAACTGGCCTGGTTGCATGTAACAACATCGTAAGCTCAGCAAACCTACAATACATGTGAAATTGCGAACTAATATTGTTACAGGACTGCATACGTCGAATCTTCCACCTCGCATGCATACAACAACACAGCAAAACATCAACGCCAATACTTACCCCGAAAACACGAGACTGGACCTGCGATGACTGCAAAGCCGAATCTAACGCGGCGAGATAGCTTCTCGCTGCCGAAGACTGTGTGGCGCTGTAGCAAGGTATCCATCTCCATTGCTTCTGTTTTGACTGACTACGTTTGGCGTTGGTAGAGAAAAAATGGCAGTAGCTTCGGCATTGACATGTGTTTTCTGTTCTGTTCGGGCGGACTATTACTACTTTCTCCAGTACCTCTTCTCGATACCACTAGCATTTTGAAGGTTGTTTTCTTCTCAGGCGTTTGACTTTGTACTTGAGCTTGTTTTGTTGGGTTGCATGGAACGCGAGTGACGCAATGTTTGATAGCCGATATATCACACTGATACCATCGTTTGGGATTGCCAGTTCTTCTTGTCGTTTGCATAGGGGCTAATCCGCCGCCTTCGCCTCGGAACATCTTTGTCATCATCCAGATGTAGCGTGGCACAAATACTGTACCACTGTTACTTTGTGGCAATATCGAGTTTTGGAGAAAGAAGACATGTGTCTGGAAAGTTCACTCGTCATCCAGCATACCAGCCATGCTGCATGCCCAACTTCAGCCGTGAAATATTCGTCCTAAGCGACTACCTACCTACTGGCCTCACGATCGAGGTGAAAATCAAGCACGTAAGCCATTGGAACCAATTCCCCTTTAGATATCCTATACAGTTTCTACTATATTTACCTCCATTATCTCATCTCCTTCCTCGCCTAAAGTGTCCCAATCTGGACACGAAAGCAAATTACCACCACCATAATCACATTAGCGCAGCCGGGCAACAATCTCAGCCAAGGATGCCATACTCCGCTTCTAGATGATATTAATCCGCAGCAGCAAACAAAAAATTTGCCCTTGTCAATGACATGCAGGCTATAGCTTCGCCTTCTTTTCTTCCCTTCTCCTCCACATCTGCCAGACCCCTAGCTCCCATCTTGGATACATATGCATCAAACCCGCTGAACGCCACATCTCCCCATGCATGCGCATACTCCCAATACACCCATCTTGCCCAACAGAGTAATGGAGTAGATGATTCCAATGCAGGAATCCATCATCAATATGCAGGTACGAAGCATCGTTCATCTAAACAATCTGCGCCTTGTCTGTTCTGCATTTCGGATCCTGCAACCGAGGTGCAAAGACTAAGCGTATGACATGCGGTAGTCTAGAAAGAAGGAGCACGCGACGGACGTTGTCAGATTGAGATATCTCTCCTCGGCTTAGCCTTGCAACATCGGTTATAGCATCCGGAAGGAGAAGGTGGAAAGGTGGACCGGGATGGAGGGTATAACAAGATTCACATTATGACGATCAGATGTAATATACGAGCGCGTTTATGATAGCAGGGTACCATGGTGTATGTTTCAAGTGATAAGCGAGAAGCGACGATGGAGGCGCTTCGACATTAGGATCAATGAAGTTTGTTCAAGGTGAAGTAGACGGTTTGCGCTCAATTTGCATGTCATGGACAGTGACATGACCCACGCCTTGGAACGGATATCGCACGCGCGACAGACCAGCCTTTCCAACTTCATTCAGTCTGCCCCAAGCTAACGAACATGTCACTTAGCCCACTATCGACCACTCACGACTCTCGGATCTCCGGAGAAGACGAGACCATGAACGCTTGGTCCATGCGTGATATCTTATTCACCTACCGTCCTCCTCTAACACGCCAAAGACGGCTGAGAGAATAACATGTATTGGCAATATCGAATAGCAAAACGCTGGCGTTGGCCTAGCTGCCTGTATTTAGTTTCGCGCGCCATGTCAGAAAACGTCTGTATAACAGCCAGGCCGTTTTAGGTCGTTTGCACCGTTTCGTTTTGACAAAGTAAAGTTTCCAAAGTCTAGAACGGCGGTAAACGTTTTCGTTTTCATTCTTGCTAGGCCGGTGAATAAACGCCGCTGTGGTTTGTACAGGTAGGCGCGATGTGGGGTTAGCCTGGTAAGATCTGATACGGCGATTTATTGTCATTAGGTTCCGTCATCACATGTCCTGATCCGAGCGTCATGGGTATGAACGACATGTTTTGCAACACCACCATCGCAGAAATTCACTGTTAAGAATTACATACCGTTTAGCCGCAATGTTTACCACAGGCTAAGTTGGTTGGGCAGGCAATGTCTGCTTTGAATTTCGGTGTTGGGACTTGGTCGATGCGTGCATGCATTGGCGTCATGTCGACTCCCCTTTCGTACTGCAGCAGTAGCATGTCTGCAGAGAACGCAAGTGCGTAGCCGCAAATGCTGCAACTCGAGTCATTTCCTCATAAGTCTCTCAACCAATACTCATGCCGAAGTTTTGCCAACCTCCTTTTCGGCCAGATTTGCGGACTTTTGATGGATGCGATTGATTGTCAAGTGCGGAGGATGTTTTGGAGGGCGCTTACATGCAGATTGCCGAACATTCTTGCACGGAACAGCGAAATGTACCCCCTGCGTCGCGGACTTTGTGTGTGAAATACGAGAACGGGCGATAGTAGTACCGAGAGCTGGTAGGGTATTCATAGGTGAAACGGGACCCGTTGCTTGTGTCGCGCGCCGCGGTTCGCGTTGCCCTACGCTGCCCGGTTCGGCCATCCCAACCACTTCTATGCTACCTTCTTGGTCAGCCTGCAGGACCTTGACATCGTAAAATGCTAGTACTCGCTAGATGAATGGACACCAGGATACGTACATTGACATGCAGGAGAGAGGTGCGACGTGGTACGAGAGATACTCGCTCAAAGCGTTGAAAGACTGCGTACTGATTGGCCATGGCCAAGTCTACTATTGATGCTGTTGCTAATAGGTGCTTTTTTGTACAGAGGCCGTGATGCGGAACTGATCGGAAATCCATCTATCGTACACGTTGCGAAAAAAACAAGATGGCTGGCATAAGCGCCTGACTGCCGAAAGAGATATGAAACTCTTTAGTCGTGAAGATAGCGATAGTAAGACATTAGGTAAGGGCTCATCATATCTCGACTTTCGTAAAGTGTCGACACGCAGTCAATGAAGAAATGAATGAACAGGTTGTGACAAGGAAATTGAGCTTGACGGAAAAAGATAGTGTGTCTGGGGGCACAAACAGCCCCAGAACAGCAATAATGACATGAACATGATAAGTGATGCGCGCGCATGATTGGTGCTCATCAAATGTGGTAGCAAGCGTAAACGGCAGAGCGTACCTCCATGGTATCATGGCTATAGTTCATCGTGAGTGCGTAAGTAAAGTCGTTGACAGAACGCTTTCAAAACAGGATTACCGCCGTATGTTGCTTTTGTTGACGAAAGAAACGTTGTCATATACCGACCGTGTCTTTAAACGAGTGAGGTGTCGTGGTTCGTGGTTGAGTCTCTTCGACCCCTTCCATACGCACATCTCTGTCCCTGGATTCTGTGGAAGATGGCAAGGGCGCAGAAATGGGTGTGTATGTTGAGTATTGTTGGCTGCGGCTAGGATCTCCTGATCCATATGCGAGCGGAGACTCCATTTCGCTGGTTGCGCGATGTTTTTCTAGTTCCAATGGTTGTGGCCTTGTCCGTCTTCTCTTGCCTGATGAGGACTCTGACCCGTGTTCTACTCCGATTTGGTGTTGCGGTGTCATTGCGGGAGCCTGCTGCGAAGGCGCTGTTGGTGGTGGTGTTCGATCGTGTGGCCGAGGGTCCGAACTGGGTGGTGAGGGTCCAGGTGGTACTGTGATAGATTGCCTGCCCCTCCTAGGTGGTGGATATACCTCTCCTCTCGCGGCAGCCTCTTGCGCTCTTTGTTGTGCCTCCGCTTTTGTTGGTCTTCCACGTTTCTTTTTGTTCGCTGGCTCGCCAGATGGGTTTATCGTGGACGTGTAGGCAGGGCCTGCAGGCATGAAATCTCCCGGGAACGAATGCGGAGGACGAGGTTGTAGCAAGCGGCCGACAGGCGTGGAAGCTTCTGGCTGAAGTGGTCGCTTTCTCGTAATGTCCGGTCCTGGAAACAACATCGGTGCAGGTAGCTGGGGACGTCTATACTCTTGCCCAGGCGCGGAGTAGGTCGCTGCGAGGCTGTCGAATGCAATCTGACTAGAACGAACAGACCGGCCTGCAGCGCGTTAGTTTCCTCTACTGCAAATGTTACGTGTAATGTTGAGTGATGAGCGTATGCTATGAGAGCATACAAGTAGACAGCACATACCTGGAGGCAAAGCCATATCGTTCCATCGTGGCTGGATGTTGGCGTCGCGTATGATTCCGAAGAGAACATGAGATGGTATTGGAGCTGCTTTTAGTATTTCAGCAAGCAAATAGACCTAAGTTGGTTACATTAGTTTCCCGTATGTGATGAATGTGCGTGTTACCGTATTTGAGAGGTACGTACTTTTTCATGCTCTGCCCATGGTGGCTCGCGCGAGCTCGAGGGCTCCATGTCGTGATCCTCGACAGGCTCAAAATACGCGAGGGCAGAGACCAAGAAGTAGTAGTGGCAAAAGCTTGCTGTATGCAACCAGACTAATTGAGCATCGATCACAAGGCCGTAAAGTAAGTGGACCGGCGCGAAGAGCAACGCGCCCTCGCGCGCGGTTGTATAGCTGCGTCTACCAACAGAACAAACGAGAGTGCTGAAACGAAAGAGTAACGAGCGGTAGAAGAAGAGCACCAAAAATCAAAGAAACCTGCGGCGGGCTCTGGTTGTCGTATTCATGCCAGCAGGCAAGAAGGTTGTGTCAAAAGGGACCACATGAGGCTGGGTCAAAATAATTAGGGAGACAGCTTCCCGTGAGAGATTACTGGGGAGAGCCACCCGGTATGTTATACATTAGCGGATTTCTTCAAAGACGAATGGGAAGCGACTAGTCCCCACACCAAGAATGCAGCATCCAAGGCTTCCCGCACGGTATCTGTCTAAATCAGTACTTGTCGCAAATCGATAACGAAGCCTACGTATGTAACATAGATCTGGCGGCGCTTTACCCCATCTCGAAAGCCTCAGCGGATGTTCGAAAACGATTGCGCAAACCGATGAGCCAATCGCATAGAGAGTAGGCCAAGCCGTGTCTCACCAGCCGTGGAGGGTTTAGCCTGAGACCAACGGCCCTTCCCTTGCAAACCAGTCCCTGCCTTCCTTTTTTTCTCATGTACGCTTGCCGCCTCTGTTTCGGGGTTTTGACAGTGCCATATTCGTCGCCATGACGGCAAGCGCAATCGTGGGGAGGCTGAAATGTCGCTGCGCGTACCAGCGTTGGTGTCCTGCGCGCAATCTGGCAAGAACGGTTCAGCGCTGATCGTCGTGGAAGCGCGTCGCGCCTGATGGGGCAGCGGAAGACGGCGTCGTCATCCCTGTCTACAACGGTGCCATGAGTGTAGTCTGTTCCAGGACTGCTGGTGGGGAGGTGTGTATCGAGAGGCACAAACGTCGCAGCTGCGACGCTTGATACTGGCTTTCTTATACCTGGCCAACGACCAAAGTGCGCACATGCATCGACACGTAGCACTCTCCTGCGCAGTCTTTTCACATTTCACACCGTATGGCTACGCGGAGCCAGTTGAAACCAGTCCAAGATCGGGAGCGGCCCGCGAATCGGCATAGCCCCCAATGAAATCTATCGCCATTCGCTAGGTCGAAGTATCTTTTCTCAGCAGGCAGTTGGTCCCGCTGGCGTTCACCAAGTGACACTCTGGGCCGTATAGGCGAAATCTTGCCGGTGCGTCCAAGTCAGCTGTCGTGCCGGCGTCATGGGTTCTGCTGTGAAGAGTAGGTAGCCGTTCAGTCAGAGTTCTGCACTAGTAAACTTGTGGACTGTGCTCGCTCGAGTACGCCAATGGGAAGGCTTGGCCAAGATCCAAAACACACCATGGGCGGCCTTGGTTCAATCTGCCACCATTTAGTCTTTCGGAAAGTTGGAACTCAAGAGCAAGCACATGCACCGGTGCTGTAGCTGACACTCCGAATGCCAGCCATCTTGACGAGTTAGTCTATGATGCTAGCGCTAGGGCTCGGACATTTCAAGCCGCTGAACACCCTGCTGCAGAGGTCACAACACATGATCAATCTGGCGCCGGACATGGTACATCGCATTTCGAGTTCGCATCGCGAAGAAACTCGTTCGTTTTTCGGGCAATTGAGTTCGCGCTAATCTCGCCCGATCTGGATCTGTGAAAAAGAAACGAGCCAGCCGCACTCTGACAACCAGCCATCCTGTCTTTCTCGATGACTGAACGGCTCCAGCTTGCGTAAGCGGTCAACTCACACGCTGCCCTGAGTCGTGTTCGATCCGTGTTGCTCATACTGCTTGTTCAACATGTCTCGTCCCCTGGATCTTTGCTCGGCCCGCGAACACCGCACGTCTCGGTGACTCGCGGATAATGCGCTGATCACAAAGGTATTCTGATACATTGTCCACTACTCGTTCACCATCAGCCGCGGCTGCAGTGACAGGCACAGGGTGTTTTACGGCATTTATTATTGCAGTTGCACATGAGGATATATTAGTTTCCCCATCCGGTAAAGATCCGTGCAACACGCTGGGCTTTCCCAGTGCGTACACGGTCCTGACGGCTCAGCAACTTGATGTGAGATACGTTCAATGGACTTGCTCGTGTAAGTGAGAACCCTGCTTTAGAAACTCAGACTAGATTCTCGTCCTATGTCGCCCATAATAACCAACCTACTTTTCCGTTCTGACAACTTCTTAGACCGTCCACGAGTCGCCAAGAGTTCACTTTACGGACAGTAGCTCTGTGACCCAACACCGGAACTCACACATCTCTATCCAATTTTTTCTTCTTCTAACAATATTATCATCATTGCTTCTATCTTGTATTCACTTGACATGTTTGTGTGCGCCAATGGTAGATATGGCCAGAGGGGCCCTGCGTCCATGGATTGCGGAGGCCGAGGCTGGGCCAATGGACTAACGCTAGTTTTCGCTCGCATGTCCAAAGTATCATCCCAAAGTCAGCGCATCGCGTCGCGCGCAGCACCACCACTCGAAGACACTGCCGGTTGACCGCTCCTGCCTGTTCAGGCTCGCACACGTACAAATTGTGGATTAAAAAGAATCGCCTTCCCTGTCGTCATCGGAACAAGCGAGCTCGATTCCGCGGAAGGCTTGGTTGCATCTACGGCTCCATCCCGCGCACCTACATGGCGACGGCGACAACGCCAGGCGCATATATACACCCATAGAGTCCTTGTCGCTCGGTGCACCAATTACGGTGTAGGCGCAAAGCAAGCCTGTCTCGTCCGACACGGCTTTGTGTCCAGGGAAGCAAAAAGCTTTGCTCAGTCATCACCCAGGGCGACCAAGTCTCTTGCCTCCGTCTGTCGCCTTTCACTCCGAACTACAAGGAGTGGCCCTGGAGCTGTCGAGTGTATGCGCGTCGCATGGACTATGAGGTAGATAGGCTCCTGGTTCTGCATGTGTGATATTGGACATTGAGCGTTAGCGTCCCTCTCTTTGAGATTCTCGCGATCCTCCACCCTCTGCTTCAGCACCTTCCACCAACCCCACGACCCTCCACAACATGTCGGGCAGCGAGTCAGACCAAAATACGGCTCGATTGGAGCCCGAGCTGCGCGAGATGAAGTTGGAAGCTGCGACCTCGGCCAGTGCAGGTGAGAGCAAGGACACCAGTCAGGTAAAGGTCGAGGTAGATGATCGCGCGCCCACGCCTCTGGCCATCCCTCCCCGGCTCAAGACGCGATCCAGGACCCAGTCGCCCATGACAAAACACGAAGTCGATACTCCGTCGCCCGGCAGCGCCCGTGAAGAGATCGTAGGTGGTGATATCACGCTGAAGATGGAGCCCGGCAAGGCACCCAAGCTCTCGCGCACCGCGTCCCAAAAAGTCGTCTCACGACCGCCTCCGCTATTTCTCGACCTCCCTGACTCTACTGCCGCCGCCAAAGAGACTTTCGTAGTCCTCCCAGAATGCACGTACGCGAACAAGACCATCGGCACCACCGACCCTGCGCTCGAATGCGACTGTCAAGAAGAATACGACGCCACGACCAAGACAAATCATGCCTGTGGCGAAGACTCCGACTGCATCAATCGCGCGACAAAGATGGAGTGTCTAGGTGACTGCGGCTGCGGTCGGAAATGCCAGAACATGCGCTTTCAGCGGAAACAGTATGCCGATGTCACGGTTATAAAGACGGAGAAGAAGGGTTTCGGTCTTCGCGCCAACAAGGACATGGCTCCAGGCGACTTCGTCTTCGAATACATCGGCGAAGTCATCGACGAGCGCACCTTCCGCCGCCGCATGGGTCAATACGACGACGAGGGAATTAAGCACTTCTACTTCATGTCCCTTACCAAAGGCGAGTTTGTAGATGCCACAAAAAAGGGAAACCTGGGTCGTTTCTGCAATCACTCGTGCAATCCCAATTGTTTCGTCGACAAGTGGGTTGTTGGGGATAAACTGCGCATGGGCATATTCGTCGAGCGTAGCGTCAAAGCAGGTGAGGAGCTTGTCTTCAACTACAACGTCGATCGATACGGCGCAGATCCACAACCTTGCTACTGTGGTGAGCCCAACTGTAGCGGCTTCATCGGCGGAAAGACACAGTCCGACAATGCGACAAACCTTAGCAATGAAACGATCGCGGCTCTCGGAATCGACGATATTGATGGTTGGGGTACGGCAGTCGCCAAGAAGCCCCGCAAGAAGAAGGCAAGCGAAGACGATGAAGAATACGTTAGCAATTTGCAGACCCGCGAGCTGGAAGAGGATGCAGTAAACAAGGTCGTGTCAGCTTTGCGCAACTGCGAAGAAAAGTGGATCGCTGTCAAGCTTCTCAGCCGTATGCAGACCGACAACGAAAAGGTTCGCGCACGTATCGTCCAATTCCACGGCTACAGAAACCTCAAAACCACTTTGTCTAGGTGGAAGGATGACTACAATGTTGTTCTCCAAGTGCTGGACGTACTGCACAGACTGCCACGCATTACTCGAAACAAGATTCAAGATTCTGGTATTGAAGAGGAGGTAAGCAAGCTGACAGACTGCGGAGACGAACGAGTCGAGGAGGCCGCCAAAGAGCTATTGGCTGCATGGAGTAAGCTGGAAATCGGCTACAGGATACCACGGCTGAAGAGGGATCCAAACGCAAGCACACCAGCTCGGACCGAGAATCATTATGAACGACGCGAGAGAGCTCGTGAACGGTCCCGGTCCCGGTCAAAATCGCCTTCCACGATTGCGCCCAAAGGCCCATCTGCAGCAAACATCCCGTCCGGTCCTCGTGTATTAAATGCACCTCGCGGCCCAGCTGGCTTCTTCGCCACTCCACGACCAATTATGCGACCAAGACCATTCAACGCTCTTCCACAAGGCTGGTACCAGGCCACAGCCGAGAACGGTTCGACGTATTTTTACAACCAGACTGGTATCACACAGTGGCAACGACCAACCCAGCCTGCAGACGCCCCACCGCCTCCTCCGAATAAGGCTAGGAATGAGACGCAGTTGTTACAAGACATCATAGCGAGCATAACATCGAACAACACACCTACCGGGCCCTCCGCATCTACTACTCCGCAGCCAGTCTCCAATGAGGACACAGAACCGGCTTTTGGTCGTGAAAAGTGGCGTACCTTATCATTAGAAAAGCAGGAAAAGGTGTATGAAGCGACAGTGAGTATTATTTATCGTTCTGCAAAGCATATCTGACCCTCACAGCTTGCACCGCACGTCACGGCAGTAACGAAACAGTATTACAAGAAATTCGAAAAGCAGGAGATTAAAAGACTGAGTAAAGAGGTGGCACAGAAGCTTGTGAGAGGCGACTACAAGTCCGGTCGTGTCAAGGACCCGACGGCTAAAATAAGTTCCAACCACGAGAAGACGGTCAGAGATGAGGTCAAGCGTTTCATGGACAAGGCTGTCAAGAAGAAGCAAGAGCGACAGAAGATGAAGGCCGCACAGAGTGGTGTGAAGCCAGACCTCACCAGCGAGTCTCCTAGCACTCCTTCAGGGCCAGCCGGTGATGCTGATGAGGCATCTCCATCCGACTCAACATCCGACCTGAAGCGGAAGAGAGACGGAGAGGCACAATCTGGCTCACCAAAGCGAACCCGAACGACTTCTGAAAACCAGCAATCAGCGCCTCCACCTCCGCCTCCACCTCCAGCAACCACCGACGTCGAAGAAACTAGCCTCACGCCCATGGACGATACGTCCGCCATGTCGTTTCCCGACTCCACAGAGAGAGTAAGCACGGGCAGCAAAATGGCATTTCAACTAGACGGTTACGGAAGCCCTATGCAGCTTGCAACGCCTCCTACAAACGGCTCCAACGGCTCCGGTGATCAACAGCAGACGCACCATTCAGTCAACGGTGACCGTACCCACTGATAGCATGCCGAGAGTTAGTTGCTAGTCATTCAATTTCTGTTACAAGGTTCTTCACTATTTTATTCTTTGTAATTCTTCGATTGAAGGCGATACGTTCGACTGTATATATGGTTCGAATGCGCAAGGCATAACATGGCGTTGGTGGGAAAGGTCAGAAGTGAGCGGCTCTACCAACAGCCAGCATGTGAAGCGGTGACGGGGCATATGTATGTATGTATTATGTTAAGTGTTTGGAAGTAGGCAAAATGTTCAGCTGTGTTCTACGCATTCAGCGTGCAGCATGCAGCGTGCAGTCTCAAGTTTTGGTCTAACCAGTTCTACGTACTTTGTGCATCGGTGATTGGGCCGCGGTATCTCTGCGAAACTGGAAGTAGGAACCTGCGCTGGTATTTGTCCAACGTCCAAGTTTCCTATTCGTTCGGGTTTCCAAATAGTCCTACTGCTAATCGGACCGAGAATCTGTTTAGGGCTACCGTAGGAGCGGAATCATCAACTCAGCCCGCGAGCGTGGGTTTTCCGCCCCCAAACACCCAGGTCAGCTTTCGCCCGGTCGCTTACTGGTCCAGTAAACGCTCGCGTTGCACAACAACAAGCCTCAAGAGATGAGATTAACGCATTAACGCCCCGCCGCATGGATCCTTCAGCTTTATAAGTATAGATGAACTTGGCAGTGATAAACCCATGTTATATGTATCCCCCTTCGCGCATCCTGCGTTTGCTTCTCAGCCCTACAGCGTCGTCTGATCTCGAAGACGACACATGATGTTGCCCCAAACCGTTCTATGGCTCGCCTTCACCACACTGGCAACTGCAGATAACTGTTACTGGCGTAACGGGGGCCTGCAGACCGTTGCCAAATATCAACCGTGCTCCAACGACACTTCCGATCCGCTCAGCCATATCTGCTGCAAAATTGGCGAAGGCGAGGATACCTGTCTCCCGAATGGCATCTGTCAGGCCTTTGCGCCAACTGAAGAATACCTCGGCCTTTATTTTAGAGAGAGTTGCACACTACAAAACTGGGAAGCTGGAGGCTGCCAGGACCTATGTTCAAGTGGAGTATGAAAGGCCGGTACAAGGTGCGCGATCAAAGGCTGACATGGACTTGTAGGACGAGCAAAGCAAAAACGACGTGACTGTAACTCCTTGCGACGGAACCCCTACGTCCGAGTTCTGGTGCTGCGGCAACACAACCGATTGCTGTTCGGATCCCAATCTTGAGAAGTTCAAAGTCGAACCCACCTTCAGCGGCGTAATCACGAGTTCGCTACTCCCAACGTCCACAAGTGCCTCTATATCACCGAGCCCATCCAGCCCGTCCACCTCCTCGAATGCGAATGCAACGAATACTCCAACCCCTTCGCCTACTTCAACACCACAGAATAACGAAAGTGCCGGTTTGTCGACAGGCGCAAAGGCCGGGATAGGTGTGGGTGCTGCTGCTGGTGTTATTGCGCTGATTGCGATTGGTGTTCTCATCGGAAGAAGGTCGCACAAGAAGAAGAAGGAAGTCACAGAGGCGACAAGCTACTACGAGCCAGCCAAAGGGGAATTACCGCCCCAGTATAGGCACGAAGCTCCCATGGACGAAGTTTCCAGGTATGAAGCTCCGGCTACGCAAGCACCTGTAGAATTGGCTGGGGATCAAGTACGAGCACACGAGGCACCGGATCATGGTCGATAGCCAGCGTGGGTGACTTCGTGATAACGTGTTGGTATGCTGTAATTTTTCTGGTTGAAAGCAGAAACTCCTTTCTGCTGAGCGCGGATGCAATACATCGACGAAAGGGTCATTGACCTGAGGCACATACTACGAGTATATATTCTATTGAATATTCCGTACCATTTCTCAGACACGTGCTTGAGTGATGGTGGTCGTAGTTTAGGGTTAGCATGTGGCCGAGGTTCCTCGCGTCGCGTGCCTGCCTTGTGCGTGTCATATTAACGTCATCTCGTGAATCATACGACAACGACATCCAACGTGCCTGCACATCCGCGTCACTAACCAAAAGGAGCTCTTCAATGTCGGTCACGATGATTTGGCTGGACAATTAGAAGAGCGGATCGCTTCCGAAAACGATATGCATGATGCGCGATTGCTCGTAATGCACGAGTTTCTCCGGCGTATGCGGCTGCCAATTTGTATAATACTCGGGTGAAGTAATCATATCAGAACTGCACGAATTTTGACAAATCTTCGTTTTCAAAAGACAAACTCTCACTTTCAGTATGTCGAACACACAAGCAACAAAACAAGCTCTCTCTGAGCACAAAGTCATCCCAGATGTCCTTCCAGACAACATCAACCTATCCTACAACCTAACACTAGAATGGCCAAACGCAAAGCTCGACACGCCAGGAAAAGAGCTGGAAAATTCAGACACGAAACCTGAGCCCAAAGTCTTCATTAATCCTGCAGTAAGCACCAGCAAACTATCACACCTAGCACCTCCCACTAACCCAACATCCAGCCTTCAGAGCCGCTAGACAACCTCGTCCTGATGATGGTCGACCCAGACCTTTTAATGAACAACGACACCTACTGCGGCCAAGTCCGCCACTGGCTCGTCACAAACCTCTCCAGCAACCCTGACGGCACGCTATCCCACCATGCTGCCGCTGAGCGTTCACCCTACGTGCGTCCAGCCCCTCTGCCTAATTACCTCTACCCGCGTCCGCACCGCTACGTCTTCATCCTCGCTCGCGCGTCTGGTAAGGTGGAAGTCCGGCCTGAGGATCTGCGCGAGATGCAGAAGGAGTGGGTGGCGGCTGCGCAGGGGAAGCAGGGTGAAATGCAGGATTTGAAGGATCGGTGGGGTTTTAAAGCGCAGAGGTTGATTGAGGAGAAGGGGTTGGAGGTGTTGGCGGTGAATTTTATGAGGGTGGGTGGGACAGTGGAGAGTAGTCTTGCGAATGCGGCGATGATGGGGCAGGCGGTTGTTGATAAGGTATGTTGGTATGCTATTTTGTATGAATCAGGGTTGACTAATGCGATGTTTAGGTTCTTGGAAAGTAGGCTGTCCGCTTCGAATTGGTGTATGGGATCATGCCGTGCCGCTAGAATTACAGTCGTATCTTATCTCCGAATACGCATTATTGATAATCCATGACTGTAGAAATAATAGTGACAATTGACTATCCACTGAACTATCGCTGCGCAGTATCTAGAGCCGAGACAATACTTTCTTGTCCGTTACCCAGGTTTTGACGTTGTGCAGCTTGTTAAGTTTCTACGATCAACCGTGATGGTCCTCATCGATATTTCGAGCGTAGATGTGTTTGGCCTGTGTACACATTGTCAGTACCTAGTGCACTTACCAGTGTAATGCTGACCTACCGCTGATTAGTATGTTACTAGACTCCACTACTACAATAGCTTAGTAGTGGTTCGTCTACCGTCTACCCAGGACAGTATACCTTTCGTTATATGACTCTTGCACATATATTATCTCTACTGATAGTATTGTCTGACACACATGTCATTCTCGAACATCACGATGAACGCCTCGGTAGCTGTTTCTGCTGAGAATCCATGACAAAGTCATGATTATAAACTCAATATGATTCGGATCATGCATAAGACTCAAGCACAGTTGACGGCGAACTTCCTCTACCTATTGCTTGCTCGAGATCTCCCTTAATCGATTCCATTCCATTCCATGAAGGCCCAAATTTTCGAAATTTCCGAACCAGATAGAGACCGGCAACAAAAGTGATGCCTCTCACCATTACACTCATACCACCAACGATGCTGCTCATGTGCTTGACCTGCTTCTTCTAATCCAATATCTGTCACCGTGTCATTCTTGTGAACAGTGAAACGATTCAACGTCAGTCGCAGAATACCTAGTAATATATAATCGTCTAAGCCCATCAACACTCCCAACTCAAGGTAGTATGATGGTTCCTCTGAATTCATGATACTTGGCAATCCTGTGTTGATGCTGATTTTCAGAAAGTCCAGATATACTTCCAGGACGCTCTTTTCGTAGTCTACCACTACCCTATCTTCTTTGCGTACCATACCCATCAGGCCATATATTTTGTCCCGTGGGTTCTCACATATTCCCGCATGCAAGCCTGCGATGCAATCCATGAGCGGCAAGTACAGCTCTAGAGCCCCCAATGCCTGCCGTCTTATCCTTTGTAGCATAAGATAAGCGGGCATGAATGTGCTTGAATCCACTTGTCGATTTGACACACATATATCTTGAAGCCTGTCCCACGGGACGCAACGGTGCCCGTTGATACGAATGTTGATACTGCTGGCAAGGAATACTTCTTGAAAAATCCACAGCCTTGTGAAATACGTGTTCTTGAGCAAAACCCTTGCCGATGCAACATCGAGGTCCGAATCATTATAACAATCGTGTTCTCCGGGTGCTGCCAAGGGAATGTCGCCCTTCCAGATGATAACGGACATGCTGTTGCTATAAATTCGTGACATCATCCCGACCTGATGATTTCGCTCTAGGCTATCCTCCTGAGCAACGCAGATCTGATCGATCCATAGCCATGCCTCCAAATCTTCTCGCAGTTCCAGTAAGCATGAATTGAGGATATCCCGGATTTCAAGTTTCCTGCCCTCAATGTAGAGATCGTGTAAGGGCGAAGGCGGGCCCCATCGATAGGATAACGCAATATACTCTGGAGCACGCTCAAGCGGAAAGACCTTGACTTCGCAGTGTACAGGTCCTTTTGTCTCTCGGGAAAGTTTCAGGAGGCGTATCTCATCCGTGGAAGTATCTAGACGTTGATGCTTGTAGACCTCGGGTTCTTCTGGCGACTCGTAACGTTTACGAGATACCGTTCGACGTTTCAGTACTCGTTGAGACGACTTCGGCACAGCTATTTTTTTCCGTTCATTGCGTCGCGTCGTGCGGATTTTGTGCTCTGTGGCTGGTACACGATCTTCCAAAGCGACCGTCCGACGCTTCGATATTCGCTCAGATGACCTTGTTATAAATGTTTCTGTCAACCCAACGCGTGATGTGACGCGTTTCTTGTCGCTCCGCATGTTATAGTGGGGATGAGGTCGAGTTCAACGTTTCCTGGATGGTGTAACAGAGTTGCTGAAGAAGTGATGAAAGAAGTTCCGATGGTTCTGTGGATGATCTAGGCAGACACATGATCGTTATGGTACAAGGCTATGTGAGGCTGTGCGGAGCGGTGTAGACATTTTGCGCCGTGGCGGTTTCAGCCTTGCGAACTGACTGCCTATGCCCCGCCACTCCGACGTAAGTTGGGATACTGGATAAAGAATCAGAACACATGATATGAGACCGTCGTTGTGTTGTCTTTGAAGCAAGGTTAAAAATCTTTCCACGGAGAATCAGCCCTCGGTATGGAAGGTGGCAACAACCTTTTGATCAATAAGTGCCGTCTTTAGACATGCGACGCTTCAAACTCCCACCATACCTCTCTTGTCATATGAAGAAGTGAGAACACCCTCATATCCCATCGAAGAAGCCAGTATCCGACCAATTGCCTAGTCGATACATCGAGCTGATCCTTACCCACCAGCCCTGCAGCTTCCAACCACAGTTCCTGATTGGTACACGTTTCTGCTTATATGCGTCATGCACGAAGCTGGGTGTGCCACCTGCAAGTGGCTTTACGCGCAAAGTCTCATAGCTGCACATGTGCGCAACTTTGCGCGTTCCACAAAAGCGACTGCAGGCTTCAATACATATTATCTATGGAGAACGCGCTGATCGTATAGGAACATGGCCTCCTCGTCAACTATCGGGACTGTACAATCTGACACGATTGCGAATACACGAACCCACTACTATGGAATCTTCTTTTGATACGTTCGACTTCACACGAGTGTCCGACGACACGATACCAACTGGAGCTTCTCAAGGCTCGAAGAATCAGTACTCGAACCACAGCATCTTTCAACCCGGAGGTGCACACTGGCGATGCGACCATTGTGCAGAGAGTGTGGTTTATTCGCGGGTTAATGGATATGGTCAATATGTGCGCATGTGGACATGTTGCCAATGCGGGTTCTCAGAGAATCGTGTCTCGCTCTGGGCTGCATGTTCGATGTGCGATTACAGTAATGTCTGGAAAATATACGCCTTCCAAAATCCTTCGATATTCCAACATGGAGCCCAAAACGCCATAGAACACGAAGAGAATTTTGAGACTTCGCGTGTTGTTTGCGATGGAGTGCCAGCAGCGGAGAGTTCCGGGACAGCCTTTGCGACAGATGATTTGGTCTCTACAGTTCAAACAAATCTGGCTCTCTCTCAACCCTTTCTTCAGGACGAACTGTTGGATAATGTAGTGGTGCGTAGCGAGCTCGACGGTATCAATGGGCTCATGTCTATATATTCTATTGGATATGATAGCTTGGTTGGTGGTATAGCGGATTCCAACGCCCAACGTCAGCCAGGAGTTCCAGAATCATACGATATCGACGGGCCGTTCGCTGCACGTCATTGTAGCGATACCGAAGTCATGACGAGTCTCCCAAGCGAGGAGTCGACATCAACAGAATCTGTCACAGCAGATAGTCTGGCAACGTCTACTTTCAGCGAGAAGATATTGCGGAATTTCGACAGCGGTTACGGCGCTTCATGTAACACATCCAGAGCAGACACCACATCGCGCAAACGCTCAAACGAATTTGACCATCGAACAGCACCTACCGTAGCCACCAGCCGTGACCATTCAAAACCACCACCTTGTAAGAAAACCCGACGTCGTCGTCTAGATACCCTCAACCTCCGTCTCGCATGCCCTTTTTACGTACGCAACCCCTACCTTTGCACGCACGACTCCTGCGCAAGAGGATCTCTCAGCATCCACCGACTAAAAGAACACCTCGAGCGTGTGCACCTCTATCACACCTGCTCACGATGTGGTGATACATTCCCCGGAAAGAAAGCAGGAAAAGAGAGTCTAGCTGCCCATCAGCGGACCACTCAGCCTTGCCAGCTTCTCACCAACCCGAAACCTGATATCTGGGGTATATCCTACTCGACCTTCGAGACGATGCGTTCCAAGAAAGGTATAACAGGGAAGCCGGACGATGAACGATGGCGAGGAATTTATCGGATTATCTTCCCAGACGCCGAGAAGGAAGAGATGACAACGCCATACGTCGACACAGAGCGCACAGGTCTCCCTCATCAACTCGAAATTGCTTTGTTAACGCAAAACCAGGCTGTCGACAAATTCTCGAGGGAACTTCTTCGTATCCTACCTGCCAGACTGGATGTAGCTGTTAAAAGTCATTGCGATGATAGTAGATTAGCGGCGATGTGGAGCGAGTTTGTGAATACCCACTTACATAATGTGCTGAGGGACACCTTCACTGATGTCACATCTGCGGAGGATAAACAGCCATTTGTAGCATTGCAAACTTCTAAGGAAGGGATGTGTGGGGAAGTAGATGATGCCTTCTCTTCGAGTTTGCAGGACTTTATAGATATGGATGGAGGGTGACGCATAATGATAGTCCGTATCTTCACATTGGTGTTAATGTCTTCATCACAAGGAGGCGTTTTTGCTCCCGTAGCGGAGCGTCATCCATTTCTTTTGTTACTCTCGTTTATTGTTGTTCCATTACAAATTACATTATTTGAGCCGCCTTCCTCCGAGCCACCCTAGTCAACCTCCATCTCATCCGACAAATCGACCACATCGAACGCGCTCAGGTGGTATCTCAACGCCAACCCCACTCAGGCGAGGTTACTCTCTTCAAACAAAGGAAATATAAGCCATCCAAATAAGTGCCATTATTTGGGGCTTCGACGATGAGTCTGGTGAGGAGGATATCTGCAAATATCAAAAAAAAAACAGCATTTTATCCTCAGGTGCTCATGGTGCCCACCACTATTCGCTACCTGAACCAAAAATGCTGGACCACGACCTTGTAGTCGTGATCCAACTTCCCAATGGGCGACCAATGCCTATTGGAGATATCGTGGATTGCAGCTGGAGTGTAATTCTCCAGCAATTCGTTGTTTAAAATCATTCGTGTTTCGCCTCGGCTCGCTACAGAGCCAGCCAATCGTTTCAAGCCATTCGTGATAGCAGGCAAGGCAGGGCCTGCTGTGCCTCATGGTTTTATTCGTGTGTGCAGCTCGCGCTGCAAGACTTCATCCTCATTGCCGTACATCTCGTCCAGAGGAGCAAGAGGGAACGGAGGCGGAGGACAGCCAAACAAGGCTGCACCGTTCCAATAGCTCTCACTGAGAAACCAACAAGGTCAGCAAACAGCAACACCACCAACAACAACATGTCAAGAATGAGAAGTCACCTGGGGGATTTTGACAACCAAGTCCAGTGTAAAAGGAATAGCAAGAAGACCTCTCAACAGCGTCAATTCTGCCACCAGGTGCATTCACGACCTCGTCAACCGCTACTAGCTACCTGAACCACCCCAATGGGTCAAGCCATTGAACCCCCATTGGAGATTTCGTGACAAAAAACCGCTGGAAAACATCTCTAGCTATTCCGTCGAGAACACAAATCGTAGCTCGTTCCAGCGCGCTGATGTCGAGCAACCAACTCATCGTGGTATGGAGTAAACGATTCACGCTATTGGCAGGGTAGTCTGCAGAATAACCGTGTTCGTTACCAGTCATCACATGGTCGTCTCAGCAGCACCGCCACCACACGAGTGAGGTTTCTGCCCCAACAGAAACCTCAATCGATCGTGACTCGTTTTGCGTCCCAAGCATCTAGTTCATCTCCCATGTCTTCCCATGCACTGCCATGCACTCAGAGGAAAGACATGGTCGACTATCCAGGCGGCACCAACGAGGAGGCGCAAGGGTCCGACTTCTACCGCCCATCCACCTCTTGCGATCGCCTGCCAATATCTTGTCAATGTGCGATCCACTGTTCTCCAGACAGACATTTCTGCAACCTTGACTGTAGTGCGTAGTCGAGTATGCTTAGCAGCCTGCCCCGCTAAAGATGCGGCGAATAAGCCAGTCTCAGAGTCGACCGACGAAAACACCACACCGCAGACGTTTCGCGCTTCCTCCCTGGTCAACGAGGAGTTGACGAGGTCCACGCTAGCAGTCTTGCATCCGCTACAACGCGGTTACTAAAAGCGAACAAATGGATGACGCTCCGCCAAAGGATCGGAAAACGCCTTCGTCCGCAGAAGTAACCACGGAAAAAGCTAATGACGTCCATCTCTAGACCGAGCCTGTGTCGGAGGAGATGAGGTCAAAAGCCAGATGCCGTACTTCGGTCCTGACATGAGAGGTCGGTTGAACGAGTGATGGCGGTAAACACGATAGGTTGCCCGTGAGGGCGGCGATACGATAAGGTATCCACGATGTGCCACAAGGGTAAAACACGATAAGGGTTGCCCATGAGGGCGGTCCACGAAAAGGTGCCACAGGGGAAGTCCACGGATGGAACAAACCACAGGGCAGTCCACGAAAAGGAACGATCCACGAATGGATCATTCCAAGGGGCATCCATGAGCGGAGGATGTGATCAAGATCCTGTTGTCCGCTCATGGACTCTCGCGTCTCTAGGCCATGCCATAGCAGAGGACCCACGCGGATGGAGCCGGGTGCTTGTATGCAAGTTGAGCCAGGGGCCGTAGCGGCCTGTCAGAGAAATGCTCGAGAGAAAACTCAATATCTGTTGGCTTCTTCCGCTCTCGTCAACCTCCGAAAGGAGTGACAGTGGCGACGGGGTTACGTACACGTTCCCTGCAGTACAAGTCCGCATGTCAATAATCTCAAAGGCAACGGGGCCGGTCTCAACGACGGGAGGGACATGGGACGAACGAGCGGGCTGTATCCGAAAGACGCAACGTAAACTCGATCAAGACGGGCGTATACCCGGAGAATAGCAGGGCGTACCTGAAAGGTTGCGGGTCGTACCCGAAAGTTAAGATGCCAATACCGAGGCTCGTAGACGGGGGCGGGGGCGAGGTAAAAGGGTCTGCACATTGGCCAAGACATCGGGGGGACGTGCGATCGAGGGTGCCTGTAGCGCAAATGATTGCCATGGACCATAACGGTCTATCAGAGAATTTTTTTCCGAAGAAAAGAGAGCTCCATATCGCAGGCTTCTTCCACACGCATCTCCCTAAACAGGGTGACACTGGTGGCGGGGTTTGCGGCGAACCACGTTCCCTGGCTAGACAGGTTCCTGACGCGAACCATCATTGGGGTGAGAAAGAAGATACTCTACCTGATACCAGTAAGGCGAGCGAATCGGGAAAAGCCAAAGGCAAGCCAGAATGGGATGGCAAGGAGCAAACCAGTCCCAAAACCCAAAAACACGAAATAGTTGCTCAGACGGACTTGGAGGCGAACCAAGACTCCGGAGAGACTTTGACACAAAAGGCGACTTCTGGAAATCGATAAAGAGACCAGACGTAATCGTGGCGGTGTGCCCTCTTCTAGCTCGGTCTGGGTGTCCCACAGACTCTGCTAACCGCAAGGGTGTCAACGCGAGAAGTGACTGTAGCCAAAGAACGCCATGGACCTTGCGGTCTGTTGGATTTTTCCGAAGAAGTCTCCATATCGCAGGCATCTACCACATTCGTTCTCTGAAAAGACAACACTAGTGGTGGGGAATACTCCCTTTGACCGACAGGCTCCTCGCTCTGTAATGCGCAAATTGCGCGAACATCGACATCGAGGCTACATGATCGCAGTCGAATCGGAATAAAATGGGGCAAAAGCTTGAAGCCTCCGCTACACAAGAGCTTACCAACCAGTGTCTCAACACTCTCAGTAAAGTGACCCATGCCCAGTCACGAACGAGGAAACTCATCATCCATTGTCGCAACATTCAAGGCCAGCCGTCTTGCACGCCAAACACGTCGCCACGGACCATAGGTCTGTCAGAGCCACGATACCGGAGTAAAGTGAAGCTCCATATCTGTTGGCATCTGCTACTGTTCGCCTGAAAAGGGTACTAAGTAATGGGGTAAAATCCCTGACGTGACAAGCGCTAACCGATGGATAAAGATCAACTATGACGAGACCTCTCGTCGGTAACGCGCACAAGAAACAGTAAGAGAAGCCTTGACTTCCTACATGTGGTTTGACTGCCTCGAGAGGGACGCATCTTCTCGCGTCAATGAACCAAGGACCTTGAGGTCTGTCAAAGCACAAGGCTGATATCTGGTGGTATCTTCCACACGCGACAACCTGAGAAGGCGACACTGGTGGCGGGGCTGCAGCGAGTGCTCCCTGGCGTGAGTTCTGCGTCCCCCTCATGGCTATCTGTCCGCTGCACCAAATGGTGCTAGCTGGAACCGAACGAGGGAGGAGAGCTGGGAGGAGCTTATCGCAGGCATCGATCGGAACATCGGCTGACGTGTGCGGTCGATGGTTCGGCGACGTGGTTTAAGGCGGTGCATAAGCTATTGCGATAAGAAGTGTTGGAAGAAGAGGAAGTGCCGCTCGACGCAAAAGCAATACATGGAAGCAAACAAGTGTAAGAATCCGTCGGAGTGTGGTCAGGTAAGAATGCTCATGTGATGAAGTGTGATGAATGAAGCCAGGAATCTGTTGAAGGGAGAGGATCGTCTGTTATCGAGAATCACAAGTCGAGGTGCGTCGTTGACGGGCCCTGGCACGAATGCTAGACACCAGTAAACAGCACCACGTATCAATCATAGAAGGAGAATGGGGAATACCAGAATACTCTGTGCAGAGAATGTGAAGCCAACCATGGTGTGTACCGATCCACATCCGGCGTAAGACGACCTGTACAGTGTTGGACTGCGCTATGATCAGACGAACAATGGTGCTAGAACTGAGCTGTAAGCATGGCCAGTCTCCGTAATGCCTCTCGTGTGATGAGGGGCTTGGACGGGAAGCTGGTTGGCTGAGGCCATGTCGTCGCAAAGCTAGGCGTGTTCGTCCTTGGGAGCCGTGGCCGGATAGTGGGGTACATCATGACTGTCTTGGCTTACTGTCTCGTTTCGTATTTACCTAGGCGGGCTGACCGGACAAGCTCATCGGATTCCAGAAAACACGGTCGCAAATGTCCGGTGGTCCGCTCGTCGGGAACTAATCGCTATCTTCTAGAAGCTCAGCAAGCTCCGCTTCTTCTTCCGCAGTCATCATGCCCTCTTTCTTCTCGGGTTCCTTGTCCTTTTCCTTACCGAGGCGCTCGTCTTCGGCCTCTTGGATAGCCTTAGTCAGCTCTTGTGGCTTCAGGCTCCAACATCGGACTGTAGTGTCAATGCCCACGGTGATCACGCGTTGTCCTAGTAGAACGAGGCTGGTGACCTCTTCAAAATGCCCACTGAATGTATGATGCAGCTTTCCGCTGCTTTTGTCCCAAACGCGAACCTCTTCGTCTCTGCATACGGACACCAACCAACCGCCCTCTTCGTCAATGGCAACATCGCGAACGAAATCAGGGTGCTCGAACTGGGAGTCTTCTTCCCACTCACGGCCCCTGGATAGGCACTTGGCTGTCTTGTCTGCTGAAGCTGTCCAAAGATCGCCATCCGAATCGAAATGCAAGGCGTCGATGCTTGTTTCGTGGGAAATGATTGGCGACGGTTGTACCTCAGAAGCTGAGGTCAACCCGATGGACCATCGCCTGATTTCTCGGTCACTTCCAGCACTGAAGACTGTGGCAGTCTCCTTGCCGGGCTCGTAGTCGACTGGGTCCAACGCAAGCGCGAGGATCCCGCGTGTGTGTCCTTTCAAAGTGTGTAGCTTCGATCCCGCGGCAACGTCCCAAACAATGATGCTAGCATCCTGTGAAGCTGACACTAGGATCTCTTTGCCGTTCAACGTGAATGTTATGACGGCCTTGACGAAGTCACTGTGGCCTTGGAAACGCTTGGCCGTCTTGCGCGTGGACAGTGTCCATGACCAAATAGACTTGTCCCAACACCCCGCAAACAACGTGTCCGATTTGGGGGAAACGGCGACAGAGGTGAGAGGAGCAGTAGGCCCTGAAAATGTGGCGGCAACTTTACCCGTCTATAGGAGAATATGTTAGTGACTGATGCCTAGAGCTATGTGAAGCCACGAGCTGGGCAGCGAAACGGAGGTCTGACCGACTTCAATGTTGATGCGCTTCACGTTGCCTGCTGCTTCGGCAACGTAGATGCAGTTGTCATCTTGCGGGTCGGCGATGGCAGCGAGGATCTTGGAGGGGAGCTTGATAGGGGTGCCCTTGGTGTTCTTGGATTTTGCAGCCTTTCGAGCTGTCTCCTCGAGGGAGGAGCTACATGGTATCAGCTAGAGAGTTGAAAGATGTATAGATGATAGCCCATACGTCGTCTGAAAGTAGTGACCCGGGTCGTTGGAGCGCGACATGATATAGGGTGGGAGAAGCGGTGACGCCCGGCGGGATATGGTGACTGGCAGTGGGTCTACTTGGGCATGTGAGCAGCAACCCCGCTATTATGACTCCGCCAACCACCCAATGAGGAAGCAGCTGCAGCCAGCCACATCACCATTGACAACTCCTGCTAGTAGCTTTCCAGACTCTCTTTGTGAGCTAGCACGATGATGATAACAGAACCATGAATGATTGCTTCTCTGTAGACGGATCCCCACGGCATATTTGGTGGCGTCAGTTGCTTGGTCCTCTCAACTGCGCGAGAACGAGCCGCATCACCGCGGTGCGATCTTCGGAGCACGGATTCAGGGGGGAAATGCATGGGTCTGCCTCTAGTGATCGAAAGACTTGCCGATACATATAGTGAAACCAGGGCGTTTGAAATATCCCCTTGCATTACGATCGTCATGGATCCGTTATCCGACAGGACCCGTACCTGCATTCTAGCATTGTACATTGATAGTAATCACCATGAAGAAGGTGCAAATGATGATAACGTAAAGATTCATTCGTTCGATAGTAGCAAGAATATGGTATTAGATGCTTTCACATGTACAGAAGTCTCAAACCCAAACGCCATAGATCACAAAAACAAAAGAAATCATATCGTGCAGCTCTCGCCTGCTCGATCCTGGCGGAATCTTGTAGTGAGAGACTGTGAGTTGGGTTGCTGTGGAAAAAGGAAATCGTATCGTGTAGTCATGTCCGAGCAGTGAAGCTCCATCTGTAAGGTATTTCGCGTTCGTTTGTATGTGTGCAATAGCAAAGCTTTTTGTGTATACAAGCAGCTGCTTTTCGTAAGAGTCGTAAAATGCGTATTCGTAACGTAAGAGTGAGGCGGTAGTTATCCAAAACTACGCCCATCGTAACACTCTGGGGTATGGGGGATATCTCAAAAAGAAGACATTCCAGGGCAGCGTCATCATTAACTTTTGTGTATGTGGAACATAGTCCAACAACAAAGTTGCGCCCAAGGACCAAATCTGATCTGCGATGCATGCAATCATTAAGTCGTGAGTTTGTGTGAGTGCACATAATAGTACAAGTGTCGTGGTCGTTAAAATGCCGGGGGTCCAGCGTGAGCACTGGCAGCGGCGAAGTCGCGAATCGCCCATCTCCAACCGCCGTGTTGGATGCCATCGTCGCGGAGGCCGCCGACCCAGCCTTCGACTCGTCGTCGCCAGATGGCTTCTTCGTCGCGCTGTCGGCGGATGAAGCCAGGTCCGACATCAAACTCCTCGCCTACAAAGGTTGGGTCTTCGGGGTTTGGTGTGCCGGTGCCACCCATGCCGTTGCCGCCAGCAACGCTCTCGTTATCCTTGAGGTCGTCGAGGCCGGCGAACGGGTCCTCTTCTTCGTCCACTTCTGAAGGTGATCCGATCTCGTTTGCCGGCCGAGGCGCCTTGAGCCAAGTCATCTTGACAGGGTCAAACACCATGCGGCCTTCGTACTGGACATTACGTGGTACGGAAATCTGAGAGATCAAGGCAGGTCGTGGCGGAGAAGGCACTGGGGCAGGTGCTGGCGGCTGGGCCAACTTGGCCGCTCGCGACGAGAAGCTTCTATGTCCTTGGTGGTGGGTCTGATTGGCATGGATGGACGACAGTGCGATGTGCGAGATGGACTGGGAACGGTCATGGCCGCGGCTCATCTGGTTTCCCGGCGGGGCAAAGGTAGGCGTGCTCGCCGTGGTTAGGGCGAGGGTTGTAGTGGAAGTATTAGGGTGTGAGAAGGAAACAAGAGCTTCCTCATTTCCTTCCCAACGTTGTAAAGTTGGGTTATAAATCATACCTTTCTCATCTATGCAATGGTCAGTAGGAGCTGGAAGTAGTGGTTGGGTGTTGTACTTTGTGTATAAGGCTGCGTCATCTGCCTGATCAACTGCGGCTTCTGTCCTGAGCCTTTCTTCCTGTGAGCGGATGGACTGGTATGCGGACTACGAGCTGCCACTTGAGCGGCCCAACTGACGGGCCTAGTGGAAACGGGGCCTTCTGCTCGCGACCTTGTGCCTGCCAGACGCTGTTCACGTGCATTCCTACTTGCTGCCGTGTCACGAGCAAAGCGAGGAGTATGGTCCATCTTGGGAGGGCTTCGCGGCGTCTGAGGCATAGGCGTTTGCATTCGATCAGGCATCGGCAGACGTGAATTGCTGGGCTGAGTGCGTAGCGACTTGTTACTCGCGACGTTGCGCGGCACCTTTTCAAACTGCTTCTCTTTGGAAGCCGAGGTAGGTAAGTCGTCGAACAGGTCGAGCTCATGACCGTCACCAAAGTTGCGCTTGCGCTGAGGCTGTGTCAGCTTCTTCGGGGCTGGATGACGTGCAAGGGCAGACGGGGCCATGTCACGCCTCACCGAAGCACGACTCGGTGTCTCATTGTTGCCGCCGCCAGACAAGCGTGAGTAGGTTCGCATCGAGGGAGACTGTGGTCGGCGAGGGTCCGAGTCGCGACGGAGGTGGGCCTGCGAAGAGCTCTTTGACATGACGTGGTGGGATTGAGACGACGTTCCGCCGGCAGGAAGAAATGGCATTCGTGGTTGCTGACTCTGGTTGAGATTGCGGAGGACAGGAGCAGATCGCTTTGCGCGGAGCAGCTGGGCACTGGTAGTCGTGGGCATGGTACGAGTGGAATTGTTCGACGTGGACGCTCCACTTTCGTAGACAGGGGTAAGTCTGGTACGGCTGGCGATGGACGGCAGGGGCCTGGGTATCCGTGAGGTAGTGGGCCTGTCGGTGAAGGTGATGGTAGTTGCGGGACGAGCAGCGTGTGGGGCGGTCGTCTTGGTAGCCGGCTTCTTTACGACAATGTTTTTGTTCAGGGTTAGCTTCTGTCGGTCTAGGATGTCGCCATTGCCAAAGTCGAAAGCGTCCTCAAAGTCTTCCTCTTCGACTGCGGGCTTCTTGGGTGATGGTGCTTTTGGGCTATGGGCCTTGGGGCTGCTGAAGGGCGAAGGGGACAATGGTGCAGCGATGGGTGATTGGGGCGGCTCCTGCATGGGGGCCGAGGTGGGTGACATGGGCGCAGTGGGCTGTTCGCGCAATGGCAGAGGCGGAAGGAGCGAGGCTTCATGTGCTGGTGGTTGCTCGGCCTTCTTGAGCTTTTCCAGACGCGCACCAAAGTCCATGGCCTCTGTGGGAAGCACGAGGCCGCCCAGGTCGTCTTCTTCGCTCTCCATGGTCATGATGCTGCCTAGGCTGGGACTCATGGCGGATATGGAAGAGCTGCGTGCACCGCGAGTTCCCTGTCGCGTACCTGCGAAGCGGATGCCCAGCGAGCCCTCGCCCCAGTCGAAATCGTCGTCCTGCTCTTCTACTGGCGTACGTGGCTTGGGCGTCTTGAGCTTCAAGCCCTCGGACGCGTTGCTGGGAAGCTCCAAATCATTCCCCCAGTCGTCGTCCACCTCGATCTTCTTGGTCGACTTCTTCTTGCCCAGCCTCTTGATGGAGCCTCCTAGGAGTGCCGACGATGGCACGCTCGTGGGTATCGGAATGCCGGCCTGTTTCGCGGCTGTCTTGATGGCGGAAGTGTTGGTTGCCTGGTCGTCTGGGGTGATGAGGAACTGCCAGTCGTCCTGGGATTCTGTTTCGGAGCGCACGCTCATGCGTGAGGATAGCGAGTGTACTGTTGAGTTCTTGAAGAGGAGGCCGTCGGAGCGGTCGTCGAAGTCGCCGTCATCCCATGTTTCCATCTGTGTGGTCTGCGAGGTGATGGAGGCGATGCGCGCCGCAAAGGAGCGGTTGTTGGCCGCCATGCTCTGTGGAGCGCGATTATGACAGGCACGCGGTGTGAGGTGGGTGTGTGCAGGATCTTCGCGAGAGGTACTGAGGTGGTTGGGCTGTGGGCCGGCGAGGGTCGCTCTTGCACCGCTTGCAGGTTCCTGCAGGGCTACGCGAGCTGGAAGGCGGTAAGTCGACAAAGGAAGGCCCGCAAAGTGGCCCGCACGCTACGACACGCGTGTCGATAAGAACAACAGACTCCACACCCCTGCAGCACGGGAGACAATGACGGCGGTGATGTGTCCTACGTGACGGGAGGGTATATGCAGGAACAGATTGTGCAATTCTGCCCCCGCATTATACAGGCGGTCGTTGCCTATATAGTTCCAGACATGGTGCTGCCCATGTTTGTTTCTGCGCCGAATATGTGGCTATTCTGAGGGACTGGCGCTGATCGGCTGCGAATCGCGTCCCAGGCGGATGCCTGAACAACAAACACTAAACCTTCATTCTGGCGGGTGCTGCCTGCGCCTACCGAGCCTCTACGCGTCCGCCAGCAGGCCTCCACCACGCGACTCTGCAAATATAACCCTCGCGTCCTGTCTCAGGTAGAGGTGGTTCAAGTTACGGTTTCAATAGTTCCCCCTACCACTTGAAACGCCCGGTACCCTTTCCTAGACCAACACCACTACCCTTCCTAGTCCAACACCACCAAACCTTCCAACTCGGCACACTTCCGCAGTCCGCGTCGACTAGTGCAGGTACATCCATCAATGTCCGCCCGCAACATCGTGCCAGTCGAGCCTGCCAACGGCGGAGACACTGTCGTCATCGAAGTCCTGCAGGAGGGCAGTCACCCTCTCGATGTGAGATTGGTGGGATGCGAGGGCGAAACCCCATATGTCACCTCGAGTAAGACAGTATCCACAGCACGACTGTGGTTCGCCATCTGACCCGGCTCAGTCAAGCACCGTAATCTCGGAGCACTTAAACACAAATTCAAGGGTAGCGACCATGAGTGGGCCACCATCGTGTCTCATTTTCTGCTCCAGCAACAGCCAGAACTCGGCGAAGCCGCCCTTTTGGACGGCATTCGCATGGTCTACACCCTGAAAAACAAGAGCCTTGAGCTTTCTTTTCGCAAGGACGTTCAGAACATCAAGGTGGACAGCTTATCCAAATCCCTTGGGAATTCGGCTCATGTATGCAGGTCACCCTGGGTGAAATCATTCTACCAGAAGACGATGAGTTTGAGTTCAACCCTTTTGAATGGGCGCAGGCGTCAGCCGTGGCGCACGCCCAAACGTTGAAGCAGATGTTCGACTTGGAGGCGCAAGTCAAGAGCAAGCAGCAGACCATTGCCAAACTTAATGCGCAGCTGGAAGACTTCATCAAGACCAAACATGAGACCGAGACTGCCATGCTCCAGCAGTTCATGCAGCTCCTTAACGAGAAGAAGCGGAAGATTCGGGATCAAAGCCGTCTTCTAGCAGGCGCAAAGGTTGACAAGCCAACAAGTGAGATATCTATGACCGAGTGTGACGTACACTATATTGACACTGTCTAGCGGCCGCTGTACAGTCTTCGAGAGCGAACACCAAAACCGCAGACACCAAAACCCGCAGAGCAGGCGCGTCACGAACATCCAAGCGCAAAGCTCCTGCACAGTCAGCAGAGCCAGATGTAGTACCAGAGTCAGACAGTGACCAGATGGAGATTGACCAAGCCAAGGCCGAAGAGCAGTCCAACGATGAAATGCCCGAGCCCATGACTCCAGAGCAGTCCGACAACGAAACAGATGTGGAGGACGAGCCTGCGTCCACTGCAACAGCGAGATTGTCCCAAACGCTCAGATCAACTTCAGTCGCACAGAGTTCAAATAGCGAAGCCACCGAGAGCAAGGGTGTGCCACCACCTCGAGCGCTTCCATTTGTGAAGAGAATGGGAATGCCAACACGAAGTAGGGGTGTAACAGCAGCCGACGACGACGATGACGAGACGGACGACGAAGAGTTGTAGGTTGGAGGGTGACCATGTTTCACTGTGTTGCGCACAAGTTTGGTTGAAACCATGTCTACCAAACTTGACCACTACGCCGTCTGGTTCGCTGTGTTTTCTTTTCACAGGATCTTGGGATGTACCCGCGTCCAGAAACTTTAAATAAATAGAATTATCGTTACGAAGCGTTTGGTTCAGAAATTCAGACTTTCGCTTTATGATTTATCGCCGAAGCGGTGCTTGCTTCTGCCGCAGTGGTAACCTTGGAATGGTGCGAAACAACCCCTTGATCCAAACAACAGTAATACAAACCACCAACAAGATGCGCGGCCTGAAACCTGTCATGGAAACTGAAACTACTATCTGGACCCTTTACGGGTTTGTACATGTCCAGGTGGTAACCCGGTTTGCTCATATACGTGGTGCGCTGCACACGCGTGGATGTCGGTTGGCGTTGATGTCATCCATGTCGATCGCTCGGTACAGCAGGGAGGTCCCGAGCAAGCGACGGTAGACAAGAACAGACGCTTGGAATGAACAAGACTCTTGTTCGCGAGTGTCGATTCTCCATCATGCAAAGAAGAAAGTTGCCCACGTTGAACATGTCCAAAACAAAGCGATCTGCAAGTGATGTGGTGCGGGTCGGGGCAAAGTACAGCCAATCGTCGATGGCAGAGGCTCCGGCCAGGGCTGAAGCGCGCGGGAGAAGCCTCCCGCCAAGCCATGTCCACCTCGACATGTCGTTCTCCACCACGCTGTTGTCGCAAACACTAGATTGTCGTTATTTGGGATCACACACGTCGTCGTCGCATTATCACGGGGTTCGTGTGCGAGCCATGTCCGATTCCAGCCGATCCGACCAACGGTAGCATCGCGTACTTTCGGTGAGTGAGTGAGAGTGAGAGAGAGGGATAGCGCCCGACATCCGCGTGCGCGACCATGTGGATCTATTGTACTGAGGAGATGCGAACAGAAAGCGATTGTCGGCCTCGTATTGTCCACGCGCACTCGACTAGACCCCGACCACCCACCGCGTCCACGGCGTCGTCACAACAGATCCCCGCTCGAGCGCCTCTTCTAATGCTCCTCCATCTCCACACGTCGTTCCACTGCACCTACCGTCGTCGGCCCGCGACACCACAAAGACACGCGACCGACGCAACACCCACTACCTGGAGGTAACACGCAATGTCAGGTCCCGGCCATGCTGAGCCTCTCGTGGAAACGACGCGATCTCTCAAGCGCAAGAACCTCTCCGATGACGACCAAGGCGAGCTCGACGCTCTCGACGCTATTTTCAAGCGCATAAAGACGGCGGTTCCGCGAACGCCCTACATTCTCTCGACGCCTTCGGTGAACCCGTACCGGTATTACTCACAACAACAAGCCAATGCTTGGAAGATAGGAAGATTATGGAAGTCGGACGAGGAGCATCTACAGTACAGAACCTACCTCTACCGCGAGCCATGCCAGGACTGCTTCGAGCTGCAGGCGGGCGAGGACGACGAGCCCGAGCCCGAGCCCGAGCCCGCGCGCTCTCAGACCGCAAACGGCCAGCCAGGGAAGAAGAAACCGAACCTCTCAGCCTTCAAGGTCAAGCCAGCGAACGGCCCCAATACTCCCAGTGTCAAGATCAGCTCGCCCAGCCTTGCGACAGATAAGGCATCAAAACAGGCGAATGGGGTTAGCAAGTCTGAGAAGCTGTCTGTGCCCTCCCAAAAGGCCGAGTCCAAGTCGCCAAGATTGTGTGTACACCGCTCCACATGTCATCATGTTACTGACAACCAACAGGACTTCTGGCACCTCACACGACGAGCACCCTGTCAGCAAAGCCAACGGTGATGCCCCTTCCTCGACTCGGCCGCGCGCCCCCTCCACACAGAAGAGCGAGACTACCAGCTCCAAGGGTAAGGTCGAGAAATCGGATCCGTCCAGCTCAACACCACATGGCCTGCCCCCGCTCCTGTCACCAGTACACGAACCAATGGGTAATCCCTACGGCCTCCCCAACATTCTGTCCCCCACACTCCCCTCCAACATACAGGCCGAGCTGGATAGGATAGAGGTGCAACGGAAGCGCGCAGACTCCGACGCATCTGTATCATCGTCAGATCGCAAGAGTCAGACGCTGGCCGTGCCGCCTAGTGGATCTCAACAGTCCAATGGCACGCCAAAGTCTGAGAACCGAGTGCGCTCAGCCTCTATCAACGGCAAATCGCCCAACCCCGAACCAGTCAGTCAAGCCGAATCAACAGACCCTAGTATGCTCGTGAAACTGAAATTCTCAAAGACCAAGGCTCCAGTCGTTGGCCAAATCCTCCGCCTGCCATCCAAACGAGCTAATGCCGAGAAGAAGGAGCGCCACGATGCGCCCAAGGCTACTGCGATAGATACACAGCCCAAAGTCACAGACCGGCCTGTCATTAAGACGAAGCCAGTTCCAAAAGTCGCTGCGCGTCGCGGAGAGACTACCACGCCGGCGGTGCCCCCGCCGAATGCAGGTGCAAAACCAACTCCTGCGAGTACAAAGGTTGCTGAGAAGCGGCCACGGCCGGATGAGGATGCGACTTTGACGGTACCACCCACTAAGCGTCCCAGGGCAGGCTCAGGGCCCATTACCCCTCTCCAAAATATCTCCTCTCCAGCCTTATCCGCCAAGTCGAGTGCACAGAAGAGTCAGAATCAGTACGCCACCCCTAGGAAGGATATCAAATCAGTCAACATGTTACGAAGTCAGTCATCAGAAAGCAACACTAATGACGCAACGCCCGGCCGATCTGGCGCAACTCCAGCGGGCGCAAAGACGGAGCACAAGGCTGGTCCTACATCTGCCCCTCTCAACAACAAGAAGCAGGTGGATATCTCACTCCTGGGACAGACGTCTGCGAGGCTGAATCAGATGGGAAGAGCCCTCAAGCATGAAGCAACTAAGATCCTCACGACAGGTGGTAGCAAGATCTCCAAGCAAGACGAGAAGAGAGCTGCGGTGACCAATCTCGAATGTATTCTGTACGTCCATGATCCTCATTTGTTTTGTCGACAAACTATGCTAATTAGACAAGTGCATACATGGCTGCCTACGCCGCCCAAGACCTCTCTCTCAACCTCCGCGGTCGCGCGGGAGAAGTGGAGCAAACCTGGAAAACGCTCCTTCCTCTCTGTCTCTCCTACAGCCGCTGCACAAAAGACCACCAACACCTCGACGGCTTACGTTCATACCTCAGTTCCATCATCGCCTCGGCAATCTGCACACACGTCTCGCAACGCTGCCAGAACCCAAAGTCAGCCGTATCCCACGACTCCCCCCAGGACGCCGCCAACAACGCAGACGTCACACGCCAGCACAACTCGCTCGCTGAGAACTTTGCGCTCCTAGCCGACCACACGATCAAGATGAACCGGCACTACCAGGACGCGAGGATTGCCCTGCCGATTGAAGACTTGCAATCCCTGTATAAGAAGACATATGCAGCGAGAGAAGCCAACGCGCGCCTCGCACGCGAACCAGAGAAGATTAGTGGCGCGCGCATGTCTGGTCCGTACTTTTTGCCGCTCGCTACAGATACAACGCCTATTCAGGCTGTGCGCTTTGGGCTCAAGTTCCTGAGTGAGTATTGTGAGAAGGAAGGGTTGGAATATCGATTGAGGATTAATCTGGACAGGCCGGAGTAAGTTTGGTGTGTTTGTATGCCCGCTTCATTATCATGTCCCACTACACACAGACACACACACACACACACACACACATTCCCCATGTCGGGTTCTTGTTGACAGGCGTTTTGTTGATTCATTGAACTGTCTACTTAGCGGGTGGTTTTTCTCTCTCCCTTGTTTGGAACAACTCTGATACCCCACGAGGTTTGGCCTGGCTGGACTTGCTCTTCTTTTTTTCCATCTGTCTTCCTGAGCCGGTCACCTATTCCAAATTCATTCTTGGTTCTTTCTTTGTTGGACTATGTCATAGATAATTGGGTTGGAGTGAAGTGGAGTTGGAGTTGGAGGAAGCGGAAAGGGCCCGAAAATGCATGGAATAAACGAGCAAAACGAGAGACAAGAATTTTAAAAAAGTAATTTCAGAACAAGTTTTGTAAACGGCATCATATTTGACATGTCAATTCATTTTCAAGTCCCATGGCTTGTGTTGATGGGAAAAACCTCATGCACTCTTTAATCTCCCAAAAGAATTGTCGCCTTGTAAGAAAAAGTGTACCAACGCCATCTAAAGAGAGAGAAAAAAAACCCTATACTTGTAAACGCAGTCTGACCAGATTATGACAAGAATACCCTCTCCAACCTCTCAAGCAACAAATCAGCATGCTGTTTCTGGAAAATCAACATGGGCCTCAACCGGACCGCCCTCTCCCCACTGCCACCAATATTGACACCCTCGCCCTTGGCCTTCTTCAGCACCTCATCCCGGCGCACATTATCAAACGCAATAAACGTGCCCTGACCCTTTCCTCTCAGATTCTGAATCTCCTGGGGGAACCTCTCACTCAGCCTCTGGAGACCGTCAAAGAGGTAGTCACCAACGGCAGCCGTGCTATTAACAAGATCCATGCGCTTGATCTCCTGAATGATGGAACGGAAGAGGATCGCGCGCGCAGGATCGCCCATCCAAGTATTGAATTGACGGTACGGCTTGTTGGGTCGGAGATCGTTGTTGCCAAAGTAATAACCAGCTGTCTGCGCCTTCTTGGAAAAGGTAACCATGTCCGGTGGCGTGCTTAGCCCCCAGTGTTCGTGGGCCCAGAACTTTCCCGTTGCACCGACGCCGGTTTGCACTTCATCGACAATGAGGAGGACGTTGTGTTTCTTGGTGATTTCGCGGAGGCCGCGGAAGAAGTTTGGTGTGGCGTGGTTGTCGCCGCCTTCGGACTGGATGGGTTCGATTACTACGGCGGCGGGTGGGTTGTGGAAGGTGGTGATGATGTGTTCTGTTGCGTCCAGACATCTCTGCTCTTCTGCTGCGTTTTCTGCCTCGTGTTCGTGGAGGGGGTACTTGAGGACTGGGAAGGGGGCTTGTGGCCAGTCGAAGGCGGGGATGTCGAGCTTGTGGATGGGCTTGGAGCGTGTGGTTGACAGACTGCCGAACAGACGGCCGTGGAAGCCTGTCTTGAAGGATAGAATGGACATGTCGGGGGCGCCTGGGGCTTTGTTGTTCATGGACGAGTCGATGTCTTCTTGGGAGAAATCAGCCGAGGCGCCACCGCGTTGTTGTTGACGCCTCCACATGAAGGCGGCTTTGTAGGCGAGTTCGTTTGCGTCGGAGCCGGCTTGGGCGGTGAAGACTTGGTTGAGACCCTTGGGAGCTACGGAGAGGATACCGCTCTCGAGAATGTCGGCCCAGTCGTGCTGGGGGAAGTTTCCAAGCGCGGGGCGATTGATGATGGCAGAGGCCATTTCGGGGGATGTGGCTGCCAGGAGGAGAGAGGGGTTGTTGTAGCCTACGGGGATGGAGGCAATCTGGGCGTATACATCGAGAAGGACGTTGCCGTCGAGGTCTGCGATGCTGATACTTGTCAGTCTCGGTTCACTCCTGGTAGCATGTCAAACATACTAGTTGCCATAGCTTTGGGAGTAGTCGGCCATCATGTTCAAGCTCCTGGTGTCGAAAACCTTGCTCAGTCTCTCAATGGCCTTTTTGCTCTCTGGGCCAGGGATTTCCGTCTTGACAATTGGCTGTCGGGGCTCATCTGGGAAGAAGGAATGCTCTCCGCTGTCTGCAACGGCCGCTGCTGCTGCCGAAGCATATCGTCTCTGTGGCGCAATTGGTGCCTTGTGGGCTACACGAGCATTTGCACCAAGAAATGGGGCTCGAAGACGTCCAGCATTGCGGATGAGCGACGCCATGGTGGTCGTTACCGGTATTGTTGTTGTTGTTGTTGTTGTTGTTGTTGTTGTTATTGGACGAGGAAAGATGGCACAGAGTGTGATGATGCTGCGGGGAGCTCGAAGCTCGAATGCGGGGAGACGCGACGCGTAACAGTAGCTGCTCTGCCACAACAAACAGTCAGACGGCCCAAGTCGGAGAGTACAATTGAGAAGTAGACTACCGGAAAATGGAGGAAGCGTTATGAATAAGAGCGGTATCGCATCTTATACTATTCCAGAGCCTTTTATCTCCTACCCTTGATACTGCTGATAGAGCTCCATGACCAACCGGCCCTAACCCGTTGCTATCCCCGCAAAAGCTCGTCCAAGCGAGCTCCCCAACGCTTGACCCACATTGGACCCTTGTCTAAACCAACTCCAGACGATAGAAATTGGCAATGTGATCCGCTACACGCCGCATACGCCATGCACGCCAGCGACATCCCCAACATCCAGACATCAAACAGGCGCCTTGTTTCCAGAACCGTTGCCTTGCTCCTGTCGTTGTCGCTCCTTGAATGCATCCGTCGAAGCAGGTTTGTGGAGATCACGAAAGTCATACTCTGGAAGCGCTTCGACCTCGCAGCCGAGCAGGGCTCTGCTCATGATGGTCGCGTCCCTCTTGCCCTGCTCCTCCGAGATATGAATTTCTCCTAGCTTCTGCGCCCAGGTGATGCCTTTGATCTTTCCTCCGGTATTGCCCTCACCCTCATTCGCCTCCAAATGAAGTATCCACACTTTCTGGCCTGTCCAGCTTCGAGCAAAGTGGACGAGCATGTCCCCGCCATGGCTCTCCTCTTCGCTCCATACGTTCCATTTGTCGTCCATACTTTGAGATTCGAAACCGGCTATGAGCTTCGCAAAGTCGGCCTCGCTGATGCTCACGTCCCAGGATGCTGTACCAGGCTCGGTCATGGTGGAGCGATCTTTCCATGCCTGATAACGCTGCGCCATATCGCTTGGTCGTATCTTGGAGCCGTTATGTATCGCTAGAGGTTGTAGAAAGGTATATTTCTGCTTAAAAGATGAGATTGGCGATGGAATACGTTTCCAGTGCGTGCTTTTGTTATTCGCAGCAAGGCAGCCAACATTAGGCAACAATCAGCTAGGCATGTATGCGCATGTCGGAAATGGATGCCTGTCGATCCTTGACCAAAATGTAGTCGGCAGCCCTACATGTCAGCTGCAGATCGCTGTGCCCACCAAAGGCGAGCGAGGCGCAGCTGTCTTGATTTTGTGCTTCAGGGCGTCGTAATCGGTCTCGGTCCTTCTCAGCAGGATTCAGATCTGCTGAAATGTACAGTATTCTATTCCTTCCTCCTGGATGCAAGTATATCTAGAAATCCACCCAAAGCCTCATCAAATGTTGGCTGTCTAGAGGCAGAACGGCTAACGACTTCGTAGCATAAGCATACTTCTAGTACGACACGCTTGGCAGCTCATGTCGAGTGTCTGTTCTGGCTGGATTCGATTGCATCTCATGATATTGTGGAGCTCCCTGATACTCATGTCCGTACTTAGCAGCACCATGTCCAGGAAGTTCATATGCTTGGGCTGGTGGTGTGTCCTCGTAGCCTACGTTATATCCTGGGCTTTGTGCGGTGGCCTCATTAGCTATTCGATATCTTCGTTTTCTTTTCATGATAAAAATCCCAATCGCTAGCAATGCGATAACAGCCACTGGTATGCCAACGCCCAACCCGACCTTCGCACCTGTCGACAGGCCACCTGGCGATGGTGCATGAGTCTCGTTTGACGAAACAGTGTCCGTCGAAGATGTGGTTGGCGATGTTCGTGTTGTGTCCTCAACTGTTTGACCTGACGTCGTGATAGTAGCGCGCTCAAGTACAGCAGAATCTGTTGCTTGCCACATGATAGGCACGCCGTCGCCTATCACATACGAATATGAGACTTGCGTACTTATGCTCAAAGTGCTGGAGCTAAATTGATCATCATATACTGCTAGTGTCAACACCTGGTCAGCTGTGATCCAGGATCTGCAGAGATGACCCTGCAGATATAATGAGAACCCACTAAAAACTGATCAGAATCTTTGCATGGCGGGCTTGGATTGTGGATTCTTACGACGGACAGCAGATAGCTGCTGTAGTAGCGGATCCAAGGGCGAATGCCGATGGCGACGGGTAAATTGGGACAATGTCTGAGAAAGTAGTAGCAGTAGTCCAATCGGCAGGACATAACGCCGGGCTATCTTCCTAGCATTAGCTGGATGCATCTCGACTGAAGCAACTTTTGCGCACAATAATAGGCTTCCCATCCACGAGATGGTGCCGGTGTTGCAGATGGATTGGAAGCGATAGGATAACACGCTTGGTCAAAGTTGAGTCCCCAATGTCCGAGGAACAAGGCGCTCGAGGCGAAAGTAATAGTTTCAGTGCATGACGGTGGAGCTTCGAATACGGAAGTAATAGAGCCGCGGTTGTAGCCGCTGATGATGTCTTGGTCGCTTATAATCGTCGTTGCTTCTGGTGATGATGTTGAAGTCATGGCTGTATTTTATGTACAGGAATTCCCAAAACACGCCTGAAGTATATGTAGACGGTGCCCATTAAGTAGCAACCTAGTAATTGTGCGATGATACGCTCTTATCATTTCCATGTGGGTCAAATGGCATCCGGAACCAGTCTTCAACACTTAACGAAAGCCACAATATTGGTGGCTACAGCGCTAGTACAGCCAACACAGGAGGATCTTCCTTAAACTGCTTCGACCTATTCATAGAGATTCTGCTTCTATGGTTGCGTTCTCAGATGACAATTTCTCATCAAGATACAAGTGTGAGATTAAAACATTGGCAGTTCTTTTAATGAAGACTTCGAGTGCGTCTGTGAACTTGGTTTCGAATGCCACCTACCAGGCGCTAAGGTGACCTGTATGCGAATCGTCGCGAGGCTGAAAACGCCACGACGCACCTGCATGCATGCGCAGCCCGCCTTATCCTCGACGACGATCAAAACACCCCCGCCTTTTTTCCACGGGCTCTAGTGGAGCTAGTGTCGTGTATACCTGTACAATGTTGCTGTTGCGCTATACGATTGCTAAGTCTACAGTCGCACGATCTTTACGAAATCCCGCCCTCGACACCTTACACGTGTTTGTTAGGCTCTGTTCCACGACAAGTGAATAGTGTTGCAGACCCCCAAAACCCTTGATATGTAAGTGTCATCATGAAGCAGTCATGGGACATGCGCCCTGTCCTCAGCAGTACCGCCACTATAGTTCGTCTCCAATGGATCAAAAGATACCGGCAGGTTTTGTTGACGCACTGAAGAATTCTTGTGTCTGGGAGCAAGATTGGGGGTTCGTCGTATATCGAGCAGCTTTTTCAGACGGCGACGCTTGGGAGAGGTTCAAAGAGACGTTCTCGAATGTGAACTACCAGAGCTTCGACCGCTTGGCAGCTATCTATTCGAATTAGGATGATGTCCGGGTGGCTCAGAAGTTTTGGCGTTGCAGATTTATTGACGAACCGGGATTGAAGGGCAAGGACCCTGCAGCCATCAAAGAGTAAGTCGCATAGAAGATACATGTGCTTGTCAGCCTGACTGATCTCGATAGACACCACTCTTCGTTATGGGGAGATTTGCCATCGGGCCTACAACATCCCCTTTGCCTCGTTGCGACGAAAGACGTCTATGAATCATTTGAGCGGTACACGGCTTCATACCTTGACACTACTGGTGCGGCAATCGCTCAAGCAGACCCATTCATCAAAGTTCTTTACCAGTCGCATTTGGTGGACGACGATATGGACGACGGCGACGACCCACCTGTTAAGATGTTCAACGCAGGAATGCGAGCGTTGATCGACGAGCTGTTTCCTATATCGATACGAACAGAGATGAGTTTCGATAAGGTCGACCCTGGTAACGATGACAAGGTTTGGTTGGGTGTTGCATGGGAGGAGGATATTATTCGGGGCGACAGCTGATCACGAATACATGTAGCAACAAGCAAGGGGTGTTGACGGTGGAAATTTGCAGATGCGATGACGGAAGAGAGGTTCTTCTGGAGAAGTATTGTTCAGATGGAATGATATCTGGTCTTGACAGAATGGGAGTTCTTTGACATCAATTTACAACTAATGTTGGTAGATGTGGAAATGAGCTTTACACAAACAAACCTTTCACTCTAACCAAATATTGTCCAGGTTCTGGTCGTTTGTCAAGGATTTGAAGGCTTGCTCGTCTATATCGCGAAACTGTAACGCTCCGATCCGCCGATATACGCTTGCAATGTTCCCCTTCATATTCATAATCCTTTCTGACTGCTGGGACATGAGTTTCGCGAAGGCATCTAGGCGCCATTCTTGTTCTCGAGATGGCTTCAAGCCTGATAGCGCGCTTTTGTATTCATGGTGCAGTTTTTCCTGGTTGGAGAACCAGGCAGAGTGCGTGACGAGGAGAAGACCTATCCCGGAGTACGTCTGACATGCTTCGGAAGAAGAAGGTAGGCCTAATTGGAGGCCACTGATGTTTTTTGAAGTGACCGATGCGGCAAGGATCATGAATGCGCATTGTTGCGGGTCGATTGCTGTAGTTGAAAGTGGAGCATCGGGAAAGGCGTCCATTTCGATGGGGCCGCTGGAGGCTTCGCCCAAGACTTGGAGACGATAAACGTCCTCTTCCACACTTGTTAGCCGACCAAAGCTGATGCGAGTCCTCAGTTCCAACGCTTTCCTCTCTAATTTAGGCTCCTTATCACCTTCCCTAGTTTCCTCGTCGACTGTGAATTTGACCATAGCCCCGTCGTGATCCGTGACTGTATATGATCGCAGGTCCAGCCGGTATTGAGGCACAATAGAGCCTTTTACACTTGCCCATGACCAGCTAGGAATACTGGCATCGAGCTCTGGCATGTTCTCACATTTTTGAGTTTCTCGTACTCTCCAGGCCATTTGCTCCTCGAGCGCTTTAGACCACATGCCCACGGCGTATTGCTCTCTCATTACGTCGCGCAGCAACTTCGCGATACTCCAGATTGCGATGGTTTTGTCACCCTGACTAGTCAGATTGCATTCCGTGTAGTTCTGTACCGCGGACATCCAGAAAGTGTAAGAGCTTTCATTATCGTTAACACCAGTCAAAGCGTTGGATGGGACAGTACTTCCGACTAGCCGTCCTCTCCAATGTCGATCTATGCTTGCTTTGTGATCGAGAGGGAAGGGAAGGCCATTTGGGAACACCTCACAGGCAGAGAGCGTACCGCAGTCCCAAAAGATTTGATGTTTTGTGAAGTGAAGGATGCGAGGAGAGAGAATACGTTCTGTTGATTATACGAAGTCAGCTCCTAGTACATCACGATAGTCCGGCGATGGCAAGCATATCAAGAAGCGTTGAGCTTTACTTACCTTGAAACACCCACGCACGATAATATATGATGGAGTTAAGAAGTTCCTTTTCCCAAAGGTCCGCTGGGACAATCGTCCAAGTTTTCGTCCCCAAATCATGAGATGCATTAGTACCATGATATTTGACCGGAAGGATCTCATGAGGTGTACGGTCCCTGAAGAGGCCGCCGTATGCATCCTCTGAGTCCGCTGCGACAATGTTACAATGCGAGTACCGGTAAACCTTGTGCATGAGATTGGCTTCTCTGGCAAAATCACCAAAAGGTTCTTGCACGATAGCGAGACTATCGATCCAGATATACCGCACCTTCAAGAAACGAGTCACTCGTATTGCGTGCTGGAAGTTAAGTGGAAGCTCGGCTAGGAAAATACCTGTGATCAAATGCTTTGCCATATTCCACACAGTAGTAGTAAGAAACGGCTTCTCTCGTGGTCCCCACGCGTGACTCAACGTGCAGTAAGGTCCCTTGGCCTTGGTTATCTGGGTATCTACTAAGCGGATAACATTGTCATCTCCAGTGTCGACATCCAGAAGTCGTGTTGGAAGAAAGAAAGGTTTGGATCGCTGGGCGTGCCAGGCTTTACTGCAGCCTTGATGATCGCGCATGCAAGTTTCCATCCATTTGTTAACTTGAGTACCGCCACTAAGGTCTAGATCTGTTGTTCCTGGTAAATGCTCGGACCCAGGCACATCCAGATCGTTTCCCGGCAGGAATCGGAAAGACTTGGTTGTGATTGTCGGATGAGAAGACCAAAAACGTAACATCATCGATCCTCTTAACTCTCTGCCGCGTGGCAGTGCTCGAAGGGTCCAATGATACAATGGCCAGTTTACAGTGTTGGGCAGAGGATTTCTCATAATACCGTAGAGCGAGGTACAAAACGTGCATTGGTTCATGACAGAACTCAGATCATCCATTGAAAGACGATGCTGACCGGAGGACGCACCGGACTCTAATACATTCCTGACACAAAACTCGCACACTTGTATCTGGGGCTGGGTTGATACCGTGTCCGGTTGCGTGACTTTTCTTTCAGGCTTGTGGACCGGAATGATACCCTGAGCCATGCTAGGTACATACTCGGTGCTGTCGAGCCTAGGTGGCGATTGGACCGGTTTTTCGTCCTTACTGAGGAATATCGCCCGATCGAATGTACCATCGAGTTCACGGATGCGGAGACCATCTTCGAAGCTCATCAATGGAGTTGGAGGAGGCCTTTCGCTTGCTAACGTGTCGAATGTGCTTCCTAAAAGACCAGGTGTTTCGACCGGTGAGGATATCTCTTCGAACTGCTGTGGTGTAACAGCACCACGTCTTCCCTTTGCGCTAGAATGGACTTGACGTCTTGCCCATTCTAATGAATTATTGTACTTCTCTTTCACATACAGAGGAAACGCGGGTTTGCAACAAATATCCAGCCGTTGGTCATCAGTGAGCGGGTCAATTAGGCATCCGTTTCCTGCAATAAAGACATCTTGAACAGATCTGGGGTAGTCTAGATTCGAACAAGTGTTCTGCGCGAGGCGTATACAGTGTTCTAGTTCTTTGAATGGAATTCCATCCTGATGGTCTACAGCAGCAGCGATCGCAAGTAATGGTGGCAAGCGCTGAGGTTTCGGTTTACGTTCGATAAACTTCATTTCGGTGTCGAAATAAGCGATGATATCCCTGGGTAGCCTGTCGCCGACTCGATCCACGCTGAAAGTGGAGATCTTGTCCTGGGTAAAGATATCTTCCAAATACAATAATGCGAATGTTATGTTGCCAGCGGCTTTCGACTCGATATAGTCGACAATCCGATCCGCATCCTCTGGTTGGATATTGGGATAGTGCATACTCAGTTTCTTTCCAAGCAGACGCTCGATGTTAAAATAACCTAACTTGATGCTGAAATGCTGGTAGGTTTCCCTGAGACTATCCACCGGGCAGATGTGGGTTCTGCCTAGGTGTCCGTTCTTCTCACAGCCATAACACAGATCGACCATTTTGCAGGTCGTACATGAGAACCAAACATCAAGGGGGTCCTGCCCGCATCCGTCGCATCGTCGATGGGGAGATGCAAAGAAGACTGGAACTCGCCGAGTCATGATTACGTTGAATCCGCTGGATTCTAAAGCAGAGAATTGTGTATCAACAGACGCCTGTAATGCTTCGTTGATGCGATCGTATCCATCAAGGATGAGAAACTTGCAAGCCCCAGCGGCGACGTCACTCAAAGCTCCAATCAGCTTTTGAATCCGCTCAATTACCGGGTCACCGGAGTAGCACGCATCCTGGTATGCTTCATAGTCTGCACTGGGCCCAGTGCCAAACTCAGTGTATATGAGCTGGAACAGGTCCTCAACGAAATTCAATGAGGTCGACCACACATGTTGAGTGATAGAAATCGATGCGACGGCTGTTTTGGCTCCTTTTATGCTAGACGGTAGATGATTGGCGGCGAGAGCGGCCATAGTCGTCTGTTATGGTGAGCGATATCTTCTGTCATGTCCCCAGGAACTCACTGTGCCGCATCCAGGCTCTCCATAGCAATGTAATTGCCAGGATCTACTGCCTGAAGACCATGCGCGGAAGGCTGGGGATGCGAAGAAGTTGTCAAACAAAGTGTGATCGTAGTCGCTGCCATGTAGTGTGTTTCGGCTTAAGGCTGAGTGTAGTACGTGACTTTGTGGCGCGAAAGGATCTGGAACGACTCCAGCTGCGGCGTCCGACATGTTTACAGGCGCCACAAAACCGCGGAAGTTTCCAAAAAGAACATGTCACCCATTCGTTACTGTTCTTTGAAAGTTACAGACATTGCTTTTGGGAGCCAGACGGACAAGGTGTTTCAGTGGGTCGGCCTCGTTCCCTTGACGTCCGTGCATGTGGCTCATGTCAGGCAGCCGGTCAATTGACCCGGCGCGTAATCGTCAAATAGACACCTCTCAACAGCTTGTGTGCCACCGGGAAGCTTAGGTAATGTAACGCTGCAAAGGCCAGCTATATACAGCATTTTCCTTTTTGATCCGACATCATATCGAAAAGATCTGCCTGGTCCTGAATTCGATCCCTCTTCCCATCTGCCCTCTTTTGCCTTCTTTTGTCTACTCAAATCTTGAACGTTTCCATCTGTGACTAGACGAATACTCCATCCCACGAGATGCACTCCTCAGCTGTGTACACTGTTGGTTTAACAGGTGCTAATCTGGGCCGCGTTCATGTATTGGCCTACATGACGGGTTCCTGTTACCCAGCTTCCATCTACGGTTGGAATAATCAGCTAGTCATGGGGCTATGCAGCTCCTGGCCAGCTTCACAAGGGACTTAAATACATTTAATCAGGAAGCTGTGCTTCTAGGCGACCTACCTAGTCGATTTCCCGAGGTGGAGGGGGCCAAAAGGTCCTATGGGGGTCAAGTGCAGCTGACGGGCAAGATGACTCCGCCAGGCCTTGTGCTTCACGCAAGCACCCACACATCAATAATAACATTCTAGCGCAATCTCGGTACAGACCTAGAGCATCTCGCGATCTTCTTTATCCATGCAGCTCTCTTTTCCCTGCGCATGTGGCAATTGGTGGGTTCTTAACTTGGCAGGAGCAAGTGTTCCTCGATTCGCTACTAAATGTTGGCAGCCTACCGTTCATGCAGATTTTTGATTTCCGCAAGCATCGCGGGTGCTAAGCAGATGCACGCCACTGATTTAAATCGCCATCGGTAAGCTTTGTGGAGTGTCACACGGGATGCAATACATCAGGTTTAAGAGTTTAGAAAACCCAATCCGTTTACGAGCAACATAGCCCTTTTCGGTTGACACTTTCTAGTCGCTCGCCATGTCGTTCATAACGCTTCTGGGTATATTGTACCTATCGGTATATGGGTCGGCGAAACCTTTGAAGGGTGCCTTCGCCCCTCGGCAAGTTGAGTCTCCTACAGGTTCCCTAGACGCTGTCTCTACCGCTTGCGGAGACATCATTGTCGCTGTAAACAATGGTGAATATCATGTTACAAGACTTGAGGAAATGCCTTAACTGATAAGTGGATAAGACTATACGCTACTCCGTGCATCACTGGTGTACGAGTGCTTGCAGAGTATTCCCTTCAACCCAGCTGTCGCAATACGCTTTCTCGACTATTACAACATGACGTTGCAATCTCAATCTACACTGGGATATCTCAAAGCGTCGCCCGTGGGCTACCAACAACCACCATTCGACGTAAACCAAGCCCTAGAAGAAATCAAGCAGAACGTGGCTGGGGCTGTTTACAAGAATCAATACGAGTTTGAAACACAACTTCAGCTCCTGGTCCATCAACTACGTGACACACATGTCATTCTCAATGCGGGTGCTCTCTCGGCGTTCTCTTTTGTTGGCTCGTTTGGGCTTGTCAGTGCATCCGTTGATGGCAAACAAGCCCCGGAAATTTACCTTGACGAAGACTTGTACGAAGCTTGGGCATTATAGGAGTATAAAGCGTCACCTGTGACCCATATCAACGGCATTGACGTGATCGAATATCTGGAAAGCTTTGCCGAACAGAACTCTCAAGGCTTCTTAGAACCAAATGCCGACTGGAACGGAATAATGGACAGCCCTGCAATGGATATTCAGGGGTTCTCGAGTATATTCCAATCACCGAAGCTTTACCCTGGGAACGAAGCCTTTTCTGATGCGCTCAATTTCACCCTCAAAAACGGTACCGTCGTCGAATCCGTCTGGTGGGCACTCTGCGTCGGTTGCAGAGAGACAAGACCTATTACCACTGGCGGCGATTTCTATCATTACTTTGTCCTAGGATTCTTGCCAGACAGCTACCGTGAAGGCGAGCAGTGGTGGCCAACCATGGAAGACGAAGTTGTCCCTCCAACCAACAACAGCGACGATGGTTTCAACTTTACAGCGATACTGGAAAGTTATTGCACAGATGGAGCTACATCAATCCAAAACTGGTGCATGGACAGTTTTGGTGCATACCCGAATACCCCCATGACCACCCAAGCTGATCTCTCGGTCGTAGGAGGGGGCATCGTATCTAGCTATATGCTAGATTACAAATCCACTGCAGTCCTCAGCATACCCTCCTTCTTTCAGGACGGTGACGATTCATCCGATTTTCGGCAAGCGATCCACGACTTCATCGGTAATGCGTCACAAAGCCATGCTTCTCGTGTCATCATTGATCTACAACAAAATTACGGGGGCACTGTCTTCCTTGCCTACGATACCTTCAGACAGTTTTTTTCCGAATCTAGAACCTAACGGTGCAAGTCGTCAACGCAGTCACGAGCTGAGAAATATCCTTGGTGAAGCTTATACAGAGTGGTGGGATCAGTCAGGGCACAATCAACCTGACAACTACTACTGGGCGTCGAACGAGTGGATCGTTACCAATCGGATCAACGCCGCTATTGGAAAAGACTTTGCGTCTCGGAGCGAGTTCTACGGCCCGGAAACCAGCAATGGTGATAACTTCTCAGACAGTCAACAATACGATTTGTCCGATACGGATTTTGATTATGCCGCATTCGGAGACTATCCATTTGGATACAACCCCGACGATCCCATCACCAACACTTCACCACCTTGGGCTCCTCAAGAAATTGTCATTCTTACTGACGGCCTCTGCTCCTCAGCATGTGCTGTCTTTGTTGAGTTCATGACCTACCATGCCGGAGTCAAAACCATTGTCGTTGGTGGTCAGCCTAAGTCCAGTCCTATGCAAGCAGTCGGAAGCACTCGTGGCGCCGCCTCGTACTCTTCTGACGATCTCGACTACGATTTCGATGCAGGGCTGCAGTATCTACCAGTTGACAAGCCTGAGGTAGCTTCGCAACTGCCTAACCGAACGGATACAGGGATGTGGATCAATTACGCTGGTTTCACAATCCGGAATCAAGTGCGCGGCACAGAATTAACGCCGCTGCAGTTCCAATATCAGGCTGCCGATTGTCGTATCTATTACACGCTTGAGACGGTCTATAACATGACACAACCTTGGAGCTACACCGCTCGTGCAGCGTGGGACGACCCAACTCTTTGTGTCCAAGATTCAACAGGATATCCAACGGCCCGTAACGAGACGTCTGCCAAACCACCTCCATCAGCTACGCCAGCCGCACCCGCAGTTTACGATTTCTCGCCATCGCCATCTGCCGACAACGCAACATTTGAACTTCTCGACGGTCCTAGCAATAGAAGATCTGCTGGTGAGATCACGCTCTGCAACAGCAATTGCCAGTGTCGTGACATGGAGGTGACATGCTCCGGCCGAACGAAGATTGTCTCTGCTTGTCTCCCATCATGCATAACTGTTTCGAACGATCCAGTCGGTGATTGTAGAGGAAAGGGCTACTTTTGCTCTACGATTGGGGTTCTGCAATCGAAATATAACGACAAGGCTACCTCTAGGGGTACTAATGTGGTGACATACTACGGTGTCTATAAGACAAAGGATCAAAAATTCTGCCTGGGTTAATGGGGGCAGAGTGAGTAGGGTCGTGTATAGACCTGGACGATGACCAAAGGAGTTGCCAAGTAATGAGGACTCCATACACACGGTTTGAGAACTGTACAACTACAGTCACATTGTACTCTTAATCATTCCAATCAAATGCTGAATATATTCATATGACTGGCGTAGCTACCATATTTGCGTATCTTGCCGATGTGGAGACACTGACAATAGCTTGGTCATAAAGGTTGCGCCCTGCCGGCAGGATTTCGGCGCAGGATTCATACTATCTCGATCTGGGACGTCATCCGAACCGACACATGACGCTCGCGAAATCTGAGAAGGCTTTTGCCTATGTGGGATGTGAGGCACCCCGCTTCGGTACGGTAAATCCCGCATAAGGGCTGAATCGTCAGCAACTACCGTGGGGCGTAACAAGGCGGAAAAAACCGTTTCTTCTTATGTGGACTACAGCTAGTGCTCTCCGCATTGTAGAAGACATGGATCAGTCAATACTGATGTTTGAAGTTGGAATATAATACTAAAGAAGTGTAGCTCAGTGACAAGGCTGTTAGGCTGGCGATGATCGGCATCGACATTCATGATTGCGAACAATAGCCTGAAGATTGATAAAATGCCTGGAAGTATTCCTGCAGCCTCGTATCGTTCTAGAGACTGTTGTGGTCGGTTCGCTTGCAGAAACTAGTGCGAGCGCTACACGGATTCGGGATTATTTGATCGGCAAGTGTCTTGTTGTTCATATTCGAGTACCATTGGTCAAGATTTTTACTACGCTGCTTATTGGAAAAACTATTCTGAACTGGGAAGGCCCTCGAGTGGCTCTAGGATGTGTCTTGAAGCATTGACAAAACATCTCGTAGCGAGCTGCTGTCCGCTTTCGATAAGTCACAGTACCCGCATGGTTCCGGTTTCTCCGACTACTTCAGCTGCTCACTACTACCTAAGTCAGTTCGGATATGATCATCGGTACGCTTGTCAAGATGAGTGAAAACAGGCCTTAAAATTCGATCTTGTTGAAATGATAATGACGAGGGTATGTCCTTGGAAAAAAAGAGAAACTAGACAAGTAGTTTGAAAAGAAGCTAGTAGTTCAGTTATGTTTCAGTTTGATCAGTGAGTGTACGATGCTTCAAGACAGGGGTTCTCATTCAAATATGACTACCTCGATGCGCTAAGGACTAGTTGGGGTACCACCTCGATTCTCATTTATCGCTGTGAGTCGAGCACATGTCATGTTACAGATCTTGGAAAATTGATAGGACTACGTAAAATAATACTCGAGGTTCAGTGCAAAACGAACGGATATCGACTGACTTGCTAAGATTCTATAAGCGATCGCCCTCTTGTGTAGCCGGATATCACCATAAGCAACCGCCTTCCTATAGTCACAGTGGAGTAATGCCAGGATACATTGCCACTAAGAGTGTGCTCAGTGTCAGGCTCTTAAGCAATCGACGATTGAGGTCTGATTCAAAAGGTATAAGTATCAGCTTCGAACCTCACATCAAACTTCACTTACATCTTCAACAGTATTCACAACAGCTATCCGACTAGCAAGAGACATCGAAATGCCTTCCATTCAGTCCATCAGTATGGCCCTCTTCGCGCTCCTCGCGACGGTACACACTCCCTCTTCTCTCACTCTTGCGTTAAGCTGATCAAGAGCTAATTTCACCATTAGACCAATGCCGGTGTGATCATTAGCGACGGCGGCGCAGCTGGTGGATGCCCCGGTGGTTGCTGCATCCCCGTCTGCAACGTCATCGTCTCAGACGATTCTTTGGGCGGATACGGATCAGCGGGTTTCGCTGACACATGCAAGCAAGGATTCGACAGGGATAACGGACCAGCTACTATAGATATCAATGACGACCATCAGGTAACTTGGCTCCACGCAGAGGATGGCCAAGTCGTCGTCGACATATACCGCAAAAGTGACAAGAAGTACAATCGCTGGGCAATTTCGAACTGTCAATTGGCCTCTACGGGTGGATCGCAGTGCGCACCTAGTGGCGGAGGCTGTGTAAGTTATGAGCTCTGAGCCGGGATAAGTATGCTGACAAGTTTGTGAAGGACGCTACGCAAATTCTCGTTGAGGCTCAGGGCTAGAGGGTTGACGAGATTTACGACAGCATGTGGACATACTTGCTTTCGAGATAGCAACAGCGTCGATATCAGTCGGCGTCTTGCCGAGAACTTCTACTTCCCGGATACACTCATTTGGCTCTACATTCGTTTTCCCATTCATCATCAATAAAATATCACATGCCCAACGTACCTTTGGAACGTGACTGATGTCTGCTTGTCTTCTACTCGCCACATAATCACCGCTGTACTTACAGGATGTGTTTGAGTGGTTGCTGAAGCATGATACTCCATTTGTCACAAACAAGCAAGCAACTTCAAGCGCTCCTCAACCGTTTCTGAACGCCATGTGCCTCCGCAGCGCAAAGCACTGTATGTGCGTTTGTCCCCCCATATCCCAAGCTCGTCACACCCACCCTGTCATCCTGCGCCAACTTAAGCTGACCAACTAGTGGACGCAACCTGCCATCGAAATTGCACATCGGATTCAGTGCATTCAACTTGGGCATCGGCGGAATGAAGCCATTCGAGACAGCTAGCGCCATCTTGATCAAACTCAACATACCACTTGCTGCCTCTGTGTTGCCAAAAGCACCCTTGTTGCTGCCCACATGGACGACGCACCCATTCATCTCACGAGGTTGTTGCACCTGATCAAGCGCTTGTTCCAGTCCGCTCACCTCCAGCGCGTCTCCCATGCTCGTCCCACTTCCATGCAACTCAACGTATCTGAACGCCTCGGGGGCTACGCCTGCGCTCCTAATGGCCTTGGCTACTGTTCGAGCCTGGCCTGTGCTCGATGGCACGGTGAAGCCAACCTTGTCGACCGAGCCGTCAGACCCCGTCGCGCAACCCTCAATCACCGCATACACGGCGTCATTGTCACGGCGTGCTGCGCTCAGCGTTTTCACAACTACCGCAGCTACCGCATCAGCTGGTACTGATCCATCGGCAGCGGCGTCGAGCGGGCGGCAATGACCCGTCGGACTGAACACTTGGCCTGGCGCTGTCACGTACCCACCCAACTGTGGAAAGGCGACGGTCACTCCACCAACGAGGGCAGCGGGACATTCGCCGGCACGTAGAGCGGAGAGGGCGTGCTGTAGCGCGACTAACGCACTTGAGCAGGCTGTGTTAAGTGTCGCGTTAGGACCCGTCAGGTTGAGCTTGTAGGCTGTGAAAGTAGAGATTGGCGGGTCGAGAAGCGTGCGGTGACGAGCTTGAAAGCTGTCGGCGGGCAGTGGTGTGCTAGGCGCATCTTTATGTGTGTTGTGCGCTGAACCGATGAAGACGCCAGCGGGGTTGGGTACCCCCTTGGTGACGGGGATTCTGGCATCTGCGAGCGCTTGGGACGCAATGGAGAGGAAGAGCAGTTTCTATAATTTTTCTCTCAGCAAGGTTCTTCAGAGTAAAATCAGCACCATACCTGCGGATCTGTGAGGTCAGCCTCCTCCGCAGTCATGTTCCATGCGCCAGCTGTGACTGGTGGAAGATCGGGCATAGAACCGTATCGAGGGACGAAGATCTCATCTTCCGCCATATCAGAGGGTGCGACAGCTTCATCATGACTTGTGACAGCTGTTTTACCGTTGATGATCATCTGCCAGAAGCTATCCACATCAACAGCACCGGGGAAGTATCCAGCCAGACCTACAATGGCGAACTTGTTGTCGTCAAGGTCCAGAGAGTTGCTGAGAGATGTAGCAGCTGTAGGAGCTTCTGAATCGCTGCCACTATCAGAACCAGAACCATAATTACTTTCGGAGAAATGAAATCCTTGTTCGGATACTTCCATCTTTCCAGCGAGACACGCAGCTTGTTTTTCGATGGTGGGTGCTTGGAAGATGTCCAGTAAGCTTATCTCACAGCCAGGAAAATGGCTTATGAGACGCTTGTGAAGCTCTATCAAGGTGATGCTGTGTCCGCCAGCTTCGAAAAAGGATATATCGGAGCTAGGTGGACTTTTCAAACGAAGAGTCTGCGTCCAAAGATCCCTCAGAACTTTTGACACGCTCTTTCTACGGCTTGAAGATGCGCCTGCCCCGATCGACTTCGAGTTCGTGCTTGATACCTTTTTTTGTGCAGGACTTGTCTTTGGAGATGACGCAAGTAGACTTTCTAATTGTTCAGAAACCTGCGCATGGTCTATCTTCCCATTACTATTCAATGGCAGAGATCGCACTGCAAAGAATCGAGCAGGGAGAGAGTAAGACGGCACCTCCAACGCCAATCTTCCACGAATGACATCGCATGGGGCCGTTTCTGGTACAACAAATGCTACCAACGAATCTGCATGCACCTGCACGGAGGCGACTTGCACCTCGGGACTATTGTCCAAAATGCTCTTCTCAATCTCGTACAAGTCCATGCGGTAGCCTCGTAGTTTGATCTCGCGGTTCTTCATGCGTCCGCCGATATATAATTTGCCATCTGCATCCAGAAATCCCCTATCGCCTGTCCGGTACATTCTCGTATTGTGACCGTCCAGCTGGATGGTGTGGAAGTGTTTCTGCGTAAGCTCGGTTTGGCCTATGTAGCCACGAGAGACTTGAGGGCCAGCGATGCAGATTTCTCCGTGCTCGCCAGTTGGGAGTTCGTCGTTGTTATCATCGGCGCAGATGAGGATTCGCGAGTTGGGAAACGGCTTTCCAATCTTGGATGGCGATGGGAGCGGAGCGTCGCTGCGCTGGTCTTCGCCAATGACTTCAATTGTCACGATAACACTACATTTGTTAGCTTGTCTTCCTAAGCGATGTAAAAGGCCACAACATACGTTGTTTCCGTCGGGCCAAAAGCGTGCAGGAGCTGGCTTCGCTGCCTCCACTTTGCAAGCAGTCCCGCAGAGGACGGCTCACCCCCAACGGATATCATCCTCAGCGAAGCCAAGTACCTGTCCGTCGGGATTGTGGCAAGCACTGAGGGTGTGGTGTGGAAGAAATTGACCTCGTTCTTGTCGATGACAGTCGCGAGATAGTCTCCTACAAGCAGCTCCGGATGATCGACGAAGCACAGAGTTGCGCCATACGATAGCGTAACTGCCCACTCCAAAACAGATGCGTCGAACGCGAATGTCGCAAACTGGAGCACTCGGCTGCCTGGACCAATCTTCACGACACTGCTAGTGGCACTCACGTAGTGGCTCAGGTTTGACTGCTCGACCATAACGCCCTTTGGTCGCCCGGTTGAGCCGGACGTGAAGACGACTACAAATCATCAGTATAGCCGTGTGAGTTTGCGGAAGACTAGACTTACTGTAAGCAAGATCATTGTCTTTCGTGGTACTATCTAGGGTCGTCACCGGCTGCGTCTGTAGTTCTCGATCGACAACATCGAGGCTTACCACCGTGATGACCAGGTCAGATAGAACTTGCTGGATTTTGAAGTCGTCAGTCACCAGAAATCTCGCTTCAGAGGTGGCGGCAATGGCGGCTTTCCGTTTGTCAGGTAACTTCCTGTCCAACACGACGTAATAAGCACCCGCTTCGAGAATTCCAAGGAGCCATACGACTGTGTTGAACCCTCGAGCAATGTGCAGCAGCACGCCTTCACCTGAAGATACACCACTCGCCACGAGGTAATGTGCGACCTGACTGCTACGCTCCGCCAGCTCGCGGTATGTCACTGTCTCGTTACGCTCGGCCGAAGACAACGCGATGGTGTTGGGTTGCTCAGTGGCACGCTGCTTGATCCAAAGATGTACTCGCGAACTGCTTATACTCTCGGCATCCTCCACTGCCGAGCCGTTGGTGATGCTGGCGACTCCACGGTTCCGAAAGAACGAGAGGTCGCGAAGTCTGAACGAGTTGTCTTGTTGCGATAACTTCGCCGTGGTGATGAAGTCCGCTTGTAGTTTCGCCATGGCTTCATCACCAAAAATATCGGGATTCGCAATGACCTTGAGACGTTAGTCACTGTTGAAGAACACCTCGAGGAGAACTTACGCCAAGTGAAACCCCGTCATCATGCTCGAGGAAGCAGAAGAACAGATCCCAAACGCCTTCCACGGGGTATATGGAACACGCCTTGCTAGCCAGCTTGGGCGAGAACGTCACTGCTACCTTGAAGTTGAGTTGCCGCTCTTCCATCTTCTTTCGCGCTTCCTCGATCAAGCTGAGGAATGGGTACATCTCGTGTTTCTTCGCGGTGGAGAGGTTCTTTCCAAACGCCTTGACAGCTTCCAAGAATGTGGTGTTGTCCTGTAGTAAGCGTGCAAGCGGGACTTTGACTGGCATCTGTCTGGGTCAGCTTACGCATTCATTATTGCCCCTTCAGTACACACTGTATTCGCCATGTGCGAGACGCAATTCTGGAACTCTTTGGGGCGAGCGCCGAACGCCACGAACAATGCCCGATCGTGATGCGGGGCGGGTTCTGCATTTCCATCTGTGACTAAACTGATGACAGTAGATGCAACACGGAACCACGATGTCTTGTACAGTTCACTCCACTTCTGGAGCTGCTCGTTGGGAAAGAATGCCCATGTGTGCATGCGCCGGTAGTCAGTGGTGGTCTTGACTGGAGGTGCGACACGCCATGAGAAAGGCGAGGTGTGCATGACCTGTGACAGCCAGAACTCTTTGGCTGTTCGTCCGTTTACGCTGCGTAAGTATGCGTCCTGGATTGTGTCAGTGGGCTGAATATCAAGCAGATGATACGATTTACCTGTCTTTGCACGTATTCTCCGTACGAAAGGCCTGACTGCTCAGCAACAGGCTGTTTCGTCTGAATGTCCAGAAGTTGCAGTATCTCTTTGGATAGGATACTCAGACTGAAGCCATCCACGGCGATGTGGTGGCCGATAGCGAATAGTTTGCACTTGGTCTGTAGGTTTCCTCCTTCGAACGTAACGCTATGGTGTATAACCCAGCGTACTGGGAACTCCGCCGAAAGGTTGAAGCCGCGACGAAGAGAGGAGGAGAGCCTTGCCTCGTCGTTGATGATCTCGAATCGCTGGACTGATGTATTCTGTGAGTGAACAGCCATGAATGGCCTGTTTACCTGGCTATCGCCATCAAGATGGAATG